TGAAAACAATACATTTGAACACATAAAATCTTACTTTGATGAATCTCAAAATTTGAGGTAAATCGGTAACGCTGCATGGACCAAAGGAAAAATCGTAATTTTCGTCAACTTTTCGAAAATTCAAAATTCGGTGCAAAATGCCTCGAAATGGTTCAAAAGTGAGTAGAATTACATTCTTTTATGAAAACAAAACATTTGAACTCATAAAATCATACTTTGATGAATCTTAAAATTTGAGGCAAATCGGTAATGAGGAACCAAAGGAAAAGTCGTAATTTTCGTCAGTTTTTTAAAAATTTAAAATTCGGTGCAAAATGCCAGGAAATGAGTGATAACTAAGCAGAATTACATTCTTTCATTAAAGTAATGCAATTGAACACATAAAATCATACTAAGATGAATCGCCAAATTTGAGGCAAATCGGTAACGAGGAACCAAAGGAAAACTCGTAATTTTCGTCCATTTTTTGAGAATTCAAAATTCGGTGCTTAATGCCTCAAAATGGTTCAAAAGTAAGTAGAATTACATTCTTTCATGAAAGCAATGCATTTGAACACATAAAATCATACTAAGATGAATCTCCAAATTTGAGGCAAATCGGTAACGAGGAACCAAAGGAAAAGTCGTAATTTTCGTGAATTTTTCGAAAATTAAAATTCGGTGCAAAATGCCACGAAATGGTTCAAAAGTGAGTAGAATTTCATTCTTTCATGAAAGCAATACATTTGAACACATAAAATCATACTAAGATGAATGTAAAAATTTCAGTGTAATCGGAACGGGGGCCGAAAGGAAAACTCGTAATTTTCATCCATTTTTTGAAAATTCAAAATTCGGTGCAAAATGCCACGAAATGGTTCAAAAGTGAGTAGAATTACATTCTTTCATGAAAGCAATACATTTGAACACATAAAATCATACTAAGATGAATCTCCAAATTTGAGGCAAATCGGTAACGCGCGGGATCAAAGGAAAAATCGCAGTTTTCGTCCACTTTTTGAAAATTCAAAATTCGGTGCAAAATGCTAGGAAATGAGTCAAAACTTAGTAGAATTACATTCTTTCATGAAAGTAATGCTTTTGAACACATAAAATCATACTATGATGAATCGCCAAATTTGAAGCAAATCGGTATCGAGGAACCAAAGAAAAAGTCGTAATTTTCGTCAATATTTGGAAAATTCAAAATTCGGTGCAAAATGCCTCGAAAGAGTTCAAAAGTGAGTAGAATTTCATTCTTTGATGAAAGCAATACATTTGAACACATAAAATCATACTGCGATGAATCTAAAAATTTCAGTGCAATCGGGACGGGGGCCGAAAGGAAAAATCTTAATTTTCGTCAATTTTTCGAAAATCTCCAAATTTGAGGCAAATCGGTAACGTGGGATCAAAGGAAAAATCTTAATTTTCGTCCATATTTTGAAAATTCAAATTCGGTGCAAAATGCCTCTAAATGGTTCAAAAGTGAGTAGAATTACCTTCTTTTATGAAAATAATACGTAGGATAATTTTTCCTTTGGTCCTCCGTTACCGATTTCACTGAAATTTTTCGAGTTCATCAATTGGGCCTGGAGTTCCTCAAGCTGGTTGCGCGAGTATTGGGACACACTTTACCTTTACGTTTGTGGGGGAGAGGTACAGGACCCATGTTGACGACAGCTTCGAGCTGCCGCGCTGTTATACCCAGATATTTCAGGGCTGAATGCAGTGTCATAACTTTGAACTGTATCTTTGAATAGGCGGCGAATTGATACTGGTAATGCATGGATACTAAGGACAAGGGATCTTTAGTGGAATCGGGGTAGTAGTCAACAATATCTGAACCGCGGATGATCATTTGTGACTTTGCTGATCACAGGAAGACCTCGTTTGATATTGAAAACGACACTTGATTGTACATAGGGTCTAGCCGCGCGGCGTTAGGCTGCAGTTGTAGCTATATTGATATAGGGCTTCTGCTTTAACCCCGATTCAATTAACTTGCGTGTTAATTCAATACTTTATCTTTATCTATCTTTATCTTGCAATCCTAAATTTTGATCAGGTTAGGCAGAAGCGCGGCCTTCTTTCATTGCCTAGTTAAAATTTTGTTAACATTTCTGTATCGCTATCAAAGAGGAACTATTTAATAAGTTAAAAATAGTTCAATTTTTCTTCAGAAAACGCATTCTGCTATCTTTAGACAGCTCATCATACACATCTGACAGCTGTGAAAATGCCTTTTCAGGCTTAAGAATACACGAGATTATTAAATAAATTTAGACGATTCGTTTTTACCGTATGTATGCAAGCTTGAAATCTTCTGGGCAAGTTAAATTTCGTTGAGTGTTTATAGATCTTTTTGCTCACCAAATTTGAAGTCTAAGTATATTAGGCCGTCTTACCAATTTCCACGGTGTCTCATCAATTTAACAAGCCGGGTTGAGCATTGCCCCGTCACGATTAAATGCAGGAAAATCCCATGCATGCATGTGGATGCATGCTTGGTCCTAAGCCGTGTAAAGCCCTGGTCAAACGGGAATGATAGTTGATCAGAGTTGAGAAGCGAGAGTTCACACGAGAGTTTTCCAAACATTTTGCACTATTGTTCTGTCACTAGTCACAGTCTAGTCTGCTACGAAATGCAACTGACCGCTGGCGCTTTTGCAACTTCATCAACTCTCATGACCGATCAAACGCACCCAAACTCTCATCAACTCTCATCAACTCTCATCAAAATTTGAACCAATTCAAAGTCGATGAGAGTTGATGAGAGTGCACGAGAGTGTATGAGAGTTCGCGGTCAAACGCAAGCGAGAGTTGCAACTCTCATCAACTCTCATCAATTATCATTCTCGTTTGACCAGGGCTTAAGATTGGTGCCTTTTGATTTTATCGTACAAAAGCTTAGGGCGTGTGGTGCATGAGATTCATTTGCTATACATCCCTATTTATCTACCCTGGAAAAGAATATATAACGAAGCTCTAAGAAAGTAAATAGAAGTCGCTAAAAGAACGAAGAAAACACTTATGCATTGATCTCATAAAGGATATGATCTATAGCCCAGCCATAAATTACGCAAACTGCTTCCTGATAAAGAAGATTTCAGCATAAAAATGAGGCAATAACAAGAGCAAATAGTGACATAGTTTATAATTTTACTTGTAGTACAAATCGTTTTAAAAATAATCCTTTGGTCTATGCGATTGATAAATCACGAAAGTGTAGCTTGATTAACGAAAGTATCGCATGATTCATCGATTTGTTGAAATCATTTTTTCCTATATGACATAATTTTCAATGCACGCATGGTAGTCTTGTAATAATTAATAAAGCCCTGAGACACTTTTATTAGTTTTATATTCATTATTTTGTACTTTTGGCAGTTTTTGGTTCACCTTTTCAATCTTGTTTAATTTTTTTAGGACCCTTTAGTTTGTACAGTATGTAAAAACTTTCTGCAATTTCAGTTTGTTTATTTTGCAAAATTCGTTAATGGTGGGAATAACTGTACTCCTCTCGACCAATCATAAGTGAAAAATTCCAATATTATGAGAAAAATGAATGTACGTAACTGTTGTCATATATCTGCCTAAAATATATGCACGTAACACCCACTACGCCAGTGGTAACACCCGGAACTGGAAAAAATGCATGCTTTATACAAAAGGTTTAAGGTCACCTTAATTAACGTATATTGTCTAAAAAGTGAATTATGACGAACTTCAGCTGAAACAATCGCTGTAAAAACAAGAATGACGAGTTATCCAAACTTCAATTAAATACTTGCATTTTTGAATTTTACAATTTATGAACAATTGTTTTCTTCACTTCTGTGTTTTACCACTGTATTTTGCCGACATTTTTAAACCAGCATCACAACCCAGTATACCGATGATTTTTTTCTGGTTCAACGTTTAGAGTGTGACAGTGATAATACATATGAGGACGATTTTACATATACTATAGTCTATACACACAGGGGAGTTTATACAAGTATTTCAGAATTCAGTACAATTACTTTCGCTAAAGTGAATAAAAAAGACTTTTACGTACAAACTAAACAGCCCTGCATGGAGGAAGTAAAGTCGGCGTTCGCGATAAAAAAGCGTTACAAAAGTTGTATGTCGATTTTATCATGCTAATAATAAACAAATAATGCGACGTTGCTCGTACAATTCGGGACCAATATACTGACTAATACCGGTAACAATTTTTGTGAAGCATTAAATTAACAGGTGAGAAAAAGTATATTCTAGTGTATTCCAATTGAAAAGAGATAAAAAAACACTATAAGAATTTTTATACATGGAAAATTAATTACTTATATTTTTGATTACTTCACTGGATTGCCCATGCAATTTTACAATTGGCGGCGCTATATGTATATATACATAGTAGCAACTGCCTATACATATAACTAAATACTAAATGTTCAAATATTGTACAGCTGGATGCATCAGCGGGCCGGCGCGGCTTTATAAAGAAAACACCAGAACAGTCGTTTTAATAATGATTGGGGTTTTCAAGACAATACTGGCGATTCACCTGTATCTATAAAAAAAATAAAAATTTATAATTATATACATATATAAAAATATATATTATATAAATCATATTTTTGCCCTTGTTAATTCATTATAACAAAATTTTTGAATTAAACATCGTTCATTTCGGGACCAAACAAAGTATGAAATGTATAATTATAAATTTCCTCTCGTTTCAGATGGTGAGTTTTTATACTGTCCTTCAATGCTATATACAGGCGCCTTTCTATAATATCATATAAGCGCTCCAAAATGACTCGATCCAATTGTATTCTCCACATCTTGTATATGTATATAAGTTTTGCTAGAGTTCAATAAATTTGAAGTTTAGATAACTCGTTATTCTTGTTTATACAGCGATTGTTTCAGCTGAAGTTCGTTTATTACTCACCCGGCTTTAGACAATACGTCAATTAAGGTGACCTTAAATCTTACTCGTCCCCAGTCGCTTACCTAAGACGCGGTTAATGATGGACCTTAAACTATATAAGAAGCAGTAGAAATGACAGCAAACACGTCTTTTGAAAGATACAATTGCAAAATCATGAAGGTTTTTGTATCATTTCTATTCATTGCAATCTTGACTGCAGGATATGTGAAGTCGAAGGAGCTTGAAAATGGTGAGGTGACCGCAAGGCCGCGACATTCCTATATAATAACGCTTAATTATTTTGTTATAATGAATTTAAAGTATAAAAAATGACCACCACTTTTTTGCCGTATAGAAAAACGTGAGGATGAAGACAACTCCGTTTTTGACAAGATACTTAGTATCAACCAGCAAGCAGGTACGTAATCAAACGACTGTTTAGTTCCATGCATATAATTTACATGACATGTATGTGACGCAGAGGTTATATGACATTCCTGAAGGAAAGCGATGCCTGTTTTAAACGTCGTGTTTCCGTATATAACATGCATGTATAAGATAACATCATGTCCTTCATAGGAGGTTTATAATCTCAGGGTAATCCGGCATACGTTTTTACGTTATTTGTTCACCAATAGAAGGTTCATGCTCACGTAATGAAACTATAAGGTCTGGTGACTCTGGTCTTACCTTAGTAGCAGTACAATGTTCCAAAAAAGAGCATTCTTATTTAATGTTTTTACATTTCACAACTAACAATTCGGAAATAAAGAAAAAGAAATATGACGGAATTCAGCACGAATGGATATTAATTATTTTAAATTCTTATTCTCGCTTTTATAATTGCAAATTTGCATAGTCTTAAAATTGAAGATGGGCAGCTCCAAACTGACTAAACGCGTATACTCCCTTCAGACTTCAAAGAGGGACAAACGTAATATATGTTTATAATTATTAAAAATATTTGGATGCTATATAAAATATTGATATAAGGGGTATAATGCGAGAATATGATATTTCTCCAGCCAGGTCTCGGTCAGGACCAACGCAACCGAAGTTAATTCAAGGTGACATTGTTGAAACCAATTTGGTAAAGCAAATGATGGCAGGAGGGCTTTCACGTGGTGCAGCTACAACTAATAATCGGCATCTTTGGCCAGAAATAAGTGGAAAACGGCAAATTCCTTATGTAATCTCATATGGTATCGTGTCACGAGTTATTTCTATTCAGTAATATATATTCAAAGTCAATGAATCGATTATATACTGATGAAGTAAGATATAAAAATATTGTACGTTGTTTGAAAATGAACGGCACGGCTAAAATGGGTACCCATACCCAATTCTATTACTGTTCAGGCTACCAAAACAAAGGCCGAGCGCAAATGAAATGGGCACGGGCAGCAAGCCGTGGTGTGCGAATAAATTGAGTGTAGTGTAAACGGGGGTTAAAATGCACGAGAGACTTTACATGCACGCATGGATGGTATTACACGTTCCGATAAACTGTATGTACATTGGCCCGATTTATATTGGAGACGGATGATCCGTCTAATAGACTAATATGTTAAACGAAACCAAATCGCGCGTTTAGAAAGTGCATGCACGGAAATTAGGAAATTATTTATGTCGTAAAAAAGAGTGCACAATAGCCGTTTTATGACGAAATTTCTGTAGCTCACCCCCAAAATAGACGAACCGTTATGCGGATAATTCGTGTTGACGTACGATCCGTGTTTGCCCGTGTTTACACACAGACGAGCTAGAAGACGAACTATCTTTTGCTTTCCCAAATTCGTCTTGACGAACTATCCGTATCTAGTATATCGTCGGGCCATTCCTACGTAACAAGAAGACGGCTGAATCGTTAAAAATGTTTGTATTGCGAAATTTGCTATAACCTTTCCCTATTTACAACTCAATGAAAATATTTCCATGTTGCTACACAATATATAGTTTTTATTTTACTGCGCGAGCGCGTAACAGTAAACAGTGTTCTTTCCGCCTGATTTTCAGCGGTATCGAGATACAGTAACACAATCCGTAAGGCGATGGGAGAGTGGATGGAGAAGGTCCCGTGTTTAAGTTTCGTGCCGAGAACTAACCAGCGGGGGTATATTAATTTCATGTCAGGATCTGGGTGAGTGTCAGAACTTCCAGTGATAAAAAGTTTGACCATGAACAGAGTTAAGCTAGCTAGATTTATAGATGACAAATTTCATAATTTGCCCTATATATGGGACAACCTCGTACCGAGGACATTTTGCCTCCACATTGGGACGAGGTTGCCGTGGGAAAATTATGAAATTTGATGCCCGCTCATGTTGATCACGCGTAACCTCTCGCTTGTCCAATAGGAAAACAGAAAAGATAAATTTTGACACTATAGGTATATAACACAGGGCCGTACACCGGGGGGGGGGATTGCAGGGGCGAGAAATGCAACTTACAATTTTTGAAAGTTGTATGTAATGTCCTGCTAGTTTATATAAATACACTGTTCCCCATCGAAGAAAGATCACTGCCCCAATTCTACGTACGGCCCATATAACAACATTATTTTAATTTAGCTATTTAACAATTTTAGATGTTCATCGGCTGTTGGTCACCAAGGCAGGCGACAAGATGTTTCCCTTGCAAATGGATGTATGCACCATGGAATCGTTGTTCACGAGATAGGTTTGTGAAAGATTTTCTGTACACGTAAATTACGATATGTATAATCTAATTCTGACTCGCGCGGTCTCTCGCGTGGTTTTGCATGCTATTCGATTTTAGACTTTGACGCCATCTTGGATGGACTATGTCTTACATCCCGCCTCGATTTAGTGTGTGACGTACTCGATTTTGGAATCCTATTACTGTACACTCTAAAATTCTTATGGATGCGACCATTTTGTTATTTTGCTATTTTATATTTTTGATATTTCCTATTGAGTTTTGCTATTTATGAACATATAAGAATCACGTGGAAAATTATTAAGCAAGATAAAGCCCACACCAATCCACCACCCCCCACACACCTTTACTCTGCCGTCCTTGCAGCCTGATAATTTGCTGGAATGGAAGAATATGACTTTTTATTTTGAAACATTTAAAGGTCATGCTTTGGGATTCTGGCACGAACAATCTCGCCAAGATCGTGACGATTATATAACCATCTATTGGAATAATATAAATCCCAGTAAGTACTGGAAATATTATATCAGGTATATATATACATTTCAATATGAATTTTGCTGCACAATATCGAAGTTACAAGGAATTCGGTGCAGGAGTACTTATAGTGGTCAACGCGAGATCTTTAAAACTTGTATTTTCCACGTCAGTTTATGGGTTCTCGTATGTTTGCATAAATAACAGCCATCAAAATCGCAATAAAATTCCTTTAGGGTTCAGCTTCAGATTATTACACATAGCTCAGTTGAAGAAATAAAATTCAGTTTGTTTCCTTGGAAATAGAATTGCGAATTTGTTAAGGTAATTTCCAGAAGCTTCCCGAAGCATGCATAAAATTAATTTTAGTCTATACAAAGAAACCTGTTCGACTTGGAAAAACTTGAAAAAAATCCAACGAGATTTTAATTAAAATACTAAGAGTCGCTGAAAGTTTGCAAATTTCGCGCGCATTGAGGGTATACTTTTCAAGGAGCATACTTTTTTGTAACACCTCGCTGTATTGGCCGTCAAATATATATGATTATTAGGGAGTTAGGTATGTGAATTTAGGGGCTGGGAGGGTTCGGCTTAATAACAGAGCTGGGGAACTGAATTGACTTAAAAGAATCGAAATATATTATATAGTTAGCAATCATATAGTGTACTAACCATATAGAGTTTAAATACTGAAGGAATAAATTACGAAAAAGAATATATATAAAATAGGAAGGCTTTGTTTGTACGAAATTCTATATATCTCTCAGTTTAATGAAGCATAAGCAAATTAACTTATTGTCTCAAAATTATTAGATATGAAATACAATTTCAATAAGATGAGTGGAACAAAGCTCACTGATTCTGGCTATGACTATAACAGTATCATGCACTATGGCCCGAAAGCATTCTCTAGAAATGGACGAATAACAATTGCGCCGAAGAAATCAGGGAGTACGATTGGACAAAGACAGGGATTAAGCAAAGCAGATATTCAACAGGCAATGAAAATGTACTGTGGTGGATCAACTGGAGGTGGAACCAGCACTGGAGGTGGAACCAGCACTGGAGGAGGAAATGCAGGTAAAAAAATACACCATCGCGTCGATCGTATTTCACCTGAAAAGTAGTTTTTAACAAGATCTTGTGATCGTGCTAGAGAGAGAGAGAGAGAGAGCTTATCATGCACTTAATAATAGCAATGGACAGACGAACTGTTAAAATTTGAGTTTTGAAAAAAATGTTTAAGGGCATGTATAATGAATGAGACCCCATTAATCCATTGCCTCGAATATTTCCTTGCATATCATTAATAGTATAATTTCTCGTGCAATTACGGATAAACATGCACTCGTGAGTTTTTAAACACATGCAGCAAATACCACCCGTCCTTCGGACTCGCGCTATTTTGCAGCCTTTAAAAACTCACTCGTGCTTGTTAATCCGTATTTGCACGCGAAATCATACTATTACCTATAAATAAAAGGGATTTCCTTTTTGCCAGGTGGACCACCTTACAGTTCTTAGTGGATTTGTTATTCGGTTTGTTATTCTTTGTATACAGGTTGCAGCAATTCTCGACGAGAATGTGAAGCTTGGAAAAAAAGTGGATATTGTAAAACCCAGAGTAAACATCGACAGTATATGGTGCAGAATTGCAAGGAAGCTTGTTGTGTGAATAAGAATTCAAGATGCAAAGAATGGGCACAACGCGGAGAATGCGCGAAAAACCCTCGCTACATGTTTGAATATTGCAGAGGTGCATGCCACGACTGCACTTGTTAACACAGGTATTTCTTTCATTATTACTTATCACTGCAAGTTGCATGTGTAGGGGGAGTTATGTGCGTATATAATTGCAGTCTGATGACTGTATTGTGCGTGCCCAGTTTTTGCGTCTAAAATAAATTATAATATAACATTTATAGTACGCGCGTGCTGATTGGTCAAGAAGCGTGTTTCTATATAACTGTATAGAAACACGTGAATTTTCGTGCCGAACTTGAAAAGCAAAGGAATTTTTATGAGAATTTGTAATTGAATCGAATTATAATGTTTGTACAAAATCTTTTATTATATAAGTTATAAGTTATATTGATAAAAGAAATACAGTAGAAAACGTTTTTTCCTGTGTTTCTATACAGTTATAGAAACACACGTTTGGAGTTTGGGAGAACTGGAAATAACGTGGAAAAACTCGCCCCACGGGCTCGTTTTCCCACTGATTATTTCTCGTTCTTCCAATCTCCCACGCGTGTTTCTATATATAACTGTATAGAAATACGGAAATGTTTTCTATTTCTTAATTAAGACGCATCGAGATCTGAACTATAAAAATAACTTCGGTTCGCTACAATTATGCCTGACCAGTCTTGACAACTACAGGCTACAGCTATGGCATATAATTATAGATTTCAATTTATTTTCAATCTTGTTTTTAAACTTTTATAGGGGCCGCTGGTGAAAGACTTGTGATATCTTTATTAAATTTCTCATGTATTCCTAAGAAATAAAAGATTTATCAAGTTAAACGATTTCACGCTGTTTTTAATTTACCATGCATAGTTTTGCTATTGTCAGAAACTGTGGTCAGATAGAGAGAGAGAGCTGGGTTGGGGGTTAAGTGCAAACGCGCCTGTATACTATGCTATTGTAGACCGCCTTGGGTTGCGGTAGTTGGAAACACCGCCAATCCCATATTTGCCATCTTAAATATGATCTAATCTGACAATAATATTATAATGACATTATAATATCAGTTGACAGTATTTAAAAACACAAGTTGGAAGTCCATGCTTCCTTCAGTCACCAGATTAGTCTTTTAACCTGTATGGTTGACCATACAAAACCATAGCTCACGTAACCTGTATGGGTCAAAATGCAAGACGATTGTAACTGATGCAATCTTTCAATTGGACAAAGACATGCATAGCCGTTTGAGCGAATTAGATGTTCAATTAAGATGCGATACACTTGTACTGCTGGTGGCTGATCAGTTGGAGGAGGAAAAATCCCATGCATGCATGCCGGTATTCAAAACTACTTTTCTGTTCGATTTCAATTTGTTTTCAATTTTGCATTCACGTAACTTTTATAGGAGCCTACATGAACGCGTGAAAGTCACAAGATTATTATTTCTCCATTCTAAGGAACAAATAAAAGATTTTAGTCGAACCCCATAGACCTATTCGAAAAAAAGCAAGAGGCCTGTTTCCAGTTACGCGATAACGAGGCTAGTCAGATTTTCTCTGCTCAATTTAAAGTAATTTGTTTCAGTATTTTCTCACTTTTTCGCTGGTCCTGTTGCAAGCTACACAAAAACAATTTTTTCTAGTCAAAATTTAGAAATATAAATAGGATTTTGAAATTTTGACAGCAGAAAATCTGACTAGCCTCGTTCTCGCGTAACTCGTTGCCGAGATGAATAAAAAAACAAGAAAACACAAAAAACCCGGTTCGGTGTAACTTGAGTAAAACCGCCTTATACTAATTTCAGTGTGTTTGCAAGGTCCACTAATTTTACTAGTTTTACTAATTTTAGTAATTTTACTAACTCAGTTTACTAACTACTAGTCAAACAGCTGCTAGTGGGAGTCACGTGTCCAATCCCATGCATGCAGGTAAATTTCAATATTTAATAACTACGGTAAATAAGGTTTTGAGTAGCATTGAAATGAAATATGTTAATGCAGCTTTAAATTATCTATATAAAAAGCGCCGAAATATTCGCAATATGAATACCTAAAATTTGATTACCTGATTTCATTAATATTTTATAATGTCTGAGTATCGAGAAGAAGGTGCCACGAATATGTCCATGCAAACAATTACACCCTCTTCGGCTGATACTGACAACGTTAGTGCTACAAACTGTATAGAAAAGTCTAACGAGAAAATGGCTGAGTCATCAAAGACGTTAAACCAGTTGGAAACTCAAGGAGAGGAATATGTTCAAACAAACATTATTAGCTACTGTGCTTTCGTTGTTTCAAAGCCAAAATTAAGCTTTGGTAAGTCAACTTCAGTTGTTTAATGTAGCTAGTGTGTGTATTGTGAATGCATGTTATATACGACCATTTCATATTATAAATATTCTGTGTGTCAAAGAGCATTTTCCGACTAATGGAGGTACTGTTCATGAATGCCAAAATATAAAGTACAATATTCTTCATGCACATCCGCCGGTATTGCACTTTCCGCCGGTTATGCAATTCGTTATGCAACAGCTATATGTCACCTTTGAAGTGTTCGTATTTCCCCGTATATTTTGACTATTTTTGCACCATAATATTCCTTGCATGAAATGCTTCTACATATTATATTTATGAGTTTGTTTACAACTTGGATGTCACAAAATCGATAGCATACGGCATACAGCTGCATGCATGACGATTGCATGCTACTTTTGGCTTTGCTTACTTTGTTTTAAAGTCCGTCCTAATCATTGACTTGTTTGAAGTTAAATATATAGATAACGCTATCATGAACATTTCCCGTGCACCCGTCAAAAGTAATGAAATACGAAAGAGCGGTGGCGGTCGCAAATTCAAAATGCCTCTATAGCCTTGTAGCTATATATATATGCATATATAATTATACCCAAGAAATCCGATTTTGTAACAAACGCGCGATTAAAAAATCGGTTTCAATAAAAAAACAGTTTCGCTAAAAAAATATATATCATAAATTAATGAGAAATCTTCAAGGTCAATTCATGCAAGGACTGGCCCCAAAGAGGCCGGAAATTTGCAATACCTACAGACATCATTCTCGTTTTGATTATATTTTCAATTTTTAGCATATCTTTACATATGATCGGAATTTGCTTTTTAATTCATAATGTTCTTATACTCATCCTAACAAATGTCACTTTATTCACTATATTTTTAAACGGCTCCATACTTACTTTTAATCACTTCATGCATATATATTTGAAAACGATCTGATTCAGAATTTAACAATATATGGATATGTTTTTATATAAACATGATAAAAATATGCTATACGTGCAGAAGTATGGTTAAATATATATAAATCGAGATGCATGATTAACGTTTTTCATGCATTGAGCGTTTACAAAAACCCTAGCCCATTTTAGGATGAGACATGTCCATGCAATCGATTTACGCGATAGCTAATTGCATATATATTGCCAAAAATTAACTGTATACTTTTTAATATCAATATCGCAAACAAAACGTGTTGAAATATTCATGACTAAGTCTAAGGTAAAAATTAAAATGGTCATATATTTATCAATATCATTGTCAAATCTTATATATGTATATACTTCGTCTATATTTCAAGACCGCGAGACAACAAAGAAAAATAATATAGTCGGCGTCCATAGAACCCGATATTAAAATTTCGTTTCATGTGCACGTTGTTTATATTACATGTGAGCTAAGCTTGCAGGTCCTCAACAATTTCAAGTGTTATATAAGCGGTGCGTTTTTCAAAACCATCTTTAAAGATACGAAATATCAAAAAGTTTATATAATCTGAATTTATATCCCGTTCACTCGAAGCACTTAAACATTTTCGTTGTTCTCTCTGGTATGCAGACAGATCAATATAGAACAGCGCCTGATTTCCGATGGTCATCGACAAATTAGACACAAACAGGTCCATTTTGCAAATTAAATCTATACAACTACAAGGAGTGACAAGTATATAATCTAAATTCACGGTTTTAGTAGATGAGTGTTTTTTTTTTGAGCAGTGTATGATTCAATATTGGCCGGTTTAATCAAGTTCGGTGGTCTCGTAGACTACATTAGAGCACCCCCATTGCTGCCTTCTTTGTGGGCCTTTCGTTGGACACAATAGAGCGCGGTAACATGGATAACACGGAGTCGGAGTTCCGGAGCCGGAGTTTCGGAGCCGGAGTCAAAATTGCGGAGTCTGACGTGATTGGAAAACACGGAGTCAAAAATTATGGAAAACACGTAGTCTGCCAAAAACATGGAAAACGCGGAGTATAAATGTTTGGAAAACACGGAGTCAACGTAAATTATACATAGATTCATAAATGAAGGATCGCTCATAAGTCTATACTAATTTTTTATACCACAGTAATAGTATAAAAGAAAGAATACACAATGACAAAAGATTATAGCTATAATGCCTCTTGCTTAAAGTCATAGAATTATTGTTGTAGCTAACTACATTACGTGTTCATATATCACCTTAAATCACACCAAAACTGCCACATCCAATTTCCTCTTTGTCTACAATATGAGGTGGTGATTAAGAGAACGTCTTGAAGTCTTGAAGAACACTTATTCCACGTTTAAAGTCACGTATCTGGCGAATGTGGTCGTTCTTTTATAAGCACCAGGACTGAGGAAGTATTGCATTTCAATTTGGCTGTATCACGTCTTTCAAAATCAGTAAAGTGCTCATCAACAACTCGTCAAGTGAAATTATAGCCTAAAGAAGCTTTTGCATGCTAAAATTGAAGAACATGAAGTTCATCGCGACAAAGAACAGTGTTCCGGGAATTGAACCCAGTAACCGTGTGTACACGTCAGCTTCCATTAGACCATTAGCTATGTTTTCTATTCTGAGGGCGTTTACGTCAGACAATTAAAGTCTACTGGGTTGCGAAAATATTCTGAACTTTTTATCCAGTATAACCAATTATGCGGATATAAATTGTCAACAGAAATGTATTATTAGCTTTCATGCAATTTTACTCGCGATAGCTTCAATTTTCGTATGGAAAACCAACCGTAAACACGGTTCCGAACACACGGACACTGTTTTTTTACGAGGGAAACCAGAGTGCCTGGAGAAAAACCCTCACCGAAAGCCGGAATTAAACACAAAGTACACAAGTTTGAGATTTTATTAAAACAAAGTCATGTATTACAACAAAGTGTGTGTGTGTGTTAAAGATATTGAAATCAAGAGAGAGGAGACGGATATTTTTGGTCCTATTTTTATTAATACTTTACTAAACATGTATTACAAAGCGTGTGTGTTTTTTTTACATAGTACATTATTAATATACGAAGACATTAAACTATTATATCTAAAACCGGTTATAAAGTAGGTGCGTTTAAGATCTTGACATTTAAATTTATAGAACAGTGCAGGTTAAATGTTAATTTGGCATACTTTAGTATGAATTGTTCATGTCTTTTTACAGTGTGCTATTGTGCTATTGTGTTTGAGTAATGTTTAAGACTGATCAGTAAAACATGCATTAATGTGAGTAAGTGTTTGTAAGTATCGTGTTATTTTTTTGTTCTATTATAGACTTAACCCACTAACTCTGGGAGAGCTGAATAAAGCTTATGAGATCGACGAACTAATATAGTAATACATAAAAATGCCTGAGTTCAAAGCCCTTCGATTCAAGTTACGTTCGTCCAAAAACTAAAATTATTCTGCTGACAAATCATAGGCAGTGTTCCTAATAGTTTCGTTTTAAGCTGTCGAACTGTGCACACGTATTTCAACTTCAAGGATCGAGTTAACTTGAAGATATTTCATGAGCCCTTATAGAAACAGCATGAAGGCATACACAATTGTCCTTGAAAACTTCATTGCACATTTCAGAGCTGAGGCATATAGCCAGAGCATGCTGCCATTGTATACATGTATAGAAAAAAGGTTTGGAAAAAAATACCACAAGAAATTGGCTTTAAATTTTTGAGGCTGAGGCATATAGCCAAAGCAACAAACTGTCGAAACCAAGTGCAGCATCAAGTGTAAATATTTTTTTTTGAAAAAATTCAGTCAACATTTTTTGAACCATGCAAGGGATATTCCCAAAGCAAGCCGCCCTTATAGAAACAGCACCAAGAGTACAATTCTTTTTTCCAGAGAAACTGGACTAATACTTTCAAAGCCAAGGCATATAGCCAAAGCAAGCTGCTCTTATAAAAACAGCCACAGGAGCACATTTTTTTCTTTGAAAATCTGGTTTAAACACTTTTAGAGCTAAGGCATATAGCCAAAGCAAGCTGCTCTTATAGAAACAGCAATGAAAATAACACTGCAACGTTATTAGATATCCCAACATACCTGCTAACACTTCGAACCACATAGCAAAGTCAAACAGTGCAGACAAAAAGTGGCGCCTTACTTTTCATAAGCACTGCTCGACGAAGCTAAATGATTGGAAATCTCACAGAGACCTTGGAAAAATAATAAAGTTACAATGCCACTGCCAATGTTTGTCTCGTAATTGGTTCCTAACTATAGTAGAAATAAGGCATATATATCGTTTCGAGATAACAGCATGCACCCCCCCCCCACCCATTCCTTATTTTCTTCAAGTAAATTCAAATTCATTAATTGAGAGCATGTGTGTGTTAACTTTGATTGCATAAATTCATGTATTTCAGAATAGCAAGACAGTATAAGACATGCCGTAAAATCAATGTTTCTGGCTTGAATATTAACTGTAGCCTTAAGTGAATGCAAGAGATAAGAGAGATAAACTAGAAGCCATTATATATATATAGGCCATGGTTTGCATCAATGTATTTACTCGTGTGCGTGTCTATTTTATGTGCAGCTACAAGATCATGAGGTATAGTGCATGATGTTTTGTACTGTTCATATTTTGATATAAATCGTGTTTTTTCATAAATATATATACATACACAATATTATATGTTCAATTACAAAATATAGTAAGGCAAGATATAATCGTATATTTACAATGTTTGCTGAGAAATCAAAAACGTATTTACATACAAATAATTTTACAACCAGACCGAATAGTGACCCCATAGTTATCATTTTACAATGTTAATTCCGAAAGCCGCAATTGACCGGATTTTAAGAGCCGAAGATGATTTCAATCAGGACAAGAGAAAGAGGAAAGAACCTACGGGATTATGTCTGCCATTTGTGGCTATGGTTTGTGTTAGTGTGCATGGCTTTTTAGCCATTTCTTAAGTGAAATATGGGTGTATAACAGTTGTGATATGTTTTCAGTTTTAACAGACAAATTATCAACCTAAACCTTAGCGCAGCCCTAAGCACAAGCGAGCAGTCCTAAGTGCAAAAGCGATTAAAATATTTAACCGAATTTAAGAAACATTTGCTCACATGCATCATGCATTAGCTATGTTCCTGGTGGCCAGAACTTAGTTAACTGAATTTAAAACTTTATTTAACTTAAGTTCGTTAACTAAATTAGTTAACTTCGTTAAGTTAATCATGCACAGACTAACCCCTGCATGCACATTTTTTGACCACCAGGCTACTCTAACCTGTAACGATGCCGGGCATCGCTGAACGTTGTTTTGGCGTCGATTGGGTAGTTTTTGGCGTTATCAGGCGTCGAGTTGGCCACATTAGGCGTAGAGTGCCGTCGAGGTGCCTACATTAGGCGTAGAGTGCCGTCGAGGTTGCCTACATTAGGCGTAGAGTGCCGTCGAGGTTGCCTACATTAGGCGTAGAGTGCCGTCGAGGTTGCCTACATTAGGCGTAGAGTGCCGTCGAGGTTGCCTACATTAGCGTAGAGTGGTCGAAGTTGCCTACATTAGGCGTAGATTTGCGTCGAGGTTGCCTACATTAGGCGTAGATTTCCGTCGAGTTGGCCTACATTAGGCGTAGATTTGCCGTCGAGATTGCCTACATTAGGCGTAGATTTGCCGTCGAAGTTGCCTACATTAGGCGTAGAGTGCCGTCGAGGTTGCCTACATTAGGCGTAGAGTGCCGTCGAAGTTGCCTACATTAGGCGTAGATTTGCCGTCGAGGTTGCCTACATTAGGCGTAGATTTGCCGTCGAGTTGGCCTACATTAGGCGTAGATTTGCCGTCGAGGTTGCCTACATTAGGCGTAGATTTGCCGTCGAAGTTGCCTACATTAGGCGTAGATTTGCCGTCGAGATTGCCTACATTAGGCGTAGATTTGCCGTCGAGATTGCCTACTTTAGACGTAGATTTTGCCGTCGATTTGGCTTGTCGGTAATAGCTCAACAGAGCCCATCAACCTGAAATAAGATTAAAGAAATAAGCAACTACATTTTTTATTGAGAAGAAACACGCGTAAAATGGGGATTGAAAACAACATCTATAAAACCCTTCTGGGGATTTCAAGTATTTCCTTAATTGCCATTATTCATATCAAATTATCATGCGGCCGTTGTCGTTCTTGACCTGAATCATGCATAAACTTCCCAGCATTGTTCGGTTTATCTAAAAATGTTCAATTGCTTAATACTCACGTTTTATTATGAACAGGTTTTGTCGTTGTTTCAAATGGCTTGAACCCGCTAAATCGCTACCTGCAATAAAACCAAAAGAATGCTTGTTATAGACAGCGATTTCAAGGATTTACCTTCGATGAAGGGAGCTTAAATATCGGGAGAAAACTTGCGGTGATTATTCAGTTGAGAGGACGCATGATGCCTGATCAAGCGTTTTAAGTTTATCATCCTATTTTGAATAAAATAGACCCCAAATTACCTGTTCATTTCAGCAACAAGTGTTGAAGAGCAGCTTTGGACTTGCCGTCTCTTGAAATGCGAGTCATCTCGGGGAATTTCAGCTATGGGTTTTCTTTCCCAGCTCATTTCTATATTCGGTTTGGTTTTAGCTTTTAAACTCTACCTGGAAGAACAAAAGGCAATGTTAGTTTACTGGTTTGGTCTTTAGAACTCAATTCAAAGGTAATTGCTTGCGATTAGAGCAAAGGTTAGCGACTCATATACGATTTAGCGTATATTACCTTTCTCATATCATCAACAATTCCCAAGAAAATGCGTAGACGTGTTTTCTCTTCCAAGACGAGTTATCTTGAGACAAATGCGAGTCGTCTCGGGCAATTTCAGCTACGGTAACAGACTTTTTGCCCACTTCACTTCATTCAGTTTGGTTTTAAACTCTCAAACTTCACCTGGAAGAATAAAAGGCACCATTAGTTTACTGCTTAGGTCTTTAGAACTCAATTCTAACGTAATTTGCGTGTGGTTAGAGGGAAGGTTAGCGGCTTAACGGTAAGATTTGACGTATATATTACCTCTCATATTATCAATATTCCCCAGAAAAAGTCTAGACTTGCTTTCTCTTCAAAGGCGAGTTTTCTTGAGCCAGTTCAGCCACAATTCATCGGTCGTCAATCTCTTGTTCACAAATTTCATCGTTTAACTTCGCTTTAATACGTCAAAATTCTGCATGAAAAGAATAAAAGCTACGTTAGTGCTATACAAGTTCGTATTTGAAGCTGAACACAACACGAGAGAGGCATTACAAGACGTGAACTAAAGACACGTGGAACCTCAGCCCAAAAGCTCACGATGAAACAAGCTGATAAAACACGCAAAGGGAAAGGAATATTACCTGGTATATAATACCAACGACAGTATGTCAGAGATAGTAAACTTCTATTAAACTTCTCTTCTGCTGAAGACGATAGCAATCTGATAAAAATTTCTTTTGAAATTTTCTTGACATGGTGTAGACTCATCTTTATTCTTCGAAGACCAGCGCTGAAGTGATGTCTTAAACTGGAATCAAAAGCACATATTCATTTCACCCGCTCCTCGTGTCTGCAAAATAAAGTCATCCTATTGGATGAACACTCCCGGCCTGACAGCTCAACAACACTTCTGATTGGATGTTCATAGTAATTTAAATAATATGATTAATTCTCTTCTCCTGAGCCTGGACATCAGAAATGAAAGGAACGAATTAATCATATTATTCAAATTACTACACTCGTCCAATCAGAAGCGTTGTTGAGCTGTCAGGCCAGGAGTGTTCAGCCAATAGAATGACTTTATTTTGCAACACAAGGAGCGGGTGAAATAAATATCTAGCTTTGATTTAACGTTGCCACATCGCAACATGGATAACACGGAGTCGGAGTTCCGGAGCCGGAGTTTCGGAGCCGGAGTCCTGGAGTCAAAATTGCGGAGTCTGACGTAATAATATTGGAAAACACGAAGTCAAAAATTATGGAAAACACGTAGTCTGCCAAAAACATGGAAACCACGGAGTATAAATGTTTGGAAAACAACATATATTCATAAATGAAAGATCACTCATAAGTCTATACTAATTTTTTATACCACAGTAATAGTATAAAAGAAAGAATACACAATAACAAAAGATTATAGCTATAATGCCTCTTGCTCAAAGTCATAGAATTATTGTTGTAGCTAACTACATTACGTGTCCTTATATCAACTTAAATCACACCAAAACTGCCACATCCAATTTCCTCTTTGTCTACAATATCCTCCGATTTAAATTGAGGAATATTATTTATGTTTAAGGATAAGTTTTCCGGTCGTTTATTTACTATTTGCAGAATAGCAAAAACGTTACGCGAATTTGACGCCATGTTGTTTAAAACACGCTATCAAATTTGCATAATTCACGTTGAGTCATTGACCATTGAGCTTGGCAGACTTCCAAACATTTATACTCCGTGTTTTCCATATTTTAACAGACTCCGTGTTTTCCATAATTTTTGACTCCATGTTTCCCATATTTTTAACAGACTCCGTGTTTTCTATAATTTGTGACTCCGTGTTTTCCATATCTTTAACAGACTCCGTATTTTCCATAATTTTTGACTCCATGTTTCCCATATTTTTAACAGACTCCGTGTTTTCCATAATTTGTGACTCCGTGTTTTCCATATTTTTAACAGACTCTGTGTTTTCCATGATTTGTGACTTCGTGTTTTCCAATATTATTACGTCAGACTCCGTAATTTTGACTCCGGGACTCCAACTCCGAAACTCCGGCTCCGGAACTCCGACTCCGTGTTATCCATGTTACCGTAGGGCGCAATCAATGCACAGTGGTTGTATACGTTTTTTGCCAATGCATGACGCATAAAATAAATCATTAAAAAGCCTCTCCACCTTACAAGTAAAGCACCGTCGATCGCGAAGCGACTGCGCATGCTCGATGAGTGCGCCTTATGAGTTTTTATAAGATCACTATACTGTAAAACTATATTTTGTGAAATAAAGAAAGGTTATATCGCTATTGCTATGTATACACCGTGTTATTTCCAATATTATATATACAAACGCATTGAAACATTCAATAACATTTCATTGCTTACACAAAAGCCTCTGCGGAGGAGAGTGGTATTGAAATACTGTCGCGGGAAAAAAATTGACTCACGTGCAGTCGTTTTATAGGATTTTCATATGCTTAGCACGTATACACCTACCCAGCTAGATCGTAGCGAACTCCAAAATCGTCGAATTTGATCAGGCCCGAAGGACTTGTGCTATATGTTTTGTTATTTTCTTCATATAGTTATAACACTTGGCCTTCACCTCCTAATGATTCTACTGACAGTCATCTTACTTGTATCTGGATATGACATACTTCCAATTGATTTCGGTGGGATACCACTGGACTTGCCCGAAGATTCAACCAAGTTACGTACTGATGCTTGGCAGTTTGCACTGGAAGATGATAGAATAAGTCCGATGAGTGGAGGTCAATTACCACGAGGGGTACAATACCAGGTCATTCAGTTTATTTATGAAGGAGATAATGTCTTCACAAAAGAAAGTCTCAAGACAATCAAGTATAACGAAGAAAAACTATTCAATAAAAGTGACTATCAAAATAAGCTTTGCTTGTTGATTCAAACCGGGCCAAGCAGTAACCGCACTTGTAAAGCACCATTGTCGATACTCAGATTCTTTGACGGAACATACAGTGGTATAAGCTCTGTTTTCAATGATCCGCACTTTGACAACATCACTGGGGTATTGTATGCCGCGATAAATACTAATTTAAGTAAATCTTTACTTAACTATCATTTAGGTGAGTATGTTGAACTTTTATTAAGCTACCACTACCAAAAGGTATTACATAAGTAATTTGCTTTTATTTCTGCGGCAGTTTATTCGCAATTTAGAAATATTGATTTTTGAACGAAGTGTAAAATATATTGGTATAATACGTTATAATTATTTAATCCATAAGTAAACCATTTTGCCTGGCTGGACCAGCTTGAGTACAGCTGCCACGCCACGCGCTGGAATGAATAATTTTTATTTGATAAAATGTTCATATAAACTGTATTGTATTGATTTCTCTTCTACAGGAAAGGACGCGAAGATTACAAAAACCAAAGCATATTCGTCTCATACAAGAAGTCTTATGTATATTGGCTGGCCTCATGTTGGATACAAAAGTACTGAAGAACGAAAAGATGACCAGTCTGAAAAAATCAACGACATTATAACTGATACATATGCTGAAACTTTGGATGAAATGTACAAAGATGGAATCGATGATTTAAAATTTTACTACTCGAGTGGTGCATTATTAGTCGATGCTATAACAAAACAAGTTGTTTTAGATTTGATGCTGGCTGTCGCGAGTTTTTTATTTATATTTCTTTTCATGTGGCTTCAAACCGGATCCTTGTGGATCACAAGCTGGGCTATTTTCAGCATTTTATCCAGCTTCAACATAACCAATTTGATATACAGGATTGTCTTTGATTACAGATACATTGGTATCTTCCATGTCCTATCGATCTTCATAATCTTAGGTATTGGAGCTGATGATGTATTTGTTTTCATGGACACCTGGAAACAATCTCAAGGAAACAAGTATAAAAGTCTCGTTCATCGTTTGTCAGATGTTTACCGCCGTGCGTCAAAAGCTATGTTCATCACATCATTTACCACTATAGTTGCCTTTCTTTCCAATGTTTCATCGCCGTTGTTAGCCATATCATCATTCGGCCTCTTTTCAGCTGTTTTAGTAACTGTGAATTACCTTTCTGTCGTTCTTTTCTTCCCAACGGTCGTGATTCTACAGCACTTCAGTCGTAAAGGTCGGTGTTGTTGTTTTCAACTATGCTGTTGTAGTAGCTCGTCTATGGATAACGTTCCGACAGAAAGCAAGGAAAATTTGGAAACGGATCATTCCTCAAATGAAAAGAAGACGTTTTTGGAACACATTATTGATTTCTTGGGAGGATGGTTTTTCAGAAATATTATCACGCATAAAATTGTGCGTTGGGTAATTCTTTTCCTATTTTTGGTATTTATCGGTGTTTCAATTGGGTTTGCCACTCAACTCGAGCCAGCTAAAGAACAGGTGAGTTTACAATGAAACGACGTAATATTATAAACTACCAATGAAAATTCTATGAAATTCATTGAAAATTCCATGACTGAATATTTCATGACAATTTAGTAGACATAAACTGTAGCGCTGAATATAGAAAAATCTGCATGGATATAGAAATACTTGCAATTGTGGGCAATGGCTCATTGCCGGAAATTGCTAGGGAATATCAATACAATAAAATTTCCATAGCTCAAGTATTCGTAAAGCGTTTACTTTAGTGGAGCCGGCAAGAAAGGGAGTAAGAATTTCTCAGCGTGCGATAGAGATCAATCCTAACAGGTCAACACTTATTTCTTCCTCGCTAGACCAAGCTATGGAGTGCCAATACAAATTGGGCAAAGGTTGACGACTTGAATCAAAATGCTTTTGTCAAAAGTCAAGAGGATAACGTCGTTGTTGTGACTATTATTTGGGGATTGAAGGAACAGGATCGTGATGAATGCCATCATACTGATTACAAGTGCAAAGGGAAAACTGTTTTGGATAATAGCTTTGATATGAACCCACCGCCTTGCCAGACTGCCATGTTGGTAAGTTGTGTCGTTTAGCGGTTACTTCCATATATAGGTAAGAAAAAAGGCACGTCTAAACACCAAACATACGGCGAAAATTTAGCTCAACGTCGCACTCCTTATAGGGATGTTTTGTATATGCCATAATTAAGGCTGCATGGGGATATTATTCAATAAATTAAATATCAAATTCAATAAATTAAACTCTATCGGGAAATTTCCTTTTTACAGGACTTCTGTCAAAATCTCAAAAACTTACCTCCTGAGAAGATAGAAAGTTTAAAGATACGTCGAAGTGAAGTAACTGGTGAGATTGAGACAAAATGTTTTCTTGAAAGAATGGACGAATTTTTAAAAGTAAGTTATAATACGTCATCTGCATGAATACGCGTAGTTTGTATATGCACTTTGCATCAACGTTCATCCCACATTTAGGACTATAAACATGTTCATTTTCCATGTGTTTTAACTCCCACTAGGAGGAAGGAAAAAAGGCTTTGTATTATCCCGATAATGGATCAGATTTCTCCTTTGTGATCAATGCTAACAAAATGAAGAAGTTGATGAAATATAACCCAAACCTTTATAATGTCTCCTCATTACCAGACACCTACTACAGGTACTTTGAAGTGGGACTTGGTTTTTTTATAACAAATGGCGGCGACCGGCGATATGCCGAAACATACGACTTTAAAAAATATGGGGATTTAATTGGTGGAGCTGCTGATCCGACACTATCGCAAAATGCGACCAGAAGCCAATATTTACAAGGTATCTAAAACTATTTGTAAATTTCGAGGTGGCTATTTATTTTCCTGCATTCTGATTGGTCAAGATTCACTGTCTCTGAAGGGATAGTCACTAGACTAAGAAATTTGAAGTAATTATATTTTTTTTATGAAATTATAAATATACATGATCATTATGTGTAAACACCTCGAAATTTATACTAAAACAATTAGTCACCTCAGGCTCGGTGATTACGAGCCTATATTCACTTCGCAGTGAATAAAGGCTTGTAATCACCCCGCCTTAGGCTTGACTAATTGTTAAATATCTCAGTGGCGTGAAAGATCAAATTGATCCTATAGATCTACATTTATAATCATTAAAAAAATAGCGCTATGTATACATGACCGTTGCATGTATAATATATCAGTATATATGTTACCTATATCCGGTCTTTTCCAGGAAATAAATACGGTCATCGAATAGCCTACGCTGGCATTGCAATAAATACGACCTTAAATCCAAATACACTTGGCTATGAGGAAGGACTTCCAATTTACAGAAAGTGGGAAAGTTTCGTGGTTGACCAGGTAACGCATACAGTTGACGTTGAATTATCAATGGTGCAAGGGCGTTTTAGCGCTATATAGCAATTACGATTTTGATGTTAAGAAAACATTTTCTCTCGCAGATGAAAGAACTACCTTCCTCTTGCAACAATGGATTTCAAGCAACGGTATCGGGATACAATATATGGCATTGGTTAAAAGTCCAGGAGGTAAATGTGTATATACCACCTTAAAAATCATTGCAAGTTGCTTGCTGATATCATGTTGCATGGAGTCAAATTGTTCAACCAATTTTTGCTAAGGTCGATTGATCTAATAACGTCTTCGCCAAGCGTCTGTATTCATTTTTAATGCTCGATTCACGAAAGAACATTTTGCTGTGCGCCGTTATTTTCTCTCCCTCTCCCTGTGAACTCACAGAAATCCCTCTAATAAGTGAAAAACACTGCATGGCCGTTATTTTGATTTCATATATACGATACTAGCGATAGGCTTGCATGTAAAATTGTTTTTCTTTAACTTATACCAATGTTTTGATTGTTTCATCTCAGATTCTTGTTATCAACGCTATGAAAGGAATTATAATTGGACTGTGTTTGGCTTTAGTAATTCTTGTTATAGCCACCACAAACCTTGCAGTTGGTGTCTTGGCAACGCTTATCATCGCTTTAATCACGTGCTCCGTACTTGGTGTTATCAATATGATCGGTTGGAAACTTGGACCACTGGAATCACTTAACCTTACTCTTGTAGTCGGGCTTGCTGTTGACTATGTTGTTCATTTGGCAGAAGGATACATGGAACACAAGGATGAAACAAGAGGAAATAAAGTTCAGCATACTTTAAGTCACGTTGGTATATCAGTCTTGTCCGGAGCTTGTACAACATTGGGTGCTTCCATATTCTTGCTGGCTGCAAAGATCCTATTCTTCTTCCAGTTTGGAATTTTCATTTTCTGTACAATCGGATTCAGTATTATGTATTCAATATTCTTCTTCCCGACTGTCCTAGCTTTAATCGGGCCGGAGGGTGAGAAGGGTTCAATTCTGCCCGCAGTCAGGTGGATTCGTGATGCAGTGCGCGGGAAGACGAAGCAAGACAAAGATTGTGAACATTGTAAAGGCAAAGGTTTTTGTAAAAAGGAAATGAACGGCCTAGATCCCACAAATGCAATCGCGAATAGTTCGGTCTAAGACAATGTAGTGAAGATGAACTTGTATTATTTACGTTCAGTGACGTTGAATGGTTTAGTTTAGTTTGGTGCATATCACTGCAAGCATGCAGTCACTATTAAAGTTGATCCTGGTATACCTATTGTCCGTATTGTGTAAATATTGTACAGGTCACAGGCTTTCAAATGTTGATATGACTATATGTAACTTATGTAATATCATGCACGTATAATAAAATATATTCCAGTATTCACTTATAGTTCAGGGGCCGGTTGTTCGAAAGGCGTTTAGCTTAAACGGTGTATGGATAAGCCAAAGTTTGAAAATATTCTCACAAAAAATATTCTCAGATCTTGTGAATGACTGAACCTACTACATCTTATGCATTTAATATGTACTTTCATTTTGACAATTAAACTATTTACATCGAAATATTTCAGCTCATTTGTTGAATATATAGATAATTTTGTTTTCCATTTTTAACAGTCCCTGGCCTTCAAAAGGCCGAGCCCGCCTTGGGATAATATTTTGGTTCGTGGATCGTGCAACGTTAATCAGGGGAGGTAGTACCATTTTTAGGACTGACAAAGAGAAAAATTTTTGCAGCCTCCAGAATCTAGATGGTCGCAAAAGGCCTATAATATATCTACTCAATTCAGTGGCCCTAGTCCTCCAGGGGGGTGATCACCCTGTGCCCCTCTCCTCGACGGCACTGCTGCTGAATAGATTTCGTTTCTTTCATTAAACTTTGGATCGATTTAAAAACATTTAAACAGGGCATATAATCATTCAAGACAAAATCAAGAAAACGTTGAAAACATGTCTATATTGTTGTTATCTTCACACAGGACTGATTATTATTAAAAAGCATTCATTATTTAATCATATAGTATACATTAAGTAATGATTGTATTTTACTTCTACAACACAAGGGTTTTGAATAATTAAAAATTAATAATGAATGATGAGAAATTAAAAACGAATGCAATAATCCAATCAGTTATGGGTTGCATATATAATTTTATCTTACGTTTAATTAAAATATGAATTTATGGGTTGAAACAGTGTACGCTATTTCAAAATTTCGAATTCATACGATTATTTTTCGAGTTTCTAACCATAATAAAATGAATTGATTAGCCAGATGTCGAGAATTGGCTCGCTGGATGCATGTAGGTGGAAAATTTTCGGTCTAGCCTTAACCGTTTCAGATCAAGTTAATCTCTCCATTACTTCGGCATACAGGTTTCACAGTACGAACGCTTAAAATTATACCGACGTCAGAAATATCATTTCAAACGCTGCATCTAAACATGCAAGGGTTCGTCGTAAATATGCACTAAAAACAATAAGATTAAAAAACAAATACCATCCTAAGATCAAAATGGCTGTAGCTTTCCTGCATGGCGAAGAGTGAAACCCAGGATTGCAATTATAGGATGGTCGCCGACAATTGCTTTTGCAGATATAATCGGCAATATTTACGCAGAATATTGTTTATTCCTTTTTTGAAAATACGAAAGTATCTTAGCGCCCATGCAGCCATGCATATGCACACATGTAGCTTAAATTTAAGTCCGTATGAGGGCGAGTTTGCGTCTGTATAATACCTAAATTTTTCAGTTGTACTTTTTCCCATGACATGAAACCACTCGAGTAAAGACTGAAGTATATAAGGGCTAATTATCAATTAAACATGCATCTATAGATTTCTTTCGCCTTTAATTTTGTAAAACATATTATATAAGGAAACTAATCATGATATTGTTCAGGATTCAAAAGTAAAAAATAATTACAAAGACGTTTAATGCAACATGCAGATTTTTTTCCCATGCAAAGGAATGTCAACTTTACATTTATAATTATAATTTTCTGGAGATGCAATTAAAGCATCGTTAATCGTTGATTCCTATTCCACGTAATTTGTGTCTGATCCTGGAGTACTTCGAATACAAAAGACATGCAAGAATTACTATTCCTAATCAGCGGGAAACTCAATGCTTCGATATTTGGCATGGGAACCAAAAACCTGCTATTTGAAATATTATTGTTTTACATCCTGACGATAATTAATGCAATGGCTATAAAAAGAGCGTATATAAGCATGGCCTGACTCAAACATCGCGCGCCTACATTTTGTGTGATATACAAGATGGATAAATTATCTTTTCTTTTTGTCGGTGTTCTTTACGCTATCACAGGTAGGTTAAATATCAAATTGCTTTTGTTCTTTTTGAGCTAACTCTTTCTGTTTTTCAACTTTATTGTCAAGTCTTCTACGGGCCATATAGGGATCGACCAAATCTTTTTGGTATCTAATTATTAAGTGTTGATCAAACTCAATGTTACATATGTCCATGCATGCATGCATTCTTGTGTATATTGTAACCCCAGAGTTGTCCAGGTAGAGTAATGTCACCAAAATCCGGCTCAATCATACTATATGAATAATATGTATTACATAAAATTTAAAATGACCTAAGATCAAAGCCGAAACGATTTTTGAAAACGTATTTTATCTATGATTTGAATCGATCCCTTAAAGAAGAAATAAAGAAGAATACATTTTGCGACATTTTGAAACGGCAAGAAGATATATGTGTTACACGTCATCAAATTTTATATTATCGCTAGTTCCACACTTCTATCAACTATGCTAGTTCACATACATTCGTGACATCTTTCTCGATTTCATTATTTTTCAATATGTTTCTGTTATAAGTCTGGCAGCTTTCGATGCACGAGTGAGAGTAAGACATTAAGGATGCCGCAATTTCAAGTTTCAAAATACAAAGCGTTTCTCGATCGGTGATCGAGCAGAATTTTGGATGTCTTTTGCAATCACATGATGTCATTTGACAGTAAATTTATTTGGAATTTTATCAATATTCCAAAAATCCGACTTGTTTTTTGCAGACATTAAAGGTTATTTCATTCTACATATCAGATGGAAAAATTGTCATTTTATTAAACGGAAATTATTGCGCGCACAAGCACGCATACATTTATGATCTATATATATATATATTTTTTTTGTTTCCGGCCGGGACAATTTATGTATAGCCAATAAGTATCTTTCGGGGAAACAAAAGGCTCCCGTTTAAAAAATGTTTCAATGTATTGACGGGCAAAACCAACTTTTCATTTTTTTTCGATTTCTGACCGTTTAAGGCACACTGAATCTGAAGGTTACTGGTAGTTTTGTTGTTTGTGTATATAGATTCTTACATTATTACTATAACATTCAATTAAATTCAAAACAATCTAAAGGCATAAACAGTAGGTGTTCATCAAACTATGGATCAGTAACCATGGTTAACATTATATTTTTATAAAAAGTATAAACAAAAATCTTAAGATTACGAGAAATTGGTGACAAAATGGCTATCGCTTGTGCGTTAATTTACATTTAACACATGCATACACAATGACTTCGAGTTTTAGTATAAAGACTAAAGTAAATTGAGTGAAAATATTAAACGTCGTAACATCAGAGCCACAGACTTGGAGCATTGTTTGCCGACCTCTAGATGGATAGAGCAGCTTCTTGGAAAGTAATTTTTGTAACCGAATTTCTTACCTTGGGTATTTCTGCAGTAGGCCAAATTTAAAAATATATTGCTCAAAATTTTGGACGTGTTCTCTCAACGAACTTATAAAATCGCTCACATTCTTACGCACATTTCGATTCGGATTGTTGATGAATTGACGTGTAATATACCAAGAATTTTTGTTAAAGATGTGGTATATATTTTCCTTTACGGTCCAGATTTTTTCTGCAGTCACAAAATATTTATCAATCTCATATAAGGTATATAGTTCAACCATACGAAACGTATATATACATTTGAACACATTCAGTTGGCGGAACGTAGAAACACCAAAGGTATTAAGTAATTCGATCATCAAAACGTTGCAAAACGGCTATTCTATATTGATCCAGAGGTCGGCAAACAGTAGGCAACAAACAGGACAACGGCAATTTTGGTATATGTATTTTATAATAAAGGTTAAAGGCCGTTGTTGTTGAAAGTTAAACGCAAATTAGTGTATATGGAAATCACTAGAAATGTCACAAATTTCTGGTAATAGGCATTATATACAATAGCACATACGCAACCCATATAGATAAAACCATGTTTTTTAATGTTATAAAAGTCATACCACCATAAAAATGAAAGTGCGTTTTTAGCCGGAAGAATCATCGACGCTCAGCTTTCAAATTGCGATGTCAAAATGGTCAAAAGAGGATGCTTCAAAGATACGGGAGCATCAAGCAGGGATAGCGAAAAACGACCATTGAATAAGATGCTCTACAACTACGGAAAAAACCTCGACTGGCAGGATGGTTGGGATAAGTACCTTCATGACACTGCATGCGCGTAAGTATATATAAAAGTCAGTAATTATCCTGTTGACCCAAAACATCTCATGCACACTCAGCCTCAGCTTAAGTTCAAATCCCGCTGCTAGACAACTAGCGTTTCACCAATGCAATTGAAATGCTTCTTTAATGATTTTAATTGCAAAATACACTTGAGTTTGGGAGCAACGAGATAAATGTAACTCACGCCTGCATGGTTTCCAATCAGTCAAGTATTCAGTTATCGTAACGTGCATCGTTCTCAAAGGTTTCCTGGCCGATATGTTAACCATCAAAGGGCCTATTTACACCATGCATGGGATAAGTCGTGTTAAATAGCTAATTCTGGCTGGTGTGAATGTATTATGTATAGATATACGAATGCCACATTTCAATTTCAATGCCACATTGCAAAATTGTTGTATTGGCACTTGTTTCCATTCACCTGCATGAATAATAATCGCATATAAATATGACCATATAGTGTAAATAGGCTTTAAAATAATCCTATATATACATGAAACAACATGAAACTGTGAAGGAAAAGAATACTAGGGAATAACACTGCTTATTTTAGTTTTGCGCCTGCAATTCTCTTTCATGATTTTCTTATTGTTTTAGTTGTGCTAAATTAGCAAAAACCTTCGGCTATCGATATATCGGCATCCAGGCATTCTCAGAATGCTGGTCAGGTGATCCAACAGCAGATTTGTTTAAAGATCGGGCAAAATCACCAAATAAATGTTGGGGTGTCAGACCCAAATATTCAGAATGTAACGACGAAACGGATACAGCATGCACAGGAACGCGCGGGTATAATTACGTCTACGAACTTTATCTTTCTGCAAGCAAAGGTACGTATGTTGGCTTGATGCACGTATATTTTTTTAAATATAAAAGCATCAGATATGGGGGAGGTGTAAACTGCAATAACTTGGTTGTTGGGATATAACAATAAAAACCATTGTCTCGATGCATATATAAAAATATAATGAATTGACATTTCTTGTTAATGCATACTTTGTTAAAGATATTCATGTCCAGATGGCGACGGCCAGATGTTTTCGTTCGAATTTTGTACCTGCGTGAATTATAAAAAATAATTCAATGTTCAATTTGTGTCATTTAGAATCACCTTGTTCGTCTTTGCCATGTTATAATGGAGGAAGTTGCACGGAGGTTCGGGATTCCTTCGTTTGTAAGTGTACTTGTGGATACAAAGGCAAACAATGCGAAACGAAAGGTAAGTTAAAGTAATTTTTACAATCGATATCACCACCAGACAAAGCTAACTTTCAACTGTAGAGAATTGAGTGGATTTCGATGGACATTATGGGACGTGCATGGTAATTTATCTTCCATACATTGTCATGCATTGCATTGACCCTATATTCATACAGAACGAACATTATAATATACCCAATGATAAATTCACTGTTTTAGATCTGATTTGGTCGCATGCATGGATCAAATTGTGAAACAATTACTGGGTCGCTGTCAGCGACTTTGGTTGGGGACAAAATAAATAATTGAGACGAAAAAAATTCCGTATTAATTATGATTTTTTTATCTTAATTGCTCGGGATGACCGCAATGCGTATCATTTCAACAAATGCTTGTATACAGAGAAGTGGAGAGCGACTGCACGAGATAATATATTATATATACCAACACCATGGATAATAGCATCTGATTTCCAATCTAGTAAACATATACACATTTTTTTTAAAATATCTTAGTGTCGCCATGCTCTTCTGCCCCCTGTATGAACAATGGAAATTGTACAGATGTTGGAAATTCTTTCTTATGTAAATGCCCATGTGGTTTTAAAGGAACTCGCTGCGAGCGAGATGGTATGTAAATCATGCGGTTGTGAAGCATCTTGTAAGAAAATTAGTCAATACTAAGGTTCACGCATCGCATCACAATATGGTATAAAACAAATTCCAAAAAGACAAGACATATAGTTTTTAACAAGTTCCAACTTCTAAACAAAATGGCAGATCATCTCTTTTCAAATTTGCTATATGTTAGCAAATTCCATGAATGGTAAGATCACTTAAAATGCTGTTCTGAAAAATTTCAGTTCGTCCGTGTGCGTCATCGCCTTGTGTGAATGGCGGAGAATGTAAGAATCTTAAAAAAACGTACCAGTGTGAATGTCCAACCGGATATAAAGGAAAACGATGCCAGATTAAACGTAAGTATACAACGTAAGTATAGCTGTCAGTGTAATTCATGATCACTGGAGAACCGTTGCGATTACGACATGCATGCGGTCATGCATGAGAGTCAAAGGCGCCTTACAAGCTATAGTAATCACAAAAATGGAAAGCCATTTTGAACTCTACTTGACGGCAAAGACTTTCACAAAAAAGTTTTTAGGGCATTTTTCAACCGTCTTTGATAAAAGAAAAACTTGACAAAAAACATCAAATAACTGGTTTGAAAACGTGCATATATGTAAATCTATTTTAAAAACCCCATGTACATGTGAAGTCGGTCAAATATTCTGAGAGTGTCTTCTAATTTTCTAAGAAATATTGAAATAAAGTCTCAACTAACCTCACAACTTTAAAAACTCAGTATTGCTTACCTCAATTTTATCATTATATATCATATACATGCATGGAGCGTGTTTTTCTTTCATCACTTGGATGTAATCTTTTATAGAATCCCCATGTGGTTCAGGGCCGTGCAAAAATGGAGGTAGATGTCGTCAACTTGCAGCTTCATATCGCTGTCTTTGTCGCCAGGGATATCGAGGAAGACTCTGTGAAATAAAAGGTAAAGTGGACATAACTGAACTGAACGAGAACAACACGCCATATACGAAGGTCAACGATACACTAGGACGTTTGAGAGGATAATTATATACTCTTCTTAAAGTGATTGAACAAGGAATAAATATATTTTTATTAATATTTTTATTAAACTATATGTTTTAGATACGGAGACGTTTCAATGTATTTATAAACAAATTAAGGCCAAAACTCTAATAAAATGAATTAGAATCGCATATGATGTGGTTTGGGTACAACCCACCTATATTCTGTTCGTTCTGTTTCAAGAATATTAGAAAATTTTATATATCTATTTTCACTATAGTCACACCATGTTCATCTGGTCCATGTCAAAATAATGCAACATGTAAAGTTCAAGGAAAAACTTTCCAATGTTTGTGCCCAGCTGGATATGAAGGAAAAAAATGTCAGTTCAAAAGTAAGTTGAAAGAGTTGTTCAGGAGACAAGCTCCAGGAGGACATACATATAATAGACTTACTTAGGGGGAAAATGATGATTAATTATAATCTACGATGGCTATATTTAACTAAATACGGGACAAATTCATTGTTAAACTGAAATATCTTTACCTCATATAATTAGAACCGCCATGTTATTCTTCGCCTTGCAAGAATGGTGCTAGATGTAATAATAGTGGAGGTTCTTTTGAATGTTCTTGTCGACCTGGATACAAAGGGAAGATTTGCGATGAGTTAGGTACTGCAACGTACAGTAGCTATGTATTATATGCAAACATGGAAACATTTATTCTGTCTTCTTAATGCACGGACCTATTTATATATAGACGGTCAATAGTATTTGCTTGTTAAATATGAAGTTCAAACCAACATAAATAATTATCAATGACAATGGTTATATATATATATATATATATATATATATATATTAATATATATATATATATATATATATATATTCTGCTTATACGACATTCAAACATCATCAGTTCATGCAAGGAATGGTTGGTATGACATATAGCAATCATTATATGCACGCATGATCTATATCACGGTTTGATAAAAATCCTAATTGAACTTCCACGTTTCAAGCAATGTTTAACATTTAGTTTTAAGCAGTATATTTTCATTTTTGATTTTTATTTCCAACCATTTATGTAAAAAAGTAGTATCTAGTATCATATCATATTTTACACGGAAAAATTTCCACGGTTATTAATAAAATCCATGTAATTATGGAATATCTATAGAGCCTTTCCATCCCCATGGAAATTTAAAAGTGCTTAAAAATATAAAAAAACTTTAAAATATAAATATTTTAATGTAGAATATCCCTGCGTTTCTGGACCATGTGAAAATGGGGGAGAATGTTTAAATATTGGCGATTCGTTTGAGTGTAAATGTCCTCGTGGTTTTGAAGGAAATATATGTCAAACAAAAGGTAACAATTAGGTAGATTAATTATAGATACTAATATATACTGTAGTACGAAAAGATTACAAAAAGTAAGGTTTTCTGAACATAAAATATTCGGTTTCAATTAAATAAGTTATTCGGAATCAAAATTTGTTTTATAGTTGTTAGCCTTTGATACATAGTTTTTTTATTAGTATCTCCTTGTGATTCTGGACCATGCAAAAATGGTGGTGAATGTTCAAATGTTGGTGATTCCTTTGAATGTAAATGCCCTTCTGGTTTTGAAGGAAAACGATGTCAGATAAAAGGTAATTATGAAATCGGAAGAAATTTAGATTATACTTCATAGTATTACGAACAGATTAAGATATTAATGCAAAAATAATATAAATAGAATATTTCCCCATTCGTCAAAAAGAGGATAATTTCAAAATTATTTCAGTATCTCCTTGTGATTATGGACCATGTGAAAATGGAGGTGAATGTTTAAATGTTGGCAATTCCTTCGAGTGTAAATGTCGGGATGGTTATATAGGATATAAATGTGAAAAAAAAGGTAACGAGTTACTCGAAATGAAAATATAAAATAATATATATGAAATAAGAGAAAATTTTTTTATGAATATCCCAAGAATTATTTTCATAGTATCTCCTTGTGATTCTGAGCCATGTGAAAACGAAGGTGAATGTTCAAATGTTGGCGACTCGTTTGAGTGTAAATGCCTTCCTGGTTTTGACGGAAAAAGATGTCAGACTAAAGGTAATCAAAAGGTGGTTGGAAGGGTGTGACGAAAAAAATTCAAATTTTTATGAGCTCTGTGCGTGCACTAAATATCAATTCCTAGCGATAAAAATTAATTAAGGACGCGAATTCGAGCAACAATTGCCATTTGCAAATAATTCTGCGATTGCTTGTTGTTATGATATCAGAACAGCATTCTCAGAAATCTGAATTTTTTTTTCTAGTTGTGTTAAAAATTATTCATCAAACGTAATATTTCATGCAAAACCATATTCACCTTCAAGGCCCACACAGACCGGACGCGATTTGGCAAAGTTTTTGATTTTCCTAATAAATTTTAAACTACCATCATGTTCTTGTAAATTACTCAACTATAATACATTTTGACCGCTCTGGCGACCATAGACACAATGATTTGCTGCAAGAAATTAATTTATGTGCTTCTGAAAACTAAAAATACGCGTCGCTTTGTTTGCCGCATCGCGTCCGGTCAGTGTCGACCTTCACCTATTCACTTTTTAAACGAATTCACGCTGTAGTGACGTCACTCTCAAATTGTTTGAATATACATTCCTAGAATCTTCGTGTGACCCAAATCCTTGCAGAAATGGAGGAAGATGTAAAAATACAGGAAAAGGGATCAAATGCATTTGTCCTCCTCGTTTTGTTGGAAAACGATGTCAATTCAAATTGAAGAGTAAGTCACTGTAATTGACTAAACTTTAAAAAAAGTAAAATAAACTAAAAAACCTTTCAAGATAAAAGTAATAGAAACGTTAATAGTGCAAAAGCTTTCAAACATGAGTACTTAACTATTTCTATACCTCCCAATATAAAATCATAATTTAGTAACACAGCCACACAGGAAAATTTCAATCCGCTCGCACACTACAATGTTTATCAATCATACGATATTCGCCAAAACATTATTTGATCAACACACCACACAGAAAAGGTCTAACAAATAAACACTTATCAAATTCCAGCTCTAGCGGTATGCCGAGCAACAGGTGATCCTCACTACCGAACATTTGATGGAAAACGCTACGACTTCATGGGAAAATGTCAATATGTGTTGGCCAAAGACTCGAAAGAAACCTTTACAATTCTGCAAGATAACGAACCTTGTGGTAGAAGAAAAGCTACGTGCACCTATGCTATTACGGCAAAAATACAAGGAAAAACCATTTACATGAGTAGAGGAGGAAGTGTATTAGTAAATGGTGAAAATGTCACATTGCCGTATAAAGATAAAGGTATTTATTTTTTACACATTCTGTAGAGACATGGTTAGAAAAGTCGACTGAAAGTCGGCTTAAGTGAAACGTTCTTTACCGTGAAGAAAATCTTTTAATGGAACAATCGTCTATGCATCATCTGTTTGCAATACAAATTATGCTACTGTACATTTGAAATTTAAAAAATGATTGGAAACATTTCAAAATATTTTCCCATGAATTAATGATGAAAATCCGTGTCAACATCAAAGCTCATTTATTTATTGACATTTCACGATTTTGATTAATCACTTATAGGAATTACTGTCAAAGTTTTCATGAAACGTGGCATGAAGATCAAGACAAAGATTGGTTTAACAGTTGAATACAATGGTGTATTTAACGTTTTTGTGAAAGTTCGAAACATCTATAGGGGAAAATTATCAGGACTTTGCGGCAACTTTAATGGCAAACGTAATGATGAGTTCAAGACACCAGAAAATGCACTTGTGAAGAACGTAATTACATTTGGAAATTCCTGGAAGACTGATGACAGTTGTCCAAATGTCACAACTGTTGAAGACCATCCGTGTAAAAATAACATCAAACGTGCACTGAAAGCTAAACAAGAATGTTCAGCACTTAAAAAACAACCTTTCTCAAAGTGTAATGAAGTTGTAGATCCAAATGATGGTCCTATAGAAGAGTGTGAATATGATGTCTGCGCATGTGAAAGTAATCCGAAGGCGTGTGTGTGTGAATCATTTGCTGCTTATGAAGAACAATGTAATAACACAGGGATTGAAATCAAGTGGAAACATCTCAAAAAGTTTGCAAAATGTGGTAAGTTAGTAGAAATTAGGAATTTGACAAATTGATCGCACAAAAAGAACTGATTCTCCGTGCATAATAAAAATGCCAAACTTTTGAAATTTAAGAAAATTGGAAACATGCACGCATATCATACAGATTAAAGTCATATGTCTGGTTCTAATTGTCCCAATATAATTTCATTACTGCAGTTTCATTTAAAACTCCGTTCCAATAAAAGATGAAACTGATATAATTCTGGGATAAATTATTTTAGGTTCAGCGTGTTCCTCAGCTCCTTGTCGTAACGGTGGAATATGCACCGAGAAAGGAAACTCTTTCGAATGCACTTGTCCTCCTGAATTTAAAGGCAAAAGATGTCAGCGGAAGGCAAAAGGTGATTGATTAATTAATTTAAATGACGTAGTTGTTGAGACAATTCTGTTTAATCAAACAGAGTAAAGCTTGAAATCAGATAATCAATATTTAGAGGGTAGATTCGAGGGTTATTGCATGGGTGTTATTTGCGGAAAGGAAACCCGCGCGCGTATGAGAAAAAGTCATAAGACATAAGGAACTGTTTTTATGCCACGTTCAAGTCCTAGACTAAGTGAACTGTAGTGTGGTCACTCTCAAATTGTTTGAATATACATTCCTAGAATCTTCGTGTGATCCAAATCCTTGCAGAAATGGAGGAAGATGTAAAAATACAGGAAAAGGGATCAAATGCATTTGTCCTTCTCGTTTTGTTGGAAGACGATGTCAATTCAAATTGAGGAATAGTAAGTCACTAATTGACTAAACTTTAAAAAAAGTAAAATAAACTAAAAAACGTTTAAAGATGAAAATGATAGAAACGTTAATTATGCAAAAGCTTTCAAACATGAGTTTTAATATTTCTATACCTTGCAATATAAAAAAATTTTAATTTAGTAACAGAAGATAATTTCAATCCGCTCGCACACTATACACGTACTATGTGCATCAATCATACGATATTCGCCAAAAATTATTTGATCAACAAAACCCACAGAAAAGGTCTAACAAACAATCTCTTATCAAATTCCAGCTCTAGCGGTATGCCGAGCAACAGGTGATCCTCACTACCGAACATTTGATGGAAAACGCTACGACTTCATGGGAAAATGTCAATATGTGTTGGCCAAAGACTCGAAAGAAACCTTTACAATTCTGCAAGATACCGAACCTTGTGGTAGAAGAAAAGCTACGTGCACCTATGCTATTACGGCAAAAATACAAGGAAAAACCATTTACATGAGTAGAGGAGGAAGTGTATTAGTAAATGGTGAAAATGTCACATTGCCGTATAAAGATAAAGGTATTTATTGATTTACACATTCTGTAGAGACATGGTCAGAAAAGTCGACTGAAAGTGGGCTTAAATGAAACGTTGTTTACCGTGAAGAGAATTTTTTATGGAACAATCATCTATGCATCATCTGTTTGCAATACAGATTATGCAACTGTACATTTGAACGTTAAAAAATTGATTGGAAAAATTTCAAAATATTTTCGCATGAATGATGAAAATCCGTGCCAACGTCAATGAGCTCATTTATTTATTGACATTTCACGATTTTCATTAATCACTTACAGGAATTACTGTCAAAGTTTTCATGAAACGTGGCATGAAGATCAAGACAAAGATTGGTTTAACAGTTGAATACAATGGTGTATTTAACGTTTTTGTGAAAGTTCGAAACATCTATAGGGGAAAATTATCAGGACTTTGCGGCAACTTTAATGGCAAACGTAATGATGAGTTCAAGACACCAGAAAATGCACTTGTGAAGAACGTAATTACATTTGGAAATTCCTGGAAGACTGATGACAGTTGTCCAAATGTCACAACTGTTGAAGACCATCCGTGTAAAAATAACATCAAACGTGCACTGAAAGCTAAACAAGAATGTTCAGCACTTAAAAAACAACCTTTCTCAAAGTGTAATGAAGTTGTAGATCCAAATGATGGTCCTATAGAAGAGTGTGAATATGATGTCTGCGCATGTGAAAGTAATCCGAAGGCGTGTGTGTGTGAATCATTTGCTGCTTATGAAGAACAATGTAATAACACAGGGATTGAAATCAAGTGGAAACATCTCAAAAAGTTTGCAAAATGTGGTAAGTTAGTAGAAATTAGGAATTTGACAAATTGATCGCACAAAAAGAACTGATTCTCCGTGCATAATAAAAATGCCAAACTTTTGAAATTTAAGAAAATTGGAAACATGCACGCATATCATACAGATTAAAGTCATATGTCTGGTTCTAATTGTCCCAATATAATTTCATTACTGCAGTTTCATTTAAAACTCCGTTCCAATAAAAGATGAAACTGATATAATTCTGGGATAAATTATTTTAGGTTCAGCGTGTTCCTCAGCTCCTTGTCGTAACGGTGGAATATGCACCGAGAAAGGAAACTCTTTCGAATGCACTTGTCCTCCTGAATTTAAAGGCAAAAGATGTCAGCGGAAGGCAAAAGGTGATTGATTAATTAATTTAAATGACGTAGTTGTTGAGACAATTCTGTTTAATCAAACAGAGTAAAGCTTGAAATCAGATAATCAATATTTAGAGGGTAGATTCGAGGGTTATTGCATGGGTGTTATTTGCGGAAAGGAAACCCGCGCGCGTATGAGAAAAAGTCATAAGACATAAGGAACTGTTTTTATGCCACGTTCAAGTCCTAGACTAAGTGAACTGTAGTGTGGTCACTCTCAAATTGTTTGAATATACATTCCTAGAATCTTCGTGTGATCCAAATCCTTGCAGAAATGGAGGAAGATGTAAAAATACAGGAAAAGGGATCAAATGCATTTCCTTCTCGTTTTGTTGGAAGACGATGTCAATTCAAATTGAGGAATAGTAAGTCACTAATTGACTAAACTTTAAAAAAAGTAAAATAAACTAAAAAACGTTTAAAGATGAAAATGATAGAAACGTTAATTATGCAAAAGCTTTCAAACATGAGTTTTAATATTTCTATACCTTGCAATATAAAATAAAATTTTAATTTAGTAACAGAAGATAATTTCAATCCGCTCGCACACTATACACGTACTATGTGCATCAATCATACGATATTCGCCAAAAAATTATTTGATCAACAAAACCCACAGAAAAGGTCTAACAAACAATCTCTTATCAAATTCCAGCTCTAGCGGTATGCCGAGCAACAGGTGATCCTCACTACCGAACATTTGATGGAAAACGCTACGACTTCATGGGAAAATGTCAATATGTGTTGGCCAAAGACTCGAAAGAAACCTTTACAATTCTGCAAGATACCGAACCTTGTGGTAGAAGAAAAGCTACGTGCACCTATGCTATTACGGCAAAAATACAAGGAAAAACCATTTACATGAGTAGAGGAGGAAGTGTATTAGTAAATGGTGAAAATGTCACATTGCCGTATAAAGATAAAGGTATTTATTGATTTACACATTCTGTAGAGACATGGTCAGAAAAGTCGACTGAAAGTGGGCTTAAATGAAACGTTGTTTACCGTGAAGAGAATTTTTAATGGAACAATCATCTATGCATCATCTGTTTGCAATACAGATTATGCAACTGTACATTGAACGTTAAAAAATTGATTGGAAAAATTTCAAAATATTTTCGCATGAATGATGAAAATCCGTGCCAACGTCAATGAGCTCATTTATTTATTGACATTTCACGATTTTCATTAATCACTTACAGGAATTACTGTCAAAGTTTTCATGAAACGTGGCATGAAGATCAAGACAAAGATTGGTTTAACAGTTGAATACAATGGTGTATTTAACGTTTTTGAAAGTTCGAAACATCTATAGGGGAAAATTATCAGGACTTTGCGGCAACTTTAATGGCAAACGTAATGATGAGTTCAAGACACCAGAAAATGCACTTGTGAAGAACGTAATTACATTTGGAAATTCCTGGAAGACAGATGACAGTTGTCCAAATGTCACAACTGTTGAAGACCATCCGTGTAAAAATAACATCAAACGTGCACTGAAAGCTAAACAAGAATGTTCAGCACTTAAAAAACAACCTTTCTCAAAGTGTAATGAAGTTGTAGATCCAAATGATGGTCCTATAGAAGAGTGTGAATATGATGTCTGCGCATGTGAAAGTAATCCGAAGGCGTGTGTGTGTGAATCATTTGCTGCTTATGAAGAACAATGTAATAACACAGGGATTGAAATCAAGTGGAAACATCTCAAAAAGTTTGCAAAATGTGGTAAGTTAGTAGAAATTAGGAATTTGACAAATTGATCGCACGAAAAGAACTGATTCTCCGTGCATAATAAAAACGCCAAACTTTTAAATTTAAAGAAATTGGAAACATGCACGCATATCATACAGATTAAAGTTATATTTCTGCTTCTAATTGTCCCAATATAATTTCATTACTGCAGTTTCATTTAAAACTCCGTTCCAATAAAAGGTGAAACAGATATAATTCTGGGATACATTATTTTAGGTTCAGCATGTTCCTCGCTCCTTGTCGTAACGGAGGAAATTGCACCGAGAAAGGAGACTCTTTCGAATGCACTTGTCCTCCTGAATTTAAAGGCAAAAGATGTCAGCGGAAGGCAAAAGGTGATTAATTAATTTGAATGACGTAGTTGTTGAGACAATTCTGTTTAATCAAACAGAGTAAAGATTGAAATCAAATAATCAATATTGAGAGGGTAGATTCGAGGGTTATTGCATGGGTGTTATTTTCGGAAAGGAAACCCGCGCGCGTATGAAAAAAAGTCATAAGAAATAAGGAACTGTTTTTATGCCACGTTCAAGTCCTAGACTAAGTGAACTATAGTGTGGTCACTCTCAAATTGTTTGAATATACATTCCTAGAATCTTCGTGTGATCCAAATCCTTGCAGAAATGGAGGAAGATGTAAAAATACAGGAAAAGGGATCAAATGCATTTGCCCTTCTCGTTTTGTTGGAAGACGATGTCAATTCAAATTGAGGAATAGTAAGTCACTAATTGACTAAACTTTAAAAAAAGTAAAATAAACTAAAAAACGTTTAAAGATGAAAATGATAGAAACGTTAATTATGCAAAAGCTTTCAAACATGAGTTTTAATATTTCTATACCTTGCAATATAAAATAAAATTTTAATTTAGTAACAGAAGATAATTTCAATCCGCTCGCACACTATACACGTACTATGTGCATCAATCATACGATATTCGCCAAAAAATTATTTGATCAACAAAACCCACAGAAAAGGTCTAACAAACAATCTCTTATCAAATTCCAGCTCTAGCGGTATGCCGAGCAACAGGTGATCCTCACTACCGAACATTTGATGGAAAACGCTACGACTTCATGGGAAAATGTCAATATGTGTTGGCCAAAGACTCGAAAGAAACCTTTACAATTCTGCAAGATACCGAACCTTGTGGTAGAAGAAAAGCTACGTGCACCTATGCTATTACGGCAAAAATACAAGGAAAAACCATTTACATGAGTAGAGGAGGAAGTGTATTAGTAAATGGTGAAAATGTCACATTGCCGTATAAAGATAAAGGTATTTATTGATTTACACATTCTGTAGAGACATGGTCAGAAAAGTCGACTGAAAGTGGGCTTAAATGAAACGTTGTTTACCGTGAAGAGAATTTTTTAATGGAACAATCATCTATGCATCATCTGTTTGCAATACAGATTATGCAACTGTACATTTGAACGTTAAAAAATTGATTGGAAAAATTTCAAAATATTTTCGCATGAATGATGAAAATCCGTGCCAACGTCAATGAGCTCATTTATTTATTGACATTTCACGATTTTCATTAATCACTTACAGGAATTACTGTCAAAGTTTTCATGAAACGTGGCATGAAGATCAAGACAAAGATTGGTTTAACAGTTGAATACAATGGTGTATTTAACGTTTTGTGAAAGTTCGAAACATCTATAGGGGAAAATTATCAGGACTTTGCGGCAACTTTAATGGCAAACGTAATGATGAGTTCAAGACACCAGAAAATGCACTTGTGAAGAACGTAATTACATTTGGAAATTCCTGGAAGACAGATGACAGTTGTCCAAATGTCACAACTGTTGAAGACCATCCGTGTAAAAATAACATCAAACGTGCACTGAAAGCTAAACAAGAATGTTCAGCACTTAAAAAACAACCTTTCTCAAAGTGTAATGAAGTTGTAGATCCAAATGATGGTCCTATAGAAGAGTGTGAATATGATGTCTGCGCATGTGAAAGTAATCCGAAGGCGTGTGTGTGTGAATCATTTGCTGCTTATGAAGAACAATGTAATAACACAGGGATTGAAATCAAGTGGAAACATCTCAAAAAGTTTGCAAAATGTGGTAAGTTAGTAGAAATTAGGAATTTGACAAATTGATCGCACGAAAAGAACTGATTCTCCGTGCATAATAAAAACGCCAAACTTTTAAATTTAAAGAAATTGGAAACATGCACGCATATCATACAGATTAAAGTTATATTTCTGCTTCTAATTGTCCCAATATAATTTCATTACTGCAGTTTCATTTAAAACTCCGTTCCAATAAAAGGTGAAACAGATATAATTCTGGGATACATTATTTTAGGTTCAGCATGTTCCTCGGCTCCTTGTCGTAACGGAGGAAATTGCACCGAGAAAGGAGACTCTTTCGAATGCACTTGTCCTCCTGAATTTAAAGGCAAAAGATGTCAGCGGAAGGCAAAAGGTGATTAATTAATTTGAATGACGTAGTTGTTGAGACAATTCTGTTTAATCAAACAGAGTAAAGATTGAAATCAAATAATCAATATTGAGAGGGTAGATTCGAGGGTTATTGCATGGGTGTTATTTTCGGAAAGGAAACCCGCGCGCGTATGAAAAAAAGTCATAAGAAATAAGGAACTGTTTTTATGCCACGTTCAAGTCCTAGACTAAGTGAACTATAGTGTGGTCACTCTCAAATTGTTTGAATATACATTCCTAGAATCTTCGTGTGATCCAAATCCTTGCAGAAATGGAGGAAGATGTAAAAATACAGGAAAAGGGATCAAATGCATTTGCCCTTCTCGTTTTGTTGGAAGACGATGTCAATTCAAATTGAGGAATAGTAAGTCACTAATTGACTAAACTTTAAAAAAAGTGAAATAAACTAAAAAACGTTTAAAGATAAAAATGATAGAAACGTTGATTATGCAAAAGTTTTCAAACATGAGTATTTAACTATTTCTATACCTTGCAATATAAAATAATAATTTAATTTAGTCCCAGAAGATAATTTCAATCCGCTTGCACACTACACACGTACTATGTGCATCAATCATACGATATTCGCCAACAAAACCCACAGAAAAGGTCTAACAAACAATCTCTTATCAAATTCCAACAAAACCCACAGAAAAGGTCTAACAAACAATCTCTTATCAAATTCCAGCTCTAGCTGTATGCAGAGCAACAGGTGATCCTCACTACCGAACATTTGATGGAAAACGCTACGACTTCATGGGAAAATGTCAATATGTGTTGGCCAAAGACTCGAAAGAAACCTTTACAATTCTGCAAGATAACGAACCTTGTGGTAGAAGAAAAGCTACGTGCACCTATGCTATTACTGCAAAAATACAAGGAAAAACCATTTACATGAGTAGAGGAGGAAGTGTGTTAGTAAATGGTGAAAATGTCACATTGCCGTATAAAGATAAAGGTATTTATTTTTTACACATTCTGTAGAGACATGGTCAGAAAAGTGGACTGAAAGTCGGCTTAAATGAAACGTTGTTTACCGTGAAGAGAATTTTTTAATGGAACAATCGTCTATGCATCATCTGTTTGCAATACAGATTACGCAACTGTACATTTGAAATTTAAAAAATTGATTGGAAAAATTTCAAAACATTTTCCCATGAATGATGAAAATCCGTGTCAACAACAAAGCTCATCTATTTATTGACATTTCACGATTTTCATTAATCACTTATAGGAATTACTGTCAAAGTTTTCATGAAACGTGGCATGAAGATCAAGACAAAGATTGGTTTAACAGTTGAATACAATGGTGTATTTAACGTTTTTGTGAAAGTTCGAAACATCTATAGGGGAAAATTATCAGGACTTTGCGGCAACTTTAATGGCAAACGTAATGATGAGTTCAAGACACCAGAAAATGCACTTGTGAAGAGCGTAATTACATTCGGAAATTCCTGGAAGACAGATGACAGTTGTCCAAATGTTACAACTGTTGAAGACCATCCGTGTAAAAATAACATCAAACGTGCACTGAAAGCTAAACAAGAATGTTCAGCACTTAAAAAACACCCTTTCTCAAAGTGTAATGAAGTTGTAGATCCAAATGATGGTCCTATAGAAGAGTGTGAATATGATTTCTGCGCATGTGAAAGTAATCCGAAGGCGTGTGTGTGTGAATCATTTGCTGCTTATGAAGAACAATGTAATAACACGGGGATTGAAATCAAGTGGAAACATCTCAAAAAGTTTGCAAAATGTGGTAAGTTAGTAGAAATTAGGAATTTGACGAATTGATCGCACGAAAAAAATTGATGCTCCGTGCATAATAAAAACGCCAAACTTTTAAATTTAAAGAAATTGGAAACATGCACGCATATCATACAGATTAAAGTTATATTTCTGCTTCTAATTGTCCCAATATAATTTCATTACTGCAGTTTCATTTAAAACTCCGTTCCAATAAAAGGTGAAACAGATATAATTCTGGGATACATTATTTTAGGTTCAACATGTTCCTCGGCTCCTTGTCGTAACGGAGGAAAATGCACCGAGAAAGGAGACTCTTTCGAATGCACTTGTCCTCCTGAATTTAAAGGCAAAAGATGTCAGCGGAAGGCAAAAGGTGATTAATTAATTTGAATGACGTAGTCGTTGAGACAATTATGTTTAATCAAACAGAGTAAACATTGAAATCAAATAATCAATAATTAGGGGGTAGATTCGAGGGTTATTGCATGGGTGTTATTTGCGGAAAGGAAACCCGCGCGCGTATGAGAAAAAGTCATAAGAAATAAGGAACTGTTTTTATGCCACGTTCAAGTCCTAGACTAAGTGAACTATAGTGTGGTCACTCTCAAATTGTTTGAATATACATTCCTAGAATCTTCGTGTGATCCAAATCCTTGCAGAAATGGAGGAAGATGTAAAAATACAGGAAAAGGGATCAAATGCATTTGCCCTTCTCGTTTTGTTGGAAGACGATGTCAATTCAAATTGAGGAATAGTAAGTCACTAATTGACTAAACTTTAAAAAAAGTGAAATAAACTAAAAAACGTTTAAAGATAAAAATGATAGAAACGTTGATTATGCAAAAGTTTTCAAACATGAGTATTTAACTATTTTTATACCTTGCAATATAAAATAATAATTTAATTTAGTCCCAGAAAATAATTTCAATCCGCTTGCACACTATACACGTACTATGTGCATCAATCATACGATATTTGCCAAAAAATTACTTGATCAACAAAACCCACAAAAAAGGTCTAACAAACAATCTCTTATCAAATTCCAGCTCTAGCTGTATGCCGAGCAACAGGTGATCCTCACTACCGAACATTTGATGGAAAACGCTACGACTTTATGGGAAAATGTCAATATGTGTTGGCCAAAGACTCGAAAGAAACCTTTACAATTCTGCAAGATAACGAACCTTGTGGTAGAAGAAAAGCTACGTGCACCTATGCTATTACTGCAAAAATACAAGGAAAAACCATTTACATGAGTAGAGGAGGAAGTGTATTAGTAAATGGTGAAAATGTCACATTGCCGTATAAAGATAAAGGTATTTATTTTTTACACATTCTGTATAGACATGGTCAGAAAAGTCAACTGAGAGTGGGCTTAAATGAAACGTTGTTTACCGTGAAGAGAATTTTCTAATGGAACAATCGTCTATGCATCATCTGTTTGCAATACAGATTACGCAACTGTACATTGGAAATTTAAAAAATTGATTGGAAAAATTTTAAAATATTTTCCCATGAATGATGAAAATCCGTGCATGCATGTCAACAACAAAGCTCATTTATTTATTGACATTTCACGATTTTCATTAATCACTTATAGGAATTACTGTCAAAGTTTTCATGAAACATGGCATGAAGATCAAGACAAAGATTGGTTTAACAGTTGAATACAATGGTGTATTTAACGTTTTTGTGAAAGTTCGAAACATCTATAGGGGAAAATTATCAGGACTTTGCGGCAACTTTAATGGCAAACGTAATGATGAGTTCAAGACACCAGATAATGCACTTGTGAAGAGCGTAATCACATTTGGAAATTCCTGGAAGACAGATGACAGTTGTCCAAATGTCACAACTGTTGAAGACCATCCGTGTAAAAATAACATCAAACGTGCACTGAAAGCTAAACAAGAATGTTCAGCACTTAAAAAACAACCTTTCTCAAAGTGTAATGAAGTTGTAGATCCAAATGATGGTCCTATAGAAGAGTGTGAATATGATGTATGCGCATGTGAAAGTAATCCGAAGGCGTGTGTGTGTGAATCATTTGCTGCTTATGAAGAACAATGTAATAACACAGGGATTGAAATCAAGTGGAAACATCTCAAAAAGTTTGCAAAATGTGGTAAGTTAGTAGAAATTAGGAATTTGACAAATTGATCGCACGAAAAGAACTGATTCTCCGTGCATAATAAAAACGCCAAACTTTTGAAATTTAAGAAAATTGGAAACATGCACGCATCATACAGATTAAAGTCATATGTCTTGCAGTTTCATTTAAAACTCCGTTGAAATATGAGATGAAACTGATATACTTCTGGGATAAATTATTTTAGGTTCAGCGTGTTCCTCAGCTCCTTGTCGTAACGGTGGAATATGCACCGAGAAAGGAAACTCTTTCGAATGCACTTGTCCTCCTGAATTTAAAGGCAATAGATGTCAGCGGAAGGCAAAAGGTGATTAACTAATTTGAATGACGTAGTTGTTGAGACAATTCTTCTGAAATCTGTTCATTAAACAGAATGAAGATTGAAATCAAATAATCAATAATTGGAGGGTAGATTCGAGGGTTATTGCATCGGTGTTATTTTCGGAGAACATACGAACTCCAGAATGTAAACAAAAGAAAACCTGCGCGCGCATGAGAAAAAGTCATAAGACATAAGGGATTGTTTTTATGCCACGTTCAAGTCCTAGTTTCGAAATATGACAATGTAGGGTAACATATAAATAATATAATTTTACTTGATAGGATATTGATTTACATTTTTTCTATATTCATGTTGCATATACACAATACAGAGACAATCAAGCTTTAACTGGGATTTGAATGGCTTACTATAATGCTGAACCAACGCGTGTTTGCAATTGATACGTTAGATCAGTCATTCAAATTCAACCTATTTTAAAAGGGATACAATTAACCTAGTTCTAGTGAACTGAAGTAACTCTAAAATTGTTTGAATATACATTCCTAGAATCTTCGTGTGATCCAAATCCTTGCAGAAATCGAGGAAGATGTAAAAATACGGGAAAAGGGATCAAATGCATTTGTCCTAATCGTTTTGTTGGAAAACGTTGCCAATTCAAATTGAAGAGTAAGTCACTAATTGACTAAACTTTAAAAAAAGTAAAATAAACTAAAAAACCTTTCAAGATAAAAATAATAGAAACGTTAATAGTGCAAAAGCTTTCAAACATGAGTATTTAACTATTTTTATACATTTCAATATAAAATCATAATTTAATTTAGTAACACAGCCACACAGGAAAATTTCAATTCGCTCGCACACTAAACTATATTCATGAATCATACGATATTCGTCAAAAATTATTTGATCAACACGCCCCACAGAAAAGGTCTAAATAAATAACCTCTTATCAAATTCCAGCTCTAGCTGTATGCCGAGCAACAGGTGATCCTCACTACCGAACATTTGATGGAAAACGCTACGACTTTATGGGAAAATGTCAATATGTGTTAGCCAAAGACTCGAAAGAAACCTTTACAATTCTGCAAGATAACGAACCTTGTGGTAGAAGAAAAGCTACGTGCACCTATGCTATTACTGCAAAAATACAAGGAAAAACAATTTACATGAGTAGAGGAGGAAGTGTATTAGTAAATGGTGAAAATGTCACATTGCCGTATAAAGATAAAGATAAAGGTATTTATTTTTTACATATTCTGCATTGACATGGTCAGAAAAGTCGACTGAAAGTCGGCTTAAATGAAACGTTGTTTACCGTGAAGAAAATTTTAAATGGAACAATCGTCTATGCATCATCTGTTTGCAATACAGATTACGCAACTGTACATTTGAAATTTAAAAAATTGATTGGAAAAATTTTAAAATATTTTCGCATGAATGATGAAAATCCGTGTCAACATCAAAACTCATCTATTTATGGACATTTCACGATTTTGATTAATCAATTATAGGAATTACTGTCAAAGTTTTCATGAAACGTGGCATGAAGATCACGACAAAGATTGGTTTGATAGTTGAATACGATGGTGTATTTAACGTTTTTGTGAAAGTTCTCAACAAATATATGGGAAAATTATCAGGACTTTGCGGCAACTTTAATGGCAAACGTAATGATGATTTCAAGACACCAGATAATGCACTTGTGAAGAAAGTAATTACATTTGGAAATTCCTGGAAGACAGATGACAGTTGTCCAAATGTCACAACTGTTGAAGACCATCCGTGTAAAAATAACATCAAACGTGCACTGAAAGCTAAACAAGAATGTTCAGCACTTACAAAACAACCTTTCTCAAAGTGTAATGAAGTTGTAGATCCAAATGATGGTCCTATAGAAGAGTGTGAATACGATGTCTGCGCATGTGAAAGTAATCCCAAGGCATGTGTGTGTGAATCATTTGCTGCTTATGAAGAACAATGTAATAACACAGGGATTGAAATCAAGTGGAAACATCTCAAAGAGTTTGCAAAATGTGGTAAGTTAGTAGAAATTAGGAATTTGACAAATTGATCGCACGAAAAGAACTGATGCTCCGTGCATAATAAAAACGCCAAACTCTTGAAATTGAAAGACTTTTATTATTATCATACAGATCAAAGTTATATTTCTGGTTCTAATTGTCCCAATATAATTTCATTACTGCAGTTTCATTTAAAACTCCGTTCCAATAAAAGATGAAACTTATATAATTCTGGGATAAATTATTTTAGGTTCAGCATGTTCCTCGGCTCCTTGTCGTAACGGAGGAAATTGCACCGAGAAAGGAAACTCTTTCGAATGCACTTGTCCTCCTGAATTTAAAGGCAAAAGATGTCAGTGGAAGGCAAAAGGTGATTAACTAATTTGAATGACGTAGTTGTTGAGACAATTCTGTTTATTCAAACAGAGTAAAGATTGAAATCAGATATCAATATTTAGAGGGTAGATTCGAGGGTTATTGCATGGGTGTTATTTGCGGAAAGGAAACCTGCGCGTGCATGAGAAAAAGTCATAAGACATAAGGAACTGTTTTTATGCCACGTTCAAGTCCTAGACTAAGTGAACTATAGTGTGGTCACTCTCAAATTGTTTGAATATACATTCCTAGAATCTTCGTGTGATCCAAATCCTTGCTTAAATGGAGGAAGATGTAAAAATACAGGAAAAGGGATCAAATGCATTTGTCCTTCTCGTTTTGTTGGAAAACGATGTCAATTGAAGAAGAGTAAGTCATAAATTGGCTGAAATCCAAAACAAAGAAAATAAATTAATTATTCAGATTAAATTTCTCTCTGGTTTTGAGACTTTAATAGTTAAAAATACTTTACTTGACGCATGAGTGATCTCCCCAGGTCCCCAGAATCCTAATGATATGCATGGGTGGAAAAGCGGAGAGGAGGATTGCATGGGGTATACGCAGAGCAGAACGGGCTTTTTTTCGTTTCGATAACGCGAGTTTTAAAGTAGGAAAAATCCCATAATTGGTCTGGAGCTATAGGGGTCAGATAGATCGGTTTTGAAAGAGGCCGAAACACACGCACTAGAAAGAGGGTTTGGCAATACCGGCCTGGGGTGGGCACATAGCTCCAGATTACAGATCAGTCGTTTCAATTTTAAATTCTTCTTTAATTTTAAATTCATCATTGGTAGCTATCGTTACATAAGCAGTGGAGTCACATGAAATTTTAAAGCAAGAATAATGTAAAAGGAATCAATATTAGCAATTCAATGACGAGTTAAATAGACATCAGTAACAAATTAGATTTCAGATCTAAGTTCAACCTGCACCGGCTTACTACAATAATGTCAATGACAACATCCATAGCTCTTGCAGCCGAAGTGAAAGCATGGCAAGTACTACGAGATCCATATATAATTTATTGTATCAATTCCAACAACTTCAAAGACTTTCCTCCCTTTTCTATCATGTTCCTAAGATTTGGATGCCTCGAGCGAAATTGGTCCGAGCAATATATAGGAATGTAAACGCTGTACAAATACATAACCTAATATCAGGCCTAAACGGAGGTAGCTTGATTGGAGTTATAGACTATGACCCGCTAGCTCTGAACGTTTTTAACAATGTACCATGATAATAAAGGTACAGCTATCTGATGTTAGCTGAATGTTAGGCGGTGGTTATCCTGACAGTAAACTGTAAACCTAACAACATGACAACTAATATACCTTCAAGGCCAGTTCCTTAGACGGTCTGGGAAGGATGTCAAAGGTTTTGTATTGGGACAAAACTAATACCGTTAGTAAAGCACACTTCTGGCTGTGTCCATATCCGCGTCCCACAGTGGGAAAAATGTCATCAATATTGCCATCACGACAGAACTGTCCCCCCTTACAGAGGCATGAAAGTGATGTTCTTATGTTCTCCAAGAAGATAAGATGGGGAACAAAGCTGGGCTTGGAAGGCCACTATTTTCGAAGTGTTACAGGAGAACAAACTCATCAGTAACGTCGGCTCCAGATGAAGAAGATGACACAGCTCTGGGTTTGTCAGTGACACCAGAGTTTCATTTGTCCGACACAGAAATATTGTTCGGTATAATGATCTGCATCAAGACTGTGCCGGGCAATTTAAGACCAACATTACATAAAGGTTCCTTCTGCATGGGCCTGCTGGAGGCACGCAGAACGGCAAAAGTAAACATCGGTCAACTGAAGCTATGAAAAAACTCTAATTAACAATAATTCTGACACTTGCAATTAAGAGATTATATTTTAAATTAAGAATTTGCGATGTCCCATCTCTTTTGGGCCTTGTAAATATTGAAGAAATAACCCCTTCATGGTCACATGGAGCATAGCCCCTCTGTATACTTAAGAAGACTCTGTATTTTGTGTTTCAAATGTTTGTGTTTGGGTTTCGTGCCAAACATCACGCTCTCTAAGAGCAGACGTTTGGGACAGAGGATCCGAAAATTCAAGTTTCTGACCTGATATAATTCTAAATCTCAGTGTCAGAGGTTAAAGATGCCCATGTAGCATAATTCTTTTGTCCGCGTTCTAAAGCAAATAACTTAATATATCCTCATTTACATCAGTAAAAATTTTCTGCTCTGATGCTTCGCGGTCTGCTTGGATCGGTTCTGATACCAGTGGTTTTGCCCATCCCGCATAAAAAGGGTTTATCGCCATACCGGGATGGTATTATGCCAGTACGAATAGCGCGAGACTAAGAGTTCGGGCGTTGTTGGCTTATGCACTGGACCAGGTCGTTTTCTCAATTATATTTGAGGCTAAAGCTTAAAAATCATGTGAGTTGCCCTTGCAGTTCATCGCCAAAGAGAAAATCTGTTGTTAGGGGTGTTCGTGTCGAGCAAACGGCAACATATTTCCTCATTAGATAAGGTTTTATCAATCCAAATGCAAATTAAAGATCCATATTCAAAAGGCCATCTCATCAGCGTTGCCAGGTATAGCCAGTTATAGCCTAGAAACAGTCACCTGCTGACTTTCGTTAATATACCTTCTGAAAATTTACGATACCTGAAGATCGTGTGCCGTCACTCAACTTTCCCCAATCATTAAAGTTGACCTTGCCAACAAGCAGACAATTACAGTTTGCTGGCCGGTCAAACTTGTCTGATTTTTCGGACCAACTTTTTAGTGTTCGCGAGTCTCTCGCTCACTTTGCGCCGATATTACCCCAGCGAACCGGAAGTCCCGGTATTACCCCGGCGAATCGACAGTTCCGGTATTCCCCCGGCGAACCGGCAGTCGCGGTATCACCCCGGCGTACTGGCAGTACTAAGCGATTTTGCTCCATAAATGGTCGTTGTCTATGTCGCTGTCGACCTCTTTTCAGAACCGCGGAGAAAGCGTTTGAGGCCCGGGGCATAATTCGTATTTGGAACCATAATATTCTTTAAGAACCAAATTTGGAAATTTAGAGTGCAGCAGATGAGAGGCTCAGCGTGTGAGGCTCAGGCTTTGCTTTGAGGCTCCCCCTGCCCCTTCTGGGCGCTCCCTCCGGCGAATGAATTATCCTTTTGAATCCTTTTTGAAGGCCTCGTATTTTTTTTGAGAACATCTTTTTGTGCTATCATTGAGCATTTTGAACATGTTTGCCACATGTGCAGCTTCTGTCGTGTCCACATCGGCTTTAGCCGCAGGCGTAACCGGGGAGTCCCGTGTGGCAGTGAAGGAGTCCCGTGACAAAAATAATGTAACCATAGAATATTGATACTGCGTTATACAGTGTTTTCACGGTTCGAATTAAGTCCTAACTTCGTCCTTTAGTATGGTAAATACCAATAAAATACAAATATTAATTGTTTTCAGTATTACTTTGATGCGTCATAATCTAAGCAATGTAACAGAGTTTAATCCGTGAAAAAATATATTAGTTAAAATGGCGAATTAGTGAAACAAAGAGGGCCCACAAGTACGACTAACGGCAGAAGGCCCACAGCGGTTGCATCACGCTTCGGTTTAGCAGGCTTCTTTTTCATTGTAATCAAGCAATTCTTTCTCTTGATCGATTGCCCTATCGTGAACCTGAGTTGGTCATGAACAATCTACATCTATTTGATCACACCTCTGAAGTTGTAGCCTAACACCAACAGTCATATCGTTTCATATTTCTAGTCCATTCTAGATTGACACCATCCTTAAACCCAACCTATCGCAGGGCCAGGAAACGCTATAGTCAATTTTCAAACATAATTTGCGTCGGTCTATACTCTATACTTGCCAATTACATTTCTGACCTGTATAAGCGTTGTTTGTCTACACTTAACTCATTTCTTCCGTAGCAGCTTTGACATTGACCGTGACTGTTGGCGCAGGCGAAAGAAATGGCCTTCTTCGTTCGGTTTATTGTATCCAACACTTCGGTTCATTGGTAGTCGTGTGTAACGCTGGTGATGCTTGGATAAAGCTAGCGCACCTCTTCCCCATTTGATTTTTAATATCCACGTCGTCGGTTCAATTTTAATTTTCACGTCGTCATTATGGGGTGGGGTTGTCTCCTTTGTCGCAAAGTCTCAAGTGTCATTTTGTTAATTAATAATTAATACTTCGATACTAAAAATTAATAATCGGAATGAGCAAAATAAAATACGCACATTTTTAAATTATTCTAATCCGAGTTGTTTATTCTAAGAGACCAAAAGATAATAATAATATGGTAATTTTGAAACAGAAGATAATTTTAATCCAGGTGCACACGCCGCAGTATGAAATGTATAATATTCGCCAAAAACTCTTTGATCAACACACCCCACAAAAAGGTCTAACGGATAATCTCTTATCAAATTCCGACGAATAATCTCTTATCTAAATGGCTGTACCTATGATCACCGGAGGACTACCAGGCAGTATAGAGTAAATTTTAAGGAAATTGGAAGTATTGTCTTTATTTAAAATATGCAATTCTGCATCAACAAAACATAAACAACAACAATTAATTAAAAGCATTCAGTTCCTAAAAATTAAATATTTAAATTTCAGGCTTGGCATGTTCGTCAGCTCCATGCCTGAACGGAGGAAAATGTACAGCAAAAGGACGTTATTTTAAATGCACTTGTCGTCCTGGATTTAGAGGAAGAAGATGCCAGCTGAAACCAAAGGGTGATTATTCTAGAATTCTAATTGGAAAAGTACTATAGTTCAAGGCGAGGGAAAAAATTAAATTGATCAAAGGTGCAAAAAAGCGGCAAAACATTACACTGCTAGAATTAGAGCAGCCATTTGATAACAAGTCCTTTGCTTCGCTTGTTTATAGGATCACCATGCTTCAGGACTCCATGTCGAAATGGAGGAAAATGTACAGCAAAAGGACGTTATTTCAAATGCACTTGTCGTCCTGGATTTAGAGGAAGAAGATGCCAGCTGAAACCAAAGGGTAATTATTCTAGAATTCTAATTGGAGAAATACTTATAGTCCAAGGCAGTTGGCAAGGAAAAAAATTAAATTGATCAAAGGTGCAAAAAAGCGGCAAAACATTGCACTGCTAGAATTAGAGCAGCCATTTAATAACAGGTCCCTTGCTTCGCTTGTTTATAGGATCACCATGCTTCAGGACTCCATGTCGAAATGGAGGAAAATGTACAGCAAAAGGACGTTATTTTAAATGCACATGTCGTCCTGGATTTAGAGGAAGAAGATGCCAGCTGAAACCAAAGGGTAATTATTCTAGAATTCTAATTGGAGAAATACTTATAGTCCAAGGCGGTTGCCGAGGGAAAAAAATTAAATTGATCAAAGGTGCAAAAAAGCGGCAAAACATTACACTGCTAGAATTAGAGCAGCAGCCATCTAAGAGCAGGTCTTTTGCTTCGCTTGTTTATAGGATCACCATGCTTCAGGTCTCCATGTCGAAATGGAGGAAAATGTACAGCAAAAGGACGTTATTTCAAATGTACTTGTCGTCCTGGATTTAGAGGAAGAAGATGCGAGCTGAAACCAAAGGGTAACAAATTTATATATAGTCGCTATATATTTGGTACAATTGTGTAGCAAAAGCTGCTCATCTCGCACTTCTTTCTTTTCCCTGAGGTTCAAGCCGGTGTTGTTCACTTTAACAAGAGCTAGGGGTTACCACATGTAAACTTGATTTTTGTTGCAAAGAATTCTAATTGGCAAATTTTTACAGTCAAAGGCGGTTGGCTAGGGAAAAAAATTTACACAATAGGTGAAAATGGGGCAATTTGTAGAAACTGTAAAAATCGAAGCGTAAAATAACACATAGAATGGTTAAAACACAAATTTAAATATTGTAATTCTAATTCCAGCTCTGGCGGTATGCAGAGCAACAGGTGATCCTCACTACCGAACATTTGATGGAAAACGCTACGACTTTATGGGAAAATGTCAATATGTGTTAGCCAAAGACTCGAAAGAAACCTTCACAATTCTGCAAGATAACGAACCTTGTGGCAGAAGAAAAGCTACGTGCACGGATGCTGTAACAGTAAAGTTACAAGGAAAAACCATTCACCTGAGTAGAGGAGGAAAAGTATTAGTAAATGGTGAAAATGTCGCATTACCGTATAAAGATCAAGGTACCTAAAATTTATTTATGTAAATAATTCAAGATATACGTAATAACGACTGAGCGCCATGGTTCTATAAATCCCTTACAAATAATAGAGACCGAGACCACGGTTCTTGTAATAAAACAAAACTGCTATTGTATACGTGATTACAACGTTTCGTGAAAATGTGATGTGATTCGTAAGGAAAGAAATGGGACATTTACTAAGTCAAAATATGTATGACAAAATATAGTTGATGCAAGAAAACTAAATGCAGTCTATATGAAAAGTTATATAGCTCCATGCATGATGACATCTCCAAATGCGCATGTTAGTGTAGGTCAGATTGCTCTTAATATAAATGTTTAGAGATCATATATATACGGAAGCGTTTAAAAAGGTTGATTGCTGACTTTTAGGATATATTATCAGAGCTTTCATGAAACGTGGCATGAAGATCACGACAAAGATTGGATTAATAGTTGAATACGATGGTGTATTTAACGTTTTTGTGAAAGTTCCAAACATCTATATGGGAAAATTATCAGGACTTTGCGGCAACTTTAATGGCAAACGTAATGATGAGTTCAAGACACCAGAAAATGCACTTGTGAAGAACGTGATTACATTTGGAAATTCCTGGAAGACAGATGGCAGTTGTCCAAATGTCACAACTGTTGAAGACCATCCGTGTAAAAATAACATCAAACTTGCACAGAAAGCTAAACGAGAATGTTCAGCACTTACAAAACAACCTTTCTCAAAGTGCAATGGAATTGTAGATCCAAATGATGGTCGCATAGAAGAGTGTGAATACGATTTCTGCGCATGTGGAAGTAATCCCAGAGCATGTGTGTGTGAATCATTTGCTGCTTATGAAGAAGAATGCAACAATGCGGGAATTGAAATAAAGTGGAAACATCTTAAAAAGTTTGCAAAATGTGGTAAGTTAACATGAGGAAAGAAAATAACAAAAAATAAGTGTATCTAAGTCTGTTCTAAACTTGCAATTTCCATTAAAGAATCAGAGCTGGCCTAATGTTAATCAAATGGTGTAAAACACAGAAAAAATTAAAATATTTTTTTATGTTCGGTTGCTGAAATAGACGATGTTTTATTAGTAATACCAGGCTTTCCTGTTGAATAAAAAATTTTAGGCTCACCATGTTCGTCAGCTCCTTGTCGAAACGGAGGAAACTGCTCAACAGTAGGGAATTCTTTCAAATGCACTTGTCCTCCTAAATTTAAAGGAAAAATATGTCAGTGGAAAAAAAAAGGTAATCAAATGTTTTAATAGCATAAAATAGCTACTATTTAAGGCAGCTATTTCTCAGATTTTTTTCATCGTTAATTTTTGCAGACGGATACTGGGTATAGTCTGTTGTTAGACGGGCGTCATTTTGTAGAGTTTCAGCAACTAGTGGTTTGCAATATTTTTTTTTTAAATTGCCGGATTCAGCAACAACATAATACAAAATATAACGCGCATTTTGTTCATTAAATAATTTTAGGTTTGAGATGTTCGTCAGCTCCATGCCTGAACGGAGGAAAATGTAGAGAAAAAGGACGTTATTTTAAATGCACTTGTCGTCCTGGATTTAGAGGAAGAAGATGCCAGCTGAAACCAAAGGGTAATTATTCTAGAATTCTAATTTGAGAAATACTTATAGTCCAAGGCAGTTGGCGAGGGAAAAAATTAAATTGATCATTGGTGCAAAAAAAGCGGCAAAACATTACACTGCTAGAATTAGAGCAGCCATCTAAGAGCAGATCTTTTGCTTCGCTTGTTTATAGGATCACCATGCTTCAGGAGTCCATGTCGAAATGGAGGAAAATGTACAGCGAAAGGACGTTATTTTAAATGCACTTGTCGTCCTGGATTTAGAGGGAGAAGATGCCAGCTGAGACCAAAGGGTAATTACTTGAATTCTAATTGGAGAAATACTTATAGTCGAAGGCGGTTGCACTTGCTTAATAAAAACGCACTAGTGATTATTATTAAACACTCTCCTAATCTTTTTCACTTGAATTACTGACAAATTTTGTCCATGGCTCCACGTACCTATAATCACAGGAGGACTACTAGGCAGTATACAGTAAATCTTAAGGAGATTGGAAGTACATTGTCTTTATAATATGCAATTCTGCGTCAACAAAACATAAACATTTACAGCAATTAAAAGATTTTGCTAAAAATTAAATATTTAAATCTCAGGCTTGGCATGTTCGTCAGCTCCATGCCTGAACGGAGGAAAATGTACAGCGAAAGGACGTTATTTTAAATGCACTTGTCGTCCTGGATTTGGAGGAAGAAGATGTCAGCTGAAACCACAGGGTAATCGAATTTATTCGCTACATTTGGAAAATTAGTTATCTTGAACTTTTGATTATTTCAATGATAAAAGAGATGAAACTCAGGTCATTCCTGTGACTGACTTTTAATCAGAGGATTGCCAGTTTGCCACCATGCAGTATGTAAGTCGAAAGTGGCTGTCGCTTTCTATTTTAGGTAAAACTTAGTTTCTCAAACAATTAAGTATTAATTGAGGAATTATTACAACACATTAATTCAATGCATGCATAAGAAAATCATGAACATCTATTACATATTTATAATTGCCCAAAATAGTAACGCAAAACGGCGTACAATGTTTCATCATATAGTTAATATGAAGCGTGCATTAATAAATATCTTGGTAACGCCAAACAAAAAAAGCAATGTTGCTCGACGTCTAATCAGTAAAGTCTATAAACTGTGAAAATCGAAGCGTAAAATAATACATAGAATGGTTATAACAAAAATTAAAATATTGTAATTTTAATTTCAGCTCTAGCGGTATGCCGAGCAACAGGTGATCCTCACTACCGAACATTTGATGGAAAACGCTACGACTTTATGGGAAAATGTCAATATGTGTTAGCTAAAGACTCGAAAGAAACCTTTACAATTCTGCAAGATAACGAACCTTGTGGTAAAAGAAAAGCTACGTGCACCTATGCTATTACTGCAAAAATACAAGGAAAAACCATTTACATGAGTAGAGGAGGAAGTGTATTAGTAAATGGTGAAAATGTCACAATGCCGTATAAAGATAAAGGTACCTAAAATTTATTTATTTAAATAATTCAAAATGTACGTGCGTAATAACGACTGAGCGCCCTGGTTCTTTAAATCCCTTACATATAATATAGACAGAGAGAACAGTTCTTGTAATAAAACAAAACTGCTAAGAACAAATGTATACGTGAATATAACGTTTCGTGAAAATGTGATGTGATTCGTAAGGAAAGAAATGAGACATTTACTGAGTCAAAATATGTATGACAAAATATAGTTAATACAAGAATACTAAATGCAGTTCATATGAAAAGGTATGATGTATGTTGACATCATGTATGATGACATCTCCAAAATGCATGCGCATGTTAGTGTATGTCAGATTTCTCATAATATGAATGTTTAGAGATCATATACGGAAACGTTTAAAAAGGTTCATTGCTGACTTTTAGGATATATTATCGAAGCTTTCATGAAACGTGGCATGAAGATCACGACAAAGATTGGTTTAATAGTTGAATACGATGGTGTATTTAACGTTTTTGTGAAAGTTCGAAACATCTATAGGGGGAAATTATCAGGACTTTGCGGCAATTTTAATGGCAAACGTAATGATGAGTTCAAGACACCAGAAAATGCACTTGTGAAAAACGTAATTACATTTGGAAATTCCTGGAAGACGGATGGCAGTTGTCCAAATGTCACAACTGTTGAGGACCATCCGTGTAAAAATAACATCAAACGTGCCCTGAGAGCTAAACAAGAATGTTCAGCACTTACAAAAGAACCTTTCTTAAAGTGTAATGAAGTTGTAAATCCAAATGATGGTCCTATAGAAGAGTGTGAATATGATGTCTGCGCATGTGGAAGTAATCCCAAGGCGTGTGTGTGTGAATCATTTGCTGCTTATGAAGAAGAATGCAACAATGCGGGAATTGAAATAAAGTGGAAACATCTTAAAAAGTTTGCAAAATGTGGTAAGTTAACATGAGGAAAGGAATTCGCGAGTAAATAACACAAAATAAATGCAGCTAAGTCTGTTCTAAATTTGCAATTTCCATTAAAGAATAAGAATTCAGGCTAATCAGGGCTGGCCTAATGCTAATCAAATAGTGTAAAACAGAGAAAAAGTTAAAATATTTTTTTAACTTCGGCTGCTGAAATAGACGATATTTGATTAGCTCCGCAAACTAACGCGAGCCAATCATATTCGTGTAACACCAGGCTTTTCGTGTTGATTAAAAAATTCTAGGCTCACCATGTTCGTCAGCTCCTTGTCGAAACGGAGGAAACTGCTCAACAGAAGGGAATTCTTTTAAATGCACTTGTCCTCCTGAATTTAAAGGAAAAAGATGTCAGTGGAATAAAAAAGGTAATCAAATACAATTGTTTTAATAGAAAAAAACACTACTAAAAGGTAGCTATGTCCCAGATTTTCTTCATCGTAAAGTATTGACGACGGATACTGGTATAGTCTGTTGTTATACGGGCGTCATTTTGAAGAGTTTCAGCAACCAGTGGTTTGGTTTTGGTTTTTTTTAAATTGCCGCATTCTGGAACAGCATGAATCAAAATGTGCTCTTTTATTCAATAATTTTAGGCTCGACATGTTCGTCAGCTCCATGCCTGAATGGAGGCAAATGTACAGCAAAAGGACGTTATTTTAAATGCACTTGTCGTCTTGGATTTAGAGGAAGAAGATGCCAGCTGAAACCAAAGCGTAATTATTCTAGAATTCTAATTGGAGAAATACTTATAGTCCAACGCGGTTGGCAAGGAAAAAAATTAAATTGATCATAGGTGCAAATGCACTGCTAGAATCAGAGCAGCCATTTAATAACAGTTCCCTTGCTTCGCTTGTTTATAGGATCACCATGCTTCAGGATTCCATGTCGAAATGGAGGAAAATGTACAGCAAAAGGACGTTATTTTAAATGCACTTGTCGTCCTGGATTTAGAGGAAGAAGATGCCAGCTGAAACCAAAGCGTAATTATTTAAAATAATGCTTTGATTGTGCACTTGCTTAATCAAAACGCAATAGTGATTAATATTTTAAAAACAATTTCTGCTAATCTTTTTCACTTGCATTACTGACACATTTTGCCAATGGCTCCATCTATAATCACAGGAGGACTACCAGGCAGTATAGAGTAAATCTTAAGGAGATTGGAAGTATTGCCTTTATTGAAATATGCAATTCTGCACCGACAAAACATAAACAACAACAATTTAAAGCATTCAGTTCCTTAAAACTAAATATCTAAATTTTAGGCTTGGCATGTTCGTCAGACCCATGCCTGAACGGAGGAAAATGTACAGCAAAAGGACGTTACTTTAAATGCACTTGTCGTCCTGGATTTAGAGGAAGAAGATGCCAGCTGAAACCAAAGCGTAATTTTTCTAGAATTCTAATTGGCGAAATACTTATAGTCCAAGGCGGTTGCACTTGCTTAATCAAAACGCACTAGTGATTAATATTAAACACTCTCCTAATCTTTTTTAACAAAGATTAAAAGCATTTTGCTGAAAATTAAATATTTAAATTTCAGGCTTGGCATGTTCGTCAGCCCCATGCCTGAACGGAGGAAAATGTACAGCAAAAGGACGTTATTTCAAATGCACTTGTCGTCTTGGATTTAGAGGAAGAAGATGCCAGCTAAAACCAAAGGGTAATTATTCTAGAATTCTAATTGGAGAAATACTATAGTCCAAGGCGGTTGGCGAGGAAAAAAAATTAAATTGATCATAGGTGCAAATATACTGCTAGAATTAGAGCAGCCATTTAATAACAGTTCCTTTGCTTTTGCTTCGCTTGTTTATAGGATCACCATGCTTCAGGACTCCATGTCGAAATGGAGGAAAATGTACAGCAAAAGGACGTTATTTTAAATGCACTTGTCGTCCTGGATTTAGAGGGAGAAGATGCCAGCTGAAACCAAAGGGTGATTATTGTAGAATTCTAATTGGAGAAATACTTATAGTCCAAGGCGGTTGCACTTGCTTAATCAAAACGCACTAGTGATTAATATTAAACACTCTCCTAATCTTTTTTAACAAAGATTAAAAGCATTTCGCTGAAAATTAAATATTTAAATTTCAGGCTCGGCATGTTCGTCAGCTCCATGCCTGAATGGAGGAAAATGTACAGCGAAAGGACGTTATTTTAAATGCACTTGTCGTCCTGGATTTGGAGGAAGAAGATGCCAGCTGAAACCAAAGGGTAATCATTCTAAAATTCTAATTGGAAAAGTACTATAGTTCAAGGCGAAAGAAAAAATTAAATTGATCAAAGGTGCAAAAAAGCGGCAAAACATTGCACTGCTAGAATTAGAGCAGCCATTTAATAACAGGTCCTTTGCTTCGCTTGTTTATAGGATCACCATGCTTCAGGATTCCATGTCGAAATGGAGGAAAATGTACAGCAAAAGGAAAATCATTTAAATGCACGTGTCCTCAAGGATTTACAGGGAAAAGGTGTCAACTGAAGGCAAAAAGTAATGAAATATAATGCCTTTAATAATGAAAACGCACTAGTGATTAATATTAAACACTTTCTCCTAATCTTTTTCACTTGCATTACTGACAAATTTTGGCCATGGCTCCACCTATAATCACAGGAGGACTAACGGCCAGAATAGAGTAAATCTTCCGGAGATTGGAAGTATTGTCTTTATTGAAAATATGAAATTCTGCACCGACAAAACATAAACTAGAACGTTTAAAAGCATATTCCTAAAAATTAAATATCTAAATTTCAGTCTTGGCATGTTCGTCAGCTCCATGCCTGAACGGAGGAAAATGTACAGCAAAAGGACGTTACTTTAAATGCACTTGTCGTCTTGGATTTAGAGGAAGAAGATGCCAGCTGAAACCAAAGCGTAATTATTTATATAATGCTTTCGATAGTGCACTTGCTTAATCAAAACGCAATAGTGATTAATATTTTAAAAACACTTTCTCCTAATCTTTTTCACTTGCATTACTGACACATTTTGCCAATGGCTCCATCTATAATCACAGGAGGACTACAAGGCGGTATAGAGTAAATTTAAAGCATTCAGTTCCTAAAAATTAAATATTTAAATTTCAGGCCTGGCATGTTCGTCAGCCCCATGCCTGAACGGAGGAAAATGTACAGCGAAAGGACGTTATTTTAAATGCACTTGTCGTCTTGGATTTAGAGGGAGAAGATGCCAGCTGAAACCAAAGGGTGATTATTGTAGAATTCTAATTGGCGAAATACTTATAGTCCAAGGCGGTTGCACTTGCTTAATCAAAACGCACTAGTGATTAATATTAAACACTCTCCTAATCTTTTTTAACAAAGATTAAAAGCATTTTGCTGAAAATTAAATATTTAAATTTCAGGCTTGGCATGTTCGTCAGCTCCATGCCTGAATGGAGGAAAATGTACAGCAAAAGGACGTTATTTTAAATGCACTTGTCGTCTTGGATTTAGAGGAAGAAGATGCCAGCTGAAACCAAAGGGTAATTATTCTAGAAATCTAATTGGAGAAATACTATAGTCCAAGGCAGTTGGCGAGGAAAAAAAAAATTTAATTGATCATAGGTGCAAATATACTGCTAGAATTAGAGCAGCCATTTAATAACAGTTCCTTTGCTTTTGCTTCGCTTGTTTATAGGATCACCATGCTTCAGGATTCCATGTCGAAATGGAGGAAAATGTACAGCAAGAGGAAAATCATTTAAATGCACATGTCCTCAAGGATTTACAGGAAAAAGGTGTCAACTGAAGGCAAAAAGTAATTAAATATAATGCTTTTAATTTTAATAGTGCACTTGCTTAATAAAAACGCACTAGTGATTAATATTAAACACTTTCTCCTAATTTTTTTCAGGACTACCAGGCAGTATAGAGTAAATCTCAAGTCCTTTTCTTCACTTGTTTATAGGATCACCATGCTTCAGGATTCCATGTCAAAATGGAGGAAAATGTACAGTAAGAGGAAAATCGTTTAAATGCACCTGTCGTCCAGGGTTTAGAGGAAAAAGATGTCAGCTGAAGGCAAAAAGTAATTAAATATATATAAAGCTTTTAATTGCAAATTTAAGATATATATCAAAATGTAAGTTTATTATATGCATTGCAATTAATGATGGCATGAATATTTGTACTGGATGGTTGCATTCACTTAGAGGGAAATTAGAGAAAGATACTTACTCAGGTCATTTTAGGTTCACCATGTTCCACAGCTCCATGTCAAAATGGAGGAAAATGTATGAAAGCAAAAGGAAATTCATTTAAATGCACTTGTCCTCCTGGATTTAAAGGAAAAAGATGTCAACAGAAAGGTAATAAAATTCACATGTCCTAATTTAGCTACCAAAATATATTTGTTGGACGTACTATTCTTATTTTGAGTATTTATATTTAAAGATTGGTTTAAGGGGTTAATTCTGCTCAAAACAATGGGAAGCCACCTGGTTTAAAATTATAGCCCAATTAAATCACCAGTATGACTATGTGTGAATCTGCATTCATGAGCATTTTTTGCCATGTAGAGAAAGGACTCTAATTCTCTAAACATTGTCCTACATTGTTCCCAGGCTTCTATCCTCTGGACTCCTGTTCTTAGCTTGTCATTAATATGAATATCTGGGGCACATTTAATACAGGACTGAATAGCCAAACTGTTTATTTCTTATATTTAAAAATCAAAATATACAGAAAAATTAAATCCCGGACTTGGCAATGTAGTGTACCCCAAAGTCAATGATAAGCCAGTTTGGATTAATTGATGGAACCGTGGAACACATTGTATAAATGTTATTTAATTGTTTTATATGCACCCAATGCACCCAAAATCATGCATAGTATTCCTGCACGTTTGACGTTTCAGTGTTGAAAAATTGTTTACCTTACTTGGCTTGATTATTTTAACGGTTCACAGCTTACAATTTATTGAAATCGTGAAACACGGCTCGGAAATCGAAAATATACAAAATCCCCAAATTAGTAATTTACTGGCCAAATGACCAAAATCCTGGATTTGACCGCGCAGAAAACTGGAACGACAGCTCACAGCTTCAGCTTTCAGGGGCCAGTTGTATGAAAGCTGGATAGCGCTATCAACCGGTTAGTGATTTTTTCAACCGTTCTAAAAATGCTCGAAAAGCGATCAAATTTGATTTTTGGAACCAACAATGATTAAAGAAGATCCTCGATTTAGGAATACTAAGATTTAATCAGAGTTATAGCTAACAACGAGCGATTTTAAAGCGATTCAAAAAAACACTAAAAACACTGTCCGGTGGATAGCGCTATCCGGCTTTCATACAACCGCAGTTGATATAATATACATGGTTTGGATACTAAATTAAGTACAATACAACTCATTAACTATGTTATTGTCCAGGTGTATGCAAAAAATGGTTCCTTTCTCGTCACGTGTCTATTGTATTTTAGCCAAACTTACCAATGGCATTCGTCTTGCTGAAAGGAACAATTTTTTGCATAAAGCTACCTCAACATAGTTATTAGTTAATGAGTTGTATTGTAGTTTTATATGTGATCTCCAAACCATGTATATTCTATTAATTCTTGATTCGGCCGGTCGTAGCTTTTAACCCGATGGTGAGCCGTTATCTTTTCGCTTGTTGTTAAATTGAAATTATATAAGGGAGCGGTCATAAAGTAACTGCTAGGGTGGGCCGGAGGAAATAAAGATGGGCCATGAAATTATTTTCATTAGTTTGGGTGGGCCATCAATTACTTTTTGTGAAAATGGATGGGCCATGAAACAAAATACAGCCTGTTTGCACTCAATACATACTATAAGCGACGCTGCATGGTTGGTTTGATCAAAGTGATAGACACGCTGTACATTAACATATATAGCAGGATGGGTCATGAAACTTTTCCAATGACTTATGATGGGCTTTTAGATCTTTTCTAGATTTTCAGGATGGGCCACCGAATTTTTTTAGGAAAACAGATTTTTCCCTCCGGCCCACCCTAGCAGTTACTTTATGACCGCTCCCTAACAAAGAATGAAAAACTCTACTTGGTCAGAAACTGTTCACTTTAAGACACTTGAGAGCAAGTTTTTTACAAAAAGTAATGCCTAGCTCAAGTTCGCCGTTTTTTGGCCAACTATCAGTTGTTCAGTTGTTATTGGGATTTTTTAGCTGTCTGATATTTTCAATTATATTTTTAGTTCGAAGACTTCGCCCTTGGTCGTAAAGTTCCCGCGTGAATAACATGTACTTGATGAGATAGAAATATTATACGCAAGAACTAAATAGAAATTAGTGGCGTCGCCATAGATAAGTGGGGTGGAGATATTCATACACTCATGTTCACAGACCGGTAAAACGATCAATTTGAAAAGAAATGAATAATGTAAAACACGAATATATGAAAAAGTCCCCCCCCACTTACCAGGCTGGCGAAGCCACTGATAGAAATATAATAATGTCATACTGATGAAAATAGTAAAATGAGATCGTCATAATTGATATTCTGTATGTTAAAGAATTAAGTAGAAATAGATATACAATAATCGATACCTTGATTGCATTACGTTGATGGGGCTGGGTACGATCCGTAATAAATATCGATCAAGCAAATTTGAAAAATTCTTGAAGAAAGTAATGAGAAGGACTACGGTGCGCAGATGCAGAACCCCCTTTGAATCTCGCTTTAAATAACTTGGAAATATCGAGTGTCAAAAGCCATACAGAAATGTCGGGCAGGAGTCAGGACTGAAATTTTGCAATTAGTAGTTTCACTTTTTACATCTATAATGTGGTCTAAAACTGGAAAGGTATTTTGTAACCGAATTAATTGATCACCCATCATCGGAGAAAGTAACGTTAACAGATGTTGTCATATTAGGACGTCATTAAAATTAACGTATTTCTGGGTTTTTCTAATTTCGTACTCAGGCCTTCTTTACATTAATTTTCATGTAAAATTTTTTTAGCAATGTAGCAAACATTTGAAACGCTTTATAGAGTTTGGAATGCCAGATCCTGACATCCTATATAAACTGTGGCATTAAATTCAATCTGCGAAGTATTATTGCATGTTTGCAGCATCGTGTATAATATGTCTATATGCCCCTTTCATTCGTCGTATGAATTAAGTTGATCACTCCATTGTTATTCCCTGGCAGCAAAAAGACTATTTATGTTTGGACTAACTCTCATCTGCTTTTTCAATTTCCAATTATGAAACTACTCTTTCTCTTAAATTATCGAACTGGAAACTATCAAAGAAACTTCTCTTTGTTTCTAAATCTAAAAAGAAACAAAAATTAATCAACTTGACCTAATGGGCTATGCCTATGAATACAAAATTGTTTCCTCGAGTGCGAGAGTAATGAGTTCCCCTATTAAAATAAATTAAACCCGGAACACCCACTCTATATTCATGTGCATGTGATAGTATAAAAATCAAGGCTGAGCGTAAATACAAAACAGACTACATTTACTGATTTCGTGGGTTTCAGTCCTGCTACCAGTTTCAGTGATTTACTATACATAAAATATGGTTAACAGCTCAGAAAACGTTGACCCAACAGTAACGTATTGGGTGCATAAATGGAATTACGTTTCAATGCCTTTTGAGATTGCTGTTACAACTTCCGTTTTCAGTGCACTTTTTGGTGTCTTCGGGGGATTTGCCAACGGTTTGGTTCTGTACGTTATATTTCAAATTAGAAGATTCCAAGAACGGGACAATCTCGATATACTTGTTCTAAGTTTGTGCTTTTCAGATTTTCTATCCAGTGTTGTTGTTCAGCCAGTTTTAATAACACGTCTACTTTCACAGTCTCATGTATCCAAATTCCACTCACTGCTTATCCACACTTCAACACATTTCACTCTTGTCTTGGGGTCTCTAAGTCTTCTCTCCATAACCTTCAGCAGATATTTGTCTATCAAATTTCCGTTTTACTACGCCAATCACGTCACTGAAACAAAGATATGGCTTTGCCTATTAACAGTCTTTTCTGCTACTGCTGGGATAATTGTTTGGATTTTTATCGATGGCCAAAACGAATCTGCAACATTTCCTATCATAATCAGTACTATATTTGGTCTCACAATATTTTTCCAAATCAATATATTTACGATTATCCATGCCCAAAATCGTAATATGCGTCGACAAGTCATGGCAGTTGAACATAACCAAGGACAAGGCGAAAGTGAAACTTCGTACATGACGAGAAGAACCAACGCGCAGCGTTCAAAGACAAACAAAACAATCCTATATATTTGTGCAGTTTTTATCTTAACATGGCTACCTTCGGTTATATTTCGTGTTGACTTTCTCTTTCATGGAAATCTTACATTCTACATACAATGGCTCCACATTTTTAACATAATCATTCAAATCCATTGCTGCATTAATCCTTGGCTTTATGTATTACGTACTACCCGCATCAAAAATTTTTTGATGCGAATTTACCACCGAGAGTAAAGAGACCATGCATGTATGTACATACAACTATATGAACAAGTAACTATTTGCAGAGAGTAAGCCATCTGGATGATAGCAAATATTTAATTTAAGAGATATCGTATAGTCGTATTCGAATTAATTTTAAAGTCCTTCAATATATATATCACTGATAATTATATACTGATTTCATGTAAAAATATATTATCACAAAATTGTCGTGTGATCTGGTTATTAGTTCGTATATACTGCTTGGAATGCTTAAGTAAATGTTGGCAATTTCATGCTAGCAAACTGAATTTGTAGGCAATCTATTTCTCGACGACAGGCCGACGTAATATGCATTCTCGCTGTCCCCTCAATTTTACACCTCTGTCGCTAATAAAAGATTTACTTGGGAAAGCATGAAAAACTCAAGGCCAAGGGAAAACTTGCAGGAGGAGGACAAAGAGAGTAATTTGGCTCAGGCCCCAGCTTTTTTTGAGACACTTAATCCAAAAAGGGTATCTGCTGGACTCTGAATTTTAAAATTTACTTTGGGTTTGATTTTGGGTTTACTTAATATTTCCTTCCAAACTCATTGAAAGTGATGATGGATATGCATAGTTTTTTTAGTTGTATTTGGGACTGGTTTCACGACGTACTCATTTTTACACCCAGGCAACATGCACACCCAGCAAAATAATACCAAGCAAATATACAACAGTAAGAAAATCGAAAACGTTGACGTTTCACGGATTCATGATTTTCAGTTACCCATGCATGCATTAATCTGATTTCTGAAGTCAAGATAAAACTGTGAATAACGACTCAACAATTTGTACTTGACATCTTTATTACAAATACTTTCGTGCCACTGTCACTGATGTGGCACTCATCAGATAAATTTAAATCAGCCTATTATATACATGCCAAGTCAGTACAAATTGTTGAGTCGTCAAGATATTGTGCCCCGCAGTCGGCAAATTGATATTGCATTTGGTCTTGCATGGATACCGTTTTTTCTTTCAACCTAGTTTCAGGCAACCTCCACTAATAAAATAAATAATAATCTGATAAGAAGAATACTAGCTTATTTGCCCCAATGTTAATGATTTCCAAGGAGAACTATTCTTGTAACGTTGTGAAAAGATAAAGCATGACAGTTATATTTGATTCAAATGTCAATTTTGATTTTTCAAGGCTTTTTGTTGTATATATGATTTATTAAAAGTGTGAAGAAAACTTTTTCACGCCAAAATTAAGCAATTTACCCGGATGTGCGGAAATTACATGCATATTGATCGTGAATTGCATGCTTATTGGCTTATTGCATGCAACTTTTTGATTGAATTTTACTGCAGCAATTTGTATTCAAGGCAATCTTGACTATATATTAACAGGAACTTCACAGATAACACTTAATCGTGACAAATAGATTTTCATGGATTTATTAAGACGTTCCAATTCCAACGCGTTAAAAGCACGATATGTTGCTGATGTTTGCCGGTTGATACATGAAACGTAAAGTAGTAACTTTTTATTAACTAATAACTATAACTAATTGGAATAAAAAATATAAAAATGCAATGAAGTAAATGATTCAACAAGTTTCACTAGGCAAATTAATACTTTCGTACCACGCACAAATTGAATAATGAATATAGATCAAATAATTTGATATTGCTATAGCTATATACGATGAAATTATTTTTCAATTTCCATGCAACACAAGTTAATTACTTTAAATATAGTTATTACTTTAAATGGTTATATATCAATGAATTCAGTAACAGTGCATGCAATCTTTGTAATAGTATATCATTATGTATATTCGCGTCTCCTGCCTGCATATATGAATGACACGGTTACAATCAACGACTCTGTCTCTAATTGATTTACTTGTATTTACTTTACTTATTTACTAAAGTAAGCAGATATGGCAAGTACAACAATTTCACCAAGCACCAATGCACTGGCCGCAACGTTGTTTTGGAGCAGAAAGTGGCCTGATACTAGAATGTCATTCGAAGTTACTGTTGTTGCATCAATAGTGAGTGGCATTCTTGCCCTAGTTGGTGGGATCTCCAACGCAGTTTTGATATACCTAATATACGAAATAAGAAGAAACCATGAAAAAAAGATCGTGGACATACTTGTTTTAAGTTTGTGCGTCTCTGACTTCATGTCCAGTGTTGCCGTCCAGCCGCTCTTGATTAATCACATACTCTCTCCCAGAGCAAACATCAGCCTTCTGCAATTACTAATGCTTCAAATGCTTTCACATTGTACGTTATTGTCAGGCAGTCTCGGACTGTTTATAGTAACTTTGGAGCGATTTGTAAATATACGATTTCCATTTTTCTATCATAACAACGACACTGACGTAACGGTGTATCTTTCCTTGGCTTTTGTTTGGGTCACCACGTTTCTGCTAGGAGTGTGGGTTATCCTCGATCCTGAAGGAGAGTCGAAAGGTTTCCCGATCTTGACTAGCGCTGCATTCTCAATTACAATTCTTCTTCAAATAATGATATTCATGATTGTCCACAATCAGAATCGCAACATCCGTCGACAAATCGTGGCAGTTCAGCACAACAATCAACCCAACCCAAACGACATGGCCAGTCAAACAAATGCCCACCGTTTAAAGACAAACAGAACCATCCTCTATATATGCGTTGTTTTCATCGCGGCCTGGCTTCCGTCGATCCTCTTTCGTCTGTATTATGCTGTCAGTGGGAATGGCACTACCTTTTTAAAATGGGTGGCGGTTTTCCGAATAATAATTCAAGTTCACTCCTGCATCAATCCTTTTATTTATTCATTGCGAACTGAGCGCATGAAACGAGCTTTACTTCGACGTTTAGGCCTTTTTGGACACTTATCGTAAATCGCAATAACCAATCATTGTATTAGCATATATGGCTACATTTATTGTATTCATTTGAAATTGCAAATCTCCATTATCATGACGCTTCGAGCATCGAACTCTTGCAACCTCATCTTCTTTGGTTTAGAATGGGGCGGTCATTCTTGATGTATGCATGCCATTGGCCCATTGAACTGTATACTTTGAACTATAAACTTCTATTAATGTAAATAGCTAAGTTAGCTACTCTTGTGCTTTATTTGCAAAATCATAGTAAATCGTCTTTAAAATATTTTCTTCTCTTTATTTTGTAGTTTTAAAATCCCTCAGACGCGCTATAGCAGCTTGCACACCTTACATGCATTTACACCGAAAATCTGCCGAAGTGAAATGACATTCCACATAAATCGTAGAGATATACCATATCCAAAGAATATAAATACAGATCTCCGAGTTCAATTGCAATAAAATGAATAATTTATCTTCTTATACTGTATTTTCACGTCGTTTATCTGTAAAACAAATATGGACATCCAGTCTCCCTACACATTTTTATTCCCTTTTTCCTTTACATTTTTCATTTCTAGGCCTGGGGGCTTTTTTACCTTACTACCTTGGGTAGAACATATCATTTTAGTAAATCGTTTGTTTCTCAAACTACTACAAACTTCTTCAAGAATGATCAACGGGTAAAAAAACTGTAAACTGTCATTATTTGTGAAATGCTTCTTCTATTTGTTAAATGCGATATGAGAACGTAAAAAACGTCGGATACGAGTGTAACCGGGCTCGTAGGGCGAGTCCGCACAAAATAACCAACGTGTGATATTTCTTTTCATTACGGAACTATAGAAAGCGAGGTTAGTAGCTAAATAGTTGGCTTTTTTGCTGAACAAAATATGACACTTAACAGGTATTTTTGTTCGCGATTCGCAACTCGCAAGTGCTTCGCTGACTTATTGACTTCGCTGACGCTCACTAAGCACTGCTTGTGACATTAGGCAGGAAAAATTTGCCTTATGTTCTTTAATTAGTGAGGGTGCTTATTATCGGGATTTAAGAAGTTATTGCAATAAAGCAATTCATATATAATTGGTCTGGTATTGGCAGCACACAATAAATTCAAATTTAAATCGCCTACTCAAAAACTAATTTCCGTCACTGCCAGACCAGGTGGCAAAGTGTTGGTTGGTAGTACACGCTTTAGACAGGTGAAACGCAATTGGACATTACAAGTAGAAAATAGAATAAAGAAAAATTAATCAAAATTGGTTTTAGAACATGTTAACATATTGGTAAATCATCAATTTATTTCATATGCTTGCTCAGTTACACTTTGTTACGACTTGTTATCTTCAGCATGAACAATCTAAAAACCCAACATATAATGTTGTATCAATAGTTGTTGATAATATATTATAATACTGCCCATTTTTTATCAGAAAATAAAGGTAGGGACTTTAAAATAGGCAATATTTTAAACAATAATGCTGTACAGCATCGAAACGTTGTGAAATAATAAATTTTATATCGCTTTTATTTGTGTCAAAACTTTATTCAAAGAGCTTACTGTTTAATAACAATTTAGTATATTAAATTTCTCCACTTACTTGGCCTGCAATAAGATCTAGATCTTTCCGTCCTTGAGGGGTAATTTTTCGTCCACTAAAATAGATTTCAGTTAACATAACTTCAACAAAAATCACAATTGTGCCTAACTGTTGTTGTCTCATACAAGCACGTTTTGTAAAGGTTCTATAAATCAACCAGAGATATCTTGAGATATCTCACAGCGCTAGCTATGCAATATCTGTTTGAAGTTTCAAATAGTTTTTAAACCTGGGAAAGTGAGGTTGGGCTAAGTAGATAAATTATCCAAAATACATACATACATACATGGGGTTCCAATGAGCAGCTGCTAACTGTGAAAGGGTCTACCCTAAATCTAGATACTAGGTCTACTCCAAAACTAAAACTATCATAGAGCAAGTGAAGTAAACACTGCAAAAAAGTTTACCAGATTCTTATAGGGAAGTAAAATGACAAAAATAAATGACAAAGTTACCCATTTGGATGTTGCTCAATTAAATTTAGTTGTTCCAAAGACTGTAACACCTTTCGTGCCACTGAAGATGATGCCTTCTCAAAGTGACATGGTTTTGACCCTCTTCGTTTCCGTCCTAATTCACAAGTAGAGAATGCACACGAATCACTAAGAGAAGCTAAAAATTCCACAGGCTTTTTCTTACTTTGGGGAATGATACAGAATGTACTGGGATTTTTAACTAGATCTTAACTAAGACCATGCCAATATATGCAGCGCATGCTTCTATCTATAAATGTAATGCCAGCATTGATATCAACCTGCCAGAGAAAGTACCACAAAGAATATTACCTCCATAGACCTTTGTGAGGGCTCCAACCCCAACACCACCTCTTAAGTAAACATGGCGAAGTATGGAAGCTATCATAAAGGTCAAACAAGAACATATCAGTTAAACTCGTCAGTTGCAAAATTGAAAGATTTATCATGACAACTAAAAAAGAGCTATATTTCATCTACCAGCTGATGTTTACCTACCTGCTCTTGTATAGAACCAGTCAGGATCATAAGGGGCAAGTTCCTTCCTTTTTGCTGTTTTAACAAGATCAACCCAATCAGGAACTTTCAGTTTACCTTGTCTAAAAGTAAACATAAATATTATATGCAAAGTTGAAGATCTGAAGAATACTGTCAAGTTGACATTGGTCTTATGACTCTTATCTAAGTAAATTTGCAAATTTTAGTCCTTTTTGTGTATTCATGCCAAAAAATGTCACATTTTCATCCCTGCACCATTTGCAAAGGATGCATTTTGTATGGGCAGTTTTTGACACTATCTGCAGGGAATACCTCAGAGTCATCTTCATGTTTATTGCATCAGCACCATCTATCATGATCTCTTACTCAGTATGTACCCTTGTGGAAGTCATATATAATTTGCACAAACCACTTCTGAATATTTCCAGAGAGTGACCACTTTCATTTGGGGTAATTTCTGAGTGACCAGTCATGATAAAAATTAATAGAGATAGCTCTGTGGGTACCCCTCTAGGGACACATACCCCTTTGCAAATTCTGATTGCAAAAGAAATAAAGTAAAACTTTCTGTAGTCTGGTGTCCAAATTATCACAATTATTGTAGATAATTATTGCAATTCTGAACCCCGGCAAACATTATAAAGGTTCAGGGACCATAATTAGTATGTAGAAACTATGCTTCTAGTCAAATAACAGTCACTTTTTTTTACCCTGACCTAAATATTTATTAATAAAATTTAACCATAAGTATCAGGCTGGTTAAGAATATTTAAAAGCATATCAGAAAATATTTGTGCACAACCGATTTGCCTTCGCAAATACCATAAATTCCCATCGCATAAATAAAAATAATTGCTAGTCCACGATTAGTTATTTTGCCGATACAGCCACAATAAAGGAGAAAATATAGTAACCTTTTTAAATGGGCTGAAAAAGCCTTAACAAAGTCATGTGGATTTACGTCTTTTACTGTCACTCCGTGACCGTGTCCAGTCGACATCTAAAAATGTTTTCAGGTGTTAGCTTTTATCTAAAACGAAGTATTTTCGATATGAAATAGGCACGTGTATGAAAAATACACCGCCATTTACCTTGAACGTGAAGGAAAAGAATGATCGAGGGGAGGACGAGAAATGACATAAGGGGTTTTGTCGTAACCAGCCCCCCACAATTTCTCACACGAATCAGCCTCTCTGGGTACAAGATCGAGTGCAATGGCCTCTTTTCCACCCGTTTGTTAGGACGTTTTTCTCTCGAGTCAGTTTCATCCACAAAGACCTCATAATCAAATCATGAATGTCACGGGACACCAATGACCTAGGACTATGGAACCGTTCACAAAAAATGAACGGGTGCAGCACCGTCTAATATAGTACCCGATTTACCATGATTTACCTGTATGACCGACATGGTCATACATGTAAAGGCAGCGAAATATTTTTTTAGTCCGTCCAACTATATTGGAGCAGCTTTTGTTAAAAATATACATACATGGTCACACTTAACTTTTTCTGTGCTCGGCCTTGGTGGCCTGTGCACGCCTGCACGGATACCAACGGTAACAGGTGCCAATTTTAGCCATGCCGGGCCTGTGCTAATAAATCAAGTGTGGTGTAAACTGTGTAAACGGGGCTTTCATTAAACTGACTCTAGTTCACTCATACCCAACCACCATCCTAATCCTGGGTTAATTTAACCTAGTGAGTTAACTATCCTTTGAACCACTTGTCCAACTTCTATATAAATATAACTAGACTTGGGACAAGTTAGATTAGTGCGGGATACACAGGTACTTCTGATGAAGAGGACTGAGGAATAGCTACTATTGGAAGATTACTATTATTGAAAGATATCTACTAGTAATGAGTGACTATTAATGTCATTTTCTTTTGACCTCCCTACAAGAGAAATCGTCCTGTGTCATGTTGTCATGCACGGCATTTGTTTTCGACAAACCAGTTTTGGGCGCATGTTAGTTCAGGGTTAGAACTAACGATTGGCCTAGCTTCGAAAAACTGGCTCTGGGGCAAAGGGAATTTGATATTACACCTGAAGTATTATATATCCTAAGAGGGTATCATTTTATTAAATTTTACAAGAGTTGCAGTCAGTTCAATAACTTCAATTCACTGGTTTAAAATGGAAAAACGAAAAACAAAAAGCTGCTAAAATATTTTTAATTAAAAACACTTTAAAATAGCAGAATTTACTTCCTGTACAAAATACAATACATATACAAATATTAAAATTCGGTAAGTCCACAAAATATCCACATCTCATGATTTTCATTTAGGTGTACACCTAGTGAAAACTTACGAGGAATTGGCCATTTGGGAAAGGTAACCAAAGCCAACCATATAGATTAAACAAAAAACAGCATTTGTAATGTACTCAAAAGATAACGACAGTACTGTTAGTATATGATTAGTACACATGTGTTTAGTATAGACAAATACAGGGAAGCTAAGGAAAAAACTGGATGTGAACTTGAAACATATTTCTTTGTTGTGCTATTATTATCGTCCAACTCTCATTAAGAGAACAAAGCAATGAAACAAATTTTCTCTTGGTTTAAAAAAATTCCCTGGCCATTTGGGTGAAAGATCCAGAGATGTAGATGTTTCAGAAAATAATGAGATCAGATTACTCTTTCAAATCACATTATTTGGCACACAAAAGCTGACTAAAAATTACTACTTACAATTTGTGCATATATTGTACTATATATTGATGACAATACTAGTGTTTTTGTTTCACTAAAACCAATAAACAATATCAAGTCAATCAAATACCTAGGGTGGATTTGTGGCAAATGCTTGAAGGTTACCCATCTGACTAAGTCCTGATTGAATATGTGCAATATGAATTTCTACATTGTTTTGAAAAGAACTTACATTGGTTGAATCTACTGACTTCTTTAACTCTTGTACACTGTCAACTAAACTTTTAAATTCAAAGGAATTTAAGTCACTCTCAGCAAGCATTTTCACCTGAAGTAACAAAGCTGTGAGACTCGCAATTAATTGCAGCATAGAAGCATTCTCTACATCATGATCAGCATCACCTGATAAACGCTCAACCATCAACTTTGCCTGTTTCTCACATGATCCCTGTAGCCCATCTGACTGATCTAAACTTGCAACACCCTGGACAGAATTAATGTTTTGACAATATTCCTCCACTTCCTTTAAATAATTGTTCAAATCAGTGTTGAGTCTCTCAAGTTCAAGGACAACCTCTGCATATTTCTTCTGAAAATCTCGTTCAATGGGTATTTGGTACGATTTTAGTTTCTCCGCTTCACTATTCAATTGTTTCAATTTATCAACAAATTCTCTTTTCAGAGTTAAAACCTTAGACAATCTAGTTACAAGAGCAAGAAACTTAATTGGAAAACCACCAACTGTGGTATCTCCTTTGTCAAGAACTTCTTGTAGCTGAACACGTGTTGGTGAATTGCTCAGTAATGGATCACCAACTGCAGACAGTTTTCGGCGCACAGAGCTAAACGTTGGCACATTGGCAAGCTTTGGGCGTTCCTTCAATGCAAATGCTGAAATAGGCATGGTTTCTTCACACTCATTACTTTGAATGTCAATATCCATAATCGAATGGGTTCCAAGCTCTGGAATATCAAATCTTACTCTGTATGTAGATGCAGTACTATCAACAGCATCAATCTGCCCTGTAAATATACCACTCTGTGGTTCGTGCAGCCTTGCAGAAACTTTAGTACCAATCACAAGTGGTACTGGAATCTCTTTTGGAAGATCTTTGAACTTTGCTAACTCTGTAACTTTTCTTTGTTGAAGAAGCCGAATTTTCTGCCTTTTGTCCTCTAAAGCACTTCTTTCCTCGTTAAAAAAGGACTGTGAACATCTCCTTGGCTTACCCATTAGTCTTCTCAATTCTCTCCACTCAACTCTACGAAGATTTTTAGCATTTAAGTTTGGAAAATGCTCTCTAAGACAGACGCAGAAGTCATTATCAGTAAGAAACAACGACTTATCAATACTGGAATAAAACCATTCAAAATAACACCATTTGAAAGCTTTTGGTAACTTCAATAAATTCCGTAATTTTGACATCAAACTCGCCGCTGTTTTCTTTGTTGGGGAACCTTTAATGGACGTATTTTGTAATTTTATCGGTTTTCTAGCTTTTCGACGAGGTGAGCCAAATGATGCTTGTGCAATGGCGTTATCGGAGAAGTTAGGAAAGTGCAAAACATCGTCTGTTTGTATTTCATCATCTCCATGCGAGTTCCGTAGCGAAGGCTGATTTCCTCTTAAACTAACTAGGGCTTGCGCAGAAAATTCCATTGCGACAGAATCATCACTTTCCATCTTGTTGCCAAGATAAACATTAAGTTATTTTCTCAACAAGTAGACATATTAAACAATACAACATTCACAAATTGTAAGACCCTTTACGCCTTTTGTGTGAAAATTTTAAAGATGGCGGTATCAATGACGGGCGAGATCCTGGTCATGCGCAAAACAAACATGACGCGTGACGTGAAAAAAATAGGTACGCTAAGCGTTCCCTCACATTTTACTATTTGTGGAAATTTGTGGTCTTACACAAAACAAAATTTGAGAAGTAAGGAAGATAAACAAATTTTGTTAAAAGGCTCTATAAGAAGTTTAAATTTCCTCTTCAACAAAACAGAAATAATTTTTATCGCCACATCCCTTTAATTAAATTTATATAAAGTTATAATATTCTTGATCATTCGTCTTTTCTCAAGTGGTAGCAGATTGAGACGCACATGTCTGACACTCTGTACACGACATTGCGGTCGGGTACTTCATTATAAATTTGGTTTCTCGTCGTTCTACGTCTTCGACCAATGCCTGATGTTTAGTTGTGAAGGCCGAATGGTGACAATACGCTAGAGCATACTCTAGAGTATGCAATACTTTCAGGTCTCACTTGTACAGTAAAGCAACCTCCAGGTGGTGACATCATCAACATCACAACATATTCTTTTTACCAGCCCCAACGTTCTGCTTGCTTTCGCGGTGATCTCCTCAATATGTCTTGCCTACTGCACTAGATAGACGCAGTCACACCGAGGTCCTTGATGTTAAGCACGCATCGACGCATTCAAGCAAATGACTGTCAATGTGGGGGAGAACATGGGGCTAGGCGAATTCTTTTTGGAGATGTGGAGGCACTTGCACTTCAACGAATTGAAGATTTTATTAGTTAAATGAAAAATTCTTTCTGACGTTGAAGAAGGACGCTTTGCACATAGCTCGTGAGAGTAAAACTTGAAATCTGTTTTATTCAAGGTGGCTCTAAACTGGAAACGATAAAGTTGTGACGTATTACCGGAGTCCGGAAAGGTGTATTAAGACCTGCTTGGCATGGTCTACTCAACCTATTTCGGCTATTTGGCACTGAGTATGTATTCTGTGGCAGTTGGCACGACTCACAGTCAGTAGTGACCACTGATAGTGACGGTGGCACAGTTCAGATCCACGACAAAAATTAGAAGTAAACAGGGAAAAAAAGTAGTCTTGCGCCCTTGCCTGGGTCGGGTTTTGGCTTTTTGCTTCTGTTTGATATTGTAAAACCGTTGAGTATTTCCCACTTGAATGGTGACGCAAATCGTTGTGATATATTTCATCTACTTGATTGGATGACGTAAATCGTTGAACTTTGTACTTATGCATTCTCATGCATATCTAATTAAGTACCGGTACAATAAGAAAATATAAATAGAGAAGTAAAAAAATTATATTGAACATAGACAACGGAGAGCCGAGATGGACCACCTTAACAGTTCGAAGAAGACGGAGATTATTTTAAACTTGTCTTGCCAGGATGTTCATGTCTTTCCTACAAACACAAATTCACAAATACAGCCGTACATGTGTACTCATCTGGACCTAAGTGGAAATCATCTAAAACACGTATCAGACGACGAAATATGGCATTTTCTCAACTTGACTACTCTCGATCTCTCCTCAAATCAACTAGAATATCTTCCGTACGGATTATGTAACCTTTCACAACTAAAAGTATTGCTTGTTAGAAATAATGTTCTCCGTGAGTTGCCTCAATCGGCCCAATGTATAACCTCGTTAGAAATATTGAATATCAGTGGTAATGAACTGGATCAGTTTCCAATGCAAGTACTACATTTACCACGATTAAAACAACTTCATCTTGGGGGGAATCGAATTCCTTATATACCAAAGGAGATCAGCCAAATGACAAGGTAATAAATAATATATAAAACGTGTTCGAAATTTACAATCATTCTATGATTTTAATATTGATATATACATCATAGTGATCATACCTTCATTACTCAGCGAAACATGTAATGTCGCCGACCGTTGGGATAATTAAAATAAGCCACAAAATCGTATTTGCAGCAAAGTTGGCCATATTATCGTTTTTTTATTCGGAACATGGTAACATTATGCTCTGTTTCTCAAATATGGCACAGTCATTACAATGTGAACAAAACGGCTAGCTCAATAATTTCGGCTGACGGGGTACATACCAGCTACTACATGATGACTTAGCAGTAGAAATTCTGACTTGGCTTGTTTTCACATAACTCATCATTATTATTACATCACAAGCCTCCTCCTCCTTTTGAAAGTTTACAAACATTTTCGGCCAAAATAATCCTCTTTTAATACTCATATAAAAGAATGACAACTTGATACCCTATCCTACCCCATCATTTATTTCATTATTTAATTAATGGCAGGAATGTGATACTAATTATACCTGACAAAATGCTGTTATACTTCACCTTTTTACCCCTATTTTACATGTACAATGTCCCTGGATAAATTGTATGATATTGATTTTTATTTTTTTTTAGTTTGGAAAATCTGTATTGTGGTGGCAATAAGTTGAGTCAATTGCCTGTGGAATTAGGAAAATTGAAAAGTCTTAAGGTTCTGAATTTGTGTGATAACCATATCACCATTTTACCGAAAGAGCTTGCCAAACTCTCCCAACTCGAATCATTGAGTTTACATAACAACAACTTGACTGCACTACCAATTGCAATTGTGAAGCTGAAAAATCTTCAGGCTATCAGCGTACGTGGGAATCCTTTAGTTATTCGGTTTGTCAGATCTCAATTTTCCAACTTGCCTAGTTTACAGGAGCTTGCAGGAAAGACAATAAAAAACAACCGAATTGATTACTCTGTGGAAAATCTTCCTACATTTTTAGTAAAATACCTTGACAGTGCAAGGAAGTGTGTCAATCCAAGGTGTCGTGGTGTTTTCTTTGATTCTTGCATTCGCCATATAAAGTTTGTAGATTTTTGTGGTAAATACAGGCTGCCATTTGAACAATTCTTGTGTTCTCCTCATGATAATGAACATTGGGAAGATTTGGCAAGTGGTAGCAGTACTTGCAGCAGCAGTGATGATGATGATTCAAGTGTTGAACCATCTTGGATGAAGAAAATTCTATTGGGTTAATAAAATATAACTGCTGTTTTATGTAATTTTTCAGTTATTATAACTGTAAAAAATCACCCCCAAAAGACCCAAAGATATAGAATATTCTCTACTCCTTGATTGAATGTAATACCTGAAATTGGTTGGTAGCAATGAACAAAGCATTTCCAACATATGTCTTGATGTACTAATTGAATGACAGCTAGGATATATATAAAATAATCTCAGCCATGGAATTTCATCCTCGCCTTGGTTTGTAAATGGCTTATGTAATTCTAGCCTCTTTTTTATAAGAACCAGTTTAATAAGAACATTGAGCCTGAATTTTTAAAAAATAGTTCAAAATAAGAAAAATTGGACTGGAAGGGTAATGATACACCTAATCTTGCATGAATTGTTGTTTAGGTAAAGTTTATCTGAAAGGCAAGTAATATACCCGCCCCAGACTTAGAGAAGTACGTACAATACTGAATTCGAGGCATCACACAATAAATTTTTAGCGTTAGCGAATCAAATTGCTCATTTTATTAGCATATTAGGCATATTGGAAGGTAAAGATCGTTCTTTAGCGTCTGTACGTGCAGACTCACCCAATCCATACGGCATTACGGCCTGCAGTTTCTTTATATCACCCGGTTTTTTATGATAGAAAAAATAACAAAAATCTAATTTTATTGAATCTTAATCTTTTACTGAAAACTTGGGTGACATCGACATCAGATTTCGTTTTCACACGAATACCTGATCAGTTTTGATACTGAGCAGCCTGTCATCCGTTGTCACTTCCCACGGTTATTTTTTTTAATATTTAGATCCGTTGAATATTATACCATTTTATACCATATAACGTTTCGCGATGTATACCATTATCAACATTGTAGATAAAACCACAGAAAGCGTTGGATAAGGATTAGAATCATTAGAGTATCACAGTTGACATAAATCTCGATATTTCAAAGCAGTAGCCTTGCCTCTGACAGGTGTTGATTATCTTATAAGATCTCATATCTCTTATAGAATTACAAATTCTGGGCTGCCTTGGATGATGAGAAAAATTGAAATCTGCTAAATCTCAAAGACAAAGGCGGATATGTCTTTAAATCTTTTTTGGCTAGGGCAGGTCTCCCATACGCGACTACGTCCGTCATTTGCATTCCCGATATTGTCAGTTTCCCTGATTCCTCGGCCACGGGCGAGATTTTAGAGCGAAATGCGAAATGTTTCGCCTGCTCCTTTAGAACTGTGAGCAATCAAGCATAATTCATTATCACAAGCGAAATATTTCGCATTTTGCCGAGAAAAAGCGCCCACGGAGAAATGAAATTAAAACAGTGGCGTTCCTGCATGCATATCACGAATATATGAATATGCCCCCCTCCCCCACAATTATACTAAGCTATGCCTATGGTTAGGATGACTGTACGACAACCAGGATTATGTTATTTACTTCTTTCAATAGCGAGTTTAAGATTCACCAAATCTACGACGCGGACGTGAAGTAGCAGATAAATATTCCACAGTTTCCCAACTGCGATGGAAATAATATGCTCTTTTTGATAAACAAATTCAGAACCGTATGTAAAAGAAATTAAAACTGGTTTCTTAACACTAGTAGGCTATAGTAGCAGTTTTCATGTCACGTCCGCGTCGTAGATTTGGTGCATCTTAAACTCGCTAATATCTTAAGCCGGATAGTGGTTTTTTCAATCGCTTTAAAATCACCCGTTTTTTGGAATAACTTTAAATCTTAGCATTCCTTAGGATCCTCTTTAATGTTTGTTGGTTCCAAAGCTGAAATTTCATTAATTTTCAAGCAGTTTTAGAACGGTTGAAACTTGAAAAAATCATTATCCGGTGTATAGCGCTATCCGGCTTTCATACAACCGGCCCCTGTTTCATATTATTATTACATTGCGTCACATGACGTGTAGTAAAATAAAATGTGCCAGATTGCTTTGTCGACGCACATTTGGAAGACATCTGGTTTGGTGCTTTGAATTTGAAGCGACAACTCAAAAAAAGAATGCTGAGAAATTCAAACAAGCAAGTGCTAGGAATTCGGCATAAGAGACTATACGTGGTATGACCGTTAGAAGATATCGCTCAAGATAAGAAAAAGTTAAAAACTGCGTCATATAACATACAAGGTTAGGACAAACAAAAGGAATTCTAGTGCATTTCGCGAAAACACTCAGATGAATTAGAATTTAGTGAATATAAATAAAGTGACAGTACATCTACGGGTTCTTCCTTTTAGATCCAACAATCCACGGAGTAGCCAAAGGCAGAGACTTCAAATTCGTGGACCTCGTCTTCAAGGAACGCATTCTGGCTTGATTCATATTTACACCAGTATTGTGTAGATAATTAAAGCATTCCAGCGGAAAACAAAAAAAAATATTTGTTGTGAGAAAAATGACTGGCCAAATAAGATCTTACAGTATTCTCCCATCAAAATCGCTCAATAGTGTATCCACATCATTTTATGATCACACAACAACTGCAAGAAGAAAAAACAGTGAGCAAGATGAAGACTTTATACCGCTTATTATTGTTCCCGTGGTCATCATTATATGTATATGTTGCAGTCTCCTCTATTTAGTCAAAAAATATAAAGTTTGCCGAAGAAATCGAGTCGCGCAAGAGACCCATGGCCACGAGGAGCGCCATACGGAAATTACTAACGACCGTGGAAATACTGTGGACCACGACTCAAAAAATGAAAATAAATGAGAAATGCGTCAAGTGGATGGATGTCAAGTCATATCAAACTTAATTTGAAGTGTAAAAAGGTGCAAAAAAGGGGAGGAATTAATGGCATACAAGGCTTCATTCGTCAAAAGATTCATCGTTGAGCTGTATTGTAGAGTTAAATTAGTAAATCTTAGTTTATTCAAAATGCAGATTGGATTTACCTTATGCTAGTTAATTAAGAAAATGCAACGATATTTGCATATATCATACGATATACCTGCCAGTGGATTGCTATGCCTATATATGCATAAACCATGCTTACAGTGGAGCCCATCAAGAAAAAAATTGTTTTCATATGTTTCCTAACTTTTTATTGCTTTGTAAAAGAAATATATCTCATTCACTAGGGGGGGGAAATCCGTCAGTGGGGGGGGGGCTGGGGGGCCCTTCGCCCCAGTGATATAGTTAAAAAAGGCCCTGTGAAAAAACCAAAAAATAGTTAGGAAATCGCCAGCTTGGGAAACGAGATTATAAAAACAACGAAAGGAAAAGCATCTTCGTATGTGTTCCCTTGCTCTGTGACAACAACTGAAGGAACGGGATATTAACGGGAAACCGAGAAAAATCTAAAAACAGTGGGAAAATGTACACAGCAGGGTTTCTATGGAAATTTAGGTCTTCGCTGATTTCGCCCAGTCAGCAAATGCGAAAGGAGTTTGTTGTTGTCTAGGTGATATAATATGGCCGCCGCTTTTTCTCAAGAATCAGTAACTTTCACTGAAACATCATGCGAAAATATAGGATACGCAAAAGAATTTTGGCGAGCAATTGATGGAAATTGGGATGAAAAGTCACGACTGTTTGTCTCAGGGGTAGATCATCGGTTGCATACTGCTGCATGGAGCGATAGAAGTAAGTTTATAGAGCGGAGGGATTTCAATTTTCAAAGAATGGTCTTGACTACAAGTTTCTACAACACGGGAAAAGAAATTTAACTGGTCTGACTCTTAAAATACGCTTCAAATACACAACCTAAGGTTATAGAGTTTATTAAAAACTCAGGTTCCTTTTATGGTGTAAATAAATTCAGCCATAACATTTGACTTACAGAAACATCTACTGCAAGAAAAGTAAATGATAATCGTCTAAATCCTGATGCTGAACCAGGTGCATATTGTTGTGAATGCAAGTTTTTATTAAAATTTTGAACATGTTTTTGTCAGTGATAATTTGAATAATTTTAAGGTTTTGAGAGAAATAGAAATGAATGTAACAGAAGACTCAGAATCGAAGAGGAAGAATATATTCAAACAGTTGTAAGGGCCTGCGGCATGATTTTTTTTATATTAAGGTGGTTGGATAAGTGGATATAAGGTGGATGTGTTGCTTGATTTTATTTAAAAAAAATTGAAAAAATTGCCACTTTTAAAACACCTAAAATATGTTTTTATTTACACAGCATTGTAGTCTTGTAAGTTGTAGTGTTGTACTAAGTATAACCAAAGAGATTTTTGTGGCACGACCTATAGTAACTAAGGTTATTTTTCAAGAGTATATGGCTCCTCATTCTCTCATACTAACTCTTCATCTGAAGGCCCTATGTTAAAATGTTGAGTGTTTTAAGCAGATCAAATTTGCTTTCCATCTTTAGCTAGGTCAAAAGAAGGATCAGCAAGGTCTTATGAAAAAGCGAAGAGAAGAACGTTTGGCAGTGAGTAATTCGTAATTGATGCCAACACAAACAGGCTAAAACCAAGCACCTAAAACCTGAGAACTGAAAACATGCATCAACTGAAAACATATGAACATAGCATGTGCTATGTCAATTAAAGCCCTCAATTCCTGTCGATCTCTACAATTCACAGCCAGCCTTCTTCACATTTATCAAGAAAAAATTATTAAGTGTGTTATCATTTATGTGTGGCTATTTTGTAGAAAGAAAGCATAAGAGGGATCATTAAACAGACCTTTCTGGAGGAACTGTAAGTTTCAAAGACCATTTGTTTTACTTTCATACACTACAATGATGAATGTTAACATACTGCTGTCCATAATGGTAACAGTCTAAAATAGTTACTAAGCAGATGTATCATTTCATTTTCTATATACCTATGGCAGATCAATTGTTGATGCTGATAACGATGATAAATTGAATAATATGGAAAATGAAGGTCTTCAAGCAATGAAAGATATTGACAATTTTGAAAGAAATATAAAGATGACAAATGAAAGAAGAAAAGAGAATCACTAAACTTTTTTATGCTAAATTATAAAGCTATTAACTGTCATATGATGGAAATTATGCAATGTGAAAATAACCCTATAGGTATAAGGTTTTGTTAATAATTTATTGCTATTTGGATGGGTATGTTAACTGTGTTTGGTCTTTGGGTATGGGTTCTCATCATTCCAGCAAAAGTACCATTGATGGCCCACAGCAATAGAGACTTATGACTGTTCTAGGTTATTGTGCACAATAAAAACAATTTAGCAATATATACAAATAAAGGCAATCTAAATGCAAACACTCATGTATAGCAGGTCTTTGTAAAATTTTGCAACTATTACATGCCCAAAAAATGTCCCACCTCATACAATGTCACACCTCACATAAGCAGCATAATATAGTTTGTTCATCCACTAGCTTCACTTCACCAGATGTTACCTTAAACCCAACTTCTTCTTTTCTTTCACTTTCTTTTTAACAACATCAATACTTCTGTCCTTCCATGTACTTTTACGGAGTTTGATTGGTCGGTTGCCAACATACTTTCCTAAAAAAAACATTTTCCTATAATTGTATAAAACTGGGCAAGTATAGAACGGGGGAACTCATTGTTCTAAAATGTTTATAACTGAAAAAACACAAAAATGTTGCTCAATAAAACATAATAGTAGATTGTGGATAACCTCTTGGTATAATAACTCTAGTTCACCTGATTGATAACAGTCATAACACCTGCATCATGCATACAGAAAAACCAGCTTAAAACTACCATACCATATGTTTATATAGTAAACGTAAAAATAATTGTTTTATCTGAACTGTTTGCAGGGCCGCGTTTCCACACCGCGGGGCCCGTGTGATTTTCTTTGCGCGGGGCCCCAAATTTTTGCTTTCTCTATAGTGACATAGTGTTCCTAAAAATGCAGTTAGAAGCACTGACTTAACTGTGTAGTGTGTATATGTGTGTTATGTTATATATTATTCGCATTTCGCATAAGGTGATGTTGGGTCACTGAGACGACGATTTATATGCGCATGCAGATTTTATGCATATAGCATGTCTAAAGTCTTAAGGGTTAGTTTTAACCCATAAGACTTACAAACTTACAAACACCAGATTATAGCACATTTATTAACATATATATATATATATATATATATATATATATATAATTATATATAATTATTATATATAGTGTAAATCGCGGGGCCCTAAAAGGCGCGGGGCCCGTGGCATTTGCTACATTTGCCACTGTGTAAAACCAGCGCTGACTGTTTGACACTAAGGCTGTCTTGCCCTAAGGACTATATTTGCAAAATATGCACTTTAAGTGCATATTTTGTTACTTTAAGTGCATATTTTGTTTTATCATTAATTTACTAGGATCCCAATCAGCTAATGATTTATCTTTCCACACTACAGGCCTCTACATGGCAAAAAACGCTCAAGTTGTTCCTGGTTGCTGAGAACAGGCCTCAACAATGTTGTGCTGCACCCCAAAAGCAATGATATCAACAACATGTTGCAATATTGTTAAGCGTAACAAGGTAGAACAACATTGTTCATCAGGTGCAGCACAACATTGTTGAGGCCTGTTCTCATCAACTGGGAACAACTCGAGCATTTTTTGCGGTATATATGCAGGCTGTATTTGATGAATTTGTGGATCATTTAACCAAATTATGTCCATGAATTCTGTATGAGGCAATTTTATACAGTTACCTACCATTCATTTCTCTCATTGCTTTAATAAAGTCACTTGATTCCTTGAAACTGACAAATCCATAACCTTTTGTTTTATTGGTTTTCCTCTCTCTAATAACTTTGGCTTTTTGAAATGATGGATACTTGGCAAAAGCTCTTGTTAAAGCTTCGTCTGTTACTTCGTTTCCAATATCACCAACGAATATCCTGAAATCATCTTATTAAAAAGAAATTTAATTCACTTTCACATATAATGTATTGTCAACAGATGTTTTATGTTGTATTATTAATTTACTTACTAGGATCCCAATCAGCTAATGATGTATCTTCCCAAACCACACCTCCAGCGACTCTAACAAATTTTTTATCTTTCTTTTTTGCTTTACCTCCACCAGATTCTTGTTTTGCATAAGCAGACTCCCATTCCTTTTTTTGTTCTGGTGTAATACCAACATGTTCTGTGGGTACCTTAACAGTTCCTGGTACTTGCATTGGTACCATAGGTACTATACCTGACATAACATTCTGTTGCATACGGGGATGAAACTGTGCTGGTATTTGTGGAGGCATTGGTGGAATAGGGAATGGTACTTGTTGTACAGAAAACTGTTGTTGGGAGGGCTGATTAAATGCCATATTGTTCTGTGTAGGCATATCATGATTTGTTGAAGGCATTCCTTGGGGATTATTGCCTCTAGGAGGCATCCTCCCATGCATAAAACCCCCCCGTGGCATGCCTCTTCCTCTTGGGGGTATGCCATCAGGATTGCTACCAGAGAGAAAATGTCCACCATGGGCAGGGTCATTATTAGGAAAGTGGCCAAATCTATTTGGGTGAGAATCTTGTTGTCCTATACTATGCACATCGTGGATAGTTCGTGATGCCTGCCGAAATGTGCCAGTTCCAATTATGGGCCTTTCTATTGTATGTCCAGAAATCTCTTCTTCAAATCTAAAACACAAAAATAGTTGAATTTTTTATATGCACAGACAAACTCTCAAGTTTTCTAAAAAATTTGCAAATTAAATGTATGCTTTTCAATGTATATTGTCTCAGCAATTGTTCCTCTGGTTTTAAGGTGCCTACTTCAATGAATGGCAGCTTAAAAATTCCATTATAACAATCTACCTAGTTGAAATACATTTTGCTGCAAATAATCAAAGAGCCTGAGAAAGGTTGTTGGATTTTCATTGGGAATGGAAATCATGCCACAAAATTATTGCTATATTTTTTGTCTTGAAAGGTCAGCAGGTTTGTAAAATTATCCAATGAATGATCACTGGAAATTGTTGGATATACACCACAGGATCATCTATATATCAATTAGAACGCTGTTAATTTTATAAAGATATACTAGTCTAAGTCGTCTAAGTCTAAAAAGAAGAGAGTCACATAAAGAAGTGGAGTAATTTTCATTTCTGAAACTTTTGATCAACTTCAAATCATCTAAAACATACCTTGACATTTCATCTTCAAGTTCACGTGCTTGCACGTCATTTGGACGGCTATTTTGCATGTTTATTTTTCTTCTTTAACAAAAATATACTTTCTATGTTTCTTTCTATGTAATTTTGTATTGGAAAAGTGGTAGTTACTTTATGTGACCCCTATTATAATGTATCACATATTATAGTGTATCACATACTTAGTCCTCCTCAGTCTCCCTCAGCCATCCTTAGCCCTCCTTAGACATCCTTAGCCCTCCTTTGGCCTCCTTACACCACCTTAGCACTCCTTAGCCCTCCTTAGCCCTCCTTAGGCCTCCTTAGCCCTCCTTAGCCCTCCTTAGCCCACCTTAGACCTCCTTAGCCATCCTTAGCCCTCCTTAGACATCCTTAGCCTCCTTAGCCCTCCTTTGGCCTCCTTACACCACCTTAGCACTCCTTAGCCCTCCTTAGGCCTCCTTAGCCCTCCTTAGCCCACCTTAGACATCCTTAGCCCTCCTTAGCCCTCCTTTGGCCTCCTTACACCACCTTAGCACTCCTTAGCACTCCTTAGCCCTCCTTAGGCCTGCTTAGCCCTCCTTAGCCCACCTTAGACCTCCTTAGCCATCCTTAGCCCTCCTTAGACATCCTTAGCCCTCCTTAGCCCTCCTTTGGCCTCCTTACACCACCTTAGCACTCCTTAGCCCTCCTTAGGCCTCCTTAGCCCTCCTTAGCCCACCTTAGACCTCCTTAGCCATCCTTAGCCCTCCTTAGACATCCTTAGCCCTCCTTAGCCCTCCTTAGGCCTCCTTAGGCCTCCTTAGCCCTTCTTAGCCCTCCTTAGACATCCTTAGCCCTCCTTAGCCCTCCTTAGCCCTCCTTGGACCACCTTAGCCCTCCTTAGACCACCTTAGCCCTCCTTAGGCCTCCTTAGCACTCCTTAGCCCTCCTTAGGCCTCCTTAGCCCTCCTTAGCCCACCTTAGACCTCCTTAGCCATCCTTAGCCCTCCTTAGACATCCTTAGCCCTCCTTTGGCCTCCTTACACCACCTTAGCACTCCTTAGCCCTCCTTAGCCCTCCTTACCACTCCTTAGCCCTCCTTAGCCCTCCTTAGCCCACCTTAGACCTCCTTAGCCATCCTTAGCCCTCCTTAGACATCCTTAGCCCTCCTTAGCCCTCCTTTGGCCTCCTTACACCACCTTAGCACTCCTTAGCACTCCTTAGCCCTCCTTAGGCCTGCTTAGCCCTCCTTAGCCCACCTTAGACCTCCTTAGCCATCCTTAGCCCTCCTTAGACATCCTTAGCCCTCCTTAGCCCCCTTTGGCCTCCTTACACCACCTTAGCACTCCTTAGCCCTCCTTAGGCCTCCTTAGCCCTCCTTAGCCCACCTTAGACCTCCTTAGCCCTCCTTAGCCCACCTTAGCACTCCTTAGCCCTCCTTAGCCCTCCTTGGACCACCTTAGCCCTCCTTAGACCACCTTAGCCCTCCTTAGCCCTCCTTAGACCACCTTAGCCCTCTTTAGCCCTCCTTAGGCCTCCTTAGCCCTTCTTAGCCCTCCTTAGACATCCTTAGCCCTCCTTAGCCCTCCTTAGGCCTCCTTAGACCACCTTAGCCCTCCTTAGCCCTCCTTAGGCCTCCTTAGCTCCCCTTAGCCCTCCTTAGGCCTCCTTAGCCCTCCTTAGCCCTCCTTTGGCCTTCTTAGCCCACCTTAGCCCTCCTTAGGCCTCCTTAGCCCTCCTTAGGCCTCCTTAGCCCTCCTTAGACATCCTTAGCTCCCCTTAGCCCTCCTTAGGCCTCCTTAGCCCTCCTTAGCACTCCTTTGGCCTCCTTAGCCCACCTTAGCCCTCCTTGGGCCTCCTTAGGCCTCCTTAGCCCTCCTTAGCCCTCCTTAGCCCTCCTTAGACATCCTTAGCTCTCCTTAGCCCTCCTTAGGCCTCCTTAGGCCTCCTTAGACATCCTTAGCTCTCCTTAGCCCTCCTTAGGCTTCCTTAGCCCTCCTTAGACATCCTTAGCTCTCCTTAGCCCTCCTTAGGCCTCCTTAGCCCTCCTTTGGCCTCCTTAGACCACCTTAGCCCTCCTTAGACATCCTTAGCCCTCCTTAGCCCTCCTTACCACTCCTTAGCCCTCCTTAGCCCTCCTTAGCCCACCTTAGACCTCCTTAGCCATCCTTAGCCCTCCTTAGACATCCTTAGCCCTCCTTAGCCCTCCTTTGGCCTCCTTACACCACCTTAGCACTCCTTAGCACTCCTTAGCCCTCCTTAGGCCTGCTTAGCCCTCCTTAGCCCACCTTAGACCTCCTTAGCCATCCTTAGCCCTCCTTAGACATCCTTAGCCCTCCTTAGCCCTCCTTTGGCCTCCTTACACCACCTTAGCACTCCTTAGCCCTCCTTAGGCCTCCTTAGCCCTCCTTAGCCCACCTTAGACCTCCTTAGCCCTCCTTAGCCCACCTTAGCACTCCTTAGCCCTCCTTAGCCCTCCTTGGACCACCTTAGCCCTCCTTAGACCACCTTAGCCCTCCTTAGCCCTCCTTAGACCACCTTAGCCCTCTTTAGCCCTCCTTAGGCCTCCTTAGCCCTTCTTAGCCCTCCTTAGACATCCTTAGCCCTCCTTAGCCCTCCTTAGGCCTCCTTAGACCACCTTAGCCCTCCTTAGCCCTCCTTAGGCCTCCTTAGCTCCCCTTAGCCCTCCTTAGGCCTCCTTAGCCCTCCTTAGCCCTCCTTTGGCCTTCTTAGCCCACCTTAGCCCTCCTTAGGCCTCCTTAGCCCTCCTTAGGCCTCCTTAGCCCTCCTTAGACATCCTTAGCTCCCCTTAGCCCTCCTTAGGCCTCCTTAGCCCTCCTTAGCACTCCTTTGGCCTCCTTAGCCCACCTTAGCCCTCCTTGGGCCTCCTTAGCCCTCCTTAGGCCTCCTTAGCCCTCTTAGCCTTAGCCCTCCTTAGACATTCCTTAGCTCTCCTTAGCCCTCCTTAGGTCCTCCTTAGGCCTCCTTAGACATCCTTAGCTCTCCTTAGCTCCTTAGGCTTCCCTTAGCCCCTCCTTAGACATCCTTAGCTCTCCTTAGCCCTCCTTAGGCCTCCTTAGCCCCTCCTTTTGGCCTCCTTAGACCCCTTAGCCCTCCTTAGGACATCCTTAGCCCTCCTTAGCCCTCCTTAGACACCTTAGCCCTCCTTAGCCCCTCCTTAGACTACCTTAGCCCTCCTTAGACATCCTTAGCTCTCCTTAGGCCTCCTTAGCCCTCCTTAGCCCACCTTAGCCCTCCTTAGACATCCTTAGCTCTCCTTAGCCTTCCTTAGCCTACCTTAGACCTCCTTAAAGTGCTACTGCAACGAAATTTTCGACACCCGATTTTTAGCCTAAACAAATATTCAGCCTTTTAGAAACAATTTGATGTATATATGACTTTTGTGTGTGTTAAGTAGAAGTTGACTAATTTTACCCTCAAACCTCGGTATCAAATGCGAACTTTTATAGCCGCCATGTTTGCTGATGTGACGTCATAACGAGTACCGATATTTCGAAGCTTATGGTAATATATATAGCTTGTGTGTTGTCCGCTTCAAATTTTCGAGCTTGACGCGGAGAACCAAATCATTTTATTTTGAAATGGAAGTTAATTCTGTTAACTAACATATATTGAAGAAATGCCTGGTAAAGGGTCTGAAAATATACGCCGATTTGTTAGAAAATTCAAACTAGTCTTAGCCCGTCTGACAGAGATATAATGTAGTAATATATGCCATATATAAGCATGTATATCTTGTGCCGCATAGTCCTTTATGCCACAAAGTCCTACGTAAGACGATCTTGAAGAACTTAAAAAAACTGCTTAGCCTTTCAGTAAAACAAGACGAAGGCAATGATATGATGTCCTTGTTACTGATAATATTGGTGTATGCTATGCGATATATTCCCGCAAACCATAAACAGTAATATACTGGCTATTGTAAATGCCACATTGCCACTGTTTTGCAATAGCGCGTATCGAAATATATCAAACTGAAACACACACTAACACAGGTCCTTTTATCTACATGCATAAATACTCAAGAAACACCATCCTTGCTGATTTAAATTGAACTTCAATGTCTTATGAAACGGCACTCGCCGTGCACATTAAGACACCAAGGCCAACATCAGCTTTATTCAGCATGAATGCATGTGCGCGCAAAGTATCTCCGCATTGATGGTAAAATCAGCCTTTGCCTATATATCAGTTAGCTTTCAACTTGTGCTACGATCAGTTCAGACATCAAATGTATGCACAGAATCTTCTTTCGATACTCTTTTATTTAAGGGATCTTGCTAAACAAGAGTCATATACGAATCTTTGAAATCGACTTAGCCGCGCAAAGAACCGCACCATGAAACAGAAAGTCGGAACAAAATTCAATATTTTCTTCGACTTTGGCGATCCATTTTTTCGTTAGGAACATATGTATAGATATTTAATAATTTTGATGAATACTGGCTTAGTAGGGACTGTAAGAAACGCAGCTTCTTCGTCGATGAGGCTACTTAACACTAGTATTTTTACGCCATGCTAAGAATCGGTACTCTTTTCTACGTCACAAACTACATTATGGCGGAGCAAAAGTTCGCATGTCTAAGTGGCAAAAATCGCGACTTTGGAAAGCTATAAAAATCTTTTGAGAAAGCCAATTTTGATTATGTTTTCAAAAATGAAATCAGGAAAGTGAGAACTTTAAATTGAGCCAATAAAAATGGGGTCAAAAATTTCGTTGCGGTAGCACTTTAAAAGGTATGTTATGTATTTTCCGTGTAATGTGATATATTTTTGGAAAGAAATAAGAAGATGTATAGACGGCTAAGGAGGTCTAAGGTAGGCTAAGGCGGTCAAAGGAAAGCTAAGGAGGGCTAAGGAAGTCTAAGGTGGGCTAAGGAGGGCTAAGGCGGTCTAAGGAGGTTTAAGGAGGTTTAAGGAGGTCTAAGGAGGGCTAAGGAGGGCTAAGGAGGTCTAAGGTGGGCTGAGGAGGTCTAAGGTAAGCTAAGGAGGGGTAAGGAGGCCTAAGGAGGGCTAAGGAAGGCTAAGGATGTCTAAGGAGGGCTAAGGAGGGCTAAGGTGGTCTAAGGAGGGCTAAGGTGGTCTAAGGAGGGCTAAGGTGGTCTAAGGAGGGCTAAGGAGGCCTAAGGAGGGCTAAGGTGGCTAAGGCGGTCAAAGGAAGCTAAGGAGGGCTAAGGAGTCTAAGGTGGGCTAAGGAGGGCTAAGGAGGTCTAAGGAGGTAAGGAGGTAAGGAGGTCTAAGGAGGGCTAAGGAGGGCTAAGGAGGTCTAAGGTGGGCTAGGAGGTCTAAGGTAAGCTAAGGAGGGGTAAGGAGGCCTAAGGAGGGCTAAGGAAGGCTAAGGATGTCTAAGGAGGGCTAAGGAGGGCTAAGGTGGTCTAAGGAGGGCTAAGGTGGTCTAAGGAGGGCTAAGGTGGTCTAAGGAGGGCTAAGGAGGCCTAAGGAGGGCTAAGGTGGGCTAAGGAGGCCAAAGGAGGGCTAAGGAGGCTAAGGAGGGCTAAGGAGCTAAGGAGGCCTAAGGAGGGCTAAGGGAGCTAAGGAGGCTAAGGAGGGCTAAGGAGGCTAAGGGTCTAAGGAGGGCTAAGGTGGTCCAAGTAGGGCTAAGGAGGGTAAGGAGGCCTAAGGAGGGCTAAGGAGGGCTAAGGAGGCCTAAGGAGGGCTAAGGAGGGCTAAGGGGCCTAAGGAGGGCTAAGGAGGCTAAGGTAGGGCTAAGGTGGGCTAAGGAGGCCAAGGAGGGCTAAGGAGGCTAAGGAGGCTAAGGAGGGCTAAGGAGGGCTAAGGTGGCTAAGGAGGGCTAAGGAGGGCTAAGGAGGCCTAAGGAGGCCTAAGGAGGGCTAAGGGGGCTAAGGAGGCTAAGGAGGGCTAAGGGAGGGCTAAGGAGGCCTAAGGAGGCCTAAGGAGGGCTAAGGGGCTAAGGAGGCTAAGGAGGGCTAAGGAGGGCTAAGGAGGCCTAAGGAGGGCTAAGGAGGGCTAAGGGCTAAGGAGGGGGCTAAGGAGGGCTAAGGAGGCCTAAGGAGGGCTAAGGAGGGCTAAGGATGTCTAAGGAGGGCTAAGGAAGGGCTAAGGAGGCCTAAGGAGGCTAAGGAGGGCTAAGGTGGTCTAAGGAGGGCTAAGGCTAAGGAGGCCTAAGGAGGGCTAAGGAGGGCTAAGGAGGGCTAAGGAGGGCTAAGGTGGTCAAGGAGGCTAAGGAGGGCTAAGGAGGCTAAGGAGGCCTAAGGAGGGCTAAGGTGGGCTAAGGAGGCCAAAGGAGGGCTAAGGAGGGCTAAGGAGGCCTAAGGAGGCCTAAGGAGGGCTAAGGGGAGCTAAGGATGTCTAAGGAGGGCTAAGGAGGGCTAAGGAGGCCTAAGGAGGGCTAAGGAGGGCTAAGGATGTCTAAGGAGGGCTAAGGAAGGCTAAGGAGGCCTAAGGAGGGCTAAGGAGGGCTAAGGTGGTCTAAGGAGGGCTAAGGAGGGCTAAGGAGGCCTAAGGAGGGCTAAGGAGGGCTAAGGTGGTCTAAGGAGGGCTAAGGTGGTCTAAGGAGGCCAAAGGAGGGCTAAGGAGGGCTAAGGATGGCTAAGGATGGCTAAGGAGGCCTAAGGAAGGCTAAGGTGGTCTAAGGAGGGCTAAGGTGGGCTAAGGAGGCCAAAGGAGGGCTAAGGAGGCCTAAGGAGGCCTAAGGAGGGCTAAGGATGTCTAAGGAGGGCTAAGGAGGGCTAAGGAGGTCTAAGGTGGGCTAAGGAGGGCTAAGGAGGCCTAAGAAGAGCTAAGGAGGGCTAAGGAGGCCTAAGGAGGTCTAAGGAGGGCTAAGGAGGGCTAAGGAGGGCTAAGGAGTGCTAAGGTGGTGTAAGGAGGCCAAAGGAGGGCTAAGGAGGGCTAAGGATGTCTAAGGAGGGCTAAGGATGGCTAAGGAGGTCTAAGGTGGGCTAAGGAGGGCTAAGGAGGCCAAAGGAGGGCTAAGGATGTCTAAGGAGGGCTAAGGATGGCTAAGGAGGTCTAAGGTGGGCTAAGGAGGGCTAAGGAGGGCTAAGGAGGCCTAAGGAGGGCTAAGGAGGGCTAAGGTGGTGTAAGGAGGCCAAAGGAGGGCTAAGGATGTCTAAGGAGGGCTAAGGATGGCTGAGGGAGACTGAGGAGGACTAAGGTATGTGATACACTATAATATGTGATACATTATAATAGGGGTCACATAAAGTAACTACCGGAAAAGTTGGAGAATGGTGCTGACTGCTGAGTCCGACGGTCGTTGCCCGGTGTTACCGATGGATAATTGTGATGGATAAGTAGGAGTAAAGCTGTGAAATGTTGAGGTTATAAATAGATAAATATGGATAAATTATGCGTTCTAAAGTGGTCAAAATTCGAAATATTTTATTCCCGAAATGCTCTCAATTAGATTCAGTATTCCTAGGTGGTATTCTGTAGGTATTTCAGGGTTTGTTACAATTTATCAAAAATTATCGCCATCTAGAGATAGTACTGGATTGTTCTTTGTTCTTTCCAAAATTGCGTTTATTATATTTACGATCTAGATCCGTTACCCGCAAGCAGGCTTATATATAATATCACCGCTCCATATAAATTATTCAGTAATCAGTATATTATATTATAATTCTAAATCTCAAAGTACGTGTTTTATAGTTGGCTGTCTTTTTATTTTACTAAATTTCGAGTATGTTTGTCACTGTTAAGTATGGAGGTATGTCATAAGCTTACTATTTAGTCTACCACTATAAAACCATATTATTTCATGATAAAATATATATCACAAATGACCAAATTATGTGATGTTGTTGGTCGTCACCTTGTCGGCATAGCAACATGCACACGCACTAGAATTAGAACTATATGGTGGTTTAAATTATTGGGAAAAAATAGTGTTGCTGGCACATATTTTTTTCACTAAAGTAATGTACTAAGAGGAAACTAAGCACCAGATCAAGAACATCTCACTTTGTCATGTTCATCTTTGTGTCTATCAGTATTTGTTTCACCGTACATAGTGTAGATTGTCATTTAGTACTGCCCAGTGCAAACTCTAAACAGATGGTATTGCCAGGGTTTATTTTAATTTTCTTGAATCGATCCTGTGTAAATGCAATCATTATTAGGATTCAGTTTTAAGGTCAACTATATGCATGTTGTAACATGCTGCTACTACACATACATGCACTGCAACATTACAAACCAAGAACCAAACATCATGTGATGACCTGAATTACAATATCCCATCAAGGCAAATTAGTTTTAGTTTTATAATAGATGGTGAGGTGCTAGTATGTAATCCCGCATGTAAGACAGATGTCTTACTTGATGATATCAGGAAAAGATGTAGCTATGAAAAAGAAGGTAACTTATATAACTTATAATTTACCATTTTAGTCTATTGTAATTAGTTATGAAGAAAGAAATGACCTTTAGCTGTTTTGTTACACTTCACTAATTTTGTGAAAGTGTATTTCTTAGAGTATCACTGAAGTATATTGTATAGATAAATTTTTTTGTATCATTACATTCAGTGATGGTCGATTTGTCAGATGAATCTGGTAACTTAAAATATTTGAGAGGTCATCCAGAATCTTATGCAACAGAGTTTCTAAAAGACAGAGAGTCATTGGTACTTATAAAAGTAGACAGTAAGTAGAAATTATAGCTTTACCATACTGATTTTTCATAAAATGACATTCATAATTAATTCATTGGCTTGCGCCATTTGATTTGACTTCAGCATTTTTGTTTTTAGAAAACCCAGTGGATGATGCCACAACCTACACTCCCTTACTTGAGGATGTTTTCATTGTCACCTCATCCTTTATTGGTAAGTTCAAAACTGAAACATTGTAGCAACGATATAGTTTCCTCTTATAGCACATGCTAATGAATCATCAACGCGGAATAATTTTTGGAGATTCATGAATCTCGCGGACCAACCTCGTGACGTAATAGACGTGAAAACGTTAGTCATGCCCATGCGTAGTCTGCGAACCCAGACGTCACTTTCCACGCTCATTACCTCAAGCGAGGTAATGAGCGTGGAAAATGACGTCTGGGTTCTCAGACTATGGCATGCGCTGCCAAGATGAAACCTGTCAAGCGTGCTTAATGCCACACCTCTAATTTACCTTAATTTCAGAACGCCTTACACGGTGTGGTGACTCAGGAACAAAACAAAATCATGCAAAAAATACCACGAATTCTTTATCTGCCAGTGTGAAGAAACATCAAGCGGTGTCCAAAGCGAGGAACTCGTTCCTCACCAGTGCAAACAAAACCCCTCGCAGTACTTCAAACAGATCTTCGAGCAGAAATCAATCTAAGGAAAGAAAGTCCAAGTAGCTACCTATTGGGATTCTGAATAGCTTCGTTACTACGTCAGATTTATTGATTGTATAAGTCTAAACAATAATAAGTCTGTACTGATACTGACTTTAACCCTGAAAGTAAAGGTCTGTTCACAAGATCCAATTTTGTTGGATCAAATTCACTTCTGACGTATGCAATGGAGTCAATTATTAATAAAGCAGTACTGCGTTGGTTTAATTTGATTTGTTGCCAGCATACATTGCATGTCAACAGACTATAAAACATCCATCAGAAGTGAATTGGACCAACAAAATTGGATCATGTGGACAGACCTTAAAAAGAAAAATGTAGTTTTGGTTACTTGTTTGTACCAGCTATACAAGACATTTGATTGAATTATTGAAGCGTTCGTAGATAATTTTCTTGTTCGCACGCATCTATCAAAATAATAATCGTAGCCTACAATCGAAAAGCAAAGTTGCCGTAATGGTAAACGACCAAGTACAATTAGAATATCAATTAAAAAAATTATGGATATGTTCTTATATCTTCAGAAATCATTAACACACGATGTGTATTTTATAGCACGGTTTATGCGACTTTAAAGCATATTTCCACAAATTCTACGTTTATCGGTCAATAACTCAATCTAAGAAATTTTTTTCATGTATGTGCTGAGACAGGGTATTTCGTATCTCTACAGAGGTCGCAGGTTGTCATTACACCACTTCAAGTGACATGCCTTCATTGCCTTGCACTAAATAAGTATGTAAAGCTCACTTTTACTTGTGCAACGCTTGTTGCAAAGTTGCTAAAAAATTGCACCGTTAAGTACTTGCTGGGTCAAGTGACGTAATTTCCGGGAAAGATAGTCGGGTAAAATCACGTAAAATGATTGAAACCGCGCGGCAACCAGTGCACGGAAATATATTTATTATTGCTTCGAGTCAGGTGCAGGCATCGACTCCTCGGTGTTTTTTTCTGTTATCCTTATGCCCAGGTACATGCTATCACAGATGCGAGTGATGTGATTTCTTGTAATATAAATTGAACAAAGCTTTCATTAGTTTTGAATTCTGTATCAGAACTAAAATATCATAATCCGTCTAGGGTTCTAAGCCTATAAAACTTTAAGCCCTCATAATGGTCGCAGTAACCAACCAACCCGAAAGGGCGCCTAACCCGAGGTAGGAGGTTCCGCGGTAACTTGTAAAGTTGTAATAGTATTTAGAAAACATAGCATCGCGAGCAGCTCATATAAAGTAGGTTCACACTACAACAATATATTTATTAATATAGATCTTTTTACAAACAAAATGTACTTCGTACAATATTTTACAGTGTGTATCAAAAAAGTTATCTAACTCTGACAAGTGAAGTGACCGATACGAAATTACATCTCTTTGACTTTGTCATTCACGAAATATCTTGTTTGAATCGACTTATTCAATTAATGGGAGATTTGAAGACCAGCGGCTTAATTTTTTTATCTCCGGGTACGCCTACGATTATGAATTATGTGTATGCCGCAAAAATCCCAAGTCCATAAAGACTGATAGAGTATAGTATAAACATAAGCGCCGGATGATTTGGCAAAGTTAGATTACGCTTTTGATACAGAAGACTGTAGCAGTAGCACTACAACTATAATTCGTGAATCAATAGTTAATGTACAATCAATGACTTTTAAATTTAAAAATCTTTATATAAGCACAGAGATGACCGGCTTTGTTTTAAAAACCGATCGCCAGTAAATTGAATTGTTGGTGAACAATTACCATTGAAAATAATTGTGCCAATAGCCTTATAGAGACAGAAATATACAACACAGACCGGTGGGCACAAGTACACCAGCTGCGAAAACAATCGTGAAGGACCAAATTGTGTGTTCGTACAAAGGCAAAGCCATGCTGTGGGGGATTCTACGTCTGCCCAAATTTCTTTGAAATCACAAGAACATACGCAATTTTTTATTAAAAAATAAAAATAGTAAATATTTACGCATGCAACTCACATTACTATTAAAGTTTTACGCAGTTACGCTGTATAACAAGTGTGTAGGAGTGAAAATTCGACATGTATTAACCATAGCAATAGCATTAGCAAATTGGCTTCACACCGAGAACATAGTCGTGGCGTAATATTTGCCTCTCTAGACTTTACACACAAAAGTAAGTTTGGTCGAGAGTTTGGTTTAAGATTAATTTACCCTTTCAGTACAATAATTGCGAAGGGGCCAATGATTCCCGTTAGGAAATATAGATTCTGTAATTAACAAATGTGAGGGGGATACTTATAAGCTACAACAAAGGCAAAAACTATATATATTACAATTATATAATTACATAGTATGTACATACTCAGAACATACGTTTAAAGAAGATTAGTTACACCACTTTAATATGAGACTTTGAAAACTAGCCAGCAATGTAATCCAGGGGAAGTATGTGTTGACAAAAAATCTTAATTCAAAAATATTTCGAATTCCGTATAGTTGAGAGTATATGGTGTATCAGTTCTCTTCGTCATAGAAATTAGAATCGTCCCACAATAATGCAGAATACTTTATAGATTATATAATACAAATAATTCCATAAACACTCAATATAATTGTTACTATTTTTCAAAACCTTTCTTCTTGTTTTTGTCTGTCAAATGTACTATCAAATCAACATATCACGAGAGAGATTTCCGGTCTTCGTTCACCAGGAAGGAGACCGGTTTGTTTGAAATATGAACACGTTTACCGCCTGTTGGGTTTATTAAATAGTACAACACCTTGGTGTTGTGAAAGATAACGTTGTATTCTGAATACTTGTGTTAGAACCTATTCTAATTTCTATTAGAACGTTTAAATAGCCCGAACACAGCAAAATAGAGCAATTATCAGACTTTCTTGTCCGCGCCGGAGTTTAACTTTTTAAACATGTACACATCTACAAACATACGTGATATTATTCCTTAATCTGGTCACTTTCTTTTCTTCTTCGACTGCTGTTTGCTATTTTGACTGGCTTTATTAATATCTTTTTTCTCCTGTGAACTCGGGGAAGTCACCAGGAGGAACTCAAGAAAAGGATTGGATAAAATGATAGCAGCCTGAATTGAAAGGACGCGTTCCTGATTTTTAACGCCGTCAAATGTCTCCCAATAAACACTATGCTCCCACAAATGTTTTGTAAAACATACTTTTCCCTTATACGATTTTCCTAGAGAAATATCACAGACAGTGTTAGTAACACATGGACACGATCGAGGACACGCCGACACGATGTCGTGTGGGAGAATGTTAGTAATAAATTAAAACTTTACAGATTTCCCTCCTGCAGGACAAGTGCAGTAGAAAAGTATCAAATACAGTAAAAACTTTCAGCCTTCAGAAATTTCTTATGTAGCTTTAAACAGAAAACACACTAGTAATAATTCGGTGTTTACAAATGTGGGCAGGAACTACTGCAAGTCACGGGACTCTTGTAATATAATCCAGACACTTGTGAAATATTAAAAAATTTTCTTACCTACCGCAAGAGACAAGTATCTGAAAATTCTAGCCAATACCTTGCTTATTTCGAAAAGGTACAAAACTAGGAATTTAATTTAGGCTTCACGACTGACAGTGGTTAATGTGTAAAAGTTCACAGCAATCAAAATATGTCTACAATAACACCAGACGCTATTAAATACTTCCTACACATAATTATACTTTGTCGGTCGATAACATTTTGAAAGTCCAAGCATTACTGAATAGCACTCATTCTGTAAGAAATTAATACTTGTGTAATATGAAAGTGTCATTGAATGTTAGCAAGCGTGAAATTGAAAACTACTGCGGACATCCTTAATCGGAATCAAATGTAAACACAAGATCAGTGTATAAGTTGTATTTTAGCTTCCATTTTAAAAGACAGAAGTGAAACTAAATCATAAATTCGAAATAGACTTACCACACATACAACAGTTAATATCATTTCCTTCTATACTTTCATACTCTTTGAGTACTTCTATAACACCATTGAGTTCTAGCGTCCTCTGTATGGGAGGACTGTTTGAAGACAAGCTACTTGTTGAATCGCACCGTGATCTCTTACGTTGCTTTGTAAAAATATCAATCGGGCCAGAGTTTGAGCTTGTTAAGGTTTTCTCCGGCATCGTAGTAGTATTAATTAAGCACAGTTCTTTGACTGGCACTCGTCCAAATTATATTTAGACAAAAGAGTCAGAGAGCTACGTACTTTTAAAGAAATAAAATTACTACAAAAAATTCTATGATACCTTTAAACTGCACGCGGTCAGCAACGACAGTTGATGAATTAGCATCTTTAGTTTGTTTATGTCGCTTCTGATTGGCTCGTTCAGCGCAAGTACAAGAATGATTGTCATTTCATGATAGACACTACTTCCTACGTGCTTTTCAATTGGCTGCCTCAATGCCTATTATGACGCACTTCAATGAATGGTTTGAGTGTTAACCAATCGAATTAACCGTTAGAAATTTTGGCGGGTAAATGCTTGGCTGACTTCCCGCGTTTTTTTAACCCAAATCAGCTGCGAGAAGCTGCGTCGGTTTAATTTGGCTGTCTGAATCACTGAATTTGAATAGCGAGGGCGGATATCCGTATGTAAGTATAAAGTACAAAGAACAAATTTTATCTTTCATTCATCCTTATATAAAAAAATTTTTCCACATTAAAGTTTAAAAATCCAAAATACTCGCTATAAATTGATATGCGTGATATTGTTAATGTCTGAAATTATGCACACTTCGCTGCTTGCGAGAATCTATATGGTGATAAGAGATTAATATAGACATTTCACCTGAAGTGGGAAAACAGTAAAAAAAAACTCCTAGCCAACGCCACGTAATACTCAAAATTTTTGGATGGAATTCCCAAATACATAGAAAGGATTAACTTAAATAAATATACCTCTTATAAATAACAAAGATTTATCGAAGGTTTTTGGGAAAATATAGACTGCGCGCGCCGCTGCTTACGAAAGCAATGGTAAGCGAGGATTATCGCCGGCGAAAAACAACTGTTTGCACGCGCAATACTATTTACTTGCCTAATTTTTTATATCAGATGTGTAAAAAAATCTGCACCCGCTTACATATTCAAATATGTTCGCTTGTATTCAATAACAAAAGATCGTAGGCTTCTGGGAATTATTAGGGTGGCTTTTTTTGAGACACCCTGTACACCGAAACAGTTAATTCAAATTGCTACGTATTTAGCTGTCAACAACCGTCACGAAATTCTTTGACTTTAATGCGGGGTGGCTGATCCAGTTGTAAAAGTCTTTTCGCTCAGACTTAGACCGGGGCGCCGAGACGATCATTGGGCGGGGGGGGGAGTTATTCATATTGTTCACATGCCGTAAGAAATATTGCAGAAAACGAATACTGCATGAATATTGCCCCCCCCCCTATTTATCGTTCTTCTATCAGTTCTCTATCGGGCTTAGACCATTGATCAACTGCGCACTTTTGGCAGTGGCTTCCTTAGTATATCGTATCTAGTGAAATGGTATATCCGTCTTAAAAGCGTTTTCTCCTGATGCGCAAATCACCAAAAGTTAGTCACATAAAGTCATAAACCTTTAACAAAAGGCAACGTACTTAAGTAGTATTGCCACGGATAGAATCCTGATGCTATGACAGTCAATTGCAGTGGAAGAGCCGAAGCCAGCTCGATAAATAATCAGTTTTATCAATTTACCAGTTTAGTCGGTCCGTATAGGGAAATATTTCCCTCGATCTCAGCCGAGGGAAATATTTCCCTATACGGACCTTCAATCTGGTAAATAACATATATATTTACTGCAGAGGGAGGGGGCTCTCTTGACGATCTTGAAACCAGTGGGCAGTGAAGATGCGTGACGTCATCCTGTGACGAATTGTTTAAATTCACAACTTCTGACGAATAATGACTAAAATGAGTCATAGATTCAATCATACATTGTAAGATTCGCCGTCTTGATAAATCGGACATTTATCCCTAGAAAAGACTTAAACGCACATACTGAGATAAACAGGGTACACATAAGGAAATATGGAGGCGTCCGGATCAGAAAATTCCGGAAAGGCAAAAATATGTATGGGACGAAGAAAGTCAGTCTCCGGAGATCTGTAGTCTTTTGTGCAACCTATTATGAAGCCTACATGAGAGGATATTTACTGTATTTTTATCGAGATCTCCCTGCCTAAACACGTTCGAATATTTTCAGTGCTGTGTAGCTAAGTTCATAAAGCTGCGCAAATTAAATATTTTTTGTGACATGCAGTGATACGAAATTAATAGAACTTGTATAACTGAGTAATGTTTGTCATAGTAAAAGTAAATAACATAATTGTTTAGGTCAGCTTGGAATTACTGGATCTTTCTTACAATTCCGACTGATAAATTTAATTTAGTATACCGAAGGTAAATGTGACTAGTTTTGGTCATCGCTTACACTACTCTGAATGATGATTGTCAGAGATACGTAGAGTCTGATAGTCACACCACAGTTGTTTCATAAACGAATGGCGAATGCATACGAAGTAAATATAATACATGCAATGTAAGGGGTATAGTTGACAGGGCATAAGTGAACAGTTCTGATACAGTCCAGAGGAGATTGACCTCAGTTCTCATCAGTATAATTCGTATAAGTTGTATGGTACAGTTTTCACGGCCAATCGAACTAAAGTTTGGCTTAGTTTTGGTTAAGTTCAAACTCGACCACGTTCTCAAAAAATTTCATTAAAAGATTATTGATTTCCGTTTTTATATACCGTTTAATACTTTAGTTCATAAACCGGCTGAATCGTATCTGTATTAAAGAATACTCCAGGATTATATGTATGTATATATGTATGTAGATGAAATGTGTACAGATCTTCAATACGGATCATCTTTGACTTTTTTATTAAGATTTATATATATAGAAAAATTGCATTAATTTGGCCAACTCACCAACACTCATATATATTTCCGAAATATTTACGCAAGTTTAGACAGGCTCGCACCTGTTCCATTTGTACAAACATTTCGGCGATTTTGTTAATTAAAAACGACTAATTAATTTTCCATCGTTTCTAAATATTCATTGTCACACTAGGTGTCACTAATAAAAGTGAGAAATACCAGTGATTGATCAAATTGAAAGCCGAAGCAAAAATTATAACTGACCTTATAACTGACTTCGGACGGTATTTAGAGCTTGAATCTCCGGTTATTTTAACTTATCTTTACCTATGGCTACACAAGCTGCCACTGTCTATATACACTACTATATAGACAGTGGTAGAAATACCCTTCTTCAACACGACAAATGTAGGTAAATGATACCTGTATTTGTGGATTAAATTTTGTGGATCAAACGAAACAGTAAATTAGTATTTCATAGCCTATACTTGCATGGGCATGCAAAAGTTGTAAAGTGACATACTGACATTACATCTTCATCTGCACTGACAGTAACTGCACAACATCCTTGTAAAAAACGAATGCATCACCACAGGAAAACTAAATCTGGCTTGCTTTCTCAACATATATATAAAGAGTAGGAAAAACCTATAATCTAGCCATTTTAATCTTTTTTAAAGACAGGGCAAGATAATAACTATCCAGACATAAATTTACTGTATATAACTATAATTATATACATATGAAAGCAAATATGCACTATATTTCACAGCACAAGCTGGTATTAAGAATATTATCAACGAGGATTACCGTGCATACCATAGATTATATGCAACCAGACAATATACTCTCAAAAGCAATTAAAGACAAAAGATGCCGATCTGCACAATAAATATAATTCTCGCTAAATTCACCTAACCGTTGTCACCTTTAAAAGCCGACCTATAAAAGGTGATAATTAAAGGTACCAGAATTAAGGGATATTTACTGATATTCACATCACAGATTCAACCCATGCTCATAAAAACGGGTTATACTCAAAGTCATTCTAGCTTATATCCCAAAAAGTACTTCTTTTGAAATTAGGCTTAATAGTGATAATTTGAATGCCTGATTATTAATGCTAATTGTCTCGTTTTTCAATTTTACGCATTCCTTGGTGGTTTTGCATAATAAAGGCATTAGAAAGAGGATAATTCTTTTGGGACCATTGCATATCATCATACCATTATGCCATTGCACAAGCTTTGGACTTGCTTATTAATCACGTTGTAAATTTCAGTTTGTTTTTTATTTTCTTTTTAAAAGTTGAAGCTACGAAAATTGTAATAATTGAAATATTTAATTAATCCAAGTCTCCGGGGCATTATTAACGCATCATAACTATGTCATCATTATTCAAAAACACCATGAATACAAGTTCTACTTTTCTCAAAAAACCTTTACTTATATTCAAGTGTCGAACACGTTGAAATTTGGAGATTGTGGAATAGGTATAAAACAGTTTACAATATAGTCAATAAGACAATATAAATCGTGGGAAACTGGCCGGGGTGTAGATCATGAATTATGATAAAATTATGTTGCTAAGCGATGTGTTCTCTAAACATGTACCGACTTGAAATCAAACCGAAATAAAATAATTATGTGTACACATTAATAACGAATAAATGACAAGTACCAACACGTTAAATCACTCACTTGTGTTAGTATTGACTTGTTGCTCCACAGGGTGCTGCTATATATATAGAGGTAACGCCATCTAACTTTGGGACAGTTGCTTTGAGTGCAGCCGCTATACGTTTGGCTATAAATTATGAAGTTCGGTATTATTGCACTAACTGGGCTTTTGCTCACAGTCAGTTTTATTAATGGGGACATTTACCTACACAATTTGAGAGGATCCAACAATCGGTTAAATGAAGCTGGAACTGCTCGATCAAACAACAATAGAATGTTCGATTCTCAGGTTGGTCGCTCCGGCGTGGCTTTTCCTGAACTACCTTTACGACACCGTCGATTGTCATGAAGTCTGTATATATTTCAACTACTTTGACCTATATTTCCTTTTATAGAATAACAATAATGGAGGTTACAACGTTGGTGACAAAAATCAAGCATCGAGCACCGAGGACACACAGTTTAACATGGTAAAGGCTTCAGACCGCCATCAGTTCGTATATCTGTCAGCCTCTTTTTCACAGGCTTTTATTCTTTCAGCAAGATAAGACGCCACGCAGGGTATGGGATTGTCCCACTATTGCAGGTCTCAGTGGTCTGCGCCATCTGCCAGATTCCATTTCGTCCTAAATTTTCTGTTATTTTCATAGTATGATATAGTCACCATTTTACAATATCATTAATCAACCTGCCCAAGAATCGTATATGTCAGTTAGAAAATATCGCTGCAGTGAATTATAATAGGGCTATTATTTCTTCAGCATTACTTCCAGAGTGGAAAGCATCATGCAAGTTCTTCAGGGCTGACAGGAAAATCTTTGCTCACAATTGAATGGACAAACCAACACGGCTGCGGTGATCGGGATCTCTATTGTAATTTTGTTCTTCAATATCGATGTCAAGATGATACCAAACATCAAACGTTGAATCACCACTCGATAAGGAATGGTAAAGAATCTATAAAGCGTACTGCACTTAACGTCTATAGACGTCGGTACCGCGAGATAAGGGCTTGTATATAAGGATTTTTAACGATGTCGATTCTGGGGACTTACCCAAAATGTAAAACAAAACCCAAAACTTACCCAGTTAGGGCCCATCTCTACACAGAATAATTTTGCTTTACTGGACTGAATGTTCTTGTTGATATAGTTGCGCGGAAAACGAGACGGAAACTCAGAAGCAACTTCCCTATTAGTTCCTGCATGATTGATATTGGCATATATTTATATTTTCAATATTCTAGGACGTTATACACACACCCCACAATACAACAAAAATGTTTTTACCCGACGCCATTCTAAGAATTCAAGATTACATCATGACTCAGTTAGCTACACCCGAGGTCTTCATGAATCTTGGGAATGGTATGATAAATGCGTCAAACGACATCGCAATCATGGTTAGTATATTGAAATTATTCTTAATAGTCATCATTATATAACGCATACAATAAGATGTGTGGGAGCTCATAGGAGAAAGCTATAGAGCTGCGTGGGAGCTCATAGAAGCTATAGGGCTGTTACTGAAGGCTCAAAGGAGAAAGCTATAGGGCTGCGTGGGAGCTCATAGAAGCTATATAGGCTGTTCCTGAGAGCTCAAAGGAGAAGCTATAGGGCTGTTACTGAAAGCTCATAGAAGATATAGGGCTGTGTGGGAGCTCATGGGAGAATACTATAGGACTATGCAACTTATTGTTTCATATTTTTTTTTTCAATATGCCAATTTATATGCTTTAATCAAGCAGTATCCTTCTTTATACTCTTCGTTTAATTTGTTAATCATTTCCCTAAATATTGTAGGGTTGTTCACCGCTGATCAAAAGATTAAAGGTCAAACAAGTATCTATACTCGTCAAAATCCAAATGGTGGTCGTAGCGGTTATGAATGTCCCGAAGAAAGAGATTATTATCCTTACTGGCATCCTACTGACTGGGTTGATATTGCAGTATTCGCTCATAATGAAACACTCTGTAACTACTATCGAAAGGAAAGTTTTAACGTCAAAACTAAGGGTATGTCTCGCTGGAAAACACAATTAACACCTGCTATATATCTTTTCGATGTATAGTCACAATGGACCCTAAAATACATGGTCTTTATCTCTATTCCTAGGTGAATGTCTTCAGTACTATCAAACGAAATCAGATGGATTTCGTCATGATTCAGTACATAACAACAAGATCGATTGCCAAAAAAATGGTGGCTTTTGGGTTCCATTCAGCAACTACTTAGAAGAATATCCAAAGTACCAAACAGAACGAGAATGTAAATCTGCTAGTTCTAGCAAACTTCGCCTAATCTGGGCCATTCCGTACCGATCAGAAAACATTGACAATCTGAAAATGACAGACGACAATGTAAATTCGCTGAAACGCTGTTTGGTCGCGCTTGATCCACCAGAATGCAAGAAAACTCCGTATACAAGATCAAATCATTTAGGAAATGCCCACAATGTTGTTCCTCTTAATTATACATGGGTGCTTCCACATTTCCCGTCTGGGCATGCACAAAGATGTGTCTTCAGATTAAGGTTAATCTCCCTATACTAGGCTGATGCTTCCTGAAAGTTTGAACTGCATAACGTACTTTATATCTTTATATATGTTATAATCTGTTACTTTCCTTTTTTCCAGATACAACATTTCCACTGGTGATTATCCACCATTTAACACATTCAGTGATGAAAATAATGACCCGTACGTATTCTCTATATTATGCAATCATGATCACAATCCGTACTAAACGTGAAAAGGTTGCATCTTCAACAATGCGAATATAATATAATGCGCTTCGTTCCAACAGGACCGTGCTTGTTCTTGAATTCGTTCGTTTCAGGTGTTCACGCTGTGAAAACGAATGGAATTTAATGTGTGCGCGCGTTTATACAAGGAGCTAGAGCAAACGATTTCAAGCATGTTCTAAGTCGTTGCACCTGTACTACGAACGTATTCTCGATCTAAAATAATTGAAGATACTGTTTTCTGTCTAGGAACAACGGCGTATACTCCCCAGTTCAAAACAATCCGAAAGTAAAAGTTGGGCATGTTCAGCTGCCGCTACAACTTGCAATCAACACAGCTCAGTTTGGACGCACTTTTCAAGATCGTTCTCACTTGTTCAAACTCGTACCCAGACCTAAAGGAGTCTCGGACCACGACGTGATATATAACTTAAACGTGCGAGGAAAACGCGGGAATATCGTACAGGTTTATCCTGCAGTTGAGTACGACTTCATTCCAAAACGATTGCATATTGCAAGTACGACCCTGGTACATATCCAGTGGACCGGTGAGATTCTTGATTCATTAAATGAACTTATTTAATGGATACAAATCTATTTTAAAGATTTAAAGAATATTATCCTTTACCATTCATGCAATTTTACAAATAATTTGCAGCTTGATGTACTGCTAACATGAGGAATTTGTTGCTGTATGGCTGTTCTCTAAACTTTCCCTTTTTGCAAACATTAGGATCACCAGATTTATTCTTTTATATTCATAGGCTCAAATACCAACCCTCGAGGAAACGCTGGGCAAGGCACTGCAGGTGAGATTATTACTGAATACGATGATAATAGTCCAGCAAATTTTCTTGAACGCTCACACTAATTGATAAATCACTTTGGTCTTCGGACCATGCACGTAGACTGAAAATTTTATGAATTGTAAATTTTCAATTTGTAATGCGTATATACAGGTACTGATCGAAACAACATGGTTGAAATGCACAACCCTTCCGTAAATTACCCGATAACATCAGAAAAAACACTAACCATGTTCCCTGATGCTGAAATCGTCTGGTCAAGTGATAAAGAGACAAAAACCAAAGAAGATCTTATTCTGAGTATGGCGTCATCAGGGTACTACAACAGCATGACACTCTGCAAGGCTTCGCCACAGAAACAAGCATTTAACGACTTATTAAACAACGCCCCTGCCTCGTATCGCGGCATGCTACTGAGGTTTAGACCTGGTACATATTACTACATGTGTACAAGGAATAACAACTTCAGCAACCGAAATCAAAAAGGAAGACTTGTGGTCCGAGGTGCACGCCCGGTTCTCGATAAGTGAAAATTTACTTCACGTAACAGGCTTAAGGCTTAAATCCAATCTGATCATTGATTGTAAAATGATTTTTTAGATAAGTTATCTGACCATATCGGTTACCAACTGTAAGCAAATATAAAACTTGGGAGAAAATAATGATTATAATAATAATAAAATGATCCGACGAAAACCTCGTTCCCAGCGTAAAATACTTTATATTTTATGAATAGCTTCACATTAAAAGTGATTTATTAACAGCCTGAAATACAAAAAACTTCATCTCAAGCGGTCTTTATTACGAGAGGCACGGTAGGACTTAGGAGTGACCTTAGGTCAAAACGACGAGAAGTATAAGTTATTTTAGGCAGAACCACATTGATGAGACGCTGCCACCTGCTCATTGGTTATATTTTGTGAAAATGTATGGGATACTTATTAATGTGCAATACTATATAAGATAATCAGTTAATCACTGAACATGCACTTAAAAACACGTAGTGGTGAAGCATCACACAATCCCCCCCCCCCGAGTCGTGTATTTATAGGAGTTAACTAGGATTTTGCAAAATGTAGTTCTGTGAAGTACTGAAGCCTATAGCTATAATAAAAAGATAGGGAGAATAATAAGGAAAGAAACAGCTGTCCTGAGGCTCAGTATGAACAGTATATAAAACAACATCAGTTTGAATTCAATTTTGAACAATGATATTCAATTCATATTCACATGATTGAATTATACTCATAATTTACGTCATAATTAAGAATCACATCGCTGCATGTAATTATGCAAATATCGCACAGTGTTCAGACTTTGCATTATACTATGTTTTGGGTATTGAGTGAAATGTTTTGCGTCGTAAAATAAGGAATATCTGCCCTGTCTCTTCCTTTGCTTTTGAGATACATGGTCATGGTGTAATAGCTTTTTGCCCTGTTACATACAGTCCTCGTGGACATGCAGTTGATAATGAAATTTTAAAGAATGACCAAATCGCCAGACGTAATATTATTACTGCAGCTATACCAACATACGAAACATTCAGGTGATGTATTAACGAATAATTTATCAAGCATGCAGTTATAAAAGATTTTAAAATAATTCCTGTGTGTGAACTCTAAAATATACACGGGCGGACGCACCATTTTCAAAATCTCAAAGACAAAGAAATTATGACCCACATCGTACACTATCGTAATCTATTTAGCTAGAGTTTTTTATCGTGCTAAGTATATTATAATTTACAACGCTAGCAGGACAATCATACGTTATTAAAATTAATCTGAATCATTAGCAATAGAGCGGGAAAACGTATTCTATTCAATAAATTCATGACTGAATAATATTCAAATATTGCTATTTCGAAGTAGCATTTAAAGGATCGTCAAAAATACTTGGTGAATCTTCATCAAAAATCGATACTTTACTTTTATTACCTTTCTTTTTACCTTTCGTCTTTTTTGTTGTTTTCGACGTTGACGCTTCTCCACCTGTCGCTGAATCTAAAGAACAGACACTCTGGCGCTGAATAACTTTTTTCATGCATTGTTTGAAAAAACACTTTACTCCCGATGGTACATTTATGAAAATGATCCATTGATGTAGCGATTTATTCTAATTCATATAATAATTTGATAATTAATACATTGCATGCATTCTAATCATACAAAAGTTTTGTGTTGGAAAGTTCCATTCATATATTCACACAAGATATCTAAAAGAACGATTCGACTATTTTTTTTACCTTGTGGTTTATCAAAAATATTTTCTTCTTTTGAAGTGGTTGCCTTTTTCTTCTTTTTCTCCTTTGATTTCTTTGGAAGATCATCAAAAATGGATCCAGTGCCAGCAAAGAGATCATCGACATCGTCTGTTTTCTTCACTTCGCTTTTGGTTTTAGTTTGCTCCTTGACACAGAAAAAAAAATTCTTATCGCACAAGAAAAATCAATGCGAATACATTTTGTTTTTCCAACCCAGCATTTAAGAAAAACTGGCCTGCATAGTCGCTATAAGTTTAACCAATAATATAAATCTATTAAAATTCTCTTCCAAATTACCTCAACATTTCATGGAGCATGCGACAAATTGCATGCAACAAAAGTGCAACTAGTGTACATCAAGTTATCATTCCTTAATTCCTAATTCTTTATTCTGCCTGACAAACGTATATGAAACTGAAAAATATACCTCCCGTCGGAAGTAAAATATGATGTTAACAGTACGTGATATGTTACCTGTATCTCTTCCTTCTTTTCATCTTTTACATTTAGTTTTGTTTTCTCCGATATATCCTCACTAGTTTTCTTTTTCGTGGATTTCGGAGCAAAAATATCATCATCGTCACCAAAAATATCATCACTGACAGTTTTCGCATTGCTTTGTGCTGTAAACTCTCCAGAAGCACTGACCTCCGAGTCGAAATCCAGAGGTGGAGGCGAAAACACTGCTCTATTACTAGGCTTAAATATATCGTCCTCATCGTCATCTTCAACTTTATTTACCTGTACTTTTTGTAAACTTGACTTGTTGCTCTCAGTCGACCGGCTGAATATATCATCCGTTGGCGTGTTTTCTAAAAGTAGACCAGTTTTTTCGTCTTTCTTTGCAGGAAGATCAGACGTCTTGTTTTGTGACAAGTTCCTTTCGCTCGATTGGCTAAAGAGGTCGTCTTTTGGTTTACTATGAAAGAGTGGGTCAGATTCAGGCAATTGTTTCGTCGTTCCAGAAGTATCAGGCTCGATTTTTGACGCAATATCACTTTCAGTAGACTTGCTGAATAAATCAACTTTTTGTTTGCCACCTAAAAGAGGATCAACATTTAAACCATCACTTTTTGCAGGAGAAACGTCGTCAGCCTGTTTTCTTTCCTGTGCGATATCACTGCCACCCGACTGGCTGAACAAATCATCTTTTGGCTGGTTATCAAACAATGAATCGGGTTTTGATTTTTGGCTTTTTGCGGAAACTTTCTCTGTCGGTTTAGTTTTTTGCGACCTGTTACTTTCGGTTGATTGGCTGAAAAGATCATCTTTTGGCTGACTATCGAATAATGAATCCACTTTTGTTTTCTGGCTTTGTGTTGTAGGAAGTTTTTCCGTCGTCTTGGACTTTTGCGATCTGTTACTCTCCGTTGATTGGCTGAAAAGGTCATCCTTTCGTTCAGTATCGAAGAGCAGATCAGTTTTTGACTTTTTGTTCTCTGCTTCACTTCTCTTTGGTTTTGTCTTTTTCGCTATTTCAGACGACGAGCTAAACAAATCATCGTCAGACTTTTTCTGAGATTGCTGTAATATTTTACCCTCACTTTCAGTAGATACGCTGAAAATATCATCTTTTGATCTCTCTTTTGCTTTTTCTCTTGTATTTTGTTGATTATTAGGTACGCGTTTTTCAACGTCTGATTTAGGTAAAAATGAGCCGTCGCTTTCCGTCGATGTGGCGAAAAGATCGTCTTTCAGTGGATTACTAGAAAGTGCATCCGCTTTATTCTTATTCCTCTTTGTATTTGATGCAGTGTCTTTACCCGCAGTGACGTCATCTGGAATGCCATCAACGGAGTCTTCAAATGAAGGTAAATCCGACGTCATCGTATTATGAATAAACAATGGATCGAACTTCGAATAATTTGATTGTGTACTATGTGATTTTTGATTGTTCTTTGCGGGCGTTTTGTAAGAACTACTGCTAAATAAGTCATCAGAATCACTAAACAGCGATGGTTGACCGCCTTTAGCACTATCAACCCTATCTTGTGAAACAGATGGTACGGCCAAGTTAGATCCAAATAAGGAGGCATCATCCATACTTCCCTTAGCAGCTTTCTGCCGGGCTTGTCGAGTCGGTGGTCTTCGGTTTCCGCGAGGTCGAGCACGATCCTATAAACATTTGTATAGTGTTAAGATCTTAACTTGGTTGTCATGCAAAAACAGGATTGTTTCAACAATATATTTATCTGTACAATATGATACTAAGGAAGATTGCTCCATTAAGGTTAACACATCGGTAGCTTCGTGGTGAAAAAAGGGGCCGCTACCATAAGTAGAAGAATAAGATTGATATTCATATTAATATAGTAACATGCTGTTGGCATTGGGCAGGACAAGCGAAAAACAAACATTTAAAATATTTTGACAATCGTACGATTATTAGACTGGTTTCCACTCAGAAAATTATCCTCGGGACCAGATGGGGGCAGGAACGTTTTTGCCGTCCGTGAGTTAACCTTGCCAGAAAAATGGTTTGAATACGAAACTAGGAAACGTTTAGGAGAGTAACAATAAATTAATGATACGTACCCTGCCAGATGTTTCCAGCGTGTTCACTGACGCAGGTTTATCAAACGTCGCTTCTGCTGACGTTTCCTGTTTCCTTGGAGGTGGAACAGCGCCTGGTAACATTGTCGCTGGGTTGAATATTATTGGTTTCTGAAAAGAAAGTCATTAGCGAAATCATTTAATGCATTTTTAGACTAACGTAAACAGCTTGGTTGTGGTATTATATGATCCTATATGCCACAATGGGCCAAAAAACCTTTTAAGAGTGGCGTATCATCATAAGGAATGGTTTTTCCATGTTATATTAAACAGACCAAAAATTTCCTGACATTCGAATGGTTATAATGGAATAGTCTAACATCAGGGGACAGCGGGGGGAAACGAGCAACCAACGAGCAAAGCTCTCTTCTTGACCCCCCCCCCCCTCCTGGACGTTTGTCGCTCATTTTTTTCCAATTACTATATACTCACCCTTGCAGCAGCAACTGGTTCGTCTGTTGTCGTAGTTTCCTGTTTCTTGGGTGGTGGCCTTGCACCAGGAAGCATCGCTGTGGGATTAAACATCAAAGTTTTCTAGAGCAGAGTGAACAAATCGCTGTTAAACAATATTTCCATTTCATAAACATGAGATCTAATTCTTACTGTTCAGTAAAAAATATCGTAAATAGTGACCGCATGAGATGAAATTACAATGGAATGAACATTTGACATTTTCTCTGCAGAAGAAGAGGCGAGGTTCTGCAGAGAAAATGTCACATGTTTTCTTTTATCTGCGGTAAACCAACTACACGGTATTCAGTATTTTCACCAATAATTAAATCACGAGTGCATGAAATTACTACCTGTAACTTCCCAACATTAGTATTCTTCTCAAAAGAAACTTGTTCAGGAACTTTTGCTTCTTTCAGAGGTGACGAAGAAGTCGGAGTTTTGGTTGGTGCCTAAATAACACGCAGATTAAAGATTGACTATTGCACTAGTGATAGTGCATATGACCCACGCGGGTGAACTAATATTGTGATGGTGTGAAGATCTAATTCTTACTATACAGTCGCTTAAGACACACAGATATGTTACGGACTATATTGAGTGAACGTACTTCCACCGCTGGCTTTCTTGGTTTAGCTTTGGGTGCAACCGTCGGAGCAGGTTTTGGTGGAGTAGCAAATAAATCATCTTCATCATCCGCAAATAAACTGTCGCCTAAAATTACAATTTTCCGAAGAAGTGCATTTAAGTGGATTGATTAAGATTCGGGTTAACGGACCGAAAGCTTTGCAGTATTTAATACTTACGTGGTGTACCTACAAGTTATTATAATTACTAAAGTCGCCATGCAATCATACAAGAAAATTATTAAAACTGTTACAATTATAACACGCGATGGTCAAACTCCTCATGCGAAGTTCGTTACCAGTAACCAACAAAGCTCGAGGCACATGTTCCTGGGTCTGGTCTTGCAACGATCCAAAGCATGTCATTCACGTGAGAAAGTGCTTAATAAGAGAAAGTTGCCCTCCCAGGGAAAGCACCCCAGAAAAAAAAAGGAACCTACATGTAAACAAATTTTGGGAAGGAAGGGCGTGAAATATTAGCTCATGATAGACCTATTACAGTCAAACTAAATTAGGCAACTGTAAGGAATGCCATTATTTTATTAATATTCATTAAGTTAAGCAGCAAAAGAGAGTGATAAACAGGCAAAATTACCTTGCGGCTTAGCTTTGGTTGTTTTGCCAGGTTTTTGTCCACCGAATATATCAACACCACCAAACATGGGGACAGCCCCGGGTAATATCTTACGAGCTGGCTTGCCACCATCCTTGTCATCATCTTTTTCATCGCTATCTGTGTCAAACAAGTCTTCTGAACGTTTGTCTGTTTCTTTCTTTGTTGGTTTATTCACTGCTGGTTCTTCTGTACCCTATTGCACAATTGATAGCATCCGAATTAAAGAAACATTAAAAATTATATGGTACAGTGGTATACAGTGGTATATGTACAGCGATCATATACGGTTTGGCTGTATTGAGGGGATGAATCATATTCATCATTGTATCTATAGGCATTATGTCCCGGCTATTTCTTTTGCATCTTGGTAAAATCCGAGCTTAACCGACAAGCACATATTGCTAAAATTATATTCTCTTTATAATCTTAAAATATTCAGTACCTGAGGCTTTGGCTCGCTAAAAAGGTCATCTTCGTTAGTTTCATCAACATGAAGTACTTTACTTTCTTGCTTGTTTGTCTTGACTTTGGGCTTGTTATCCACAGTATCAACGTGAGTCTGATGAGAAAGATGATCATTTGTTTCATAAAATTGTGACACTAATTTATATGTTAGCTGTAAAGAAACTGCTCTATGGGAAGAATAAATGGAATTTACAGGAGAGTGCAAAACTTTTCACCAAAACTGACTTCAAAGATATAAAAACTTTATAAGAAAATGTACATATAAACCATGCAGATTTTGCGTTTCAGTTTCTCACTATAGTCGTCACAACTATATTCTAGCATGAAAAATTCACGGGTAAGGGTAAATGAGTTAGCATGAAGTGATTATACACATATTGCTCATCATTATTCATAAATCCTCCTACCGCAATGGGTTTTTCTCCAGAGAACAGAGGATCATCAGCAGAACCAAACAAACCATGACTAGGTGTAGATGGTTTTACTGATGGTTTTACTTCCGGTGTACTCTAAACAAATGCAATAAAATGACAACGTCTACTCTTCTCTTAGTTGTTAAACATGTGACGTAAAAGGCACCGGAAAAACCTTTGCCGACGGTTTGATGGTAAACATATCATCTTCGTCATCATCATCATCTTCCTCGTCATCATCAAACAGACTGATAGTTGAACGTTTTGGAGCAGGTTTAGAAACTTCAACAGGCTGAAAAACAGAACTCGCTGTCTCATATGAATTCATGAGGTAAATTATGTCTTTTTTTATGAACATATCCAAGCAAACTTGCAAGATGAATTAGTGAAACTAAGCGGTTTATATTCTATATAGACTGTTTATATTCTATATAGACTTCAGTTCCATAATTTACATGAAATGATGATATCGAGATTAAGATTTGGTTGTGAATATAGCAAAAAGATTACCTCCCCACATTGTGTATTCATGAAATATTCAACTTAGTCTCGTCTCACGTCTGCTTTATTCTGGGAACATTCAACATTTCAACTTTGCTATGTAATTTTTTATGCAGGCTCTATGTATCACTTGGAGAAACCTTACCTTGGCGCCTGAAGATTGGTCTGGCTTTGAAATTGTCGCGCTTTTATTTGAACTGAAATAGTAAAAATAGGAAAAGTGAGCAAAATCCTGCACTAGAATAGCATCATAACAGCACTATACGATAAAGAATAATTGGACCAATATCCAATGAGTTTTGGAAAGCTCGACATAATCAACTTACCCCACAGATTTTAATGGGGCAATTGACGCAAAAAGATCATCACCACCATCATCATCATCATCATCATTATCATCAAACAAACTAATTTGATTAGTTTTTCGTTTGGCTTGTACAGCAGGTGCAGTTTTGACAGCGGTACTGGATACCGCTGATCGTTCTGAATTAAACGAACTCGTTTTATCATCGTCATCGTCAAACAAACTATTTGCCTCCTTTGAACTCTTTGTATTAGAAGTAGTACTAGAAGCTGGTGGCTGTGAAACCTCAGGAGACTGGAAATAGAAAGTCATTGCAAATTTAAGACAAGAAAAATAAAATTCAAAGATTTTAGTCGTTCTTTTTTCCGTGCAAATCTGTTTTTAAGAGAAAAAGTCATTAAATGAAACGTTTGATGAAAAATGAAGATTTAATTTTTCAAAGTGTATGCAGAATTCACTTTGGATATCAGCAAAGTGCAACAATGCCAGAATGAACTTTGGATAACTGCACTTTTCAACCTAAATAAGTAATGAACTGACGACATGTGGAGCACGCGATTTGAATAAATAAGGAGGAACTATAAAATCGCTGGTTCAAAGGTGCCTCATAGGTGATGCGTATCATAGTTAGCACTCTGCCATAGTCGTACCACACTATATATCGATAATACACTACATCCCATACGCCAGAAGTGAATTGGATCCAACAAAGTTGTATGGTGTGAGCAGACCTTTACACAACCATTATATTCAAATATTAAACAAATAATATTTCGATTCTGTTTGTTAATGTTTCTATATGTACCAGAATAATACATGCACAAATTATATATATATATATATATATATATATATTATTATATATATATATATATATATATATATATATATATATTACACAACCATTATATTCAAATATTAAACAAATAATATTTCGAATTATTTATTAGTAATTCCATTATTAAAGCTTATATCTCGACCAAGAGTCGAACGACTACGAGCATTATAGCAACAACAAGCGATAAAGCAGGAGGCTTTAACGTGGATCTAGCATGGCTTGTAATCATTTCATTTGTTCCTTCTTTGCATTTTGATGGATCACATTCATTTCCTTCAATTGTGAACACAGCTGATTTACTGGCAGCCGTTACAGAGACATAAATAGTCTTTGTGGACCCGTCTTCCGTTGATCGCCTCATTTTAGCAGTTACAGATCCCGTGGCTGAAATAACTATGATCTTGTCTTCCTGCTGAGATACATCAAAGGAAAAATCGTTGTCGAACTCATAGGGATGAGGGTTACTACGAGAGACGTACACGAGTGTGTCGCCAGCCAGGTCACTGACTTTTATCTCGAGGTTTGAAGATTGATTTATATTGTAACTGAAATATTGAAAGGAATCTTTCTCTACATCGGTTTTGATTGTCTGGTTTAGGGATAGAGGTTGTGGCTCGTTGCATGTTGCTGATGTTATAGTCGTAATGAAATTTTTCAGCCTAAAATAACTAGACAAGATATGAACATGGGTCGTGGAAGTAGCGATTTTTCTCAGCTTGTCCTTGTCAAAATTGCCAATACCAACTACATAAATAACGATGTTATTGTCTCGTACATTCTGCGAAGGAATTTCAACACCGTCACTTGCCACGCCATCTGTTAGAACAATCAATATACGAGGTAAGCCATCTTCTTCAGGTCGCAGTCCTCTTTTGTTCGTGAATTGATCGACTAATATCTGACCCAAAGCTGCGCCAAGATTGGTATAACCACCTTTCCTTACAACGCGACTAACTGCCGCCATGTAACTTGAACGACTAGTGTAGTTTGATAAGTAGAAATGTGACTGGTAGTTGGTGCTAAATGTAGACAATCCGAATCTAGTGCCAGTGTTGCCCTTCAGTTTATCCTCGGGAAATGCTCGTATAAAGTTCATTACAAATAGAAGGCTTTCATGAAAACTTTGGAGTGAGACACTACCTGATTCATCGATCAGAAAGATGAGGTCAACAGAGCGGTTGCATTTCTGAAGAGTCGCTTCAATTATATCTGCTTCGTTATTCCGCCTTCGCAAATCACCTCTTTGTTGTTTTTCTGGAGCCTTGTAAAAGTTTCTAAGTTCCTTAACGGCGCCAACCCAGTCATTGCTCGTTACTAGACCCCAAAACTTCGGGTATGCTGGAGGTTTGCCAAATTGATACCAAACGCTGACTATAGCTGTGCGAATACTGCGAGGGAGGAACGTAAAAGGAATTGCATCTTTATCTATATCGGAGTTGTATTTTTTTGAAACATCTTTAATTATTTTGCTAGTTACAGCGTCTGTTAATTGGTTTGTCTCGTTTGATGATAATACCAACGGACGTTCAATCACAGAACAAGCCGCCAGATTCCTTCTCAAACCAAAGTACGGACTCAGCTTATCAAGAAGAGAGATTGGCAAAAACTCTAAATTCATTCTTGACTTGCTTCCAAGGTCGATTCCAGCACCAAAGGTGACGCCACTACGCCCAAGAACTTCGCCATTCTTTGGGTTAATAGGGACATATCCGCAGAACGAGAAACCTTCGTGACATCTGAGGAACTTCTTGTAAATCATCGGGAAATTCGTCTCGCTTCCTTCGGGTATCCCAGATTTCCAAGAGCGTGGACAATCTGCCATGCTCTGGAGATTGCAATTTGTCGGAACACGTATTTTGCCAACATACTCCGAAGGCCGAAAGGCACTCTTACATTGGTGCTGTTTAGCATAAACAGTGCCAAGAGCAATCAGGAAAAAAAAAGAAGAAAATCTTAGCAACATACTTGGACGTTTGTGCGTTGCAGGTGAGCGATAGAATGCGTTTAGGGGTTATAAATTTGAAATAACTTCATTAATTATTCAATGGCTTTGAGGTAGGAGCATGCTCAAATTCGATTTCGATTTGCAGTACTTGCCACTAGTTTCTGTCGTAAAACAGCAGCGCCACGTTTAAACGTAATGTAAATGCAATAGTCTGGAAAATATAAAATGAACTGGGACTTCAAAATACTTTATAAGAAAAGCTAAGAAATGAGTTTAAAAGCATTGATAATTGTCCGTGGAGTCAGCACATTTCCAATGAATGTAGACATTTCCAATCTCGTAGAATATTAATGATTTTTAAAATAATTTATTAATGATTTTTAAAATCATTTCTCAGCTTTTCCTACAGCATGAATATTTAATGTGAGGTCAAATATCAGCATGCTTATCTAACTTATAACATTGTGAAATAAATCATGGAAGTAGCCGTAGCCCACATGGATGTGAAGCTTTGCTATTACTATACAAAAACGTTATCCACGTGATGAAATTCGCGAACGTACCCATACACCCATACGTGACAACGATTCAACTGTGCATACGCTTATGTCATGACTTTATACGAAGTGGGAAACAGTCCAAAGATTTTTATGAAGACCGAATGCTAATTATACTTGATTCGTAAAAATACCCAAGAGGATACCCCAATTCTTAAAAATATTTACGGTAATAAAATAAAAAACCTCAGCTTTCTAACGCTATATTCATCATTTAGTAAAACAGAATAAACCCCACCTTATCGGCAATATTTATCGGTGAACCACTTCCAAAAATAGAGACCGCTCCAGCTGGTAGCTACGACAAAAGATCAAATTAACATTAAGAACATATACATACTGTATATTCAGCGATTTTTTTTCTTTCTATATTCATTTTCTGATTTGAATTATGAAAAGTGCAGCTCTTTAAAAAATTGTGTTTGTTTTCTTCTATATCTGTGTGATTTGTGTGATAGAGCGGACATGAACGTGATTTCGCGCTCATATTATTGGTTTGTCGAAATAGAAAGCTGAAAGCTATTCTCGACAATATCTTTTGTTATTCTTTATGAAAATAGTCGAAATCTGTGATTACAGTACGTTAAGTTATGAGAACTATAGCTTTAAAACATGAATTTGAAACTGAAATATAACCGAGAACTGGGATTTTATTTGACAGCTAGTCCTAGTCCTTTCCCGCCATCTCAACACAGCTACGGCTTTATCAAATAAACGTTTAATGAAGAACAGAACACAATGCCAACAAACAAGTAGAATGTAGACCGTAGAATGTAGACCGATCTTACTACACGAGTCACTGCACAGTTAAAACTGACGAAGCGCTAAGGTCGAAACGTCGAAAAGATTTTTGTGTATTTTAGGCAGTTGTAATGCCACAATTAATAGTAAGTTGTTAGGAAACGCTGCTATGCTGCTTCCTGGTTATATTAAAAGGCAAGCATCTGAAATGCACATAATTACCTTCTTCTTTTTTGGTGGTTCGACTTTTGGTTCGCTCTTCTTGGTTGGTTTTACACCAAACAAACTGTCATCATCTTCTTCTTCTTCATCACCAGAACCAAATAAATCTACAGATTTTGTAGATTTTGCTGCAACTAAAAGATATTTGAAAGTTGAAAGTTTTTAAAAGGAAGTTAGTATAGCGTATATAGATACCGTTGGTATCAAGACCAGAAATCCGCAAAATGGTAACATCGTAAGGGACAATAATATCATCGGGTCACTAAATATTTCGTACTTATAGGTAGTTAAAATTTTTTACAAACAAATGGTCAACCGCAATCGGTACTTTGATCAGATTATAATATTCATGTCGTGAGGCAGTCACATGATGTCACATGATGTACTCAATAGACCTTTCTTATAATGGCGTCAAACGCGGGAATTCTAATGTTACACGAAATTTTGATTGGCTCAACAAACCGAGCCATTGGGTTGTGAAATCATATGTCACGAGGAAGATTTCCAACAAAACTCTTCAACTGTATTTGAAAAGCTCGATTATTAAGAACCAAAAATAAGTACTGCTTACCTGCGGGTGGTTTGTTTGAAACTACAGACGAGGTTTGACTTGAGGTAAAGATATCATCTCCTTCATCAGAAAATAATCCACCTCCTTGATTTGGTTTAGTTTCTTTCTTTTCAACTGGACTACTCTTTGTAACATGATGTTCAGTCTAAAAATTACAATAAAGCGTTGGTTATATACACACAGAAAAATAACATTATTCGCATCCCAAACTTCTTCGTGCTTGCACGTTACGGTGCTGCCATAGGTAGGGTCAGGTTCTTTAATGAAAGTCAACCATGAGTTTTCGTATGTAATTTGGAGTTACATTTCATAGAAATGACCATTATTACTTACTGCTTGTACTGGTACATGAAATGGTCCCTGGTCTATAAAAAATAAGCAACTATGTATGAGACGAAAATCAATCTTTATATATAGAGAACATACGCCTGCTCCATCAATACGTAAACTTGACAATTTGCCAGAGATTTTGATCCTACAGCAATGCCGTTAACTTTCTATTGTCTTCAACCTGCTTGCATTATTCTGACTGACTAGCAATATTCGTCATATATTGGTTCAAAATATGTCGTCCCCTATCAAGCATTAACTATTTCCAATTTTCACAATGCACGTCTTCCAATTATAATAGATAGATAGGGAACTAATATGCTACATATGGACAACATGGTACAAGTCACGAAACATCATGCAGCACTGTACGTATATTGAAAGAGCATATTTCTATTTGACGTCCTATCCTCTTACTTCCAAAAATTGCAACTGCACCAGCAGGTAGTTTCTTTCCGCTTGCCGTCCTAGGTTTTTGTTTGATGATTTCTATTTAAGATATAAATACACGTTAGGGTAAGGGAACACGAGGAACTGCGATTTCTATCAATTCATGCGGAGGATATTCAAGGGAGTATCTGGAGGACACCTATCAGGGATTATGATATCAGTGTATTGGGTCTACATCAGCCAAATACTTCATAAAATTGTCATTCAGTAAAGGTAAATGCTCAACCTTCATCACTCTCGTCTTGTTCGTGGTCTGATTTAGGAGTATCGTTGTCTACACTGCCAGGCTGGAATAAAAAGAATGCGATTAGAAAAGCTTAACGTTTGTGGAATTTGTCAAAACATTATCTAAATGGGCATTGGTCTACAATAGACCTTATGCATAATGACGTAACAAGCGGTGACAACTGCAGGGAATTCTGGTCTTAGTAGTCACGGCGGGAAATTTCAAAGTTTGAATTTTTCGCCGTTACTACAAAAACTAGAATTCCCTGCAGGCGTCACGGCTTGATACGTCATTATGGGGCGTGTGGTTAAAAGATCGTTCATAATCATGACCCATGCAACCACAGTGCAACCACCAAGTCTCAACCCACCATCACATGGTAAATAAATAGAGTAACATCAATCATATCGAACAAATGGTCAGATTTAAAGTGAAGTGGGGGAAGAAGGGGGTATGTATGTAGAATATGGGGAAAATTCTGAATATTGCACTACGCTTCCCGTGGTAAACTCTACCTTTGATATTTCCGCTTCATCTTCCGCGACATCATCAAACAGTCCTCCTCCACCACTAAACATCCCTCCTTTTTTACCAAACGGGCTTGTCTCTTCAAATAAATCTCCTTCCGGACTGGCACTGAATAGATTGCTTTCTAAATACCGGAGATCTTATTAAAATTGCTGAAAATATTCTGGGAAATGCAAAACGCTTTATTATATTGCAATTGCAACCTTACGATATACAGGGTGTATAAAAAACTACTCCCTATTCAAATCAAGCTTCTGTTAGAATTAGAAAGCTACATATATTATTATGATAAACCCACGGATGCCTAAAATGAAACGCGAGACTTTATTTTGAAGGCCTCAACCTAATTACCATTAGAAAATGGGGTAATCGGGGAGATTAAGGGGTACTCTTTAGACTATTGAATGCGCGTTCTTCTACCATGCAGTCGGAATCATATGTAAATTGACTCAATCACTACAAGTGAAGCATACTGTTACTGTTATGTGGAGAATAGCACCGGTAAACACAGTTATAAGCCCCGTTTACACTACACTCGATTTATTGGCACGGCACGGCTAAAATTGGTACCCGTACCCAATTTTATTAGTATTCAGGCTACCAAAACAAAGGCTGAGCACAGATGAAATGGGCACGGGCACCCACTTTAACCGTGCCGTGCCAATAAATCGAGTGTAGTGTAAACGAGGCTAGAGAGACGTTATAGTAATAAACTATAGTTGATTCCAGTTGCGAGTGCTTTACTCTGGCCTCGACATCAAAATCTTTCATTAATTAGTATCAAAGACAAAGTTCCTACGCTTACCATCTTTGCTTGACGTTCTTTTCTTTTCTTTGTGGGCACTCTTGGAACTAGCATTGCTTACTTGACTATCACTTCTAGACGTTTTCCTCTTGTGCTTATGTTTAGATCTACTGCCTTTGCTAACGACGCTTGATGTTGTGTCAATAGAACTTGTGAATAAATCGTCATCATCGTTATCTTCATGTTTTTGACTTGTTTCAATATCATTCTTAACATTGCTAGCAGCTGGGGTCGTGGTTGTGCCCTAAAAATATTGAGAAAACAAAGTGAATTTCAAGGGTACACCTAGTCCAAGTCTCGCTTGAACTAAGTCCTACCAAACGAACATCATCTAACACTCGACGGATGGATCTACCTTACTATAAAGTGAACTGATCTCATAATACACACTAGATGGATCTATCAATATCTAATTCTAGGAAGTGTATATTTACACACTTACACTATCACGGCTTGCATGGCTGCCACTTCTAGACTTTGGTTTCTTGTGTTTTTTCTTTCTTCTACTTCCTTTACTAGAAACTGTCGTGGTCGTGTCTACTGACGCCGAGAACAGATCATCCTTCGTCGCCTCGCTTTCGTGTTTTCCACTTTCTTCCCAATCATCTTTATCATCGTCTTCATCACTATCATCCACAGGCGTCTTTGGTTTCACTCCCAGTTTGGCAGCAAGCTCAGCTGTGAAATCCATTGGAGCGGCAGACTAAACAGTGATATAGTAAAAAAATACATTCTTTCCAAATACGCGTTAATAACATTTCCTACTCAGTTGTGGTGAGTGTAGTTACATTGGGCGACTTTTGACACAGAAACTACACAAAAACGCCACCTAATTTACAATCAATACCAAAAAAAGAGAAGAGAAAATCTGATATTCACCACCGAAAGGAGCTAATAAAGTGTTCAATCTTTTAGCTAAGGCAAAATGTGTAATATCTCCTTATTCATGTTTGGTGAAAAATTAAAAAAAAAGAAAATAGCGCACCTTTCGTGATTTTTCTTTCACTTTATCCTCTTCTTCCATACTTTCCTCACTATCATCATCATCATCTTCTTCTTCATCATCCTCATCTCTTGATTTTCTCGACTTCTCTGTTCCTCCAGCTGCGAATAGCCCATCATCCGATTCTGAATCTGAACTTTCCTGCAGCATTGTTTAGAAACACAAGTCAAGACAAAACTTGCATGATAGGGTTGATCTGAGAATGGGATCTAATACTCCTTTCAATTCTAAACTCATTCTGTAGTGCATCTATAGTCGTAGACAAAAGCAATAAAGTATAACAATTATGTACGTAAATTTCGTTTGTACACATGTTAACTCATGAGATGGAATAATATTTTTAGACACAAATTTCAGTATGCTTTGCCTATAGAAAATAATGTGCACATTTAATTTCATCGAATATAATGTGGTCGTATCAATCCGGGATGCATGCCACCCTACCCTACGCTCTACTGAGCCTCACTTCCGTGTTGTTTATACTCGACCCTCACTTCCGCGTTTAGAGCAACCTTGAAATTCCATTTAAAATTTCTGAATACATACACGAATGAAGGTTCGATAGAAGCGCTGTATAGTGAGGAACTTTTGATGTGTCATCTTTCAATAACCCCAATATTCAACACAAGATAAGATAAATTTATATCTCTACCTTTCTGGGTTTCTTTTTTACCACAACTTCCTTCTCGTCTTCACTTTCAGTCGCAGTCGACGAAGCCTAAATAAAAATATTGCGTAAACACTTCAGGTTGGACATTATACAGTAAGTTTCCGAAGAAACGCAGGAAACGTTGTTGTTGTTATGACTCTACTGTATTTAAAAGACTTCAACTTTGATTAGGAATCAAATAACAGAAATGTCTATTTATACAAACAGAGATCATAACGATTAGTAAAGAACATTATCTACATCACGCTTAGAGCATGTCCTCAAACTACACGGAAATGCTGCATGGTTTACTCATGAAAAAACATTTACCCTGGACATACATTATATCACATAATGTACGCGTTATCCGCTAGTAATATCCTGGTTTGATTAACCGTAAGAACCTCAAATATTTGAAAGATATAGCGAGGGTCGTACCTCCTCAGATTCTGATGCGCTGACTGTATCACTTTCTGACGTTTCTTCATCTTCTGTACTTTTCTCTGACTCGCTTTCTTCCATGCTGGCTTCTTTATCGCTGCCTTCATCTATAAAAACAACATGTGCATGGTATGTATTTATATCATATCACAGTTAATTATCCCATTTTATTACCCAAAACAAAATCATTAATATTACACAACATTTCAATTAAAAGAACAAAAAAAATTTTTAATCTCAATTAATTGAATAGACTAATCAATAGCAAAGTTGACACAGCACAGTTTGCATATTGCAATAAATTGAAATCCTTTAAGGCAGTGTTACACTATGCAACTTTCCTTCCAACTTGCAATGCAATTCTACTCCTGAGGCATCTAAAGTTGACAAATACGAACATTTCTTACGATCTGCTAACGTTCTCTTAGCATTTCGAACACTCTTTACTAATTAACATCCCTCGAAATTATAATTGCATTGCAAGTTGCAAGGAAAATTGCATAGTGTAACACCGCCTTTAGCATTGACAAAAATATTTTAAAGGATACACTTAATTCAGATTGGTTAAAGAGCATGCAATTTTATCACTACTGGTGTACCTTCACTAGATGACTCTCCCAAACCAACAAGATCATCTTTATGAAACTCTGCTGTACCAATAAAACTCGGCAACTTTCTATGTGCATAAACATCCTACAAACGGAGGTAGAAGCAACTGGTTGAGATTAAAATGTTTGAATAAGACTTGTGATACTGTAATTAGCTAAGATTTTGTGTGAGCAAAGCTCCCAGGGAAAATGATGATACTATCCAAGGGGTAACAACAACAACAGCAAGACATTCCATACCGTTAACTCAAGTATTGGTTCAGGTTTCAGATTATCTGGCAATGTTCCTTCATCTTCATCATCAGACACCTCTGTTAGAGTAAGTGCACAATTTAACCATTTAGCCCCATTTAAATAAAACCATTAACTTTGTCTTAATTTGCAAGAGAATTTGAATAGCTATGTGGACATTTTGAAAACTAGTCCGGGTTCAACCTTGAAAGCATATTCTAAACAACCTGACTGTGTATTCTAAACAACCTGACTTATATACAGATATACTGTAAGGTACTATTATATATCTAACTTACGCTCAGGAGTAATTTCTACAGTGACAAAGGCACTATCCAATACTGCTAGCCCAGACTGAAGAGCTTCATTGATTTTTGGAATAACTTCTGTTTCTAATTCCTCCCTTGTTTTCTCCTGGAACATGACACAATGTGAATGTTGATTATCTACTAGGCAACAATGCTATGGTTTCATAATTATGGATGGTATAGTAAACTTCTGTGCCATTTGATGATTTTGATCAACTCACTCATGTAAATAATTTTTTTGAATTCTTCTTTCTTTTAAATTTGTGGGTTAGTTCTAACTTGAGAAAGTATTACTTGAGCATATATGTAATGTACCACACAATTAAGCTGCTTAAAGGCTCAGAATGTAAAAGGTGTACCTTTTCCTGAGGGGTAGATGTTTCCCCTTGTTTTTCTTCTTCATCTTTAGTTTCTTCTTCATCATAGACTCTCTAGAATGCATATAATATTCCAAAGAGTATGATTATGTTTCAGACATAAAAAATAATTTAAAATGGTGCGTAACTGCTGGAAATATTTTATAAAAATATAGTAAAAATCCTCACATTTTCAATAAACTGTGTGTTTGATAACATCAAAAAATTATTGAAAGTGTTATGCACTTTGGCAGAAATGCCCTAAAAAAACAAAGTGATAAGATTACTTATCATAAATATACAGTATATACAGGCCAGTTATGCTCTTTTGATATAAATAAGGAAGTCAGCAGGGTACACATTTCAACATTATGGACTGTTACTTTACACATTTATACTACTTTTGCAAAAAATATTAAATATCTATTTGGGTTTCACCTGCAGTCAGTGTCGTGACCATTTGCAATCAGTATATTTCTGATGTTTTATTTCTATGTCAAACCCACCATCCTCTAATGTACATCTCTAGCAGCTTAGTTAGAACAAGGTATTTGACAATTGCTGTATATGACAGCTAGTAAATGAATTAACCAATAAAAATTGATAGAAAACTAAATTATATACCTTGGTTTCCTGGACCAGTCCATCAACCTTTTGTTCCATACTGTGTGTTTGTGATAACATGTTTTGGGAAAACTCTTGCATATACAGCAGCAACTGAAGCAAAGAAGCAATTTGTTGCTAGCAATTGTATATAGTAAGTCATTCTGTTGTGATTAATTAATCAAAGGATTATGCATTAATATGCAACTTTCCCATGTCTGTTTATAAGTACAAAAGGATCCTTGCAAACTGCTTTGCCTGGCTTTGCTTGGGCAAGTTTGTTTATATTAAAAGTTATATTTGTAAATATTTTTTTAAAACTCTATATGCAATTGTAAACAGAAATGAAGAACATTAATAAACAGCTAAACAATAATTGCTATTGTGCAATTCTATGGTGTTCTATGTGAGTACAGAATGTACATTAAAGAATGATATAACCCCAGAGCAGGAGCACAAATCAATAATTCTTTTGATGCTCAAATTGAAATCTACATGGTTGTATGCAAAGAATGGCATCGCAATGCTTGAAAAAACAGGAAATGTTTGTCACTTTATCATGTTTATAATTCTGTTGTGGTAGTGAAACAGTGCAGTAGATTACAGTAATTTCAAGTAAAAGCTGGAAGGCACTTCCCACCATGGGGCCATAATGTTGGGCAATCTGAATCAATGTTGATAACATAATTAGGTTCCAAACTGCACAAATGAGACATAAATCTATAGTATGAAGTATAGTCAAGAAACACCCTAGATTCATATGAAATTCCACCTGGAGACAACCAAGTTTCGCACGTAAACTTATAGATCATTGTACTAAGAGTTTTCATTTGTTCAAGTCTATCAGCATTTATGAGGCTGATACATTACTGACAGTTAGCCATTAAGCCATAATTTGTATGAATGTATACGTAGAGAAGATAAAATTTATACAAGCAATGCTAACAATGAACCGAACTCAATAATTGTAGATAATAATAGGTATAAGTTGCAACAGATTTCAAACAATCAAGCTCTCTAGTTACCCCAGCATCTGACGCAAGAGACCAATTCGTGGCTCCCTTTCGCATTTCGTCGACTGACCAAGCTCTTTCCCATGGTTTTGTTCCGTCTGTAGACGTTGTTTGTGCTCCATTGTTTGTGGATTGTGCTGTGCTACTAGTAGGATCATTTGTGTTCGTACCATCGTTATTTATCACCGGTGGCGGTGGTGGAGGTGGTGGTGGTGGTGCTGCGGAAGCCATTTTGAGAACTTGCAATTGCATGCATCATGTGACCACTACTCACTGAAACAACTGAAACCACTTGGCTGAAACTGATTTTCTTCCATGCGCACTGGTTTACACTTCCTTCGCTTCCGGTACACGGAGTGTTCCTGTATCCATAGGCAGCCCGGTCAATGCGGGCACAGTATACTATCTTATGTATACTATCTTATGTATACATAAGATAGTATGCGGTACCCACATTGACCGGGCTGCCTATACTGTATCCAGAAATTTGGGGACTTTCAGTTTAGACAATTTCGTTTAGTTTGTCAACCTGGAATATAGACTGTGCATAAAGAATTATTGTTTTTATTTTATATTTCATCACTTCTCTCATTACTTATCGAAGCATCATAGATGATGATACCTTTCATGAAAGTGTGAAATCTTGAATACGTTGAATCACATTGAAAGGCTAGTAACTGTAACAGTAAATAAGTGGATGGTTCTAAGGATATTTGTTTAATTGCTCAGTGGGGTCCTCCTTCAGTCTTCAGAAATCATTTTGTATTTTTCTCGATCGAGTCTCTCCGCTTAAGGCCTTCTAAACATGGTTATTTCGCAAATATTTACACTCAAAAGGGACCTTCACCAGGGGGCATTACCGGGGCAAATAGAAATTCGTGGGGGGAAAGGTACTGGGGGTAACGACAAATCAACTTCCCTCTTTAGTGTGGAGATGTCCACCAAGGATCGAGGCTTTTTCTAAAATTGAATCTGTTCGTTCGCTGGTGAAGCGTACCTCATCCCAAAGATTTTAGTATAACCATCTCTAGGAATCAATACTAGCGAAAACATCTTTAATATATTTTAGTATATTTTTAGTATCACCATATCATTTTTGTGAAATATATATACTCAAAGTTATTCGATCGCATAATCGCAGTGATCAATAAAAATCTCTTTTTTTTTTCATGTACACAATTTTTTTTCTTACTGTTTGCATGTGTGAAATCAGTCGAGCATGAGACGAACATATGAATATACACCTCCCCAATTACCAACGACACAGCCCACGGCCACGAAGCGGTCGAAGCTGGGTCGAAGCCCACGATACACCCTGCATGCATGTAGTTCCTTGAGTCACTGATCTCTAATTGTAGCTGAATGTTTTGCAATAAGGCGTCTGGGTACTCAGCAGGGTTCCACTAATAATTCATGTTTATACTGGCCTATGCTTGCCCGCTTGCACTACAATCAATATACTCTTACATGGTCATTTCCATCAGGCATCTGTGACAATTTCGGGGAAATTCGTCAACTTACTCAATTCACCATTTCGTTAACTTACTCAACTCACCATGGAAGGCAGATATATTGAGCAATAATGAAACTGCAAAATGAAAATGGTCAACAACTCATAACTATAATTGTCATATAAATTTTCATTTTAAAATATTTGTGTTCTAGCTGATTTCACATTATAATATAAGTTATGGACCGCGAACAAGAAGATTCAACAACTGCTCTAGTTCGTGAAGGAGTTACTGTAAACGTTGGCTTCTATAGACGTTGTTTTCAAAATCCTCCTGTACAGGTAAACCAATATTTAATATGATTAATTATTTAACTAATTTAAGTTCGTATTTCGTTTACAACGACCATACTGATTGGATGGTTCGATTCCCATGGCCGAGTAGGTGGTAGGTGGTAGTCCAAATTTCATCATTCAACCGAAACTGGAATTGATTAAAGTGAATACGAATATGTACAGGTGAAATTTGACTAACTATCTAGCAGTAAAATTTGATCCGTTTTTTCGGTACCGCAGCAAAAATTGCGCGTAATGTAAATCCTTAATTTCAAATTTTGACCTCTTGACTTTTATGAACGTCCAAATTCTTTTTGAATAGCCCAGCGATACAATTTTTGTGGTCCTAAACTACCCATGTAATATCACTGTCACTATGTCAGATGACATGTTATGTTATTCATTTCTAGATGAGTTTCGTTGTGCTCCATGCTGTACTCTGCTTGGCAACTCTTGTCTGTCTTGGGATAGCGTCAACATTTGACTCTTTGTGCGCCGTAAAACAGGCAAAATCTATCGTAAATTGTACCGAGAATGTACTTGTAGAAAAACCGCAATCTATCGTCATGGCATCATATCTCATGATCATTACCAACGCCATCATTGTCATTGCAACATTGTACCTAAAGCCAACCTGTTTGCAATTCTGTGGAATCAAGGAAGCTTTAAGGCGATTAGTGAAAAAAGGATCTTTCTGGTCATACAATATAACGTATATTTTTGTCGTTTTTGATTATATACTATTAACATTTAAAGACTTAGACATCGTTAATAAGGCATTAGCTATAACATTGGTTGTTTTTTTAGCATCAAAATTAATTGTTGCGTACTTTTTGAATTACGTATTTCCAGTAAAATTTCCAGCGGTGAATGAAAGAAGCTTTATAAGACTCTACCTTTGGCTAGCATACTGGATAACACTTGTGGTATTTTTCCTTGCCACCGCGCACGCTGTTTTGGCAATAACACTAGACGTTGCTGAAAAAATATCTCCCATAGGCAACGTACAGACAGGATCCCATAATTTTACAACTGTTTGCCAACTTGTGTTTCTGGGAATAAAAGCAACGTTCGAAGGACGATTATTTATATTTTATTGGAACAAGTTTTTTCATGGAGACAAAGATTTGTTTTCTACGTTTTTAGTTTTAAAACCTATTCAAGAACAACCAATTCCACCTGTCACGGTGGAAGGGAGGTCAGGAATAGAAGTTGTCACAGCATAACCGGTCATTTCGTGTATTGAATATTGTTATAGATACAGTACCGTGAATTGAGAAATGCAAAGTGATATAGCTTGATGTAATTTTTTATATCTTTCTTTTTATATTATTTTTATTATTCTTATAAGAATAAATATGTCAATAAAATACGTTAACAATCCATGAAAATACTTAATATTAAAACGTATTATAATGCTGCAAAGGTGCGCTACTTCATTGACCTTCACAAGTTCATTGTATCCCCTCGTTTGATATGGAGATAGGATGATATACATATAAGTTTTTCTCTCATTAAGAATATCTATAATATATAACTGCTTTCAAATTTAAAGCCCATAGTACAAGCCCTACATAGTCGTTGTACCCTAGCTTCAAATTCAAAATCGTCAGGCTGGCTAAGCCACTGATAGGGTGATCCAAATTCCAAAACTGTCTTTAAAACCTTTCTTTTTTCGATGTTGCTGCCTTGTTCCAGGAGGGTGTTGTTGTTCATCTAATCATTTATTCAACTCCAACCAATCAGGGGCTCTTTACTTAGAAGCAACACCAGGATTCGTCGATTTCATTGATTTACATTGATGGCATATGTCACGATGAGTGTCTTCCTTATGAGTGGCCATGTGCCTATCTGCTGGAACGCCATGAACCCCAGAGACATCAACACCATAAAAACAGGTTGTGTGGGGTAGATCAGGTGAGAATATAACTGCCAACTCACGTATTTGATTATTTCTCTCTTCCATGGGCCACTGCCATTCAGCCATTTCTTTAGAAGAAAGTCTTCTGAGCATGACTCTAACTGTAACTTGATTGGACCATGTTTGACCCAAACATGGTTGAACTTTATGATATTTGCATGTATTATAAAACACTGCTGAAACCTAGGAAAGAAATTTTGCATTTTAATACTTGCATGGCAACACAAAATTATGCTAACTAATTTGTTGAAATTGGTTTCAAAATTTACTTTCAGAAGCTTTGTCCAAAGACAACTTGTACGTGTGCTGAGATTATGATTAGATTATTAATTATCATAGGTTAAATTTTAGTCTTGATATTGTATGCTCACTTATTTTCTTTGAAGACCCAACATGTACTTATATGAAAGCTAAATTGTACTATAGCTACAATGAACGGTACATGATTTCTGGGATACTTAAAAGAGTGCCAGAAAGCTGACATAAAATAATGCTGTCAAGGATCAAATTAACAGATAAAAATATGATTTGACATTTTAATGTGGTTTAATTTGGCAACATTCAACTTTTTGCACAACATAAAATTAATATTTATATTATTGATTATATATCATAGCAAAAAATTATTATTTACTTTTAAATATTAATCCAGACCCTGATAATCATATATATAACAGTTATTATTTCATGCAGCATCATAAGCTATATTTAATAAGGAATTTAGTAAAGTTTACAAAGGAACTGACAGGGTGGGTTTAGAGAAAAAAACTAGCAGGTTTTATAAATGGAAACCTTCAGACCTATAGCCAAACTCACCTGATTGATACACACAACTGCCATGTTATTTTTGTTACTCAGTTGCATTAACTGAGCACCAAGTTTAGTCAAAACTTTGCTTCTTTTATCCATCTCATTCATTGAATATTCAACACGAAATAAGGCTGCAATGGAATCAATGACAAGAAGTTTCACTTTCTTGTACTTCATTAATGAAGGTAATTTGTTTTCTAAGACGTCACTCAATTCTTTAACATCACAGACATGATTTAAATAGATATTATCACCAACACTGGTATCTCCTAAAATGTTTTGGTATCTCTGAATGAACTGTGGTTTTATTTGTTCGAGTCTCTTGTCTGGAAATTTATCCTCTGTACATAAATACACAGCTCCACCGTTAAGCCCTCCAAGATGGTAAGGTAATTGCACCATTAAACATAACTGTAGGCAAATTTGAGTTTTGCCACTTGCACTTTCACCATAAATCTCAGTGATTCCTTGGGAACGTATACCACCTTTAAGACGGTGATCTAGAATTGAACAGCCAAGGCTGAGTCTGCGAAGTATAAGAATGTCATCGCAGTTCTCAAGGTACAAATCGTCAGCAGAAACGAAACAAGGGCGTACAAATATTTCACGAACCGCTTTCTTTAGAATTTCAAACTCGTGTCCAGATAAGTTTGTCGTTTTGACAAGTTCAGGTACAGAGCTTTCAAGAACAGACGCAATAGAAGGCGCTGTTACTCCTATTCCCCGAAGTGCTTGTTGAACGTTTGGAGGAAGATTAAGATAATTCATTTCTTTGTTAAATAATTAGATCTATTCTACAGACACTGAGACTCTTCTAGTCAAACTGTCAAACTGTCAAACCAATTTACTCAAACCACGATCACTGTGCCACCAATCAATCAAACACCCGCCGCACCCCTCCCCCCTTCTATTACAGGGTAATGGAAGCTTGCGCTTCAGGCTACATCGACGATAAAAAGGACATTTTCTGAGAAAGCTTACTAAAATTAGTAAAATTTGCTGGGAGTTGTTGTAAATTACGGAAAATATAGCCATGCGAAGTTGCAAAAGTTACAAAATTTCGCAGCCGAACTTTGCATTTGAACTTTCTAGCTGTGGTGATTTATTTCCTTCTAGTTATTTCCATCAAAATTTAGTCTAAAGCGCAAGTCGTCCATTACGTATGCCCGGTTCCCGGGGCCACCCATGGTAATTCGACGTCATGCGCTGTCCAAACCTCCGGTCAGGTGTGTGTGTGGCGATCATGTATAAAGATAAACATTAATACCCCAGAAGTGCACTTTCACCGGCTTTCACTGTTGCGTTATCAAATTCTAAACCAATGAAATAGCTATAGTTAATAATTTATATTTTGTCAATACGAGGTAGTTCACAGAATTCGTGACGCTTACTACATGGGTGTGGAACAGTATCGTCACATCCTGATGCAGCTGATGCAGGAAATAAGGAGGTGTCAGAGGTAGCGTCACACGACAGGAGGTTTATATTTCGAATTACGTCACTATCCTTCTATGTGGAAAAGATTATGGAAAAGATCCTTCCAGAAACACAAATAAAGCGACCATGTTGAATTTGTTCGCGCAAGCATAAAATAAGCCGAGAAATAAGTACCATCCAAATCCCTGTACAGGAGATTACTATATAGCTACATAGCTTATAGCTAGTCACCTCGCGGAAAAAAATAGTGCCACTTGGTAATGCCTTGCGGCCATACTATAACCTCTCATGACTTTACAATAGATAGTTCTCAAAACCTAAAACGGATAGTAAACTGGGGACTTGACTTGTTGGTAGCAACCACTACCCCCCTCCTTCCCTATGCCAACCTCATTGAAAAACTTCCACATTCTTTGAGATATAAACTCTCCTAAAAAGTTTTTAAAATTGCAGCCCACGACCACTTAAAAAACACTCAACTCAATTATCCTTCAATATGATAAAATTGGTGGACCTAATTACCTACGAAAGGTAGAAGACGTGGACATAGTCTTTATATTCTTCTCTGTCATTTAAATTTCCTCCGACTGTTAATGTTCCTTTTCTAAAACGTATCAGATACTCACAACTCACAGTCACAAAGCACTGTCGTCGGATTAGATGGTGAATTAATGGCGGGCACTGAAGATATTGGTAAAAATCTCTCACGTCAAATATTGTAGGAGAATTTTTGTTGTTATAACGAATTATTTTGTGGTCACGCATGACAATCAACTTATCAAGTTGGCATCAAAATTGGGAAGAATATTGGACAGGTTTACTGTGGTGAGTTCATTCATATAGTTTACATGACCCCGTTCGTCGTGCTGGATATATTGATGTACGGTTGGATATACTGATCTATATATGCTGTGCAGCACAGTAAATATCGCACGAAAATTATACACAGCATCGGTGCTAATATATTTCGACCGTCCATGTAAATTCATTTCAAAGATTCTCGTCCTCTGATTCTCGTCATGCCAAGCCCAAACTCGTGAGGATTGAGAGATACAAATTTTATCCGCCATAGAAGATGCTGAATCCAAAAGTTATAATATATGGCCATATCATTATAATGATATACGTCATAGAGTTTATATATAGCGATTGTATTGGTATTATTTCCGAAAAAAATTCGTGGTTAAATTTCTAATTTTCTACATACAGCTAATCTTTGAGATATAAGACTGATATGAGATATGAGATATCAATCAATTGCCGGATCATTTTTGGCTTCAGTCTGTTTCATTTATCAATATAATGTCTGTTGAAAGTCAAGCACAAAAAGTCTTTATATTTGCAGAAAATTATTTGGCGTCTTGGCGCCAATCAAAATAGCAATTAAACATTTTTATTTCTAAATATAAACTACAATGCATTGAATATAAAAAAAGCTGACTCTTGAAATATGTAATATTATATTAATCTATATAAGTCTATGCAATCTAGTAGCTACCGTGTCCCTATTTATGGCTTTCTTACACTTTCTTAGTTCTTTAGGTATTCCTGGAGCCTGCAGGAACAGCACTAAGTATAGGAAAGTCAAGAATAGGTAGCTAGATCTCGCAGCAACTGAAGGCAAATGCAAAGCGGAAACACTATATAATTTATGACTATATCTGTAGGGGGGCTCTTTCAGCATACCTATTACCTACAGCTGTATAAAGTGTATATTTATATCGCAATTGGCAATGGGAAGACACCGGTTCGATTTTTCGGGGAGTTCAGATGTTGTCTGAACACAAAGCTATTAAAACACGACTAAATTATAACCAACCTTAAAAGAACACAAGGCCAGTGAACTGTAAAACACACTAAATAGGTAAATTTTAACCAAGTTTTATCAATCAAACCAAATCAAACCACCCAGTGGTTTCCGTAATTATGATTTTCCGCCTGTTTACCGAGTGTATAAACTGTATAACATATAATTGTGTGTTAATGTCGGGTACCCACAGTGACTGTACTACATTCGGGTTAGCGACGAGTTTGTGATTTTCCTAAAAACTAAACAGGGCCTTAAAAAAATTATTTCTTATGTTAACGTTAACTTCTTTATTATTTTAAGATGGTGCTTTCCAATGGAACAATTGGTCAACGCATCAACAGCACTTCAGGAGATTTCAAATGTGATATTCCATTTAATCTTTCCCAAGACTTCACTTCATTCGATACTGCCTCCTTTATAAGTCGCGTCACTATTGCTGGTGTACTCGGCATTCTCATCTTACCCACGATATTTATGAATATCATCATACTCGTTGCTATATTTAAAAATAGGAACTTCTGGCGTTCATCGCACATTCTCATTGGATTCTTGGCTGTTACTGATGCAATCGTTGGAACATTTTCAATGCCACTGTTTCTCTCTACGATATTGATCGAATTATTTTACGGAAAAAGTGCTTTCTACAAAAAAGCATACTGTATGCTTAGTGAAGCTGCTCTAAACTGCGGAGATTTGGGTATGGGCTGGTCTTTTATAACTATAACAACGATAACATTTGAACGTTATGTTGCAATTTTCGCACCATTTTGGTACCGAAAGTATGTTCGAACGTCAGGCGTGGTAAAAGCAACTCTCTTTAGTTGGTTAATTTGGGCGGTTGCGGTTGTATTTTTGATTGTAAAAACCTCATTAGAGTTCGCACTTGGTGTTTCCATTTTAATCCTGGTTGTAGTGGTGTACTTTCTTGCAGTACCTGCGTTTATCCGCATTTTTCGTCTTTTGAAGAAAATTGAGTCAAGTCGCATTCCAGAGGCTGAAAGTCGACCTAGAGTGGATCACAAAGGAAGCATGACATGTGCTATAATGCTATTTTGTTTAATTTTCTGCTACACGCCTTTGTTAGTAGTAACTGCAGTTATTTTGGTCAGAGGAGTATCCGAGATGTTATTAACATATTTGCTACCATGGGCTAGGCTAATGCTGCTTGCTAATTCTTTTTGCAATCCAATAATATACATGTATCGCAATCAATTGATTCGAAATTCGGTAAAGGCCACTTTTAGACGGTTTTTCAAGAAAGCAAGTTCGCCACCTACAGTTGGAACCGCTGGTCCAAGTGTGCCTGCAATGGACTGTGGAATAAGTAACAGGGCGGTCGTGATAAATCAAAATAGCAAGTTGTGATACTTATTTATATATAGTTAAATTTTTTTATGCTTCGCCATGTAAAGCCTTTGATTTTGAAAAATGCCTTAATGCTTAAATAGTTTACAATCAGTAGAAAGTTGCTAGTATTAAATACATCGAAATATTAATCTTATAATGCGTGCTGGTACCGGTTGTTTAAGGGTGGTTAGATTGAATTTTGATATAAAAATGCCATCGAATGTTCTTTTGATGGTCGCCGGAGTTGGAACTCAATTTAAATTCGAAGTTCAGCCAGACACAGGTGATGATAATCCACGACCTATAGGAATTAAGTATTACCTGACGAAAGCTATTACTAACTTACAACTGACGGAAGCCCTCAGGTCGACATTTTTCAAGCAGTTGTTATAGTTATACCACATTTGATTGGATGTTGTTGGAAGACGATGTCACAATAATTAACTAACTTTTAATACCGCACTTTAATCCGCTTTCTTTCTGCAAAGTGGAATTAGCGGTGCTCTCGTTTCAGCAAAATAATTCATAGCATATTTCCTGGGTACTAAGGTTGATTCAGCATCATTGTTGCTGCATTTTTGTTTAATTGATTAACCGTGGAACAACATAAGTCACAAACGTGACCACCACTGTTACAGAGGTTATGAGAATTGTGCCCACTAGTTCAACTGTAATTCGGATACCAAGAATTTTAAGACCCATATCAGGTTCACTGCTGACAATGAATTGAAATAACTGCATATCCTCCTCAGGCATTCTCTCGTTGGTCGAGGTGACATCACACCTTTTTGCTGCCTCATTTATCGAGCAATGTACCTTAGCAGCTAGCAGTGCCGGGGAGAAAAGCTTGATTAATATTGATAAAAAATCTTGGAACACTCCCCAAGCATACTGCCATATTTCATAGTTTTTTCCAAATGCATTATCAAAGTATGCAAAGCTGAAGATCAAAATATCTAAAGCATGGTAACTCACAGCAAACGATATAAAAAAATTGAAGTCCTTTTGTGTTCTGTCAATTGAATTCCGTACTTGCTGTTGCTTATACAAAATCTCGGTCGGACTCGATTCCTTGGAGCGAATGCAGCTTATAAGACTGTCAATTTGCAGTCGATGTACGTCACAGACATATGCATAGATACTAAGCCAAACAGCCCACCACCCGGACGTGTATATGATAACAATAATATAAAGGACAAATCGGTAAGTTGCTGTAAAAAGAGGTCTCCATTGGAATAGAAAAAACCCTGCCGATAGGAACCAAAGTAGCACAGAAATCCACGTATAGATTCGCGCTCTCTTATGCAATCGAGCCTTGTACTGAGCGGATAGATTTTGTACGCTCAGTACAAGGTCTGTGTACTGCCCACGCTGGAAGTAAATTTTGGTGAAAACAAAAGGACACAGTAGATTAAGATCCGTTGTTATGCTGTTCAATAGATCAGAAACATGTATTCGTTTTTGTTTAAAACCGTAACGAATAAAATCTTCTGACAAGACAGTCACAAGCGATGTCACCCATACCAAAAGTGTCATGATATAATGTATTTTATATAGCATCTCTTTGACTTGACTGTTGTTACCGGAAGGTCGCCACATCCCAAAGAATTGTAAGAGATAATAACAAGGTCTTACACAAATATTCGCAGATGAAGACTGCCTTTGCCTTTCCTCCTGCCTGGTATTATCTGATACTATCAGCTCACAACTATTTGATGGTGACAATTGTACACCATAACGACTCGGACCAGCCATTTTGGTTTCCTAATTATACACTTGACTTACTTTACTTACTTGATACAAATACTATTTGATTAATTCAATGGCTTGGAATAACAAAAAAAACATGAAACAATGAAAGTGAAAGGGTAAGTGATGTTTTGTGAGACAGGCTTTGAAATGCAGGCTGCGGTCCATGGCTGCGGTCGTCAACTCCAAATGTTGGATTGTGTCCAGGACTATAGGGAACAAGCCAGTTCATGCACACGGATGTTAAAACATGAAAATTTTGTTATAAACTATTTTATTGAAAATTCTTTTCAGCGTTTTTAGAAAATAGAAGAGTATTGAGTATTAAATTACTGCAATATCATCAACGAATTCAACCAGACGAAGCTTGTATATTTCCAGCAATATTAAGAGTGGCACACATTCCCTCCTTGCGGGCCAGATTGTTGTGACCATGGGGATCCTTGCATGACTATAGAGATGCCATTCCTAATAGCATTGCAATCTCTTTTTGTCTAATAGTTGCAAAATATGGTAACATGGCCTGATACAGATATCTATGGGAAAAAATGGCCTTTCCTCCTAAATATTACTAGTTGACATTCCTGACAATCTGATTTAGACGCATGCACGTCCATGTTCTAAAATCTAAACCGGCTCAGGCGGCTATTGATGGTAACAATAATGCATTTATTGTAACAATGTTGCATCTATTTGATGCTAACATGGTGGTAACAATATAGTCAATATTGATGGTATAACAATATTGCATCTATTTGATCACTGGTTGCAATTTCCGTGTCTCGACTCAATAATTATCACACGATTAACTGAATTAAGATTAGTTTACCCAAAATTTGTGTGTCTATATATAATAAGATATATGGATTTGGCTTTTTGTATGGCCGCTACACTGCGGGATACATCACGGTGGAAATCTGCCAGTATGCCACACTGAAATTTTCATTGTACTTAAAAACATAACTGGGCGTAAGAAACAGTACTCCTGTGATTTCTTGCAAGTCAAATCGAAGCAGTTGGCTACGGCTACAGAGCACAGGGGCCAGTTGTTCGAAAGACGTTTATCTTAAACGGTGGATAAGCCAAAGTTTAAAAATACTGTCATACATCTTGTGAATGACTGAAACTACATCTCATGCATTAAATATGTTCTTCCATTGAAAACTGAACTATATTTACATCAAAATATGTCAGCTCAGCTTCAAAAAATAGATCATTTTGTTTTCCATTTTGAACTTATCCACCGTTTAAACCAAAAAACATGACCAATTTAAAAAAGTAAAGTAAAAAACAAATTCCGAATAAACAGGACATCTTGAGAGTCAAAAATATGAATCAAGCAAGATACAGGTTGAGACTGTAAATTTTCGACTTTATTTCCAAGTCATTCTGTCTGAAGATGTTCTTTCGAAGTTCGAACAACCGGCTCCAGGAATCGATCGAGGCAAAATTTAAAACCGTGGAACGTGCACACGGAGGAATGGATGTAGCTAATACTTTTTCGTTAGTAAGATGACCTTGATAAACCATTAAATGACTGCATTGGGTGTTTATTAAATAATTAATAAAAGCATTATACATAGTAAATTCAAAATACTTATGTGCTCAGTTCTGTGAGGCTATGTCTGAGGACTGAGGGTATGACTATGAATGGTGGCCGTTTTTTTACGAGATGCATTATCCGTCTGCGAAAGCATAATGTCGTCTGTGACTTTATATTTATATTATTTGGAACTCATGAGAAATAAATCAAATAAACAAACGAGTAATGAAATTTTCAAGCTTAAAATTTTTTTCTTCGTATTAATTTTGGCGAATAACGGTTCGTTTGTAACATATTTTTTAGCTTATTCGTCTAGTGCCTGTGACGTTAAAACGACGAATCAACTTGTAATTCGTTTGGATGTCTTCAACTTTTTTTCCGGTCCCTTTATCAAAGGACAGACAAACCAAGTTTTCCCTATATCGAAGAACAGACAAACTATAATTATAAATTTGTCCAGACGGATAAATTTCGTCCCTACGAAAACGGTCACTGATTATTACTACAGATTATTAATTTAGACTAATGTGTTAGCTCTCCTCGTCCTCGGGAAATCCTAACACATTAAATCTGACTTAAAAGTTAAACGCTAAAATATCGCAATCTATCAGTAAACTTCGCGCGTTCGATTATACGCATGCACCAAATATTCAAAATGTTATGCCTGTCAAGTGAAATTTCATTTCACATTTTTTTTGCACGAGGTGGTTTTAGAACAAAAAAATCACAAGCTATAAACGATGCGTGCGCTTATGGCTACAGTTAGATTCTAGAAGACAGGAATCACTTGAGAACATAATTGTGAAACCTCTTTTTTAGCGGTAAACTTATTTTTACATCAATTGATTCTATATTTTCGGTGGGAGTGCTCAGTGTGCTATAGCGGCGAGTACCTATGGCTATACTATAACCAAGAAACCATAACTACCATTAGTATAAATTTCGAGGTGACCATTGATTTTCCTGCATTCTGATTGGTCAAAATTCACTGTCTCTGAAGTGATAGTCACTGGTCGGTGACAAACTATAGCTTTTTTGTATTTTTGCACAAGTAAATATAACAAATCCTACATATTGATTGGTCAAATTTGACGTATTATGCTGTTATAAGCGAACAAATGCAGTTCTTCTGTCAATCCACTTGTGCAAAAATATAATAATACGTCTTCGACGAAGATTTGTTAATTGTTGTTGTATTACAAATAAGAAATTAAGGTATAATAATAAATTTTTATGAAATTAAGTCAACTGATTATTATTTGTAAACACCTCGAAATTTATACTGAAACAATTAGTCGCCTCAGGCTCGGTGATTACAAGCCAAGAATATAGGTTTGTAATCACCTCACCTTCGGCGACTAATTGTTAAATAGCTGTAATAATAGCAATCGAATGAGAACCTACTGCATCTAATTAATCATCGTCAGAGTTCGCGGCAACGCATATTCCGAAACAACACAGACAACAGCAAAGGAATCCAGCGATTATGTAGGTGCAGGTTGTAATCCAAAACGCAAACAAATAAAGAGTCTTGTTACAATAATCATCGTCGCTTTTGTTAAACGATGGCTTGTTAATATGATAGATCCAATAGTTGCCAGTTATAAACCAACAAAATATGAAAAGGTCGAGAATTGAGTCACAACATTTCCGCATCGGGTTCTTCTCATTTTCGCTGTTGTCTTCATCTTCGTTTCTTTCAGAGGCACGTGAACACATACTTGAGAGGTTTCGGACAATCAGGACAGCGCCAGCAACGATAAGATAAATTGGAATTTTATCTTCTCCTGGGCAATCGTCTTTATATTTTGCTCCTGGAAAAAGTGCTATTTTAGCAATCGATTATCCCTCAGCAATTTCAAATCGAATCAATTTTATTTAATCAGGGTAATCACATCAGGGTAAAATATAAGTTCTTCTTTGCAAGTCCTGTTCGACCTACCTATAACAATCATGGTGATTGGAATAGCCAACAAAAAGCCAAGCAATACTGCAAACCCAACTAAAATTCAAAATTTCTTCAGTACTATTAATTAAGTAGGTAAAACAATATATTCATTGGGGAGGTGTTAGGATGAATTGACAAGGGCTGTGAGATTGAAAGTGACAATGACTCGCTGACTGTTCAGTAGCCAACGAAGCAATCTAAATGAAACAAGGGCAACTTTAAACAAAAATGCATGCCAGTTGTGCATAAGGAGAAAATACGTCAAGCTATTTTCTACCTATTGAATATATGGAATTGTGTAGATGGGACAAATAACTAAAACATACTTGTATTCGCAAAAAAAAAGCATATCTTGACCAGAAATTCAGCAAAATTGTCTGAATGTCTCCTCACATCTTTTATTTCTCCATAAAGTGATTGATAGGAAGGGGGAGGAGCTGGATAAAAAATTTGCAATATAACTTAAACACTCTGTCTTTATAATTCTACATGTGATACAGAATTTATTTCTTTAAATTAGTTTATATCCAATAGGTTATCCCTTAGGTTAATGAAACATGAACTTTTGCATACATTTAATGTTTTATTAACTCTTAGCTATGCAAACTCATTACATGTATAAAATAATAAAACTACCACCATAACATTTACAATATTGTGTAATCTTACCAACTGCTTCTTCATAGGTTGGGGGGACATCCTCCTCATTTGTTGACATTGTCTATATGAAAAACTCAATCCAGATGCAAACCATGTACAGTGTAATAGACCTAAAATGAACAGAATTTTAACATTATTCTACCTATCTGCATGCTATCGACAAGAAATTTAATTATCAGTTCAGACATGGTGTAAGATCGTTTGGAATAGATTGTATAATTGACTAAATGCTTATTACTCTTGTGTTCTGTAGTCACATTGAAAACCAAGTGGCAATGCATGCAATCTAAGGCTTTGAGAAATGTGTTTGTTTAACAATCACTAGTTTGGTTTTTTCTTTATCATGACACACTTATCATGACACACATTTAAAATCACACACAATCTAAAATCAATCAGGATACAATTAATTTCCTTAAACCTAAATGTCCAAACCAAAACAAAATCCTCTTTCTTGGCATATAAATATTCAATAATGCTTTTTTAATTGCTCATAAACCTTTGTAGAATCATGCAAATGATGCAATTTATGTAGCCAAGTATTTTGTTATGATGTCTTACAACAATGTTTAAAGATTCCTGATATAATTATCAGGATTTATTCAGGATTGATTCACAATCGGGATTTATTTTTTAATAAAAATACATTCTTGTTTTCAACAGTTTAAATGTCTGAATATTGCAGTCTGTCACCTGGCAACTTAAAACTTAAAAGGCTGTGATGCAGGCTGAAGCTCACAATGATAAATGGTGCAATGTCAAACATGAAGGATAAACAATTTGATATTTTGATTGTATCAGCTAGTTTGACAAAATGGCTCCTATTTCATAATCTTGTCATATCATACCATAGCGTACAGTAGATTTTTATATGCATGACAGGACTTAAACAAATGTCTAGGAATTATTAGTTACGATTTAAAATAATAATGAAACCAAAACAATAAAGTGCTTTAAGCACACTTTTCCCATATTTCAATCAGTAGCTTGCGACAAATAAATGTTTCATCTACTCCAATGTATACATAACGTTTACATGAAACGTTAGCTACAAAGGATATCTTGCAAAAAATTACAAAGAATAACAAATAATTATTAGGTGGCTAAATTACATCGTAACTTATCAAAATATCAAGGATATATACAAACCGAAAGCCTACAACGAACATACATAAACTGAACCTGACTCCTTTATACTGAACAACATGAAACATACATAAAAGTACAAAACAAAAACTGCTTACATACCTATTTAAAGAGTCGCCAAAGAAAAACATTCGACGTGCATTTGATCTCTTAGAACACTCAACACTTGGCACTTGCAGGCTGTGCTTCCACAGCGCACTACTCGACTTCATCCACAACTCGACTTTCACTTTCCTCAGTTCACTGCTTTTTCTTGTGCTCTAAGTTTTTATAAGCAGATATTAGGTAATAGTTTTTTTCTTTAGTTTTAGTTTTAGTTTTAGTGACAGATTTTTCGTTTGCAGCCAAGGTCCCAAGGTAAATAGTTGGTCGAAGGTTTGAAATTCAAACTGGCATGCAAGGGCAGCGCAACTTCTGTGTGACGCCAATCGAACTAAAGCCTGATCCCGGTGATAATTTTGTAAATATTGTATTTATTTTTCTGGCGCTGTGAAAAAGGTTATATATTAATTCTGGCACTATGAAAAATATTTCGTTAAATCGTGTGGCCGCATTTGCTGCAACATATCAGTCTTGATTCTGATAGTCAGTTTATAACTGCTAGAAGGCTAATTTTTATGTATAATTCAAACCCTGGTGAAATCTACAATACTACGTTATGTTACTGTTGTTTGTTACGGACTTACGGTTGTGTTGGAGTTGAGTTGGAATCTTCCCTTCCCCCCCTTCCACTTAACGATCTTCCGCGGGCACTATAACCAAACGTCTCGGAGTAAATGTAGTGAACAAAATGCCCAGGGAAGTTTTAGAAACGAGAAAATTATTTGGATAGTAAAAAAAAAGGATATTAGATCGAAGAAAACGTTTGCGCCGTCATCGCCCCATGAACGATCATCACACGCATGCAGAATGCAGATTCGAATTTGATTAAAACGTCATCAATGAAATGAAAACGACAATATACTATGATGTCATTTAAACCGGCTAATTCAACGTAATAATCATTATGACGGCAGAGAAGCACAGGACGAGAAGCACAAATAGGGGATACGGAGACGCTATATTCAACAGTTATGTAAATTCAATGCATGACATGCTGATCTGCATAAATATGAATAGCAGATGTTTAGCAGGAAAACTAAAGTTAGGGATTACTACTACTAGAAAAAAACTGGATCTTTCTAAAATTAATCGTGATGTTAAGTTGTTTGAGAAACACGCCACTTTAAGGCACGTGTCAACTGTTGTAAAAAATACTTTGCCAAGCCAACAAAGTAAGTTTTTTTTCTGCTTGCGTCTCTCTAATCTGACCCAAGACCCTCTTTCTGTTGAATTTCCCACAAAAAACAAATATCAGAGAGAGAAGCTCCGCATAGCTACAGATAGAAGTCCTTTTACACGAAATTTTAATTTCCATTAATAATTACTTATCAATATTGACCAGTTGCCGTGTGCACAAATACTGTACGCAGCACAGTACAATACACAGCACAGTGCTGTACGCTATATAGCCAAGCCAGGTCGCACTGAATTTAATATTTTTGTATCTTTAGCAATAGATGAGGAGAAATCAAGGCTTATATATGGCATCAAAAAAGAGACAATGAAATACATGTGCTCAGTAAATAACAATCATGGCCTGACACGATCAAATGTCAGACAGAATGAACGAGACACATAAACAAACTGCGAGATACCAGCTTAACAAGTCATACGGTTTACCATGTATACCACTTTACTTCATGCAGCTCACTTTTACTTCATCATGATTATACATCAGAAGTGATTTGCAGCCGGAAAAGTACACGATCTGATAAACGTAGTTGCTTCATCACTAATTTAATAACCCACTTTTAATCCAGAGGCTGAGTAGCAAGACATGTAGGAAGTTGTGAAAATGTAACAACACAATTTTAGAGTTCTTTCTAACTGAACTTAGGTTATGATAAATTTTATCGTTAATTTCTAAGATAGATTTGAAATGATGATTAACCTGGAACATTTAAAGTTAAGCTTGGATTCATTCAATATTGAACTGTGCCGTAGTAACAGCATATAACGCATGGGCAACAGAACATAAACATGCCGAGAACGATGTAATGGATGGTAGTGAACCAGAATGCGAACAGATACGCAACACCATTACAGTAGGATGGTGCAGAGCTATCATGATACTGCACTTCAGAGTAATTGCCATAAACCCACACGCTGCCAGTAATGAACCACACAACGAGGAACAGGTCAACGAAGAAAAGAAGAACATTGAAGAATCGTGAGGTATCCGTGTCACTTTCTGTGGCGATTTCATCATCATTTCTTGAACCAAAGCGAAGACAAGTGGCGATTGTATAGCGAGTTATATAGACTGCGCCAAATACGATGAGAAATACAGGAATCATGCGTTGAATCTGACAGTCATTCAAAAATGTTGCACCTAAAACATAGAGTATTCAGTTTTACCCGTGAAGACGTAAGGCGATTGGCTCACGGTCCCACCAAGGCTACCAAGCCAAATGACGCAATTATCGAAAGCGTGTATTTATCGCAGTATAGTGCAGTTATGGTACATATACACCACTTATTATATACCGTCCAAAATAGCGCTAATTTTCGCCATTTTGCCGTTGCAAAGATCCTCATAATTCAGTATCATTATACCTCACTAAGCCGAAGGTAATTGGAAAAAAACATAAACACCAAAACAGACACTTATGATTTTACTCACCTATGATAATGACAGTGATAGGAATAATGTTGAAAATCGCCAGTATTATAGTCCAAATTACTAAAAACAATGACATTCTTAATATGATTCTATACTTCATACAACATATAACAAAGAAGCGGCAAGTGGTCTTTTACGGCGACTTCGCATCAGATGCAGATCAGGTATAACAATCGAATAATATAGACAAAAATTAAACACTTCTAGACGTTTCGACCTTATAAAATCTCGATTTGAAATCAAGAACACTTACACCTGTCCGATGGATCTGATCACACTAATTTGGGGGGAGCACCACCCACAACCAAACCCAACAACCGCGCAACACCCCCCCCCCCCCGACCCCCCTTCGCTACGTCCATGATCTCGAGTAGAATTACTCGCAAAGAATTCAAAATATAAGGCATATCATAGCAGTGGATAAAAAATGTTAGGTTACATACTTGAACTAAAGATGATGTCACAAAAACTCCTTGCGAAGCTGTAGGAAGATTTTGATTTCCCTTTGGCTTCTTTAATTTCTTCGATCATCGATTTCTTCTTCGGTGGTCCTTCTATTCACGGTATTGATAAAAAAATCATTATCATACCCCTTAGGCTGAACAAATAATTCTTCATTTAGGGAAAAAAATACCTCCATCATTTCCACGTTCTGGATCAGAAGCTACTAATTTTTCTGTTTCCGGCATTGTCTTTCACAAGAACGTCTATATCTCTGAAATAAAAATTTTGTGCATAAAAAAACCCAGTGCAAGATGCTAAAGGCAAATAAGAAACGAAGAACTATTAAACTACAAGTACAATGAAGCATGAACGATATCTATAATTTATATCCAAACACAAGACTATGTAATCTCCGAACATAAACATTTTCATACTTTTTTCAAGCTTTCGACTATACAATGTACTAATATAGTCATGATTTCATTTCATATGATTACTATTAAGTAAAACAAAAGACCGTGAAAATAAGTGTGAAAATGTTTCTGTAGAGTAGTTTTTTAAAATAGTCTGTATTTATCGACACCTTTACCATTATGGCATTAAGCATTCATTAAGTATCACACGTTTTACACTTACCATGCACAATTAATTAAGGATGGATAGTATACTTCACTATAGACGAATTTTCATGTTTGATAAATGTATGTGCGTTTTGAGGATCTGCACTTCTCTTATCTAGGTTAATTTTTACATTTTGCCTCACTGCATTTGCAGGTAAGAATGGCGAGAACAATACAAATCATGTTAGATATCTTCGTATCTCTGTTACGCAACCTGCTGGCTGTCGAAATAGTGATAAAACTATTTCAAACCAAAAATAAGAAAGAATTGTAAAGCCTAAAATATAGATTATTGCATTTTAGTATTATTACTAAGTGTTAGAAGGTGAAGAGTTAGAGGTTATAGCCATATAGGTTAAATTCGAAAAAGGATTTAGAACAGTGCATGAAAAATATCATTAGGACATGTTTAGGACATGTTTACACTATACCAGCCTATATTTAAGGCCGATCTTTGAATTTAAATCTTGCAGTGTAAACAGACTGCGACAGGTCAGGAAGTTAGGACTTTTCAGGATATATCATCATATTGTAAGCAAGGGCCAAGACCTTCCAAGTTCGCCCCTTTAATTAAATACAAATATAGTTGAAAGCTATAGCCTATACTATACGCTTAGGCCAGGTCTATATAAGTAGTACATGGTCATGGTGTAGGCTACCACGGCATTTAACATTGCGGTAGAGTATAGATATATAAATGAATATAAAATAATCAATTTTATATGTCGATAATATTATGCTTTAAAACAAAGTCATTAATATGCATTCAAAAAGGACAAAGACGAAATGGCATCAATACAATGACAAGTACGCTGTATAAACAATAGATGCTCGTGACAAGCATTCAAACCATTTCTTTACCTACGATTAATGATGTTTAACTTTTTAGAGAATCTACCCGGGCCGTTGAACTTCATATAATAATTTTTACATATACAATACCAAGTATTACAAATATTTTTGTAAATATGCACGTTTAGACATTAATGCATATGTAATTAAAAAATATATATACGATATAATTATTATACAATCATTCATAAAAGGACAGCATCTGCGCAAAGGCAAAGCCGAAGAATTATAGCCGTAATATTCAACCTCGCAGACCAGGCTCTTCCACCTTGGACATTATAACCAATACGCATGTGATGTGTCTAATATATATATGAGGTGATATTTTCCGCTTAAAGGATCAAGGATGATCACAAGTTAGAGGATTGTCAGAGACAAAGGTGTATGCACGAGTGGCCGGGTGCAGTGATGACTGACTCCATATGCATTATTGCCACATTGTCATTGAAAAAAAGTGGGATTATCGCTTGAAACTGAACATTTTGAAATGCTACTCTCCAAATATAACCAAGAATCATCTCGCAGAGACATTGTAAATTATTTTTTGTTGACCGAAAACGATAGCTGCACAAGGTACAATTTGAAAAGCGTGCGCTCATTCCCCCCGCAGATGGCACCGAGTGCTTATCAAAGCATCGCCATCGCAGCTTGCGTTTGAACTAGAAACAGGCAGGCAATGTCCCATCGTGCTCAGGTAAATTTGGGTTTGGTTTCTCACGATGATTATTGATTACAGTACACATACTATATATATACTAGACTAAAATATGGACTAATGTGGGGGCTGGATGAATATATAATTACTGACCAACATCAAACCGCATATCGCATATAAACATGTGGAGCTGCTTTGTTTCAGTAAATTGGCCTGCCAAACTCATGATCTGCATTTTCGTTTTTAACATTTATAAAATATAATTTTCTTGATAACCTACCTTAACTCAGCACGAAATGGGTTTCCGAAACCAAATGAAAATCTTTAGTATAGTTAGCTGCTGTTTGACACCTTGGCTTTAGCTCGTACTATGCTATAACGGCTATGCCTCAGCTTCATTTTGCTGCATGCATAATAATAAAAACATCGACGGCCAATCATTCACTTAGAATACGACATAAACCAATCAGAAGTTAGAATAGCCTAGGCCAGCTGGATGTGAGATTAATTTTAAATTCGTTGAAACTATTATTCATTGAACGACTTTTTTATCTTTACGGAATTATACTTTGCAAGAACTTTTAAGACGTTTTGAATGTCTACTAGCTTGGCACAAAACCGTTGTCAATCAAAATGCTTTTTCTTCAACTAGTAATTTAATTAAAGTGAAGCCGCGAACTAGAAAACAGAGTGGCAGAATATAGACAAAAAACGCACATCTTACAAGGGGATATATTATATACTATGCACATAAGAAGTTGATCTTTTCTGACTGTGCATATACATCCGCTTTTGTTTTGTATGTAAATAATGAACTGCGCGTATTTGAATTGGGCTAAGTGTTGAATAAGACAATTTTAACATCTTCTGTTGCCTTGCGGCAATGCGGTTTGCTGATCAAGTGCAAAGTGACTTAGTCGTAGAGAAAATCAAACTGCCTTTTTGAAATTAATATGTAAACTTTTGTTGCATGCAGCAAAGCGGGGATGATTACGCTGATCGAAGAAGTTACGATTCTCCGAAAGCGTTGACAGGCACAGACGGGCAAGTTTTCCTTGCCAAGCTTTATTTGCTCGTGTGTACGCGAAAGATTTGACAATTTTTCTTGACAAGTTTTACGATAATATGGGTTTATTTTACGATAATATGAGCCATGATAAAATGAGTAAACGAACGACCGAAATCACCGAATCTCAAAACAAACAGAAATGATAAAACTTCAAAAACCTGCCCGATTGACTCGAAGATTGTTGCGCTGTCCCGTGCTGCGCAATTCCTTGTCAAGTTTTCCTTGACGGCCGTACACACGAGCATTTTTCCTTGTTGAAAAGCTGGCAGCTTTGAACAAGGTTCCTTGCCAAGGAAAATTTGTTAATTTTTTCGCGCACACACGAGCAAATAAAACTTGGCAAGGAAAACTTGCCCGTCTGTACGGGGCTTTAAGATTAGGTGATTCACACACTTAGTTAAGGCACCGAAAACATCAGATATGAGAGAATTACTGCAAATAATTATAATTAATAATTCGGGTTGTACATGTTTACGGTTGGACTTTTCAAGCGCAAGGGAGGGGGGTAACACGTAACTAAACTCAAGGAATAAAATAGAAAATTTAAGGTCTCTCTCTTAAGTTACTATCATTAAACTTTCGCCTTGATTGACGTTTATGGCGATGTAAATAAAAGCACTCTGCAACCTATACCATGGCATTTCCTGGAATCGTAAGCCTGGTATATTGATTATCCTTTGTTTACTTGTTGTCCCTGCCAGCCGCTTTACTCTTGTTAACCGCCGCTTCAACAGCGCTTATTACTGTGCCTCGAAAACAGTTTTTCTCCATTTCATGAATAGCAGCAATGGTACTGCCACCTGGTGAACAAATCTCATCTTTTAACTGAAAAGAACATAGTATCGTTGTCCATAACTAGAGTTCAGTGCTGGAAAAGCTACATCACGAAAACTCTAATTTTCAACTGGCTTGTTAATCGATTCAAAAGGGTTTTTGGGTTGCTAAAGTGTTAGTCTTTTTAACCCACTTCATCAACTACAACAACTACCTTCTTCACTAACAGGGAAGCTTTTTGCTGAATCGTACCTGGTCTGGATGTTTACCACTTTGAGTCACCATCTTTGCAGCACCTCCAACCATATTTGCAGCAAGTAATTGTGCAAGATCTCTTGGCAAACCACATTTCACAGCACCATCAGCCAATGCACTGATCATGATATAAATATATGCAGGACCACTGCCACTGACTGCTGAGATTATGTCAAGATAATCTTCTTTCACCTCCTTACACACCCCTGTAGATAAAGGTAAAGTACAGTAAGTTCGGATGTAACTGACTGTATCTTTAACTGACAATTAATCTCATATAGTAAAGTATTAGACAGACTAGCCTGCCAAAATGTAAATTCTATTACTAAGGATTTGAACAGCATCACGCAAAAACCAGTTCACCTGTTGCTACTAACAATTCATCAAGTAATGTCACATCAGCATCACTTGCATTTTTCCCTCGACAAAAAGCTGTCATACCAGCCTGTACTGCGCAAGGCATGTTGGGTAATGTACGAATAACACTTGTACCAACAGGCAAACTCTAAAACATAAATACATAATATGAACCTGATTTTTGTTATTGAGAAACCATTCAACTGCTTATTCAAAATGTTTTTCAACTGTTTATTTAAAATGTTTTTGAGCAACTCTTCTTGGGCATTTTTTTAACCAATCAAATTTCAATTCGCTTCTTGTTTCTTATCAATGAACAGATAGTAATTAAGGAGTTAATTCCCAAACAAAATTGATGAACTCTGTAAATCAACAGAAAAATATAAGCAAATGAATTGCTTAGCATTTTTGTCAACGCTTCTATTCCAGTTACTGTAAAAACGAAAATGTTAATTTTTTCAAACCAGTTGCATATTTCGGTTTGGACTTGGGATAATTAACTCATGTGAGTCATAAGAATTAATGCGCATAGCTAGTGTACCTTTTCAAATGTTGTTGTGGTGATGCCATTTGCAACAGATACAATTATATGTTGACCAGTGACATTGTCATGTATTTCTTTCAGAACTTGCAATACAAGATGAGGTTTTACCCCAATAAACACCATTTGAGATGTGTCCACCACTCTTTTATTACTAAATGAGGTTACACAACCCCATTCCTTAAAACAAAGTTAATCACACTAGTAAAATAGCAATAATCTCCTATTCTCTTTCGCACAGTTTATTAGGTTTTTGGGTGAGCACCAATCATAGTGGTGCATCCTCCTGGGAATCTGGGATTTGCCCTTTTCTTAATGGCTACGTACGTACCAACTTCTTTCCCAAAGTCAATTGGGCAATGGGCACACATGAAATAAACGTTGAAAAAATTACTTGTTTTTTTTCTAAATAAATCACTGTACATCTAATACGTAATGTAAGAAAAAGAATCTCCTACAATAATTTTTCTTATAGGCGGTCCCACAACAGCGGCAGGACTTGCCGACTTGGGCAGACTGACTCACGTGTTCCTTCATGTTTAAAGATACGTATCTGTAACTAATATAGTAAAATAAAATTGAAACAGTTGCAGATAAAACATACTTTCCAGATATTGAGAGTCTTTTCTGTGGCAGCACTTGCTATGATATCAGATGGTTTTACAAGGCCAGATAAAAGAAATCCTGAAGCGATGGCTTGAGCCATCTTACCCCCTCCAATAAAACCAACCTTTACATTGCCCGCCATATTGAGATAATTACGTCACAACTTTTTAACACGGATTTCAAGTCTTACTCTCACGAGCCACGTGCAAAGATGTGAACATCCTTCTTCAACACATTCATGAAAAATTATTTTTTTGTTTTGAGCGATAAATCTGAAAATAAGCCATAACACGAGAACGAGGCTAAGGGGCCATATGGCTTATTTCCATACTTATTAGTCAAAATGAAAAATTATTTTTGATACACGGGTTATAGAAGGATGTTTTACATCTTTGCACATAGCTTGTAAGTGTAAACTTGAAATCCATCTTTTTTAAGGTTGTTCTTAATTTTATAACAATAATGTTGTGACGTAATTAATTACCGAAAAGAACAAAAGGCAATGCCCTGCATCCTCGTTCCCAGATTTTCCGGGAACGAGAATTAAAGGGTGTGTGACACCACCATCGTAAACCTTGAATAAGAGGGCGAGAATTTATCATTTTGCGTCGAATGATTATAAACTTGAATACAATAAACTTGATTTTGCGTAAAATTTTTCACTTCTTTCACTTCGCTGTATTTTGGAGGATCATTTCGCACCACGCTAATGCTCGAATTATGTTCAGATCGCAGTAATCACGGACTTACAGATTATGGTGCTTAAAAACCACATGCCCTAACCCTAACGTCTATAGCATATTGTAGATAGGAAACATTACGTTGGAAAGGTCATTGTTCGTCCGATGAGTAGATATGAGTAGCGATATAACAATATATACAGCACTCAGCATAATTTTAAAAAAAAAATCCTTTATATTTACTGACAACCATGATCTTATTTAATTGATATTTATACATACTATAACGCAAACGCTCAGTTTGCGCTTTTCACTTTTTTATCTTTCAAGCGCGCAATGCGTGGGTAAAAGAGCCTGACTTGCGAGGTTGTTATCCTTATTATTCATCTGATAAAACCCTTCCTTATTTTATTTTACCACAATTCACGGGACACAAGCCAAATAAGATATTAAAGCTCCTACTTAAATAACTACATAATTATAACCCCGCAATGCAAGAACCTGACACTAATCAGCGCATGCAAATCAAATTCTTATTCTTTTGTTAATGTTATGAAGCTTATGAATATAGCCGAGCATAGTCTCTATGTTAGAGATTCTCCGGTTGATGAAATACCATAATTCGTCTTTCACATGGTTTCCATAACGCAGGAAATGTCTCGCATCTCTGTCGCAAATTTCTGAAAGAACAAGTACAAATTAACAGGAATAGATTATCTTCGAGACTAATCAGATAATTTTGTTCAGATAGATTGGATTCATTAAATACAAACAACTGTTTAATGCCTTGGAACAGCACCAAACTACTTAACATTGGCCAAGGCTGTTTTCCAGTTACTCGTTTTTCAACATAAACGAACATAAACGTTAAATTTTACATTGAATATCCTACAATACGACAAGAATTCAAGAAAATGAATGGAAAGAGTTTTATTTCGGTACAATTTCGGCGAACAGCAGCCTTTAGCCAATCAATTGTTGGCAAAATGACCGCAATTAGCTATTTAATTTCCTAAGGTGTTCAGTGTTGGTACTATTCATGCATGTAAATTCCTCCTGGGAAATTTTAGCGATACACTTCCAAATTCAATTCTCAAAATAGAAATATTTCTCATTTTGATCGCGCGTAATCAAATTGATACCACTGAAGGATTATGTTTGACGCCTGTCATATTTTTGTCCTTCACACCATTAGCAACCAAAAAATACGCGTGCGCCATCAACGAGTTAAATGATCACATGTTTATTGTTTGGAAATGTCGGCATAACAGGAAGTGCAGAGATAGGACCATCCTGAAGCAGGGTTTCCATAATCTAAGGAAATTTCCTAAGGAAAGAACTCCACTATAGTTGTATAGAGGTCATTATTAATTGCAGAAATAAGTCGGGAAGTGTAAAATATTTCATATTTAAAAAATCATCTCGCTCGGCGCAAACAATTGGAGGCGTTTTTTGGTGGTGTTCACTCCATAAAGTTTGGTTGTGTTCTCTCTTTCTTTATCGTTTAATTATTCGAGGTCGCTGACCAATCAGTGATCTCTTGACCACTCTGTGGTTAATTAACATGTTTGAAGTCTTGTTTTGAAGGGAAGTACGAGATACCGACAGGAAATATTGTAATATATGTTTACCTTAAATTCTGATAGCGTCATTTCGAATGAATGATTTGAAATTTTTCCAAAAGAATCAGTCGACTGGACCAAAGCATTGATATAGGGAGACTTTAAACCTTTGCAGTGACTTGAACTCATGCCTACACATAGTTTCCACTGGATATCTAGTAACTATATATAAAAAATGAGATATTCTGATATATATATATATATATATATATATATATATATATATATATATATATATATATATATATATATATGTTTATATAGCAAAACAATGATACAATAAGTCTATTTTCATATGTAAGAGACCATAATAAGTGAAGTTCATTACCTGACCCACATTAAAACTTTGTTCCGTATTTAAGTGTGAAACTAAATGACCCTATGAAACAAATTTATGGCAACAAAATTATAAACAACTTTAATAAATACAATTCAGTTGTGTATGTGTCTTAGAAAATTCACATGCACACTGGGATACCTCATTCATTGTCTGATGAAAACCTACAACTATATCACTGTCAAAACAACAAAAATTTTCCTCCACTGTACACTTGCACGTGAAAGATTCTCTGATTGGTAGTAGTATTACAAAAAAATTAAACAAGTTTTTATCAGTTGTCTGTTGAATATTCTGTGATATACAGTTCAATTCATGTTGTTACCATCTCTGAAAATCACCAGGGATTTACCAACCTTTATCTCGGGCAAAACTCCCACACTTGAGGAAAACAGAAAGTGCAATTCCATACAAACTTTTTGTGGGTAGTCCAGTTAAAATTAAACCAATAATAAGCTCTAAGCGCTAAGGCAATATGGGCAAAAATTATACATACTTGATCACTCCAAACATGTTTCAAGGTGGTTAATACTTGCTCTCTCAAACCACCATTAGTTTTAAGATCGTTGTAAAGTGATTCTCCTGTTACTTTTGCTATTGCAGCTGATCTAAATACACAAAAATGATTGAAGTACACAAATGCCAAAAACTAACAGTAAATGAGTAAACTATATAAACTGCACAAAGAGCTTATTATCAAGGCACAATAGATATTGGTATAGTAGCAAAACAACTCAATAGGAAACCTCTTGGTAGTGTGCTGAGGACACTGTTTGCTTAGTGTGTACTTTAATTTAATGATTCTCAGAGGGTGCTCAATACTGGATAATTTACAGTCTTAATTACAGTCTATAACTATATAACAACTTAAACATTTATAATTCTCAATACTTATTGTTTCAGATTTTACAGAACAAGCTTTTTCACAAAATACAAAATATTGCAAAATCATCAACTATAATAAAATTAATAAAATTAAAATATAAATCAATGCAATAAAATCAAAATATCACGAACTCATCCTTGTCTTGTTTTAATTAACCTATTTTTTTTCTTAACCTATGTTAATCTTCGGATTTTTTGTTTTGTTTTGTATTTTTTGAAATTGTCAGCTGGTATTGTTTTTTTAAGTTTTTTTCACATACACCCATAGCATATATAAAAAAGTGATATTATACCTGAAAATGTGGGTGAGACCATTTACCACAAGTTGTGGTTCAATACTCTCGCCTGAATCTGTGCGTTTTAAACACTATAAAATATAAAACAATTCAATATAAGGATCAAAGATAACTGCAAGAAACCTACATAGATTTCCATGGTTATGCAGTAGGTATAAAAAAAAGATAGGTATAAAAAAACAGTCCCTTAAACATAACAGTTATGATAAAATGACGAACCATTTTGTAATGATCCAATGGTATAAAGCTGGTTTTATATTGTAACATAGCTATAACATCTTGGCACTAGAGAATATAAATATATGGTGAATTATAGTTACTCTTAACATGGACTTAAACCAGCCTATATATATATGCATGCTGGCAAGTAAAAGACCTAGTTAACCTAGTTTACAGTCTGATATCTCAAATTTGGTAATAAGATGACTTTCCATGGAAGAATATTGCACATTATTAAATTTCCATAACAATCTGCTCTAATACCATTTCCAAAAGAAGATCTTGCGGCACTTGATCGATCGCCTTCACAGCTGATGAGAACCCTAGACAGATTTACGTGTATTTTTTAAAGTTAATTTAAACCAAGTTGCTTGGCAAATTGTACAATTTGAACATGTTATGCATAAACTTACCACCAAGACTTTCCAAAGACTTTAGCAAAGACATTTTAAAACTTTAAGCTATTGATCATAATCTATCTATATCCTACTAACATGAAGTATTTCTAGGCTTCTGAAGTCTGAAAAAAAAACTGGTGAAAGTTGATGAACTTATATATGGTGAACCTTGGGGGCCAGTTTTACGAATTGTTAAAGATTCGGATTGGCCAATCTTGTCACTAACTTTTAAAGTTTAAAAGTTGAAGTTGAAACAGCCTCAGGTAGTTGACACTGGACTGGACAGACAGAATCGACTCTTACGTCGAAAAGGGGTGGGGTCGGATAATTACTCTGCGGTCCGGCTTCATTTAGCATTTACTGTGTTCAGGGCACAAATGAAAAAAGATAATACGTTTACTGAGACCGTTTACGTTGCCAGTGGCGTAAAAGATATGAATACGTAATTATGCATATTTTTTACATTTTGAATATGCCACCGTTTAATTACGAAATATTTCACCTGAATGACAACTAGTGGTGTTCTATCAACTTCTATATTATGTGTCAGTTGCGTCCCATTTATAACTAAGCTACAATATGACCTGAACCATTAAATAGGCCTTTAAAATGATATAAATTCATTTATTAAATCAACCTTCGCTCGTAACACCACTCATCATCATGACTCATCATCGTTATCTATCTGCATTATATACTGACATGTGGAAGTCTAATTTTTTTACTCCTCTCCAAGGAGCTAATCAGCTACTGTTTGGGATGTAGGGGATTTCACAACTAGCAGCACTCAACCATATGTCAGGATATGCGTACAGTATGTGTTGAATCATCGATCGTGCTAATTTAACAGCTAGGTTCATACCCATTTTATTCACTGAATTTATAGAATGCTAGAAACAAGAATAGAAATATATTTTTTTCATACTACAATATATATAGTCTATAATTTCCAAAAACGATCGAAGTTGTATAAAATAGACTGATAAATCCTTAATTACACCAGTATCATATTTACTTACAAAAACGAAATGGTACAATGTATTCAGTTTTACTGTCTATTAGATTTTAGATTTAGAGTTACTTTCAATGAGATGACCGGCGTGGGTGATTGACCTTTTCAGCCTGCCATTGCCAATATTATTTCAAAGTTGAATTATTTCTAAGTTAAATAGGCGAATTCGATATAGTTATGTTAATGTTGTTAGCTTTGTTGACCATACTGAGACCAGCAGCCGAGCAATGCAGCCCGGTATCAGATACGCTTTGCTTCAAGGTAAGGCTCAAGGACACTAAAGCTGTGAACCAGACTAACACCACTTGAAACTGTGGGTTAACTTTATAAATCAAGTGTTTACATACTAATTCCATCCGATCCTCTTTACTCGTGATGCCATTTCTTTCAGCTTTAAGGTGGTCTGGAATTCTCAGTGTTAATTGATTTAGTAACTCAGTACTCACTATTAGTCATCTTTAAAGAATCACGGGAAGAAAATAGCCAGGTCTATGATTGATGAGATGTTTGAGAACTTTTCAGTGAGATGAACGTCACTGTATGTACTTGTCATTATAGACGGGATCAGGTTTTAAAAAAACAAAATGTCGTTTAATTATATATAAATAAACAAATCGTCAGGCATGTATGCCTTTCGTACCTTTTTTACATATATATAAATATAAACGTGATATGTCATATGTGTATACCCCGAACTCGAAGTTTTCCCCTTTTTCCCCTTTTTACAAATTTATGATTTAATTATTCAAGTTGTATTAAAGTTTAGAATAAAAATTCAATTTATCCCAGACTCTTCAAGAATTTGCCTCCTCAAAAAATTCCTGGTGGCGCCACTGTCTCACCTTGTCATTCGAGATCACGTTTTAAGTCGTTTTTGTCATGCAAAATTTTAAAACATATGGAGTAAAGTCGTAACCAAATGCGCTAACATTCGTATCATTATTATCATGCATGTACGTAGTACTTCCATTGTTATATTCAAAATTTTTACGCTTTTTCCAAAACGATGAACGGATGAAAGACCTCAGTGTTGTTTTAGTGAAAGATGAAAGACACTCAAACATTTTTTTCGGTAGCTATCAACCACTTTCTCAATTGCGAATATAACTCCGCCAGACACATAGTCCAGATAGTGTTGGCGCTATTCTTGGCTTACAGTTAGAAAAACTACTACACATTAAGTGCATTTATATTTCATCATAACAAGAGTTCAGGATATGGTCATTTTCATCAACAACTTCAAGTTCTCAAGCTTCTCAAGCTGTACTATAGTCTATACATATAAATCAATTGGTGCACTTACATATACTTCTAGAATTATTGCGCTATAGCAGCTCTCAACCTGCCTGGTTATAAAACTAAAGTTAAAAAATAACATATATCACAATATCATATTCTTATGTTGTCATTGTTTCTCGTGTTTAGCCGCGTGTTGCTACAGACGGTACCCGGCCAACATCAATTTTCACTTCTTTGATCTATTCCGCCACTTTTGCCCTTAATTTCTCTCGTTTGTTTTCTCATTGTGTGTTTGTATGGCACAGTATGCAGTAGCATTTATTTCTTCTTCCGGCTTCATTGATTTTTCTAAGAGTTCAACTACAATTTTAGTATCGTGTGATAGTGTGACATGAAATATATTCTTTCCAATATAAGAAGCTTGCAAGTCTTAAACACGAACTTGGACAATATAGACACTTTCAGATTTGAACTTTGACAATCCAATCCAAACCTATTAGGCCCGGCGCTACTTTTTACAAATTACCTAATTTAGAGCTATTTAGTCGGTGAAAGAAAATTTTGTCAACAGGAAAGATGGCTTGGTCAATAAAATACCTGTAGTTAGTAGGCTATATCAACTTTATCGATTCTAATAAGAGTATTATTGGACTAAAGTTAGGTTACGTGATCTGATGATCACACGGCTCGCAGTGCATGCAATTCCAGTACAGTTCTTCTCTCCCTTTTCCGCTGTCTTTTGAGACCTAATAAACCACTATTGTGTTTCGTCGAAACGTGGGGATGTCATTTGTATAAACTGATTCTTCAAAATAGCGTGGCGGTGTGATAGAAAAGGCTATTAGTAAGATTGAATAGTTTGACGAGAATTTTGAAGTCTCAAGGAGTCTTTTCCAGACAAAAAGCCTTTTTCTTAGGTAGTCTATCCAATCACAGCACGCTATTCAAATTATTTTTTGTGAAAAAATCTAGACAGCTTTAATTAGGTTAATTTAAGTATGCTAGTGTTTACCTGCATGCAATCCTATGATTGAATATTTAATAGAATACCTGCATGGTATTTATTTGGATTAGATGCATAAAGCTCATTAACGGTGCGCGTTAATGCCAAAGTTCTAGAATATGCGTGTGCCTATTGTACTTTCTCCAAAGTCCAAATCAACCAATAGTATTAAATTGGTTTTGAGTTGAACCCTAGACGAACAGTTAAAGAAAATAATCAAATTGGCACTGCATGCTATTAGTTAATTAAGCAATAATTCAGGAACACGCTACAAGATAGCGAACACTTTTCAAAGTTGACATTATCTTTTATTGTGAGTTGTATTTTTACTTCTTGTTCGGTCTTCAAACCAGACTGGCTAGATATGTCTGGATAGACTTTTTGGGTATAAGCATAATCCAGTTGGGACTCACGTGCCTATTAGACATGCATGTACGAGTGCATGTATAGCTATATCAGTTGCGAATTCAAAAATTTCTCTTCCGCAAAGAAACTGGCCGCCTGATGCTTTAAACAAAGGTGTATCGACATTCGACACATTAAAAAACCTACAAGATTTTCAACATTTCAAAACAAATTTTTAAAAATCTCTTGGGATTTTGGTGATTTTAAGAAGGAAATTTCAAGGTTTGTGGATTTGTGGATATTCTAAAGCCGATCTTTTTCTAGGTCGTAATATGCCCTTCCGAAACTGATTATCTACTCGGAAAAGGTTATTTGTATTTCCTACTAATTTAAGCAGTATAAACAACTTCAGCCAATCAGCTGGCTAATGCTTATGATTAAGTCAGATCACATGTTCAGATCAACCGACGTTTGTGGGATGACTGCATGCTTTCACAGTTTTCAATTTTCACGCAGTCTGCAACACGCGTTTAAATTTCCGCTTCACTGCCTATAAATACTGCTCCGATTTAGCTTCTATATATAAGGAGTACGCGAATAAAAACGATCAAGTTGTTCCCGGTTGATGAAAACAGAATTAGGAATATTGTGCTGCACCCCACCAACATGGTTGTCAACAACATTGTTACAAATTGCTAAACTTAAGATGTGGTAACAACATTGTCGACAATCATGTTTGTGGGGTGCAGCTCTTTCTTCAATCCTGTTTTCATTATTCATGCAGGGACAAGGCTTTTGCGTTTCCCCGTGTATATAATTCGCAAAGAATCCCGATTTCTATTTTCAGCCCGATATACCATGTGCTATCCAGCGCAATAAAGAATTTTCTTTATTCTTGCGCTTATCATAACTATATATGGGTCTTGCAATACTCTGAGAAGTCGGAGGGGAAAGCTATGCACGCGGATTGAGTCATCCTAAAGTGCACCATTGTTTAATTTTACCTAAAGAAACAGGGAAACGTAAGGTAGCACATCTCCCGTGCTCATTTTTTAATCCCTATAGGCCACGTACGCGTCTTAAAGTAAATAAAGCAACAGGACTTGTCTAATATATCTATGATATAACTTTGCAAGAGTTTTTCAAGTTCTTCAATAATCTATTAGCTTTTCTTACGATGACAAACATGTCCCATTTTTGGGGTTCTTTCAATTTTCAAACGGGTTTAAATAATTACAACAATATATAAAATGCTATTTATCATAAATTTTACACGGAAAGAAGGGGATAAGACAACAAAGTTGCAGTTCTCAGTATACTCAGCTTAAGTGTCTTCATATCTGTTACGTCTTAAACAATCCATGATGTATGCCCAAAAGCATGTATAACTCCCTTCAGATGCGAGTAACATTCTACATGCAGAATACGTGTGAAGATTTGCCATTTATTTGAACTCAATCGAACCAATCGAATTGCCTGCAATCGATCCTGAAAATCCGATTAAATTCAAAGATGACAATAGCAGCGAAAGAGCAGGTTGTATATAATATAAAACAGCATGTGGGTGGTCAACATGTATTTTCGTGGGCAACGCAACAGAATTCGCTGTTTTGTGTCTATTTTCCAGCCGAGTCACCGTATGAAAGCAACCTGCATAAAATGGGAAATAATCACCCTTCAATGCTCTGGGCTACCTAAGCTTTAGAAAACACCTGAAATGGAAACGTAGTTTATTTTTTATAATAAGAATTGATGAGCTAATTTAAAAGGTTTTAACCTATATTTGTTATACCATCTGATTAACTAAAATGGAAAACTGGAATAACTCCAGTACTACTCCAAACTTTGAATCAGTATACTGAGTTCTTATGAACTTCCCATGATGTCATTTCATTCTGACGTCACACGCGAAGTAAATATCCGGCCACAACTCAGCGAAATTTTCTTAAGTAAACAGAATCGCATCCCCAAAAATTTCAAATATCTCAAACATGAAAGTTCAACCATGGTTGAACTCATGCCATCTGGTCTATATTTTCCCAATTAGGTTAGTTACTATTCATGCCCATAGTTAAGATTATTGTCAAAAGGAATTATTCTTATTTAAACACTTTGTCGTCTTTGAGGATAATTGTTTGATGGATGAAAGAAAATTGCTGAGTTGGTGACATTGGTGTCAAAAACATAAGCTGTAAAATTAAAATAGAATTTGAGTTGAATGTTCAGTTTGGCACCAAACAAGGACACATGAAAGCTGTGTGACGAGCTTGTTCCTACACGTGTTTCTACTTATTTTTTAGTCATTTCATATAAGAAGATATGAATGAAGAGTATAAAGATAAACATTAAACACTATAGTCAATTTCGAATTTTAAATTTGTCTTCGTTTTCAATCATTGTTGGAGCACGATACTGACTTTATCAATATGAAAGAAAACAGAAAAAAGAGAATGTTGTAAATCTATGTATGATTATATATTGATAATGTTAACGATAACGACAAAAGCACAAAACCCTTCACAAATTTAAATATCTAATCTAATCTAATCTTCTTTTCATCCCCCTAATAAAAAACATTGTTTCCCTTTTAGATGAACTTGAAAGATAATGATGAGAACGGATTAATTTGATTCAGTTTTGTGATAAAAGAAATTAATACGGAATCAAAATATAAGAGGGCAAAGTTTGTGGAAGATAAGCTGGTTTGATTGGTCCCACTAAGACTGACCTCCCCGTGAGCTATGGCTAATTAAAGATGTCTTAAAGCTGGGGATTTGTACGCGCCGTCACTTTTTTTTCGTTCCAGCCTGTTAAAGCTTTGTTTGCACACTAGCTGAAGCTTCGCCCAATTTGATTTAAATCCAAAGCTGATTTAAATCCATTAAGCGCAAGAGAATAATCGGAAAGTATATTACGAGAATAGGGAAGCGTCTAACCACCATCATGACATGCACCAGGGATGGTCCCATGCTGGGGGTGATTCAATGCTTCCACCTGACGTTATATAGTTCAACAATGGGAAATTGGTTTCCCCACTACTTCGTTTAAATTCTCACATTAATAAACTTTCGAGTTTCGTAGAGCAATGATACCATTTAATAAGCGAACAACGCACTTTAATAGATACCCAAATAATCGAATGTCATCGATCTATATGACTATATAGCATAGATTGAAAATCAATTTTTGCTTCTTACTGAAGAGGGAAATGATTTGGGGTATTGACATGAGTAAATAAAATGATCTTGGCTTTGTCGTAGTTACCCCAACAATAATCCCAAGAACAATTGATTTTACAAAGGCTTATTTTATTACCTTAAAATCATTCCACGCATCGTTTAATCTCAGGTAACCAAGATTATGTAAACAGTCCCCAAATACCCGACGGACTAAAAAAATTAACTTCACAACTTTTGGCATTGCTTAAGGGCACTGAGATGTTCTCATGCTTACTGTACTGACTACAGTATGACTATTCACGTCAATACCCAGATAAGCCGTGTCTATTCGAGTACTTGCTCATTTTTGTGGCTAAGATTCTTCTTGAAGTACTTAATATCTTAGACGCTGATTGAAATTTACAAAAAGTATACCGTATATGTGATGTTATGAAAGGGTGTTGGCAACATTTGAAGTGTTTGTTGGAGTTGTTTGTGAACTTCCCTAACTTCGAAAAAATGATTATCGCTCATGTCCTTTCGTCTTATCTTTGCGGTGTTAGACCTTATTCGATTTGACACATATACTATGTGATAGTGACTAAAAATATTATAAAAATAAATTATGTACATGCAATATGTGATGTAGGCTATCGGCCATTGCATCCTGGCCACATTCCTCATGGCAATACTCATTTCAGGTGTTCAGCATAGAAAATCCCCAAACAAGGCCGTAAATGTCGTGTTTTTCATAGGCCAAGACCTGGTTCTTAGCAATACTCGGATGAGTGTATGGGGGACTGTTTAAGAATCACTTCAATTTAAAAGAAGAATATTGAACGACACTTCATGTTTAATATATCAAAGTTCTTAAAGTAAAGTTCTTCGTTCTGAAGTGCTCCAACCCCCGTCTTTCTATATTTAAAACTAAATGCGATTTTGTGCATTGACCTAGATTTTCTGTCCATATCATTTGAGCAACTATAGAATTACATGAAGTAGATTGCGTATTGATGAGAGCAATCTATTAATGTCAATAATGAGTTTTTCATCACTCATATAACTTTTATGGTTTCCGTATATCCACATTAATGCTTTGCTCTGGAATGTTTACTCTTGTCTAAAGCAAAATCTAGCTATTGCCAATATTTAAACAAATTCTAAACAAATATTTAGCAATAATCTATGAAAATATTTCACAGCAGAGAATACGGAGGATTAGGTAACACTCAAATGTATCAATCAATCAATTAATAAAGGCTGAAATAAATTATAGCATCTCTTCATAATTATTCCGTTCGCCAAAGACAAAGACATGCAGACTACCAAGTCTAACATCCCAATAAATATAAATAGGAAATAAATGTATTCGCGTGACGTTCATTCATTTGTGGTTTTTCCTTCCTGTCTTTTTACCGTTGCCAAAATATTGCGAGCTTAATTTTTAATATGCGGTTATAATTATATTGGTGTCGATTTTTATGACCTAATATATTCGAAAGCATTTGCTCAAGTAGGCAAAGGCAAAACTTCCTTTCATTCTGAAAATTCTTTTCACACCAAGAGCGCCTTTGAAAATTGACACCAGTGTTAAGTTGAGCATCTCGACTCAGAGGTGAGCGATGATTAACACAACTCTGTGCGCACCTAATATATCCGCCAGATCACACCACACTATATTTATAAGAGCACCTACATCAGCGGAGGATCAAGTTCAAATTATAGGTACGACAAACACCACTTTAAGACGGCTTCGGCTGCTTGTCTAACACGAGAGGATATATTAATGATTTGAAGTCATGCTGAAATCGCAAGGAGAAACCCTATCGTTAATCACAATCCTTCTGGTGGAACTACTGATAAGAACAGAGGTAAGGAAGATCAGTTTCATCATAATTCGGCAGCATATTCAGCGTCATAAACAGCACGAGCACTTGACGCAAACATTTTATCGTATCTTATGTTTGAGCGAACATTATCCTTGCTCAAACAACTACGGTAAACCGAACTCATCCTGATTTACATCACCCCGACTATGTACTTTAAACATCAAACTATAAATCTCCAAGATAAACTCAAGTTTACAGAACAACTTTAATAATTTAATTACGGCGTCTTTCAGATGAAAATCACGTCAGCGCATATTATAATCTGTTTAGTTCGAAGCTTCGAATCTGCGTCAACGAAGCTCGTTTTCTACGTGTAATTTCCGAAGATACGTTTGAGTTGTGTAATTGGTAGGATTCAGTATAACAAAGGTTAAATATGATACTTGTAGTACGCGTTCACAGTTCCGAACGCAAGACTGCGGTTACGCAGTGAACTCGACCATTCCTGCTAAAAAGGGTTTATATGACAATGTTTCAAGATAGTTCGTTTATCCAATGCATACATACAAAAATTCACAGCGCACAATTTCCTTGGTGTTATGTTATGTGTTCTCTTATTTAATATTTTAGCATATTCATCTGTCGTAATATTGAACTTTCCTATTGAAACGCAACACCAGTCTGCAAAGAGAGGGCCCCCTGATGATGTTGAGATAAACTAATAAACATGCACGCGAAAATTGCTAATTTCTTAACCGCAGTTTTTCAAACTATTCATGAAACCTCTCCACTGTTTTATACTTATTACAAATTATTCACATATGCAAATTATCTGTCTTTTCTGCATTCAAACGTCATCTCCTAACTTTCCTTGATTTTTGGTCGTGACATTTTTTCTTGTGACATATCTTGTTTTTAGTGAATGTACATTGCTTTTTTGTTTTTATATCTCCAGAACTAAACAAAAATCACGTAGAAGTTGATGTATAATACGGAAATACATTTTTTTCGATTGATCGAAGACTAAGGAATCCTATTTTTTTGAGAACACTTCATATAGCTATGTCGATTTTAGAAAACTCAGACCAACGGCTCAGACTTTTTTGACAATAACTTTTGTGTTCTTTCATTTTTGGCATTCCAAGACATTATCCCTATATCAGCTTATGGTTGTTTGTTTGTTTCATGAGAAATTAAAAATTGAAGACTATGTCCATAGCTAATAACCAAACGTTCGGAATAACATTGGTGGCATTTCGGGACTCTGTTAATTCGATTGATATCGCTGAAATAGCTGATTTAGAAAACAATTCAAATAAGCAAATATACTACGAAGCGATGATAGGAAAAGGTATTTTGAATTTTCGACTGAACAACACGCGTATACTCTCTTCTTGCCAAGACGTACAATTAACATAATGCGGAATTGATCTAAATGCATCAGTGTTAAACGACGAAAACGAAGACTTGAATTTCATGTATGTTAAAGTGAAAGCATGCAATCGTTGTTGGCGAGGTTGTTGGCATAAATTCGTCAAAGTAAAAAACTACACTTTTAGTATTTAAGTAAGCAAAATTTCACCAGATTCGGGCGCAGTCAAGCGTCCGGCTTAAATTTAAGCATAGCGAATTTCTAAACGCGAGACTTCTTCAGTTTAGTTCGTTAATGCTATTGGGAACTACTCATGCAGTGTAAGTTACTGTGTAAACAGCAGTACAGCACGCACGGATGTCGAATAGTCGATGCGGTTCTTTTTGTAAACACACAATTCACGAAAAACGGCATGCTTTTTTTCTACAGTATATTTTAGTACTTACTGCCGAAAATCGACATAAAACGAAGGGTTGCATAATTCATTAAAATGCGGCATGCTTGTTCTCACGGTAGAGGTATTGCGTAATCGGCGCAAAACTATAATTTTGCTTGTTTGTCAGTCTTCATATTCAGTTATTTAGCGTGTGAGATAGTATTGCATGAAGACTATATGACGCATCCTCCCACACATGCACATGATAAAATGCTTCAAATATAAGCTTCTAGTACTATCGAGGAATATCCGACTACCTGAGTGGTCAGAGTGGAGATCCGTTATTCCAAAGTTTGAGAAAAATCCAATTTAGACAATCTAGAGGAAACGTACTTGGAATATTTGATTTAAAATCGAATCTTCTCCTCAAAGTCAATTTCTGATAGCAGGATGAAGAGCGTTCAAAGTTATGGGAACGTCTCCTCATAAATAAATCACATGCAAGTTGAAGAAGAAACTGAGACATGCATACAACGTACTAGTAATATCCCATTAAAATCTTCATTTAATAAAACATGCTGCATGAGTATAGGTGAGGAAGAGTTAGTTAATAAGAATACACATTCAAGCCCCAGGATTTTTCATATGCCCCTTCTTAAACGTTACGAGGATATTTAGTAAGCCAATTTATTTCTTTTTGGCATCAATCTACGTGCATTCAAGCTAAAATATGATTTTTAGGCCAAACGTCACTATAAGCTCAATAATTTCCTGTAGCAAATGCGAATAACAAGATCAGTTATTAGGCAATTTCGATTCGTGCAGAAATTTTTCAAACTTTGTTTTTTAATTTTATGATCTACACTTGACTGGGATTAACGTTAATATATTGATTATATAAGTGAGCTAAGTAGCTGTATTTACTGCTCTTCCGCATGGTAACGGGAAAAATTGAGCTGCGGTCAGCTGCCTGTCAAATGCTGAAGACGTGAAGTGGCTTAAACGAGACCTTGTCAAGCTGTAAAAATTTATGCCATTAATGCCAACACTCCCACAGTCAAAAAACATCGCAAAATACAAAAGTAGCTTAAAGAATGAACTATAACATTAAAAATGCCTATAGCTATTATAACGGTATATTTATGCATGATATATACGAAATCTTTGCGTTTCTCCGTTTCTCTTGCATTACTGACAACAATAACCATAGGTGTAGAGTTTTGTTTTCTTCTGGGGGGAGGCTCAAACTTTAGATACATGATATCTAGCTAGGAACACCTTCTGACATTAGATACGATTGCAATTAAATAGGAGTTTTCCTCTTAAAGCTGTTTTCCACTTACGCGTTTTTCATACGCACGTACACGCACGTAAAAGTCTAAATCCTTGTACATGATACCTTTGAAAAAACTAAGTGAATAAATCGAAGGAACTCAGTTTTCTGCATATTTTAGTATGCATTAGTTGACCTGAATGTTAAATAATAAAAAATTAAAAGCATTTAACATTTTCCGTACGTGTACGTGCGTATAAAAAACGCGTAAGTGGAAAGCAGCCTTTAGTATATGGTTGCATCGGTAGTCATAGTTTATAGGGGGACTGAGCCAGCCAGTAAGATGTCTCGAGGGGCTTCAGCCCCTCAGCCCCTAAGCCCCCCCATACTCTACGCCTATGCACCAAGTTCGATTACCTCGTTCAGCAGTTCAACTTTACTAACTTTCCGGACGGGAAAAGAGGCTGATAGCTTTCTCACACTGCATGCGTGAAGCAATGAAAAGCCCAAATAATAATTCAATACTTCCTAGCTTACACTTCTGCTGTTTACTTCCACTACCATGCATCCTTCCCACGAATCACATTTCATCACAAACAATTCGATCTATTGTAAATGTAAATTGTGATGCTTGCATATAATTCATCAAAACCTACTGAAAACAAAATAAAAATCTATCAAAACAAAAACGAAAAGGGTCGTGCGAATGAAACATCCGTTTCACGGTCAGTGCACCACGTGAATAATACAAATAAAACTAAAACGACTCACTTTAATTTGCACTTTTAAACCGCAGGGTTTAATGCACTTCCGAGGAGGCCATTGATTTCTCTGTAATCAGCAAGTGCTTATAGTAGCAGAGGTTAGTCATTAATTATTTTCCGGGAAACGGTGACATAATGGACTTGTTTCTTTTAGATTTTTCTAAGTGCTATTAAGTTTATTATCTTTCAGTTCGACATGATTTATTATTATTTAGTGATTTACATTGGTATTTTGAACATTCCTAATTGTGCGGTCACACGCATGTCACACGCATGTTAATATTGTCCACAATTCATCTTAATCTCTATATTTGTAAATTGCTTGATAACTTCGCGATAAAATATACAAACCATATATCAAAGCAACGTTTGAAGATCTGTCATCGTAAAATCGTTGTAACTAAAAAAACTCGCTTTCACTGGAGGCTTTGTCTTGCAAGGACACACGAGAAATTTCGGCAATGCGAATGCTTGGCAAAAAAACTCGTATACATATGTGTTTTCTTTAGTGAGCTACATTGCTAAATTAGTTTTAACTTTACCAAACGGATGGCAGACACGGGATACATGATCGTTACATTGTCATATAATCAACATTACCGCGTAATACGTTCATCCAACTAGTCGGGGTGGTGATGAATGATAAAATACAAAAAGGGTACCAAAAGGCGATCAACTTGGCAGTCCTTGTATTAAATCTTAGCCATTCTAATCTTTTTCAAGAGGCGTTGTCTTTCAAGGTTATGAGATAATCGGCAAAGTTAGGCTTATGTATCTATGTTGCAAAAAATTGTCCTTAATTAGTTTATTTGATCCAGTATTCTTTCATTACTAATCTAAATTTTAGTTTTTTATCTCATGTAATCACTTAATAAAATTATGAATCCAATTTCCCGTACTACATTCAGCTTAGATAAAAAAATGCGTCTTAAAAATATCACAAACGCGGTTTTCGTATACTGTCGGAATATGTACGCTAACGTACCTATTTTTTCTTTTTTTTATTTCTTTCACAACCTATTTAATTAAAAATGTTCTTCAAGAGTTAGTCCTTGTTCGAAGTATCCCTAATAAAATAACTTAAAAACTATATCATATCGCCCCTTTTTTCTTAAATTAACAACTGAAATTATTCATATTTGCATGTGCGAAAGTCAGATAATTTTTAACAAGACGACTATGAAGCCACAGGCTCACAGCTTGCTGATTTAGAGACGTTCAGCACAGGTATTATTAGATACTAAGAGCATTGAAATCTGCAGGCAGCGTGATTTTGTAATTCTTGAGGCCTACTGTATATCGGCGATAGATTTAGCTATTGCAATCCTCACACATACATTAATAATCGTGGTATATGGGTTGAAATAAGTGTATAAAGATCATGCGACAACAATGATGAAGGACAAGGGGTCTATATAATAACCCTCATCAGTTTCCTAGGCAACTTTCCCTGATCAGTATGAAGATACTCCATCCTAATGGTAAGGGGTTTTATAAGAGCCCAGAGGGTAGGGGAAAATTAAAGGTAAATTGGTCATTTTTGCGCACCCCCTCCCCTGTATTCTTTGTCAAAATTAACACCCATCCCGCAAAACATTTGAAAACAATTTTGTTAACCCCTCATGCCCTAAGAAAATAAAGAGCTGACAATTAGAAATAAATTGTCGTGCTTGGTTTTCAAAGTTGTTTTACTTGTTGTTTGTGGAAACCGCACAAATACAAATGCCTCACTATCGCTGAAGACCCAATTTGGAAAATTCTTTATTATACTTTTATTAAACTGGCGCGAGTTAAATCGGATTTAGATCGTCGTGTTGACAAATAGGAAATTATTTTTCGCAGCTTTGTGAGCATTTTTTCGCCAAATTAGGATAAATTGGCGTAAAAAGAAAATTTTTTAATCAAACTGTGAATTGAGGTGTTTTGCTCATCCGACTGTGCCAAATTTGTGATTGTGTATTGCTTGTACATATTAGCTTTCACGCATGAGCGAAATTATTTTAAGTTAAGTTAAGTAAAAATAACTGGTATATTGGCAGTCCAATAACTTCCCAATTGCTATCTTCAAGTGGAATATTGTGCATTTTATACATTAATTCTCAACCCAGATCAAAAAATAAATAAACCAGTCTTGTACCTGATCCCGAAGTAACCAAGATTCATAACAATTATAAATTTTTTAGGGTATGCCCGTAGATTTACAAGATGCAATGAAAAAGGCAACATCGTTAGATACGTTTATGAACATGTTGAATGCTTCAGATATAACAAACGTAGAGGAAGAGGAACACGCAGGTGAGTAACATAGCCAATGTAAGCTTTTTGTACTGCGGTTAAATGCTTGAATTTATTGCATGGAGAGTTCTCGTTGAAACAACATGTGAGAGTTAGCGACATCTTGATGCATGCATGCCCGTTTTCCTGGCAGTAACGGCGGTGAGGATCATAATATATCTTATATTGGGCTCAATTATGGACATGCATGCTAAGCCATTTATTCGCTATTTTCACGTCGTCTTTAACGTTCCCGTCCTTACGCTAAATCTGTCTGTAGTTAGTATATTATAACAAAAAGGAGGTGGTTTTTGAATGTTTGAAGAATATAACACTTTTCTTCGAAGGAAATGCGTTGGTTATTGCAAATGAAGCGTGCAGACCCGTTGAAGTAATGGTTCAAGTACCACAGCCAAAAAGAAGAAGAACCCTGGTTTTTCCTGTATACGTAAAATTGTTTCGTTGTAGTGGAGGATGCAACAATGAACCACGTCTATCACACTGCGTTGCTACAAGTACGTATACGTATGCACGATTATCTGCCAGTGTTGCAATTATTGTAATATCGTTATTGTGTATGAACAGTAAGATGTACTCTACAGTAAATATGCTTTTTTGTTCATAAATAGACCTTTCCTCTCTACCGTCACGCATTGCGCGCTTGAAAGCTAAAAGGGGAAAGGTTCATTCCCTGTAAAAGAATATTTAATTTTCCCCTGGTTAACAGAACCTTTCACGGTGAATGACAACATCATGCATGTACAGTATAAGGCTAAAACAATGGGAAATCCAATGGCGACAGGCATAAATGACATACTCCCACTGCCAAATGCCGTTGAACTTACGCAAAAGCCAAAACAAGACAAAAGATATTTAAAAGTTGCTTTGTCTTTTTTGCAGATATTGAAGAGGAAACGCTCTTCGATATCTAATTACTTTACTCACACATTAATTATCCTTATTTATAGAGTTTACTGACATCCCCATAAAAGTCGGTCGAGTATCCTGGCGCAAAGGGGACGGTACTGTATATAAACAAGTTTCTGAAAAAGTTTTGAAAAATCACACGCAATGTGAATGTGCTTGCAAGAAGAGGACAAGGAAAAGTTGTAATCCCAAAACACATGTTTGGAACGATAGAAGCTGTCGGTGTGAATGCTTATTGGGGCACCAAACATGCCATGCACCTCAGGTGTGGAATAAACATTTGTGCCGTTGCGAATGTCCGAGAGTCGCCCACGTTTGTCACGGTCCAGGCAAGGTTTGGGATCATGAAAAATGCAGATGTGCCTGTTGGAAAGAGAAGTGCAGCAAAGGCTACTACAGAAATCCAGAGACTTGCCGGTGCACTTGTCATAAAAATTGGTGCCCTAATAAATGGCAACTTCCTAAGATGAAACGTTTCAATGATCCGTCAACAATCGAACTAGGAAAACCGGTTGAAGCATTATAAAGAATTGCAATAGACATAGAGATGACGTAGTAATGACTCATGTAGCTGCGAGGTAAAATGCTTACTATTCCCATCCTTAATAGCCCAATATGCAATGGTATTGTATTCAATATTCACCGTATTTATTTCATGGTAAAGTACGGTTCTAATTAATCACCGACAGTCGGCGATATATTTTTGGAGGCGAGTGACGAGTGAAAATTTATACAAAATAAAAAAGAATACCTTTATTCTCTACATGCAGAATGTCCCAAAAAATAGCCGTAACAGCAACAAAAGAATGATTTCAATAGAGGATACTTTTTTTAGTGGTGACCACCAACAATAGCTATCCCCGACTGTCGGTGAGAAGCAGGCTTCTCGATTCAGCTCATAGAATGTGTTTGAACCTTGTGTTAAGCTGCCGTAATACTGAGAAGTGAATCAAAATAATTTCAATCAAATATTTTCACCCTCGGGTCCATGCAACATGGTTGATCTGGTAGGAACATGTGTAAACACATATATAGTCAATTAGCTTTTTTATTCTGCATGCGGAATAAAAACATTGGAAGCATTATTTTATAGGTATTTTAATAGGGAGACATACTAGTAAAGCCGGGTATTCGTATGTCGTAATTCATCGGCGATTTCTATTGTCGTGGTCATTATTTGATAGATAAAATTTGTCTATCCCAAAAAATATCTTCTTGATTGATCACTGCCAATGAAAGACATAAGAAAACCAGATTTTATCGTAATTCGTGGAAAGGTGAACACGAATAATACTTGCGAGTATTTAGACGTAAGTTAAAGGGTTCTAAAATTCGGTTCCAAATTAAACGTGATATCGTGTAAACGTGGGTCGTAGAGACAAAACATCTTACATATAGACTACTGCCTAGGTAATATAACACAAGCTCTTTCACATCGGTCAGTTTGACGTTACACACGCCAGAAACGATTATTTGGAAAACATATTAAAGGCTTCTATATTGTCAGCCACAACCGCGCTTTTTGAGAATTTCATTTAAAGAATCGTTCATTGGTTAGAAAATCTTTGAATATCTATATTTATTCGTTATATGGACGTTCCAGGAGAGTTTAATTTAGCGAATGACAGACATTTTTCATATTTTTAGTAATCCTCTTATTCTATTTTATCACAAGCATAGACTCATAGACATATATAGTAATACTGAATTTAATCAAATTTGTGAATCCACGAAAGTGATTCCACTGGCGACACGGAACGAGAGCAATGACTTTAAAAAAATACCGCGCAAAAGGTTGTACTTGAAAGTGTTTCTTTGAGCCAGGCGCATGCCAACGCGATTTTTGTCGTGCGATTTTAGTCGCCCGATTTTAACCGGCAAATATCAAACTGGTTGGAAATATTATTCCGACTACGGTTAGTCAATAAAATCGTACGACAAAAATCGTGTCGTGTCGGGTGCTCCTGGCTTTAGAAGTTCTGCAAACCCGAAAGGTCACGGCAAATTCTGTACACATTTCTCTTGACTTTTGATGCACTCCAAAAATCAAAATTGTGAATTGTGTTTATAGGCAGAAATAAAGTAGGGTTGACACTGGGGTGAGCGCGGAGCTGTTTAAGTGCTTTAAAAGATTGGTACAAAAAATTGTACAAAACAGAAAACTCTGAGGTTTTTGTCTGTCTAATTCACAGAAATTTTTGTACAGAAACTGTAGTGATGTAAAAATACGATGAGTATTCGCTACATATACCATGAAATATGTATGACATGAACAATGTATAGAGCCAAAACTAATCAATGCACAATATAGTAATTGATATATTAATGTAATATCTTGATGGTTGTCTTAACCTGTAAGTTAAGAGATTACGTAGTGGTCATTAATAAACAAAGAATGTATATATATAGCTATATATATTACATATGCCGGTCTGTATCGCTATCATGGATTCATGGGCGAACTGCTTTATCTCGTCCTCTCTCACGTACGCTGCGAGTTTCTTAACTAACTTACTGAGGCCGGTAGTATGAAAGCCGGATACCGGATAGTGGGTTTTTCAATCGCTTTAAAATCGCTCGTTGTTGGGTATAACTTTGAGTTAAACCTTAGTATTCTTAAATTGAGGATCCTCTTTAACTAATAATTGTTGGTTCCAAAACTGAACAGTTGAACTAATCACTATATCCGGTGGATAGCGCTATCCAGCCTTCGTACAAACTCCCCCTGGTGATCTACCTTTCCAGTTGGTCAGCGTGCAACCGTGTCTGTCTTCATAGCAAACTAAATTTCTATGTTAACCAGTCTATAAAAAAAGCAATAATACACCATCCCTCGCGCCCTTGGGTACAGTTGTCGGGTTTTAATTGGATTTGGTTGGATTGAATAATCTGTATAGTAAATGTTTTCATATTCACATCTTATTTGCCTGTTAGTCATCAGTCTATCAAAACAAGAAAATCGTATTTAAAATTTCAAAAAAAAATGTCCGATTGAGTCTTTATGGGTGTTAATTTCAGATCATATAGGTTTAACTGAAGAGATTTTATATAAGTTTGATGAAATTACATGAGCCTTTCACGTAAAGATCGTGCGTTTAGGGACAGTGGCGGATCCATTTTAAGCTGTATTAATTTATTCTGCATGTCTTACTCTGGCTCTCCCACCGTATTAGCCATTTCCCAGACTAGTCCCTAGTCCTCCTTAGCGCGCCTTGCATTCTTGTGACGTAACCGGCCATTTCCCAAGCAAGCAGGGGACTGGGTCTAGTCGCGAACCGCAAAGCATCTATGGACTGTTTGGAGGGACAGGAAATATAAGTCTGAAATCATTTGTCCTTCCAAAAAGTCCACAGCTGCTTTGCGATTCGCGACTAGACCCAGTACCCTGCTCGATAGGGAAATGGCTAATAAGAAAAAAAATAAATTTGCAGCATAAATAAACAAGAACAAAGCCCGATGCACATAAAGGGAAAAACCCCAACAACGAATACGGTAACCCCTAAATTTAGCCTCACAAGAAACTACATATTCTTAGGACTTTAACAACGTTTGATTTTTGGACTTATGCCGTCATGGACATTTTCTCTCTCGACGCATTTTTCATTCAATTTTTTGTTTTAGCAGTTTTCTCAAATACAATTGAATGTTGTGAGACAGGGACCTACCGATCAACTGATTTAGGGGGTTGTGTCGAGTGTCCTGGCGATCCTTTAGTTCATTGTTATGATTTACCTGAAAGTGACATTGACCGTTGTTTGAAAAAATGTTTATCAGGTAGGAAGATTTTATATTATGATATCAGATAAATTATGCATTCAAAATATACCCGTAAACGTTTTTGAAAAAAATATATATTTTTAAAACTGTCATATAATTTGTCGCTATAAGATGAATACAATACATGCTTGTCTTGTGTAGTGGCTATTCAAATTTTCAGTTATCACATACATATTTTCATGGGTCAGAAGTTATGTATAGTCGCATAATGTGACTTAATAATAATGTATAAACTGGCATATTTTGACTGAATTACGTTGCTCTATGTAATATTAGAGCCCGATTTATGATCAGAAAATTTGAAACATCAAACATGTGATTGATGTGAGTTTCGCCAGGTTGAGGGAAAAAATTCTCTTGAAATATATATACGATTGAGAAAAACACGTCTGTCGACAAGGGTAGTCCCCGATTTTAAATCAAGAGAGAGAATTACGTCAGAAAATTAAATTTACATGACACATTCGCCATGTCTTAGCTTCAGGCTAATTAAAATTCGTTTCGATTATTAAGGCAGAAATTCCCCTACGGGCAATGTCAACTTGCAGAATTCGAGTGCTGTGTCTGCACACGGACTTTTATATGAGACCACTCAGAAACAAAATGACCCGAAATGCGGTGGCAATGAAATGACTGGTCGTGGAGGATTCCTTATTTTCTTTATTGGTGCAGTTATCGGAGTATTGGGTTCATGCCTTTTCAATAGAATTAAAGATCCATTCTGGAAAAGGAGAGCTGCGTTTTGCTTTTTTGGACGAAGACAAGCAGCCAAAGAACGTCGTCAGAATCACGTACAAATAACTCGTGTATAACAACTAAGGGTTGATTCGACAAAAATATATCCTGGATAGTGCTTTCATGCAGTGAAAGAATGAAGCCACGATCCAGTTGGAAGTACTAACAGAAGAATGTGCATTCAGTCATTCAATCTTCACAGCGAAAAAACAAGAAACGAAGAAGATGGAAGGGAAGAGAGAGCATAAACTGCTTCGTTCCTTCATTGGTGACACAAGAAAGAATTCTAATCGTGTAAATAATACAGTGCTTGTTTTAAAATGATGTTTTTTTGTATTAAATTTATTCAATATGTAATTTATTAAGGCAAAAATTTCAGTAAAATCGTTAATTGGTTCGTGTTGCCATTTGCTAAGCTTGCAGGTAGTGAGTGATTCATATGTATAGTCAGTATAGACAGCTAGAAATGTTTTTAAATGTTATATATTGAAGATATGTATAATCGAATTTGTTTCGATTGGAAATTGACATTCCATGAATTTCATTGTCCTTCAAAGCTGCATTACTTGACGGGCGTCGGGCGTCTTGTTTTAATAATACCATTAGATTATAATATTCGCATTTTTTTAAATCAAAAGCACAATATAATTGCAATACATTGCTGTCCAAATAGCTGCTCATTGTATTTTTTGGGCTGGTATTAGTGGTATATATTTTACTTTCCAGCTCATTCGGTCAAAAATATGCCAGCTGTCGCAAACGTCAGCATAACAGATTAGGGAAAGCCAGCAACCAGAGCCAGAGGGAAATCCCCTTTTATGTAAACTACTTTAAAGCCAGGGTATAAAAGTTCAAAGTTGTAATGAAATTTCATTGTGTATACACACGGTCCTGATCGGTGACATGCATGCACTTTCATGTTAAAACATTTTCAGTGATAAAAGAAACCAAAGAGACTTAAGGAGATGATTGTTTCAAGTGGCAGTGATGGTTTATTTAAGTACCCGAAGATATTCATATTGGTATTCCTCCTGCCAATTTTTGTTTACAGCTGTGAAAATGGCACGTACTTTTCTCATGATGTTGGAGGATGTTTGGAGTGCCCAGAGAAACCTTTGATAACATGCAAGAATGAGCATTTGCTTGATATACTTCCATGTCTAGAAAATTGTTTAAAAGGTACTAACAAAATAATCAATCTTGTGACAGTTACCTGTGGCGATTATTGATATTTTGAGGTATAATAGTCATTAGATTAGGAATTATAATGTCTTTATGAACTTCCTAATTGGCACCGCTTATACTTTTACGCAAAAAAATTCTGCAATGCACATCAATGGCAAAAACGTTTTATTTCCTAAGATGGCATTGCTTTATATTACTCGCTAAAATATAATTCAAATTGATTATAAAAATCATGTTTAATAAATGACATCATTAAATATCCAAATGACGTAATTGTGTTTGTCCCTGCTCGTAATCCATATGTATGGCAATGAAAACTATACAAGACCTGATTAGTAATAATGCTCACAATGCATGTTTTCCCATTTTCTTCAAATTTGTCATACATTTTTAATAGGCAGGGCAACACCGGATAATCACAACCCAACGCCAAAACAACCTGAAAAACAGCCTTCGAAGACCAGAAACGATGATCGTCGGAGACGCGTTGGCAACTTCAAACTGGATCATTTTATAGTACTTGTGGCATGTGTCGTTATTATCGTACTCATTTTACTTCCATGTATAATTTGCCATTTTGCGCGGCAGGCTAGGGGACCTGATGAAGAGAGACGCACTTGTGCTGGATATTATTTGATGCACAATGAACTACAGACATCAATGCAAGCAGAAAATATGAACACAAATGGTCAAAAAACCTGATATTACTGAACTACCCGTGCGCATGCCCACTAGGCTCGATATTTTATGCAATGAAAGCACATTTTCAGTTTAACAATCACTTTCATTGCCAGTGGTCTGTGTATTTACTGGAATGCCATTTTGAATAAACGTATAAAACTCCAAATATAAACGTATAAAATATGTACTTATATTTAACTAATTGACATTTGCAATTGTATTTTTGTATTCGTTATCATTATTGCGTACTAATGTAGGGGCTTTCCCTTCTTAAGGCATGCAAAATCAATGTTTAAGGCATGTAAAATCTTATATGGTTTCCAAATATCAAATATTTGTAAATAGTTTACAATTTAATTTTAAATACATCGAGGCCATCATAGGCCCATAGGCATAGCACTATGGAGAGTTTCCTGCGCTTTACTGAACTAAAAGGGCAGAGTTAAAACTGAATCTGAAAGCAACTCCGCCGTAATCGTGGGATACTTAAACGTGATTACATTTCCACACATGACCAAACGGTATATAAGATTTTTTAAATGCAAAAACATACGAATTTGAGCTACTTTACGTTAGAAATACCAATCATGGAATTCTTCTCAATCTAATTATATACGCGCATTTTAAGGACAATTCCTGCTGAATCATTCAAATTCTGATAGTCGGGTGATTTCAAAGGTTGCAGTTTTTTAAAACGACTGACAAAGTCGATTAGTCGACAAATTCATGATTAGTCAGCTTAATTCATGCATTATTAGTTTTATTACCAACATCGATCGTCATTATCAAGAAGAAGCCCTCGCTCAAAGCAAAGGTTTAGTTTAAATTCAGGATGTCTGATTGTCCTGTCAAAACCTATTTTTCCTATTTCCTGGACTCTTGTGTAAAATGCCCTTCTTCGATTCAAAGTTGCGAAGGCCTTGGGCTTAGTGATTCGCAATCATGTAAGCAATCTTGTACAGGTAAGCCATCATTGAATGATCATTCACCTTTCGATGTAATCTTGACAGTTGTTACTTGTTAGCTCGAGTCTTTAATCTCGACAGCAGTGTTTTTGAATCAGGAAAATAGTACTGAATGTTTTGGGGACAAATTACTCCATGGCAGATGGTAGATTCCAGAAAAAAAACGAGATTTTTTTCTTTAAACAGGGCAAAGTATACAGTCCACAATTTTCTGCTTCGTCAACTAGAATATATTAGAAAAGTCTTCTTGTGCCGAAACAAATGCAAATGAGCTTTTAAAAACATAGACATTAGCTCATTAACATTAGGTACGTGAAAAGTTCGACGTCTGAAACGGGCCTAAGTTTTGTCAAGGCACCTCAAGTCGTCGTGATCTCATATTAGCTGGTTGTCTCAAATCAATGCGGATGTGATCGAAAAAATATACCTTAAATCTAACTTGTTTTATATTTCAGCCAGTCCTAATATAAGTCAAGAGAATAGTGTTTCTTTTTCAACTGGTGTAGTGATTGGAATGGTGGCTGGGATAATGGCATTTCTAGTTTTGGTGGTAGTGTTAGGGTTATATTTTAAATACCGCCAACGAAGTGAACAAACAGAAAACGAGGGTAAGCTTGAAAGAATAAACTATAATGATTTATACTACCTAGTTACCGAAGTAGTGCTATCGTTTTCCTTAAGGTTTGTTCAAAAGTGATTCAAATCTCGACTATTTCCTGCGATATTTCAGATACCGGAGACAATCGCGGAGTCGTAGGTCATGGACAAAATGATCAGATGATAGAACTCATAGTTTTAGATGCTGCTCCAGGAAATATAGCTTTTCAAGATAACGCGGAATTGCCGGGGGAGATCACAGTGCATCACGGAGTAAATATAAATGAAACGCAGTCGAGAATAGACACTGGCATTCCAAAATCAGTCGATAAACAATATAGAGCAGCCGAGTTATAACTGTAGTCAAAACTATAACTGTGTCTGTGGTCGAACTGGAGTGAAATAGTTTGACTTCAAGATTGTATTCCTCTTCAACAGTATCGTAGGCTCTTAGCGTAATGTAAAGCGTCCTTCTTTGTTCCCTCAGACTAATTGCTGAACTTTTAGACTTTAGAAAGTTTAGAAACAATGAAATACGCCACGCTTCCCTGCGAAAGAAGTGGACAGCAAAACCCATAAACAATGAGAGCACTGGAAGGGATAATTAACGGTGTGAAGGGTGGTCGTTTTTTTCTTTATACAAAAATATGCCATAAACCGTACACCTATGGCTATGCTAATCCACTTAGTTAACCTAATGCAATCCCCGTGCAGTGGGAACTTATAGCACAAGGTACGAGGTATGGTACTACAACCATAACTAAACTTTCGAAATTTGTTCGTGGGTCATTCTTGTTTCAAACGAGGGCCATATCTTGAAACTAGATCTGAGTTCTGATTAGATCACGCTATAATAATTTGTAACATTTGTTTGACTTTCGAATAATCCTACGTCCTTACCTTACGTTGATTAGGTTAATACATATCAGTCTATATGTATCATAGTATGTAATTTGTAAATAGCAACTCAAAATACAATGTTAATAAATCTAATACTCACTCTAAGCTTTTCTTCCCAAAAGCGATCACTGTATCAGCATGGATAGTTAAAAGACTAGTGATTTTATTATCCATGGTATCAGCAGACTCGGAGGGTCAAAAATTTAGATAAGTAACTACCATCACTACCTTTTGCACGATCAAAAATGAAACATACTATTGACAGTTGTAAAACGTGTCACCACAATCTCGTTCCCCGAGCCCGCGATTTCTCTGGCGAGAAAACGAAGGCTCTGGGATAATCCAAACCAGAAATGATTCTGATTGGTTGTTCACGCCGTTTTAATTTTGAAATACAAAAAACCGTTACAAATCCGAAGCCAGGATTTCTGGCTTCCGGTTTGGATTATCCCAGAGCCTTCGTTTTCTCGCCAGAGAAATCGCGGGCTCGGGGAACGAGATTGGTGTCACCACCAGTTCACTGGTCACCACATACATACATTTCGTCCCTCCGTCCCTCGTACCAGGGAATGAAGGGTTTGCCAGACAAGACCACTGACCTGTATATGTTTTTTAATGTTAGGCCAATTAAACTGGAAGACAGCAATTGCACACAGACATGAACCGTTCAAATTACGTTTATTCTCACTCCATCCTGCCAACTACATTAGTACCCTCTAAAATTGGTATCACACCAATTACGTCTCAGACTCTTACATAAAGTTAGTCCTGACAATTTTTAACTTACATATATGTAAAAAGTTTAAATATACATTATTATACATAACTACTACAGAGTACAAATCTATTCAATTCTGTACTATTTTGCTATTTACATTAAAATGCTATTTTTAAGGCTTTAGTTTTCACATTTTTTTCTTACATTTTTTACAATTTTTTTACAGATTTTTATACATTTCTCCCTTTTTTCACACATAGAAACAAGTAAAAGTACAGCAAAATTATCAAAGTTAACTAGACTAATGATTCACAAATTCTAAGATAAAACTATTTCCAAAACATTTTTCATTTAGGTTGGCTGGTAAGAGTGATAAAATGAGTATTTCAGGCAACAGCTGATAACATCCTTGAAATTTTCACATTATTAGGTGGTATCTTGGCATCAAATTCAAATGAACAATTTGTTTCCAGAGCTAAGGCACGGATTAGAGGGGATGAACACTTATAGTGGTCGGCCTAAGAAAAATAATAAGTATTTGATTATTGTCAATAACACATGTAAAAATTTAGCAGATTTTAAAGCTCAAACACATGCACCACACATACTATTTTCTATTTTACCTCTGAAAGTTTTAAGTCTTCATCATTGTCAACATTTTTCAAATCCAACTCCCCAGCAAAATCATCATCATATGAGAAAGCCATGTCTAAGAAACCACTCACAGCTATAAAGCATGCATTAAGCTCCCACTCTGGCACCTGAATGACAATAACATGACACAACTCAGTAAAAATAAACAAAAAGTAAAAATAAACAAAAAGTAAAAATATGTAATGCGCTACTCAAAGGAAGAAGCATTACCTTAATCTCAGTTTGAAATGATTGGACTAGGTGAATCCATTGCCTCAATGAAGAATTAAGATCTTGAATCATGAGAGCCAAAGCCAAAGTTGAAGGCTGAATACAAAAAGATATTAATTAATTTTTTGGCTGAAACTTAGGATAAAAATTTGTTGAAGAAAGCTTGAAAAGCATTTGTTTACATTACCAACTGTAACCCGCTTTAATTAAGTTTGAAAAAATGCATATGTCGTTGCATGTGCATATTAGAAATCACTTACACGGTAGGAAAGGAACTCATGTTGACAAAGGAGCAATTCTAGTTTGTTTGTCAATAACTGTAAGTGGTGAGGCACAGCATGTGGACTTACACAGCCACTGGCAACACTCAAGGCATGAAACTACAAATTTGAAGCACAGTGTTTAGTATCATAAGGTAAATTAGTCAGAGCCTCTGTTTGCAAAACAGACATTAATTAAATAATCATAACCGTCTCAATTTGATAAAATAGGTATAAACGTACTGCTTGAAGGAATGACAATGCTGTAACTCTGTTAAGATCCCAATCTAGCTTTGCCAAAATAATTCTTTCCATTCTTAGAAGATCTGATACGGAAAATGAACATCCAATGGCATCTAAGAGTTCACTTGCGCCTGGGAGATCCTGTTATATATGTTTAGAAAATATTCACTTAGTACTGCAAATATATTGTGAGGGTGATTAAATATGGAGTAATGTAAAAATGTAACTATTGTACAGTACAATGTTGAGTGGGTACTTCAGGTATATTACTGTTAAAGACGATTCCACTCATCATGGTACAAGTTATTCACAACTGCACATTTCTCTGGCTAATCCTAATTAGTTAGAAATGCTAATACTAATTCATCTATCTATGTATAATGTACTAATTACTATACTGTAATAAATATGATTTTCAGAATTTAAGAAAAGGCATTAAAAGTATTTTCCACATGATTGAAATTACATTAGAATCCACAATGCAACTCTAATGAGAAATAACTTTTTTAAGGCTGGACAGGATTATTCTCAAAAATGATAAATAATATTTTGATGCATTCTGGCCTATGCACCAAGATTGAATTGCCCAGCTTAATTTTTCATTTTGTACATGTTCATTATATCCATATATAAAAAAACTAAATTAACTAAAATACTATACGACTACAATAAACAATACAGTACATTAAAAGTATACTGTACCTCCTCCTCTTCAATTATTTTGACAGCCAAAAAGTAACAGGCCACAACAATACATGGTAAATACTTCTTCTGCGCCTAGCAAGATTTGAAATTGATATCATGAACTAGTTACAAAAATTACCTTTTTAAATTTTCGTTAAAAGCTGTTATGCTGTAGATATGGTAATAGAAGATGTACATGAATAATTATGTAACATACTTTCACCAGATACAAGAATCTATCCAGAATACTTGCTGCCAAGGCAAATGATTCAGGATGAAAACCAAATTGCTTATTCAGTGTCAACAAATGTGATACAATTTTGTCTCTTTCTTCCAATGTGACAGCATTTTTGTCCTACAAATAAACAAAATTTTGAGAAAAAAGCCGGCTAACTCTCTAGAAAAACGTTATGGATCTGCTCAAATGTACACTTATACTGATTTATAAAAATGAAAAGTACATAAAATGTACATTGTCAAATTCCTTTTATACCTGCTGGGGTATGGAGAAAATTGGCTGGTACTTGGTCTCCCTCTTTAGCTCATACTGAAGCACCTCCCTCAACTTGCTCACATTCAAACTGTTCCCAATCATCTAAAAACACAAAAGTTATCATCTGTAAGAGATGAATACAATTTCTACATAACTAGATCAAGCATGAGATTGGTCTAATTTTGGTTAGAGCATATGTACACAACACAAGAGGCTTTGTGAACTTTAATATCATAAGAATATTATTAATATATGGCAATGTAAATGTGTACATAAAGAGAAAGTAAAGAGAAAGTTTCTCTTTGATAAAGTGTAACCTTGGTGTCAGGATTAGAGAAATGGTTAGAATGCCTTCAGTTATCATTTCTTTCATTTCTTATCGCCTGTATACTTTCAATAATTTGAACAAGACTAGGATTTGATTTTAATGAGAATCAGGGTTAGAGAAATGTTTAGGACAAAGTTCATAACCTTTAGTTGTCATTTCTTTTGTTTTTATACTTGAGACTTTTAAATAATTCCATCATTTTGCACAGGTCCCTATTTTTTAGGAAAATGTATTTTGAGAATGGAATTTTGAACCCTTTAAAATCTTTGAAGATTAATTGGATAAGGTTACAATTCAAGTAAGCTTGTAAAACGGAACAAGAAACATGAGTAATCCTAGTGTCCAGGGTTCTCCTATCCTTACACTTTTTAACTGTTATTGTTTAACAATTCCATTCCCATGTATGGTAATAATTGGGGGGTTAGTGAGTTACCCTCTGAGTGTCTGACATTTATTACAACTGACAGATGTAAAATTCATATTGCATGTTACTAGAGGTTTTACCCCCTGCTGTAAATTGTGTGCAAGAACTTCAGGCAAAATACGTAAGAACTTTTGCAACCAAGGTGGACACAAGTGTCTATAAATAGGAATTCCCCTAAAATTTGACAGGTATAACTCCACCCGTCATTATTCCCTCCTGCAGTGAGCATCATTAGTATTTCATATTGACCAGCAGAAACCTGCTCAAGTAACTTTCTGAACATATTTGATTCTGTGTATATAAACCTAGATCTAATAAAAATCGAAATGGCATTGTGTTTGGTATGCTAGTACAATAATAATGCCGCGATGAGCAAAGGCTTGAACAGAATACTAAATCACGGATGCAGTCTGCTGTATTTAATACAAAACCTACACTCTAATACATTTCAATTATCAAATATAAACTGAAATACTCGGCATCGTACAACATGTTGGACGCTTTCGTGCTTCTATAAATGACACAACACTAAAATGAAATGCGAGATTCTTCTCGTGTGTCGTAAGTCACGTCTTTTATATCATCACGATTTTAGGCGCCTTTGCTGTAAACAAAAGAAATCGGGCGTTCCGGCGCTGTACCTATGAACAACGACTAGCCTTATCCTCTCTGCATTTTCTTTGAAAGGAGGAGCAAATTAAGGAAGAAATAATTCTACGACTAAAGAGTAGAGATGATTTTGTTGATCATACAACCGGACCTGCAACGAAGGTTGTTTTGATTACGATTTTACGACGCAATACGAAAGAAATTTTTTTCGAAATACAAGCATCAAATGCTAAATAACAGAATTTACTGCAAAGTATCTCGTACCCACAAAATAGCAATTTAAAAAACTCAAATAAAAGATAAATTTAGAACAAAAAATAAGCGGTTCAAGATCGATGTAATAAATGAAATCAAAGAGAAACATGAATCGATAATACTATTATATAATACTTTGGGGAAATCGGTAAATGTCGAATGCTTTCCTGTCAAATTTTTCTTCTGTGCCAAATATAACACTAACAACCCGATGATTTAATGAGGCTTGTGAGTTTTGAAGCTGCATTGTCAATTTCGACCACGTATGCAAGTGATAAGAATATTCTCGTTGCGAAATATTGGGAGCTTGGAATACATAGTCAAGTCTCAAGTTGACTTGTTAGTTTAGCTGGAGAAATCACTAGTTTGGCTGAGAGTTAATAACGTAAAGGCCTATGTGTTTAAGTAATGCAGACAAAGAATACAAGACAATTCTTTTGATGTTCACACAGCTGTCAAAGCAAGAAGACCTAACGTATATTTACATGAAAAAAATTTACCTTCTATCCTTGCAAATTGTTCAATTTCGGAATTATTCGACTGTTTTGGCATCATTTAGCGTCTAGCCATCGCTCTCCAAATAGCTTTTAAAATATACAAAGAAAAAATCAAAAATACATCGCTTTAAAAAGTAGCTTATCCATTTTCACTGCTTGACAATTATATAAGAAATTCGCTGTGTATACACATACACAATAAAGACCGCCCAGTGACGTCACGAAGAAGCCGTATGTTTGAGCGCCAAAATCAAATTCGAAAAATACCGCAATGCTATTGGCAGGATATATCAAAAGCTACTTTTTACCGGATATCAAAGTGCCTCAGAAGACCGGACATTGTTGGTTGACAGCGAACAAGGAATTTGCGTGGTCAAAGGTCGCTATTGAATTATAACATTGGAAATACCATTTCATTATGATTTCAATCCAAGTTAATACGCGAGTAAAACCAGAAAAGGGGTCATACCAAAAACGTTTTTGATAACTTACAAGAAGAACTTTGAAAAATTATATGTGCGATATAAGAGTAGTCCAATATTTAATCCGGGGCGTGAATTCGTCACTAAGAACGTCACAAGTTTTACTTTGTTTTCGAGGAAACAAAATTTCATATTGATTGGAAACGCTAAAATTGCCAGAGGCTTCCAATACAGTGAATAACTAATAAAAGTGTATCATAAAATTCCTATACTTCTGTTACTGATTTAGTATCCTCTCAAGTGTTTTCAAATTGGGATTTGCACATTCATCGCGAACTGAGACTATTTAACCAGAGGCGTGCGAATTGACCATGTATCTATTGTATCATATATTTGAATGATATTTAGTCAGCAGATATATATTACAGTGTATCTAAACACAGTTAATTCTATTAACTGTGATCTAAACAAAGGAGCAACCGAGCAACACTTAAATCAGCGTCTTAGAAGAGTCTCGTGATGTCTAATTTGCATTTCTATTCAGGAATAAAAACTCCACCTTAAACATATAAACTACAACATAAACCACGCAGTAAATGATTTTTGCATAAAAATATATGAATTGAACAATTTCGACACTTACCAGTAAGTTCTACTGTACGCATCCTTTCTTTTTTAATACAGAAAAGTGGTAAAACCGCGTGAATACAGTTGCAAACGTTGTGTATGTTTTGGATTATTGTCTCACACCAACTATTTGAATACATTTACATTTATTCAAAAATTTGAATCCCTATAGAATATAGATTGACTGATATTTACCATGGTTACTTCCCCCGCAATTCAGGTTACTAAAGTGGAGTCAATTGAGTGTATCAACTGTTGGAAACCACCGTGATTGGTTCATTTGGTTCATCTGATAAACATATCGCATTTGATTGGTTCTTGTTCCCACACTGTTACCATATAGTGGTAATCAAACCTGAAACCCTGTCCGAGCTAGCCTTGCTATATCAAAGCACAGAACGATCGGTGCCTGCCCAGTAAAACAGCCAAAGCTACACTGCCTTACAAATGACAATGGAGATTCATTTACAGCAACGTCCTCCCCCCGTTTTAAAAATCAGAGATACTAAACGTTGCTATAGGTATATAAGCATAGATAATCAAGTCAACTGTTTTTTCTTTTGCTTTTTTATTAACTTTACAATCATATGATTGATGGTTAGGGCAACAGAAGGTTAGTTCCTATTTAAGTCCCACCAAAAGTCATTATTACATATTTACTATAGTTTACGTTATTAACATACATATACATAAAAAGTTACAAACAAAGTTATATATACAGGAAATGCATTTACGAACAACAGTTTGACTTTAAAGAACCACTTACTACTACACAATGTTTTTCAAGTTCTAGAGCGGTCTATATCGAAGGTATTGATCAGTTTGTTCGAATAATAAATATATGAACATGAATAATAAACCATCGTAATTATCGCTACTCTGGTTTTAATAAATGAAAGTAATCACCACACATATGTCACAATGCAAACGTACAAGTTTAATAAATATAAATATATGGTTTAGATTTCAATATGGAGACTGAAAAAATAAGTAATCGTGTTTTAAAGGTATTTTAAAATGCTAACCTAATATATCCAAATGTCAGCTTTGGCTAAGGTTAAATCTGCCACTGTACCCAACAGATCCCTATCAGAATCAAGTGCGACAATCCAAGATTGGAGGACGCGTCTCTTCTTCCCAGTACTATAGCTAGATTTTGAAGTGGGGGAAACGAATATCTAATTATTTTAAAAAATTTTTAGAATAATTTCTCTTGCGATACCTCACATAACTCTATTAGTGCCTCTAAAAGGACACAGAAGCTGTTCTGCCTGTGCACTAAAAATCAAACTTCAAAATTAATTCGTTGGGTGTGATGTCAGTAATCGTGCACTCGATGGGCCATGGACTTGGAGCTAGCGTAATGGTCGGGCCACATTTGCAGAGTTGCAAAAAAAGTTCAACCTTCCTCCGGTAGGATTTCAAGTTTTGCCAAACCTTCCTCAAAATGACGTTACGTCACCGAGTCAAGTGGCAACAATCATAAAGAAATATTTGGTATTTTGGTACATGCATGTCATGAATCAGAGTGTTCAACTTTGAACCTTCCTCACAAACCTCATTCAAAGCAAACCTTCCTCACGGGTGGCACCCGCGTACCCGCAGCTTTTTTACAACTCTGCACATTTGAATCGCGCCCCAGTTGACTAACTGATCTTAAATTACATTGCGCCTCCATGTGGTCGCCGCGACTGTATGATCTTTCATAAAAAGACGACTGGGAACGATACAGAGTCACTTAGCCCCCTTAATTTTTGGCATAGATTGGCGCACTTGCCTATGATTTCAGCTTACTTCAGTTAAAACGTTTTAGTTCGTTTATTTGAAAAAGTAGCTCTTCTCAGTCAAACGTATGTTACTGATAACTTATCACGGAATTAAATAAATTGCGATCAATATTGATCTCCCTCTATGAGTATCATTCATACCCTCTTTCACAGTCTTGTCGCTAGTTTTTGAGTATTGAATTGAGAACGGTTTTTTAACCTTATCGTGTAAAGTGCACACCAATAAATGGCTGACATTTTGACAGTTGCATTAGCATATGCATGCGAAGTCGGACTGAGTAAAGGGGGGTGTTGGAAACCGTATTCAGGACGTATGTCTGATCCGTGGGTGGTTGTTTGTGAAACAGCCGTTCGTCGTTAAGTTGGGGTTAAGTGCTGGCCAGATGAAAGGAATTTTTCTAGTATATAACGGTCCGCAATACACTAAGGGTGGGTGGACAATATTTTTGTAGTTCGCGACAACTATATAGCCACTTATGACTTATGTAAAGTCAGCTAAAACTTTAGTACATACAACAATTTCTCAAACTGATTACATGCAGAATCTGTTACTGAATTCACAAATTCCTACTCAACAGACTATACACTGGCGAACGCGCCGGATCTTGGGCTTTGCGCAGGGGCAAGTTTCAAGAAATAAATTTTGCATGCATGATATATGCAGAGTATATCTACGTCGTAATAATAAAAATCAAAACGAGCGAATACCTATTCACTACTACGAAGAGACTGCACATGCAGGAGAAATGAGGAAGCTGAACATTTTTCCAACTGTAACTAAAACTGCGAAACTCAAAAGCTATCGGGGAAATCCTCCCTCTCCCATGCAGAGCATAAGGGGTATTGAGCCGATACTCATAGATATTTGGAAATATACATGTTACATGCAATCCGAGTAAATTTGGAGTTCATTTGAAGTTTCGGTACCGTAATAGTTTCGCATTTTTTAAAAAAAAACATGTAAAACATTTCTAAATTGAACATTTGAGGTTACACCTCGTAAATTCAGTTCAAAAAATAAATTTACGTTGTTTACATCCTCACTCAGACGAATATTAGCATCATACTACATGAAAATATTTATGTTGTTGTTAACGCCATACAAACCACAAAAATCGTGGGTTTACAGTCAATCGACAACAATCAGATATTAACTTTTAATGTATGCGTCCGCCCTGAAACATCTCGAATCAGGGGGTGTCAACATCGCACACTATTACCTAACTTTTTGCCAATTTTATGGTCACTTCACGCCCTCGTCTGTAGCTATGGATAATGATGCATTGGATTTTTATCAGGCACATTTTGTCAGTTTTGAATTTCTCTAGTTCACATTAAACTATCCAACTTGGCAATTTGCCTAACTTGGTGACCGTATATTCCTGGGGGGTGGCAGCTTTGGCACGCGATACGCCCATTCATCATTTTCCGACATGCATTTTTCGCTTATTTGAATGAGGCCCAACTAAAATATTTCTCCATAAATAAGAAATTTCAATGAACATTTATCATCGGCGATAGGTATTCGAAAAAACTGCATGAGGTGAAAATTATGCGGGTCCTAAGGTGTAGTTGTTTTACACCAAGTATTAATAATAACGTATCAGTAAAGACTGGTGTGTCTCGATATTAATTCACCTTCGTTGGAAACCGTTGTACAAGTTAATATCTGTGGATAATGAAACGTTTGTAGCACAAATGCATGTTGATATTGCTGTTGGCTTCACACAATGTCAGATAGAAACCAATGAGCTCTACACCCATCTGTCATAACCAAAAAGAGTTTGCAGCTGCATTTACACACTATGATTTGTTGGGCCGATTTGGTATCGTAAATATTCTTCAAAATGAGGAGAAATTACCACAGTGGCAAACGTTATACTTTAACACGTGAACACAATAATGAAGGCTTGTCAGACAGGACACGCCTTTTAGCTGCAAAATCATGCAATGATCATGCAGCAGTCATACCGCCTCGAGATGCACTGGACATGATATGCATGTGCCCTTGGCGTGCGTGCACCATGTGCAACTGTTTTAAGTCAAGGTCAAATCACTGAAACATGATCACAGGGGAGCCAGTAAAGTCATCAGAACCATATCAAGTTTAGAAGTAATCATTCCTGTTGGTGCATGAGAGTAGTGAAATCATTCCTACTATATAAAAATAAATCACAAATTGCGTGGATCATAGGAAGAAACAGAAATACACATTAGCTACTTGTATGCAAACCGTGTCTGCTCACACAGGATAGCTATATTATACCAAAATGATACAGAGAATTAAACGTCGAATTAAACTGTAATTAAATAACCCGACCGCATGTGACCGCATAAAGTTCTTGTCTGCATAGTTTTTGTCTGGGTTGCAAACTCGAGATTAGCTCAAAGTAAGACCTGACCATATTCGAATTTAGCAAAAAGGGAACGAATTTTGAGGAACCCTAACCCTTGTTGATTGGTGCCGTGTTAACGGGAGACCTAGGAGGCATGCAGGAGGCATCAATCACTGCAAAGGGCCACGAATTTGTCTCCTTGCCTGGTCCCGTGGAAAGAGGGCCTGAATGTATGCACTATTTAATGCGTGCAAGTTGTGTGAAATAAATTTGCTTGATGAGGGCAATCTGACTTGCTACCATAGCAATTCCTTCTCATTATTTTAAAACGACTGGACAAGGTCACCGATTGGTTGTTTCAAATTCATGAATATATGCGTAATATTCGTGACATAAGCCACTTATATCAAGAAATTGGTTCATTCGCACGATATTGGCAATCGCAAAACATGAAAGATCTTAGTCATAAATAGAGCAAGAGACACACCGAAAGTGATACTCTTCATCTTTGAATTTCATGCTTCATGTTAATTCAGATTGCAAAGACGATGTAAGGTGATACACACGTATAACCAGTATTGTGCAGTAAGCAAGTTGAAACCAGAACATCATGTTTAGATGAAAAATACCATCCACTCTAGTCGCAACTGACTAGGATATATGGAGCGACTCAAACGACTTCTCACAAGAGAACATGACCTAGGAACAAGGATTCATCGTGCGTATATATCAAGAACAGTAAGTACAGTTTAGATGTCTATTGAAATAGTATACGTAAGAAATATTTTGTTATTCATATGATCATTTCATCGCTGTATATCCATTTAGGTCCTTTAAATTTGCTAATAAGTGCTAGCTAGACTAGAGTTCATCGCAGAGACGTTCATTCTGCAATATGCCGCGCTTATAGAAATCCCTGACGTATATTCAGTCAAAAAATTCATAATAAGGAACTATCAAGTTTTTAAATACCCTACGCATACTGTGTGGAGTAAATGAAATCCAGACGACTGTGCAAGTATATACATATATTTTGAAAGGTATTGCAATGAAAGATTGCATGAAAACATCAAATAGCAAAGTTGTGCAGTTGAGTAAGTTAGTGAATGAGGTGTTGAGTTATAGAAACGTACAAATGACGAATTTCAGGGCAAATAAACTTTGTTTATTATGGCTTGTATGCAAATGAGTTCTCGAAACATGATCATGTGATGGCATGAAAAAAACATGACTTCATAATTATTTCGAATGTCAAGCAACAAGTGCATGTGAATGTGCTCACCCCCTTCTAAACGCTTACTTGCAGCTCATTTGTCACGATATAGAATTTGCTATTTAGGATGGTCATTTAGGATCTAGGATAGATGGAATATTTTACTGGAGAACTTATTATATCTTATTTAACTGCAGGAGATCTGTCATTATACACGGGTGCGAGAAGATCGGATTTCGTGGCATAAGACTCTTTAATTCCCATATATTAAAGGCTTTAGACGCGAGTGACGATTTCTTAATAACAATTGCGGTGGGTTTACCACAGTTGTAGCAATAACGCGTATGCTGTGTGACATACATACATACATAGAAGCCATTGCCATCGTTCCCCCGTATGACTGTACATGGATATACCAATATAAGAAACATCCTCCTACACAATTTACTGTACTTCAAAAACGCAACTTGTATAAGCTAAGACAATACGCGCAATACTGCTTAAAAGACAATCAATATTACTCATAGACGAAATCGAACAATCTCATGGTAAAAACAGTAAAGTTTATTAATGGCTATAGAAGCCCATGTATAAGATGTATTATTTTCAAAAACTATTTCTTGATCCAGTAATAGTGCACCTCTTGATCTTCTCATGTCAATTTTTACGGGAGTGGATTTACGAAAAATGATTTACAGGTTTTCGGGGTTTAAAATGGTAGGCTAAAATGACAAACGGTAGCCCGGTGCTGATTAGAAAACTAAACTTTCTTGTCTGATTACTAAAACTAGGTTGCAACCAGAATAATTGGTTTTTGTAGTGAAGTATATTACACCGCAACATATAATAGCTACTACCTTTTCTAAATTTAAAAAAAAAACATTAACTGGCCAAAAACCAATATCACTAAATTTGACGGTTAATTGTATTATTACCTTTGTGTATCTTTTTTTTCCCTGTCAACATGCATTCTATTTCTACTAACAATATATATGTCGTTTCGCAATATTAATCAATACGAATATTTGACAACGTAGGCTGTTGCACATTGTGTAATAAACACTTCATTTTTGAATTTAAAGTAGATCTCTGAAAAAGGGGATAGAATGCATGTATCTTCAATTTGCAAGTGCCGGTTCCGCTCTTAAAAATCGATATTTTTGGGTAGTGTCGCAGCTCCTCGCAAAAATTATTTTCACTGGCTGAACTTTACAATACATTTCTGTTTCAACCAATAGTATAGCTTCGTGCTTTAGAAATTATAGCAAAGCATCATCCAATTGGACGAAAGCTTCCGAGCACTGCGACATGTCCCATATTTTTCACGTTCGTTCTATGGCATCAATAGCTACACATTATTGTATCATCCAAATTCAATTTGTCTCGTGTACTATATTTTTAGGCGAGTGAAGTTGGACCAAATTTACGAGATAAAGCAATGAGCTGGTTGCGTGTGTTAAACGAAAATTTCCGTCTTCAGCCGGAATCCTTTGTTTTAGCTGTTCATATTTTCGACAAGTTTTTGTTAACGACGAAGGTAAATAAAGGAAGGATAAAACAATGAAATCAATTGTTCTTGTGCTTCAGTTATTCTTGTGTTTCATGTTTCATCATGTATCCAGTACCAGTCAAAGTAGTCGGAAAGTTTACTATATCATATGCAGTGATGACTTTTAACTTACGTAAGGTACAAAAAAGTCTGACCCCTGAGGCCCGGTCTAACTCTCTCAAATCACCAATTAAAATGCCGTAATTAAACCAATCAATTTAGTTGAATGCATCAAATACATACTGTAAATACAGTATATGATATGACCGATTCGTTTATTTTAATTTCAGGTTAGAGTGAAGTATTTGCGATGTGTAGCTATTGCTGCTTACTTTATATCAATCAAAGCAGTCGAGGAAGACGAGGTAAGTTGAATGGCGCGTGCATGATTGTCCTTTGTTGGGAGAGAGTGGAGGAGGATGCCAGCTGGATCTCGCTAGGATGGCTGATCTGCCATGAGTCACTATGATTTGTAACACAGTGTTTTTATATGACGAAGAAAGCATTTATACACTATTAATGTAACAAATAAGCATAGTACCAGGTTTGATGGCAAAAAAGACGAACATTGAAAATCTAACGTCTACAGTACATGCATGGCATGCATCTATAAAATATTTTTACAATGTGGGCGAAGCCGAAGCGGTCGTAATGAGGAATTGCTTTTACAAACTCTGTGTATATACAACTCGGGTGCTTCGGGAAGGGTTGTTTTGCCACATGGTAAGAGCCACATCTTAAGATAAATCATAATATCAATCTCTGAAATTCTTTATCGTAACTGATTTGATCCGCCAATGTATAATTTCGTATGTAGCGAATCCGGCTGATCATTTTTGAGGTGAAGGAAAAAGCGCCTGTTGACCACTATTATATATAAAATATATATTTATAATTCTTAGAAAGATTTGTCCGCTTGCCTCATCCAAATTCTATTAACAGCGGGGTATTTCAGATATTTCTCCAATTTTGTATAGAATATCCCTGTCGTTAGCGACCTGTTAGAAACCAGTCAATGTGGATGTTCCAAGTCAGACATTCTAAAAATGGAGTTAATCATATTAAAAACTATTGAATGGAAAATTTACGCCGCCACGCCCATGAGATTCTTGCAACACGTAAGTACCCCTCATCACAGACCGCTTGCACAGATCATTTTGATTTAATTTCGACAACTATTCATTGCACTGCATGACATTTATAATTAAGAAATATGCCGGTTTATATATACTTGGCCATTTTATTAAATGGCTGCAAATTAAGATTTTATCGGTGGCGAAGCGGCAGCACCATCGATAATTGGGGGAGGGGGGCATATTGATATATTCATGCAAACAGATTTAAAAGGAATTGGTCATATACACAACATTAATATATAAATATATGACACCCCCCCCTCCCAATTATCGATGCTGGCTACGCCACTTGATTTTATGTCCATGAAGTACCTCGTTTATAAACAATACCCTAATTCTAAGTAATTTAATTATTTAATCAAGTATTCGATACTTCAGTTTGTACACAATCGTTTAAACATAGAAACATAATTTGGGAATAATAAATATTGCAAAATTAACCACAATTCAAAATTTAAAAGAATGGCAGTGCGCTTTTTTGTGGTTTATATACGGTTTCTTATAGTACCACTTTTTTAAAAAAATACTTTAAAAACTATGCATCTTCACTATTGGTTCAAACAAGATACTCCACTTGTCATTTTCTAGTTTTACGAAATGCTTTTCGTACCCTATCCGTCGGAGATAAAAAATATTCCAGAAAAGTTTCTCGCCGAAGCTGAAGGAACAATACAAGAGTGTATGTGTAAATGGCAACTGACACAATTTAAGGTACGTGTTAGTAAATATATGAAATTGGAAAAACTTCGAAATTGTCGAGGTAATTTCTCGATTATTTCCTCTCAATCTGAAATAAAATGTGCTCTTTTACTGTCGAGTTATTTAATTACAATACGTGTTGTTTTAATAAAAGTTATAGATAGAAAGTTCTAAGCAACGTTTATGCCTGCAAATATGGGGGACAGATTTTATCCTTGTTCTTAAAGTTACGCATATATATAACTTATATACAAAGTCAAATAGCTTCCTTTATACCTTTTTGGTAAATTACTTATTTACTGTTTTTGTCTTACACATGATTTCTTAGAGTTCTGTCCTGGCTTATGCTGTCTTAATCAATACATTTCAAGGAGTGTTGGGCGAATCGCAGCTGCAGATTATACAAGACATAATTAAGGTATATATACTAACGATACTCTTACTTTCAAAATATCTACTGAATTTACCCAGCACCAACTCAAATCGTAAATTAATTAATTAAAAAGGATTACAGTGTACAGGGTGTCTCAAAAATAAGAAAACTATTGAAATCACTCATTGAAATTTGAAATTGTGAATACGATTAAATTTAAGTTAGCCTTGTTATTGCTTCAAAAGAAAATGGTACAGCTGACCGCGGAACAACGAGTGTTTATTGTGATATTATCCCAACAGAGTGCTTAGGCATTCAAACTCTAAGAATTACATTGTTATAGGTGGACAGAGAGGACAGAGGGAGACACCCTGTATAGCCCTCGTCGTAGTTACGCAATAGGGAGAAAAGCCTGGCTTGCGAGGTTGCGTAGTGCGCAGTTTTTTAAAACTGCGCAAAATATTGTGCGTAAACTAATTTTAAAATGAAATAACTCAACGTCATGTCTAACACAAAACATTGACAATGTTTTCTATAACCATTTAGATTGAAAATAAAGAACTTTTCCAATGTAAACTTCTACTGAAGGAGAAGACTGATAATCACACTATTTCAGTTAAAGAACTTGAAACAGTCGACGTTATTCATACGGACTCTAAAGAAAAACTAAAGGTTGTCAAAACGTGACAAATCCTTAAACTAGCGATTCTGCTGCTAAATTTCATCGACAGCATTCGGTTTTTTGCGGACGCCAAAATTCCAAAGCCCATTGTAACAACTAATCGTGTTTTCATGTTTCGAATTTGAAGATGTTAAAAATTGCAGTAATCAACATCGCTAGTAATACCACTGACTGCTATATAGTGCCTGAGACGCGATGCATTTGTGATTCACGATGCAAAACTGAACATCACTGGAAATGTGATCTTAAATTGGGTATATTTTTCAGAATGTATACACCCACATGTACATTAATTGTTAAATATATATAAATATTCACTGTATATATGCATGTATAGCTATTTTCAAACTTTAAACAATGTGCTTATACACAGCTCAATTTTAGCTTTTTTCTTTTTGTTTTTGTTTTGCCTTTACCTGCATGTAATCAGTTTTTGTCAGAGTTGTCAAATGTTCTCAATCATTTGGTGCCAAGCATAGATATAGTTTGTGTACAAAATTATAAAACCATAAGTGATAAGAAAAAATCTTTAAAACTAACAAGTTCTTTCCAACTCTGATGTTTTAAGTGGATCAGTGGATGCCTGTATGGCTTCACACTAACTTCCACATTAAATGCTCTCCTAGTTTCCTTTTTAAACATTCATGTGGTAGCAAAAATATTTAAACACATTTATTTACACCACAGAGAGCCCACAAGATATATATCAGTTCCTATACTTGCATGTTTTACTGTCACCAACAAGTGGTCAGAATTTGCCACATGAAAATATCTGTGGAACATACCCCACCATGCAAGCCAAACCTTCAAGGTCAGATAATAGGCATAGAGCCAATCATCAAAATAATAAAAAATACTTCAATATTAACCTTTTAGTCACAATTAACTTCTTTATGATTGAATTATCATCTGGTTAACGATCCAGCAGATCCACCCATCCCCATTTCTTTATCAGCTGGTGGACCAATCTCCATAAAGACTGACATTATTCGATGATTCACATTTACCATTTTGTTTACACACTCATTCACACACACTTGCTAGTAGAAAAAATACTATATAAACATTACATATTTACAGCCATTGAAACTATGAGTAATATATGGTAGATAACATATACACCATGTCTCAGAAATGCACAAGCATTCAGAATGAGGGAGGAGGCATTAATAATGAACTAACACAGCCAAGAAATACCAACATTTGTCAATACACTTATATACTTCTACTTACAACTCCCCTCCTTGTCCAGTGTATGGTATACCCTTGCTAGTATATTATTCAATAATTACGCATTAGATACCTCGTTTGCTGTTAAGCGTCCTTCATTGAATGTTGTGATACAGCTTTTAAAACATTCTGATACCATTTTGTTGTACAACATGACAAATTCTTTATACTATAAAAAAGGTTCTAATGTCAAAATGTTCCTTTCATTGGTGTCTTACTCTTCCTACTATCGGATAAGAACTTAATTTCTTAAAAGCAAACACAATTTTTCCAGTGGTCCTCGCATCAAAAATTAAAAGCCTTTCATTTTATGCACTGCTCTCAATTTTATGTAAGTTGTCCGCTGACAATATGAACCTGCACAAGTGGGAGAAATTTAGCTAATTTGGACCAGCATGAAATTCAATATTACTTAATAAAGCACTTTTTTATAGGAAATTGGATTTCACAATACTTTTTTTTAATGAAAGTGTCAAGTTCAAGGGGCGTCATCTTTCTAAGCCTACCACAGATATATGGAGTGTCTATATATGGAAGAGCGCAGAGGCCCACCTCAAGTTAAGTTAGGCAGATCTATTGAAAGTTGAAACCCAAAATTTTTCAAAGGAAGCCTGTTGTGACGAACATTGAGGATTAAACTGCTGTTTATTTATTTATTGCAACGGTGGAAAATAACTAATGACTATAAATCACGTGCCACCAAGGTAGGTTAAACAACTTTAAATTGCATCTCCTATTTAATTATCATTAAAATGATAATAAGTCTTAAGAATATTCATTTTTGCAACGGTGAAAACGTTACAAAATTCATTTTTATTATTAGCCATTATTTTCATTCATTCATTAAATATGATCCTTCACATTTTAGTGATTTTATTTTTACAAAGTCGCGTGCAATGTCAAATGACAATGAGACGAATGAGTTACAGTCAGGAAATATTGTTCATCAAATTATAACGAATATCATCCTAATTCTTACAGAAAAGACTACGTTCTGTCACAGTACTGCCGTACTTACGTTTTTCAGTTCGATGTTATTCATAATACCACTGGGAGAAATTACTTTTTCTCCAAACCAGCCGCCATTTTGTTTCCTCACAGCAGCTCGCCCCAACCCACCAAATAAATTTGCGCTGTCTGTAGAAATACAGTTGTTGCAACAAATTCTCTTGACAAATTCTTAGAATTTGCATTTGCATTTCATGGATTTGTGCCCATTACAGTAACTACCATGTCAGAAAACAACATCGACCCAGTTTTACAACGCCAGTTGCTGGCAGAAAGTGAAAAAGCTAAATTTCAACTGCAAGTGCACAGTTTGACAGAGACATGTTGGGAGAAGTGTGTGGATAAACCAAGCAATAGACTTGATTCAAGAGATGAAATGTGTCTACACAGTTGTGTTGAAAGATTTATTGATTCTAGTAACTTCATTGTTAACAGACTGGAGCAACTAAGGAAAAACTCTTGAAAGAAGAAATTTATGCACTGCAGCATACCACAAATTAAATGACACAGAAAATACTATGTATGGTATTTGAGTCTATATACATGTACCTCCTCATGGGTGCCACTAGTAAACTAGGGAATTCAAGTTAGTCATAACTGACAGTAACTTTGAATGGCTCTACCAGAACAATGTTCAATGTTACGCTGGGCAGCTAATTCTCTTATTGTTAATTTCAATGATTATTCTTGCAATTCATTCAAATAAAAGAAAAAAGTCAAACCATAATCAGAGTAGCAGATCATAAATAGAGAAGCAAAGTAATAGTGAATAATTGTGGCTTTAAAATTTACTAGATTTTGAATAGTATGAATAGTATGGTCTAAAGAGAGGGGGGGCAAGGGTACTTTCGTGATCTGTGATCAGCATCATTTCTGTATTGTGATGCGTGATTTAGGAAAATGCCATTTCGTGAATCGTGATTAAAATGCGTTCCGTGACTCGTGAAGACCTAAAACGTTGGCAAAGACATCTTATTCTCCCCAATATTTTACCACTATTTATAATTTTTTAGATTAAATACTGGGCCCCAACTAAACGAAGGGTAAAATAATCAAAACAGTAGCTTTCTGCCTAATTTCCCAGTCTTTCCGCTGCAAAGTCAACTAGTCGTAAAAATCGTGAAAATGAAATGATCTTCTTTGTAATTCGTGAAATCTTAAAAACACCTTTGTGATTTCGTAATAAGACCCCCCCTTGCCCCCCCTCTAAAGAAGTAGTTGACCATAGAAATACTTGGCAATCATTGTGAGTTATTCATATATTCTACTTTTCTGTTTACAAAATGAAAATCACAGATCTTGAATATCCTATAAGAAATTTGGACCATAAATGTACCTACTGTGCGGTACAATCATGTTTATAGTTTTATAATTATGAGGAATATTTGTTGAGTTGATCACTGGAGTTGGGTATCCTGACTTTTATCTCCAGAGTAATTAACAATTTTGTTTTCACAACATGATCGCAATCAAGAGAAATCACCAAGTTCCCCCAGTTACCAAAGATGTTGACCCAAAACTGGCAGAGGTTTTTGCACTCTTCGTCATGGCATCACCCTTCCCCCCCCCCACATTTCGCCATCCGCATTAAGATTTGCAATGTCTCCCTTAATACGCCTCGCTCTGTTGCTATTTGGCGACCGAAAGACAAAGTTATTCAGAGGATTTGAATGTTTATGCTACAAACATCCAGATCTCAGACATAAAATAGGTATACCCCCATTGCACTGACGTCATAATCATTAAAAGTTTTTTTCCAGAGTCCAGATGTTTCCTTGCTTCACTAAAAATAATCGCTATTCAATGTATAACAAAACACGTTTGAGTGTTGACGCAACATTCTCCGATCTCACTTTATTCCCGGATATTAGCCGTTCCTATTCCTCGTTCTGCTTAATGTAAATATCATTGTTAATATCCATATTTTGTAAATATTCTGTTTATATTCACAGTTTAATTCCACAGTATGTTTTCTGTTTATTCTATCCTTAGGGTCTATCAACACTCTAGAGTATATAGGGTGTTGAACTTGAACCTTTTAGAACCGCCGATCTCAACACCTACAGGGTGTATAAAAAAAACTGCAAATGCCATAATTTGTATGCACGAGATTATACATTAGAATTCCAATGACTGTGCAATAGATTAATTAAATATATAATGGTCTAAAATGGATACAAGTTAGTATGCGTTTTTAGTATTGGTTTAGGAAGAAGCTCTGATATTTTGGAGAAGCTCTGACATCCGGTGTTGATTTTTGCTTCTATTATCTACTAAAACTATACTAAAAATATACCATATACCAGTCAGGCAGCTCCTTTTTGAAAATAAATAGGGGAGAATACATGTATGTTTATTCTCCTCTATTTATTTTCATACTAACAACTAAATCTCCTGACGAAGGCCCTCAGAAGTGTTTTGTCTATTTAGGCAGTTTTTATACCACATTTGATGCTAAATTGCCAATTAAAGTTTCAACAATGAAAGTTACCAAAAATACATTTCGCGGGCATTAAATCGGGGCATACGCACATGATATCATCTTTCCTGTCAATTAACCACCACATCGATGACATTCGCTGGCACGCCTATTCTGGCACTGGAACGTATCCAATTTTATTTATTGTATGATAACAATTAATAAATAAAGCAACATCGCATTTGATGAAAAGTTTAAACTTTTTTTAAAGAAAGCTGTTGTTTCAAAATACGCAATACAGATTGTGTCAAAAAGGCAACCATTTAATATTCATATTGGCCCGATTTATGCTAGACTAGACTAGACGGATGATCCGTATGGACAGATCATTCCTCTGAATATAAACGCACGACGAACTATCTAGACGAAGTGAATATTTTTGAAGTGTTGCCTTTTTTATACATCCTGTAGTGTTTGGTGACAGGACCGCAGCTAATTATTTAAAGCGTACTGCCGCGCAAATACGCAAACGTAATTATGTAAATACGTAAACTTTAATATTGGTTGCGTGGACAACACCCATTCACATCATTGGTCGACATGAAACATGATCAGATACAAAAACAAAAACATCATCGTGTGGTTATATCTATCAGATGTCGCGTTCTCTTTGTTTGGGAAAGTGCAGAATATTCACCATGGCTGGTAGTCTACCTTATGTCCTTATTTTGATGACTTTTTTCTGTATGGAACAGTCTATTGGTTATAGATTAATAATGCCACAACAGCAAAACAAGCCACCACAGGTATACAATGTCTTGAATATCATATTTTAAACTTCGATGAATATATATATGCAACAAACGCGATTCCGATAAGTAAGTAAGTGAACTCTTTATTTAATGAGGGAAGCACAGGATAGTTTCTATTGCTAAATTTGCTATACTTGATATTTTCTAAAAGTATTTAATATTTATACGAAGTAACTGGAATATTTGCGCATTTGCGCGAATGGGCGGCTTTTGTGTGCGAGCTATACGTCAGCGCATTGAAATTGGCGAATGATATTTTATGAAAATCTAAAAAACCTTTTTCGGAACCTTTTTCGGAGGATTTTTGAGACTTGAGTGTATATTATATGTCACTAGCTACAATTACAATTTGGTGGCACTTCACTCGATGTAGGTAAATTCTAAAGGTTTTTAAAAGGGTCTAAATTTCGAGTAGAATCACACACACAATCATACAACTCAATTCAAGCCAGGAACAGTTGAGAAAATTAGTCAACTATCGGGCCTCCGGCAGGAATCGAACCCACGCTAATGCGATGCCGGTGCAGTCCTTCGGCCACTGAGCTACAGAGGTAGCTGACAAGAGCAAACGTGGATAGTGTGTATTTTAAGGTGATAATACCGAGAATAGGTGAGGGTAAATCAATTACGAAAAAAGGGGTATCCTTTCGAAACGTTGATGGTGATGTCCGTTGACGTTGATCCTGTTATAAAGATTTGAAAACAGGAGATAAGCTCTTTACACCCCATTCCTTCCAGTTTGATTCTCTCTCCTTCAGTTGCTTACGTACCTTTTTGACCTCTGAAGTTGTGATTTTCGATTAATGTTTTAATACTCGGCTCTGATGGAGTGAGTGAGGGACTGCCGGACTAGTTGCTTTGAGATTAAATTTCAGTTTTGTGGCTCTGGCACGAAAGCAATGCATATAGCTATTGTCTGAATGTAATACTATATGCCTTTGTTGAACCACGATCGACATTTCATTCGATTCATGACTGAAATAAAATAACAAAAGTGTTTGACATCTGACGTTGCGCACATTGCGCTAAGTGATAAGAATAGTTCTCGATGACAAAGACGGCAAGTTTTAGGTTTTTTCAGACATTGAATTTTCTGGACAGGACAGGACAGAACAATTTACAGTAAATTAACCTATCTCACTCCGGTACCTACACACCACGTAGCTACTTCCTATACAGGACGCATGCACTGAAGTGACACAATGACATTGCAAATTCACGATTTATGTCACAAATTACTTACACTAGTAGTTAACACTACAGTATCCAAATTCAGATTTTTAATTTGCAATCTTTATAGATGCCCAGAACTTTGTTCTCTAAAATTAAAAATATATCGTCAACTGACGATTTCGTCAAATCAATGGGCAAGTACCTATCACAGTCACAAATCAGGGCACTGAAAGAAGCGTCGCGTAGGCAGTCGTTAAAGTCGCGCAGTGCAGGAGGAGTATCAGCAACGGCACCAGGTAATGTAAAGAGATCAGTATCAATTTTTCTGAGATTGCTGCTAGTCGAGATTCGAGAAACGAAGGGAAAGGATTCTTCGTTTAGTTGTTACAGCATTTCTGAAACATAGCCAATATCGTACTTATCGTTTTGCACAATTTTCAATCTCAGATATGATCGATCTCAATCTTCAGCATTGCAAGTTGCGTCCTTACGTACATTTTGTACAGCAACCACCTCCTAGCGAGAGCGCATTTCTCTGGCCATTTGCTGTACAAATCCCTCGCTGTATTGGTTCATGTAATACCCACCAAAGCATCTACCGGTGTGGTGGAAAGACCAAGGTTAGTGTGAACTCTAAGAAACTAGATGCCAGGGACGCAGGTAACGTCGTATAAAAACCCTGGGTACGCTGGATGGGACTCAGGGTGGGACTCTTGGGACGCGAAAACGATGCAAAGGCACAGAGGAGATTGTCGTAAATCGGCACTGGCACAGAGGAGATTGTCGTAAATCGGCACTGCACCTACTGATGTGCCTGGTAGCCGCCTATTTTATTTAGACACCGAAGTTCTAAACGGAAACAAAACAAGCAATTGTACCGTGACTACAGATTGAGGCGTGTGTTTGAATATTTCTGTCTGATTTCTGAGTTTCAGGATATTATAAGCAGAAAGACTCTTATGCGAATGACTTATAACATTACACCTTATACATTTTTTTCGTTCTTCCAATTAGACTGTTATTCCTCTGACGGTTTACAGAGTGCCATTTCCTTCCAGTCGAAAAAGGCGGGATGTCATGGAAGAATTGGAAAAGTTGGAAGGTATATATAAACTTCTCAGCTTGTTCAAACTGGTATAGGTATATAACGATTCGTACGGATCGCATACCCAAATTAGACTCCCTCAAAAAGGTATAAAAAAAATTAAGGCCCCCCAATGGCGGGTAAATAGGAAGAGAATGGTAGGCTCGGCGTACTACAGGGTTGAAGCTGCCCTTTTCTATTATATGCTTACGAGGCGGGTAAAGAGGGCGGATAGCTGCCCCCCATGCATTTCTCAGACCGAGGTATTTTGACAGATTCGGAAAAAAGCAGTTGTTTTTATGTCGTAAAATAAAAAAAATCCCCGTCATAATTGTTACATCATAATTAAGGAAACGCAGGTATTTGCAGGTTAAAATTTTGAGCAAGTTTATTCAAACCCCCCTTTCCCACCCCCTCACGACGTTCTGGCCCGTACGCCCATCATTCTTTTCCTGAAGAATATTTTTAATGTTTTTTGTACATTGTTTTCATGCATCTGTAGTGTAACTTTTTTGCACTACTTTCATTTTTTCTTATCGTAAAATTTCTAGCGCCCACCAGTAGTTCATTTTCACAATACAGCCACTCATCCAGTTAGTCTTTCTGCATAGATTCGTAGCGTTGGTGATCTCCTGTCATAACCCAGCAAGCGACGACTTGTACACCAGCTAGCGTTAGTTTCTTTATAATCGCATTCTCACTGAATTACATTTTTAATTCTCTTGTGGCACACATGCCTAAACTGGCATCCCCTCATACCCTTGTATTCTGAATCCCGTAGCGATGATCTGTATAGTATATATAAAAATAGGCAATTCGAATAAAAAGGAACACCACCATTCACCTCCGCAAAAAGAAAAAAAGTGGAAGTGGTTTTTAAAGTTCAAACCTCACAGTCGCTATTGTACAATTCAATGTAGATCCTGTTCACGAGTTAAGAAAACGCAGTGTTGGCCAGATTCAGACGCAAACTATAAATTTGGAGGGTCACGCGGATTGCAATTGCGAGTGCGTGGAAACCAATAAAAGTTGCGCCAGAGAAAACAAAGTACTCAACAGCGAATTTTGTGATTGTGAATGCCCATATGTGAGAAGTTGTACATATCCATTCCGGGTAAATTTGATGTTATTTTTACAAGATTTTCAATTTTGAACATAATAATATAACATGTACGTGTGAGGGAAATTACTTATTAGAGATAAAAGAAGGTTCAAAAAAATTCTTACCTAACAGGGGTACACTTGAGGGAGAGTATATCTTTTCTAAAAAGGGAGGAGTGAATAGCTGTTCCATTGTATCAATGTGTAAAATCAATTTCTTATTCTTGCTTATTTCAGTGGGATGAAAATCAATGTAAATGCTCTTGTGGTGAAGATCCTTCTAAGAAAAACCGCGAATGTCGCTACAATATGAATATGAAAGGTGTTTGGAATCATGACAAGTGTGCCTGTGAATGTGAATCCAAGTCTAAGTGCTATCCTTCCATCACAAAATGGAATGTGTTAAATGGAACGACTTGTGAATGTACATGTTCCGTGACAAAGTGTGAATCGGGTAAAACCCTTCATAAACGATCAGGTCAAAAGTGGTGTTATTGTAGGTAGAGGCCACCTTGGAATTTGACAATAACCTTGTGACATTAATAACTTTCAACAATCAATTGCAAGACATAAGATGATTGAATAGCAGTATTATGTGTTTGTAAAATAAATAAGAGGCAGGATATTATTTTTATGGTAGATGGGAAATTTGCAGAACATCGACAACATATATGTGTTAAGTTTAATCAGTTTTAAAATTTTTAAAATATATGGTGCGTAATAACAGTCTTTATTATAAGTATAGACGCCCATCTTTCAAAGCCATGTAAAGATTAGTAGTTTCAGTGCTGCTTTCCACTGTCGCGTTTTTTGCACGTACACGCACGTAAAAGCTTAAAACCTTGAAGTTGTTGAATAATTAATTTACGCCAGAAAAAAACACAAAGTCATCAACAAAATCCAACCCTATGCATCTATTCAATCGTTGATTTATTTGAAACTTTTACGTGCGTATACGTACGTACAAAAAACACGATAGTAGAAAGCAGCCCTTAGTCTAATTTCAAATGCTAGCGTCAGTACTGTAGCAGTAGCATCACACCACACCACACATCAGCTTCATCCATGACCACGATGCACAGAATGAGAATTATTTTATAACGTAAACTGCTAGTAATATTATACTGGGGGCTGGGGGCCAAGTTGGCTAACGTTGTAACTGCTGGGATTGTTCTCACGAAAACTGTTGCAATTTCATCTTATCGGCAATCTTTGACAAAATAAGCATGGTTACAACATCTGAAAATTCCTAATGACTTACAAACAAACTTTTCAATATTGCAATTAGATTTATTATATAAAACGAATTAGACAGCATTTATAGCGGCGGTTGTCTGTTCAATTCATAGCCCGGTTTTCTTTGCTTACTTTCTGACCAGGGTTCTGACACAATCAAGAAAAAAACTTACCTCACAATGGTGAAATGAATGGCTTTAATGTTGAAAATGCACTTTCACAGTTATCATATCCCCCCCCCCCCATACACACGCCAGATTTTTCAAGATTGAGCTAAACTGAATATTGACAACACATGCTGTCTCTATCAGATCAGTGGTCCCTATCAATCAACATAAATTATGATCAATCAAGGTATCTTATTTGCTTTTTCTTAAAATAAATCTGACTTACATGAAGTACGTCACGAGAATCCAATATGGCGGATGATGAGTACAAAAATAATTCAGGCGAAAAAAGAGAAATTAGTGGTACTTTTCTAAAAGGTTTTTCTGCGGGAGTGATTCTATCGCATATCAATAAAAACCTAATATTGGGACTTATAATTGGGACTTTGGCTGGATGCTATGTGCAACAAAACTACACTGGAATTCCTGATGTCACCGAGACTCTGACGGAATGGGTAAAGAATGTTAGAGAGTCAATCAAGAAAAAATCTAAATAATTGAAAAAGACCTTGTTTGAAGATCAAGAAACGATTGAAAATAACGCTGATCAATGGGATATGAATCTGGATACATTGAGTTTTCCTCATGGTCAGACTTGTATGCAAAATAAACTATTGAAATAATGAATAAAATAGGCAGTAAATACTGACATTCTCCGAATATAAGACGTTTTAGAAGAAATGAACCCCAAATCAAATCCGTAGAGTTTGTTTTTGGAACTCGTGTGGTGAAATTGCACCATTCTCAGTCAAAAATGGATTGTTGACAATATGCTCAGTGCAAAATCAGAAATTTTTATGTAAATCCCTGGCACAAGAAAAAAAACTTCTGACAGACTGCAATCACCAGGATTCAACTACAATTGATTCAGCTATCATAAAGTGAAAGGTGGCTAGCTATCTATAAACGAAACAGTATGTTCCTATTTCTTCAGTGCCTTTTCATTCTCTTATGTAAAAAATGTATTTCTTTTGGAAAAGTGGCATTTTAATAGTTATTCTTGCTGAATTTATAATAAAAGACATGAGTCTGTGATATTGTATAGATATTGTGCATGGGCTCCCCAAATTTACCATTCCTTTCTATTGTATATTACAGTTAAAGATAACTTACATTGTGAAATAAAAACTGCACAACCTCGTTTCCAGGGCCTTTTGAGACTTTACAAGAAACAAGAGTAAAGGCCCTCGTATCGCCCATTCAAAATACCCACATTTTGTAGGTATTTTGAGTAAGCATAAGTTATCAAAAAATTTTGCCTAATATTTTCAAAATACCGGCGTCACATAGAATGGATAATATTGTTGCATTAAAGGATATTGGAATTGTACTATTTTGGAATAATTACAAAATATTCTGCCAATTACACATAAATTAGGAAATATAATTTAACCAGTCAGAAGCAGCGGGTCTATCCCAGGACCTTTATACCCAAACCCAGAATCAAGGTAAAGGCCCTGGGAACCAAGCTGAAAAATGCATAATCATTATACTTTAAGCACTTAATTCCCTTACATTCCATGTTCACCAAGAACCTGGTGTCTAGTTCAAATATTAGCCTGCGTTTTTAACTAAATACGAGCTATTGTTATTTAAACTCAATATTTAGAGATGATTCGTTATGAGATTATTATGATATTCATAAATTCAAGGTCAAACTGGTAACATTGTGCAATCCAGTTTCTTCAATTAATCAATTAAATTAAATCAATTATCATGTTGGAACCTAATCATGGCTTATGGGTACACAAAGGGAGGGAGGGAGAAAAAGAGTTCGCATGAACCCTAAAATACATATAATTAAACTATTGTTGGAAAGTAAGATACATTTTGGGTTCTTATAACCAAGTAATGCAGTATAATATGTTTAATATTTGAAAAATCTCACCCCAAAATGAAAAAAAATTGTTTCTTCTAAATTTTAAAATTTCAATGCCAACTCTTAATTTCAAAATATTCAGCCCAGCCTAAAAGCTTTTTATCAGCAAAAAATACTTTGCAAACAACACCAAAGTTTCAGGCAATCCGCAGTGGTGCAAAATTACATGAAGTAACTGTACAATTTTTGAGACTTTATTTGCTTTTCACTTAGCAAGTAGCGTAGGCTTTGCGTAGCCAATCAGAAATCGTTAGCTGACAAAAGCAAATACAGAATCGCCTGTTTAAAACTCAAAAAGCACAAATATGTGCTGGATGTCGGTTGAAAATAAATATCGAGTACACATGCATCTTGAACTACTTAAAAACATAGGTTTTGCCATAAATGGTATCAATCGATATTTTTTAGGGAAACAAAATTCAGTTATGTGACAACAAACAGCGTAGTCAATATTGCGAAATGAAAAGAGTTATACGAGGGTGTGTGAATAAGACAATCTTGCTTCAAAATCTCCTAGTTCCTAAAATTACACGAACTCAGCAAAATTGTTTAGGCCTTGCCCTTGGACGGTTCTAATTTGAATTAAAACACTAAATTACGAAAATACACCAGCGCTGAAATTGGCGTATATCAGGAATTTACCACCGAATAGTACCGGGCTAATGACATTAAAATAACGTTTTCACAGTTTCAAGGGGACTACGTCGTCAAATTCTTGAATTTACTGGTCAATTAAAGCTAACAAAACTTATTGAGATGTCAATGACAACGACCACAAAGACCTCCTTAAACACCGGAATTAAAACCGTGGGAAGAAAATCACGTGGCATCTCCCTGGGTAATTTATCATTTAAACATACTCATTTGCTACCATATAACATATTTCTTAACACTAAAGTAAATTGTAGTTTGAAACTAAAATGCAGTGATGACAATTGAAAGGGATACGCACGATGTCACAAGACATTTAAAATTATCCAAAACGATACCATATTCACCATTATATGTTGTTAAAATTATATTCACTGCTTTCACTAAATCTCACAATCACACAATGCAAAGCGGTTTGGGTATCGGATAGCTAGTAGCGTATTGGGTAGCATATATATGTTCATTAATATAAATTAGTGATTTTTAACTATTTTCAAACTTTAACTAGTTTCAATCGCTTGAACTGAAATTTCCCGTTGTTGGGTATAACTTTGAATAAATCTTAGTATTCCTAAATTGAGGATCCTCTTTAACAATTGTTGGTTTCATAGCTGAAACTTTATTGTTCTTCAAGCATTTTTAGAACGGCTCAAAAAAACAACCGGCCCCAGTATAATAGTTTAATGCGGTCGTACTCTAGTGGTAAGCTAGGGCAGGTATCACACTGCAGGAATACTCTACGTGCACGTTTCATATAGTTCAACAAAACCGACAGAATAACTACAATAATAGCGTGAGTAACTGAGTAGGTGTGTTTGTTCCTAAATGCTGGGGGTCGATTAATGGCTTACCCACGATGAAACATTGTTCAAGTTCAGCTTCCCAGCAGCTTTAAACGCTGTGCTGAAAAATACGTGCTGTGCTTTACCCTGTGAAACATAAAGCGTTATAAAGCAATTTACAAACTTTGATTAATTTGTCACAATAGATAAAAACAATAAAACACTGTGCATTATCCGCGTGAAGAATAGATACATTTTGGTTGAATCAGCTTGCACGTACATGGTGTAGCATATTTCAGCATTTTATATCTATTTGCATTAAATATCTAATATCTGTTCAATGTAATGTCTGTTCAGTGTTCGATTATTGAAAGCTGTTTTGTATTCGCTAGGAAACTCCAGTCCTCAGACACCATACAGATTATGAACATTCTATAACATGTCGGCACACTTTAAATTCCCGTCTAAAATGTTATAAACTGTTGTAAATGTCACACATTATGCTAATGACAGGTTTCAACTTTCTTCAAAATTAGCAAAGGTAAACTTAGTTCTTTATGTATGAGCAAGTTTACCCGGCATATTTCGAACAATGCCCCTGCAGTGTATGGAATATATACCCATCAAATGGAGATGGTTTAGAAACCCGAAATCATCCTTCTTTAAAAACATCACAATCAAACAGATAACCGCTATCCACTCGGCTCCCGCCCTATATTTAACCCAATAGTACAATAGAGAGAATTTTATAATGCCACTGCGCATTTCGGTAGTGATGGATTTGGTGTTTACACCGCTTTGGCACCTGAACTGACTACATGGTAGACGGGAAGGGGCGGAGACTTTAATTTACTGCGTGTGTATCCAACGTGGCGTGTGTATCCAACAGAACTATGACTATAAATGACTTGCTGGTTTCTTTAATTCTTTCATACTCTTGACACAGGTTATGTGCCCAAGTTTCACTTTCTTTATCCGTTTTGACATCACTTTCAACTTTCGTCGTGAATGGATAGCGTTATAGCAACAGTTTTTGCGTAAAAACAAAAATGAAAACACTCGAAAACGTTTCCGTGTTCACGTAGTCTGCAAAATTTGAAATTTATATGGACACCAAAGCAGTCAAAATGTATTATTC